TACTTGGCGTACTTCTATGGGTATTACTCTATTCCCCCATCCTGCAGTTAGCCCTGATATGAATCCTATTGAGAAGTGCTGGAGGAGAATAAAACAAGCTCTCCATAGGCGCCTAAGGCAGCCAACAACTGAGGTTCAAATGGTTGTAGCAGTATTAGAAGAATGGGACAAAATTCCTCAGGAATGGATCAATGGGCTTATTGAGCAGCAGGACTTCTGGGTACACGACTTAATTAAGCGATGTGGCTGGTCTACAGCTAATTAATTAATAAAATTCATGATTCTGATGCCCTGAACGCACGGACTTTTGTCCCCATGTTCGTTAGCGCATAGCACTGACGAGCCCTACGTTTCAGGGACCGGACATTATCTACACCACCCCCAAAACACAACCGTCAAATATTATCCTCTGTGATCTGATCCGCAATGCCTAGCATTATCGAACATGCCCCACGGTTTGACCGCAGCAAGGTCCGACTTGATGCTCATTAGATGCTCAGGGGAAATTAACGCAGCAGCTCCTTTCAAAACCAAGTAACTCGAGATTTCATATTTTTCTAGATATAGCTAAGAAGTACAGCAACCCACCAGGTATGATGTGGCTCGAAATTGTCTTGGACAACGTCGGTGCAACCTTCGACGTCCTACAAAACTTTTCTTGCCTAACATTCTCCAGTCTTCAAATCCCAGATCAATTCAAATGCCCGAACCATGACCCTGCAAAATACGTGCCCCGAAGCCTTTCAGTCCTTCGTCTTCTGGCTTTACTACCATACCCATTTGACAACGTTAAAAGCGAGGTACTGGTGGAGCTTTGGTTCATCGCGGACTTCGCGCAGACCCCAAAGTTGCAAACAGAGGTCGTGAACGCCCTGGAAGAAGCCCGGGTGCAATACGAGCGATCCATTCCAACCTCTAAGCTCGTGCGTATCTACAAGAAAACCCGAGAAGGTAGTTCCCTACGGAAATACACTGTGGAGGCGCTGGTTGCCAGGAACAAAATCGAGCCAGAAAATTATCACCAGCAGCTCACCATTGATCTTGTTAAAGCATTCTCCATCGAAAGCACTAGCCTGAGAACTGCCATCCAGACTCTAGTTCCTGCGAAATTCCGCTTCCGTTTTGATGTTGATATGAAGAAGTGTCAGATGGAGCAAATTAGCAAACAGCCTACAAGTCCACCTACTCATCAGCAGCGTTCAACCAAACGATCCCGAGCCTCAAACCATTCTAGCAATGCAAGAAGACGCGGAATTCCAGAGTGAGATGTGGGATCTCATGGGGGTCATGCAAGGCTGAGCACCTGTGCGGTCCGATATCGATCAAGTATGAAGAAAGACTTCTCTGCGATATATGCGAGAGGAAAATCTGGAATACGTTTCATCCTTGGCTCACACAAACTCGTTGATCTTGGACCAGGTTCCGCGAAGTCTTGGTAGTCGAGACTATGGAATAAGAAATGCTTCCTCCCACCAGCTGCAACAGATGCAGACCTCGAATCCAAGACAGCACAAACCGAGCGGAAAATTTAAGCATGTAAGATTTTAGGACCCCAGAGAGGAAAGTAAGTGGTGTGTACTTGTGCCCTGGCATAGTCTTTGGCTAGATAGAAAACAATGCAGTAAGTCTTTGATCTGAGCCTCTGTCGCATGTCCCAACATTTTAAACTTTCTAAGGCTGCGAAGCGCAGTCATGCTTTCAGAATCTCCGAGCCCAAGAGTTCCCATGACCGTGAATCCTGCAGTTCCAGTACCTGGGCTCTTGATCCGGAGAGTTGTGAGTACTAAGCATACCGCGAGCGTGCATTGTGCATCCACTACCCAAGCGAAGCCCCTGAACTTAGCGAGCTTTGCTCTCAACATTCCAATTTACGTGTACACTACGCCATTCTATCCTTATATTGCATCAGAAACGTCTTAGATCAAATCCCAAATAGTTCAATATCTTAGTCGTGCAGTATGCATAATAACAGACCGGAAATGCTGTGAGATTATAGCTCTCCGACAAGATAACATAGGGAGCTATAACTCACCAAACCCCCTTCACTTTGAAAAAGAGAAAGGAGGTCTGACGGGACCCTTGCCTTTCTCTCTAGTCTCCGTTAAACCGAGCGCTAACCCAAAACCACGCCATTCCATCGTATATAAAGGAGGGACCGAGACCGAGGTACAGCAACACGATCCTCACATGTCACAAAATTCCAATTGCCGCTCTCCTATCCAAGGTACCTAGGTACCTACCGTGCAACAAAATCCCTCCCCCTTCACAAAAAGAAAACCCGATGAACACGTAAAAAAAAAAGCAAGCAACTTATACATACATACATATATCACATTCCCTTACCAGCATTCATTCCCCCAAGCTAGCTACAACGAACCACGGAACCTTTCTTCCGTTCCAGAAACGGGGATTTCCACCACGTCTTCTAATCCGCCAGTTTCTCACCGCCGCATGCACGAATCAAGGAGACTCGGGATTCCGGCTCGGTATTGAGATATTAATTAGTGCCCTAGCCGCGTCACGAAAAAGAAAAGAAACTTTAAATCAGTAGAGAAGCGATCATATTTCTGAATCGGGTATCTACAATGCACACACACATACAGAAAATGCATCCCACCAATGCCAAAGCCTGAGCTGATGCCATTCCCCGATGAAATCTACAATCCCTTTCCTCGACTCCCAGCAATGAGTCCCTCCGCTGTGCAATGATGACCACTGACGCGCATGGGAAATTCCAGGCTTCATGTTAACGCACTCCCACTCCCCACTCCAATGCAATGCAACAACAACAAACTTTTCGAATGAAGTAAAATTTATGCACAGAGATGCGTTTCTTCGTCTGATTCATGAAACTTCGGAAATCATAGCTTAGAGTCCAATTCTTCGAACTGACTGATATCCTTGACTGGTTGCGGGCCAGCACTAATCTGGAGCATGGATTTAAATTGCCTGACGTCTTTGATGATGTATGATGTTGTTCCGTTGGCCTCGACCGTGGGTGCTGGATAATCATCTCCGACATCTCCATTAGTGGCCTTGTTACTGAGACCTAGTGTCTGCATTGCTTTGCTGACGACTGGGACGGATGATTCTTCAGGTGTCGATGTCTGGGCATGGAGATGGATTGCCAGCTTCGATCGGAATGGAGAATTTGGCGCAATCCATTTTTGGAAGAAGTCAATCATGTCAGCTTTCGAGATCTGGCGGATATGGGCGGCATCTTGATGTACTAAAGATCATCAATGTTAGAAATGTGCAGTAGTTATGTGGGAGGGCGAAGCTTACCTAGTTCGAAATCAAGATACTCGTTGTCGATATAATTCCATAATCTGCCTGACTCTTGATCCAAATTCTTCAGCTTCTCCAAGCGTTTTGCAATAATACTCTTCTTATGGGCCTCAATCTCAGTCTCTGGCATGTTCTCAAGGGTGGAACCGAACGAAGTTAGGAAGGAGTCGATGCGCTCAGAAAGATATTCCGGGGTTTTCTCGCTTTGAATGATGAATCTGTATCCCATCGTCGTTGGCGAAGAACGTGCGCCGCTGAATACAACATATCCAAGCTGTTCCTTTGTTCTCAATTGATCGAATGCTGGTTCGTGAGTCATCTGGTCGAAGAGAAGTGCCTTTGCCCGCAGTGGTCGGTCGGCTTTATCTCCCACATTAAGGACGTACTCAATGCAATGATTGACGTTTGCAGGATCTTTCAAGGTTCTGTGATAGACAAAGTTGCCTCCTGGTGGGAACATCAGAGCCCGTGTTACAGGCCACTGGATTTGAGGTAGTGTTCTCGGCTTTAAGATGCTCTCGATAAGATCGCTCAACTTCAAAGCATCCTCCTTGTACAAGTTTCCATGTGCAAAGGTCTCAATGTGCATTTGTCGTAAGAGGTGAGGGTAAAACTGTTGGATATCGGCGGCTGTGATATGAGGAAGCTCGACGAGCATTTGCTCGTTGATATAGCCTCGATCGCTGTTTAGCCATCTTGTGTAGTCACCAACTTGGCTGTATGGCTGTTGAAAATCGTAGTTCTTGAGACCTCGAAACAACCTCTCCTTGATGATATCAAATCGCTCTGATTTGACTTCCAAATCTCTCATCGTAACCAAAACTTTCTCCAGCAAGACTGGTAACTTGTCATTGTACCCAGATACGGCAATCTCGATTCCCAAAGAGTGACTGGAGACAGAGTAATCCAACCCAGCAAGCTCCGCGTCGTATGAGTATTCTTCTAATGCATCTCTCACTATGTCGGTGTAAAGTCTTGCTTTCAGGTGATTCTCTGCGGTGGCGCTAGGCAATGGATTTCTGCAATTGACGAATAGGTTGGCCTTGGGCACCCAGAATTGGTCATCCTTCTTCCACCATGTGCGGACAAGTTCATCGTGTCGAATGAGCTTGGGGCAGAGAGTTGGTTCTTTGACGTCTTTCTTCTCCACTTCAAGTTTGGTAGGGATGAACTGGTTTTCGTGCGGTAGGTGTAACTCCGTCAAGCGATTCTTTGTCGTGCTAGCTGCAGCGTTCTTGATCTCGGCAATGAAATCCGCAGGGATTTTCTCATAGGTGTATTCCGTACCGTACCATTTCTCCTTCTGCTTCCAAGTACCGGGGAACTTCTGTGAAACAACCGTTATCCTAAAATTATCAGGTCGTAAACAGGCCAGTCCCTCCTCGATCCTTGCTGCGTCAAACTTCCTAAGTCTGAAACACGAGTCAGTTACTTGCAGACATTCTCAAAATAGAATAGCAGAACAAAATTCTAACATACCGACTATGTCCGCTTAGAAGCCATTCTCGAGGAAGCGGTGTTTGCATGACTGCACTTGTCTTGCTGGTGAACTTGCTGGCCGGAGTCTTCTGCCTGAATCTGAAATCCACGTCCGCAAGACCTTTTTGCTCTTCGAAAATCCATTCTTGAGGTGCCGACTCGCGCAACAAGGATACGTATTGGAAGAACACCTTTACGATCTCCTTGTAGTTCTTGAGGCCATCCTCCGTTAACCGGATCTGGCAATTAAAGATCCCAGGAGTGCCTGGGCATACGGGATATGCACCTTAAATAATGTCAGTCTTGGTCTGCACAAGTTCAAAATTGGGCAGGGTATCATGTATGGCAAAGGATCGACGCTGAATGCAAGGCCTCACTCGAGTCATTGCTTACAGAATTCGTCTTCGCCAGTCTTTCGTCGGCAAATATTGCCATGATCTCACAACCATTAACGTACCTGCGCTTAAGCCATTCGCCCAGCCTTTCGACTTGATGTAAGACATGATACTACCGGGTCCCTCGTGACCAATTAAATGGCTGATGTACCGGCTTGGCTGCGATTCGAAAAGCAACTCTTCGTCTATGAATGGGAACGACAGATCCAACTGTCTCGAGTCCATAACTGGCTTTGCAAAGCATTGAGTTAAAAGATCGACCTCTCTGAATGGTGCTTCGTCCTCCCATCGGTTTTGCTGCAGGTCCTTGTTTCGAACTCCAGCAAACAAATCTGCAGCCCAACCTTCCAAGACATCTAAAGGCTCTCTGCCCAGGATTACCAGCTTCATACGGTTGGCTGAGTAATGCTTTTCGTGGAAGTCCATGAACTTTTGTCGAACATCGATACCTCGTGCCTCTGGTTGTTGCTTAAGAACCTCGAAATTTCCTGTAGAAAAGTGGCAGTATGGATGATTGGGATTGGACAACGACTTTTCTAATTGATGAAATCTCCATTGGTCGCTCTGCAAATTTTTCTTGTTCTCCGAATCAACCGCTCGTAGCTCTCTGTCTAAAGTCGACGAAAGGAACAGGGGATCAATGAAGAATTGTGCAAATCGGTCGAGGGCTCCGTAGAGGGGTGAAGCAGGTGCATCTGCGGCCTTTTGCGCTTGGATCTCGAAGTAATAATTTGTAGATGTAGCTCCAGTGTATGCATTTGAACTTCCGGAGTATTGGGCGAGGTATTGGGAGTAGGCGTTCTCGACTGGGTACTGTAAATATGTTAGCTTTCAAAATATGATAATTGCACAATTCCCGGGTTGACACCCATGCAGAGCATCCCAGTCGATCGTGAGGTTTCATAATTCTCTGCCATACACCACAATTGACAAGAGAAATATATCATACCTTCTTCGTTCCCATGAATAACAGATGCTGCACAGAGAATTAGCGATTTTCTAGTGAGTTGGATGTATGATTCTAGCATAGTCTTGCGCCGGTTCTGCCAGCTCAAGCTATGCCCGCAAATGCTTACCTCTACAGCATGTGCCATACCTGGCATATCCTCCTCGTCGCTGAAGTTGCCCACATTGACATCCATAGCCGCGCTAGCCTTGTCGGTCTCTGCATCGTGGACCAGCAGCACCTCGAGCTGATTTGGCAGGCGGACAACACGATACGACCTGTCGTCGAGCGACGGGGTCTCTAGACGGTCTGTGAGCCTCTCGACAGGTCTGTGTCTGTGTTCCCTCAGGGGGCTGTGAAGCGCGGCGGGTGTTTGAGGTTGGGATAGAGTTGACATGGTAGCAGATCTCGACAATGGTGAACAGGAGCCGCGTTGTAGAAAGGTTTTCGGGGGAAGCGGACGAAAGTTCTTTGAAGTGCTAATGGAAAAGGTACAGGATGGTTTTCGAAGATGATGGACCCCGCCTAGCTCAGGAAAGGCTTGCGCTTGACAGAAATGGCGGGTTAAGGGTCGGGATGGGTTGAGGAGAGAAAGGGTCTGTGCGAATCGAGATGCTTTTGGACTACCGCGGGAAGGTTGAATCAATCTATTACTGTCGCCAACCAGTGAATGGAAGTGCGGTGACTGTGAAGGTGCCCGTCGGAGCACTGATGACGCCTGCGCGGCGGCGGCTATCAAAAAATGAAGGGTGTGTGGTGTTGACGGCAGGAGACCGAGGAGAGGAAGGCGCATGTAGAGTAGCTGGGAGCTGGTGAAGGTGCTCACAGACGACCCTCGTCGAGATGATTGGTGACCCCAGGTTTGTGCAACGAGTCCACGTCCGTTCTGGGGACGAGTGAAGCTGCTGGGCTCACGAATGAGGCAATATGGAGGCAACCGAGGGCAGCTTCTGGTATGGTGAGGTGATGGCGAGGTCAGGAAGCTGCGTTGCGTCTGCGTCTGCTCTGCGTCTGCGTCTCGTTTGCGGAATCGCGGTGGTGGGATGTGCAGGAGGAGCAAAGTGGTACTGAGTTGAGGTGGTTCTTCTGCAGCTCTCAGCGCCAGGAAGAATCTCTAGCGCGATAACCTCGACAAAAGCAGAGCGAAAGACTGGACTCGACGGGCTTCAACTGGATGGACAGAGTCACGGCTGGACAACGCTCACAGTTCATATAGCGGTGAAATCTCTCAAGGAGGTCATGAATATATGCACCCAAGGCCTGGCTGCATATCCTTTTTCCACAGGGTAGTCGGACCTGGTCTATAATTGCAGCTGCCCTAGTCAAAACAGCAGCAGCGCAGCCCTTCCAGACCAACAAAATCCCCGACACATGGCGAACACCTCAGCCAGAGCTCGGAGAGAAGTTTCATCGTTGCAACCAACCACCTGGTCGACGGTTCACGCCCATCTCCACTTATTACACATAATTGCTACGCCCGTCTCGACGACGATCCATGTCTCGGAAAGCGAACGACGCATGAAGACTAAAGAAGCCAAAGAAGACCAAAGGACCGTCGCCCACGCCCGCACAAGCTGGTCCACTGGGCGATACGTACTGAAGATGTACAGATGTGTGGGCTCAAAGATGGGACGACGAGACTTGGGGGTCGATGCTGCATGACTGTGACGGGTGATACAGGATTATACCCAGATACTCGACAGCCCCGCGCCGTTCTATTTGTCAACGACGTCGACTACTGCTCATGCTGTTCCTGGGAATGCCGCTTCTAACGCTGTAAGGTGACGCTTCGCTCGCCCTCTGCAAACCCTGGCAATGCCAGTGAGTACTGACTGGTCTTTGGAACTCGTTCTGCAGCTGCTGCTGGCTAGCGAAGGGTGGTGATTTACCAGTCATGCATGAACTGCATCTCTAGTAGTGATGGGCTCAACGGTCGTGTCAATGCCTGCTGCTTGTCTGGCCTCGCCTTGCCTTGCCGCAGGGCGAGTAAGTATCCCAGGTTGATCCGATCACTCATTGACTTTGCCTCACGCATCAGATCAAATGCTCCAGAAGTATTCTGGAAGTACGAATACACTCGCATCGGGTCATCTTCCGTGCGTATCCTTGCCTGATGATTCGGTAGATCACGATCCCGTCGAGTATCGTGTCCGATCTCCCAGCTTCTCTGAAACCAGGTCTTGTCAAAAGCATGCTAGTGGTGGCTCTGTACTGCCGTCATATTCGCACTACTCGTGCTCGACCAATTCGGGCGGTGTTAGAGTTTTCACCATCTCGATCCCATGCGGCACGAGAGAGCTCTCTGTGCTTGCTATACATACTTGCTATTATTATTGGGTTTGCTTCATGTGTCATGACTGTTTAGTTCTTTTTATCTTATCTTAGCCTCCATTTCTGGTGTGGAGGGGTACCTAGGTTAATGCTTGATGCGAATTGATTAAAGCTGACCGAGCCAGCCGCTGGCACACGGCCAGCAGTGTTTCAGCAAAGCACATCATCCGTTATGTCTCCTCATGGCACGACATCATCCAGTTTCTTGGTAATCTCCACGAACCCATATTTGGATATGGGGACCATCATGTGACGACTATTGCTATTAATACCGTACAGAACCAAGCAACCAGCGTTAACTGCTAGGAGACTCTTCAAGGCTGGCTTCGGTCCCGAGCATCACTTGGCAGTAACAAGAAAGCATCATCCAGACTTCACATATCTATATCAAGGAATCTTCTGGATCTACCAGATATGCATTCATTCATTCATTCATTCATTTCTGATAACATTAGTTTTGTCCATTTATGATGCGCAGATGTGCGATTGGTGCAGCAGTGGCCTGGAATAATATTCCGAACCAGCGTCCACCATCTAGAAGTTGGATGTGAACATCTTGGGGAGCTGAGACTAGCCCTAGATAGCGTTGGTGCTTTTTAAGGTAGGGGCTACGGGAGAATCATGTCTGGATCCGCGAGCACCCGTGGCCGAGGCGAGTTCTTAGAAATCGTAGATGAGAATTTAGGTTAGACAAATCGTACGAAGTGCTCTGCATTATTCATCATTACTTTGAAGTAGCTTAGCTGTAAACATGATATGAACAAACGTAAATGTGGAGACGGTAGATACTTCCCCATGCAGTAACAATACAGATTTGCAATCTTACACATGTTGGTAGCAAAACGAGAGTTATGCCCAGGAAGAACCAGGCAGACCGCGAGAAAGAGAAAGATCTATAGATCTGTCATTTGATTTGGTACAGCAATCGATACTGATCGTAAATTCTGAAGTTGAAGAATTGCACCACGTATTTTCTTTCCCATGCTAGGTGACTTGATTTATTCGATGGCGATCAGCTCGGAATACGGGGATGTTTCCGACCCGTAACGCCGAGCAATGCAATGCAGCTAACTCCAACGCTATGCAAGAAAAACAAGTAGTAAAGTATCAAGCAATTGCTAGGCTTTCTAATGTATGTGTAACTTCTGGAAGTAAGTGGGATATTTGGTTCGGATCACGCAAAGCGACTGTTATGTCGCCGGGTAATCTCCCCGAGAACAATAAACTCTAGATTAATGTCAGCCATGATCAAGAAAGCTAGGCTTGCGAGACTGCAGGGGGGTGAAGTAACATCAATGTAGGCGAGACTGAAATCGAAATGAAACATGCCTTCTTGACTTTCTCGAAGTCGTCCTCCCGTTCTGTATAGTCTCTTATGATCTTACGTGTGTTAAAGTCCACATAGATTCTAGTGTCGCGGATGCGGACAAGAACTCCGTCGAGGCGCATGAATAATCGAGTGAGCAGAAGCATCCTGTCCGGCATAACGCGAACTTTGCAGGAGAGGACGGAGATACCGTTATCATCAAGCTCGCTCTCATAGAGCACGACCTCCTCGAAAAAAAGAATTGGATCCGGCCGCTTCAACAATTCTATTGGAATTGGTTTTGCTTTTTCTGTTTGGAATTCGAAGCCCTGTCCATTTATAACCGTGCCCTTGTAATCAGTCGTGTAAGACCAGTCGAATGGCTTCACGACCTCTTTGATTCCTTCGTGGGTTTTTTCTCTGCATCGTCGATCAGCATTTGGCTCATGTACCCGAAATCTGGATCACAACCTGCTGCTCGACCACTCTTGCGAATAAGCGACTTTCAACATGTTTTTGTCCGTCTTGTCGACTCTGTCCAAGGCATCGTATGCGTTAAACTCCAGCCGCCATCCGCTAGCAACGTGTTCGATCGAGACCATGTTGTCACCAAAGATCATCTCTGGGACTGGAATCCCCAATCGGTGGGACATTTCATCGATCGGCCCAGACTTCGAGATAGGTAGCTTTCGCGCGCTGATTTTGAAGCCTTTCTGTACGTGCGAAACTGTAGATCGGTCTACAGCATCAGGTGTTGGAAAAGCCTCCTCGATGGGTCCATTAAAAGCCATGTTGTATTCTCAACGATTCAGCGGTGCTTTGAGTCGAATGTTGGGAGCTTTTCTCTGCGACTGCAATGGTTGGAATATATTTTGAGAGACGAGGTTGCGCAGCCTGATGTCGAAGAAATAGTGGGGCACGAAATCGCGGGGACTTCGAACAGGGAAGGTTGCTTCGTCAACCACTAGCGCCAAATTAGGACCTGCTTGCCGGCATCAACACAGATCAGAAATCTGGAAAGATTCAACAAGACAATACTAACCAACAGCAGAACGAACATTGAGGTGCCGAAGACTTGAGCTCTCACCTACAAGTCAGTCATTCGTTTACCTTCTCAAATGGCAACTCAAGCGCTCGAGTCGCGCTTTGAGCGCATGTCTGTCAACGATGAAAATGATCCTGGTGATGGAAGCAAATATCAGAAATCTAAGGTATGTTGAACGAGTTAGATGATCTTTCAGCCCGTTGATGCGTCTTAGATGACAAGTAGCATTACTTCCGCCCAACTGTCACAGAATGCGAGTCGAGCCAATCTATTAAAGATCGCGCTGCAAAATCAAAACACTACAAGCACTATCGTTACTGTTCCCTCCCAGGCATCACAATGGCGTTCCTCGAACATGCCGAATGGAGCAGGATCTCCGTCAAGGAAACAGATGTCGAGCTCAATGCGAGGATCGGACGAGTTGACACGAGTCGAGCGAAAATCGAATCAGCTCTACGATCAACCTGCACCACCAAAACAATTCCATCTCGGCATGTTCGAAATCGGGCGACCTCTAGGGAAGGGAAAGTTTGGTCGTGTATATTTGGCTCGAGAACGTAGCTCAGGCTTTGTGTGTGCTCTGAAAGTTCTTCACAAGAACGAGATTCAGCAAGGCAAGGTCGAGAAACAAGTCAGGAGGGAGATTGAGATCCAAAGCAATCTTCGACACCCGAACGTATTGCAACTCTATGGACACTTTCACGACAGCAAGAGAATTTTCCTGATTCTTGAATTTGCCGGAAAGGGAGAGTTGTACAAACACCTACAACGAGAGCACCGGTTTCCAGAATGGAAAGCAGCACAATATATTGCACAAATGGCTGCTGCCCTCAAGTATCTCCACAAAAAACATGTTATGCACCGGGACATCAAACCAGAAAACATCCTTGTGGGTATTCATGGCGAGATCAAAATCTCAGATTTTGGATGGAGTGTTCATGCACCAAACAATCGACGAAATACCATGTGTGGTACTCTTGACTATCTGCCACCGGAGATGATCAAGCCTGGAAGTCAAGACAACTTCTATAATGAGAAGGTGGACTTGTGGAGTTTAGGTGTTTTAACCTACGAGTTCTTGGTTGGAGAGGCACCGTTTGAGGACACACCTGTGATGACACAGAGGAGGATTGCTAGAGGAGAAATGACAGTTCCAAGCTTTGTTAGCCCTGAAGCGAAAGATCTGATCAAGAGAGTACGTTGCCATCTTTCCTTAGAAAAGAGCACCACTGACTTTTCAGCTTCTTGTCTTGGATCCAGAGAAGCGGATACCTCTAGATCAAGTTCAAAAGCATCCATGGATTATCAAGCATTGCGTGAGAGGGGAGCGTGCTAGTCAAAGAGACTCGAAGTCAACCGGAAGTAAATCATCAGCGAGTGAGAGGGACGAATAACGAATTCATGACCAACGGTTGGCGTTTAGGTGACATAAGTATCAGAAAGCTGGGGGCATTTTGGGAGTTGGGAGATCATTATATTCCTTGTACGCCTACGCTGAACAATATATTCGTGACACAAATACCCCCTCGCTGTTCATACATATTGATACAAGGTCCCGCTCTACTATCTGTATATTTCGTCGAAGGGCCGTGTGTCTGAGAAGCACGAATCCCAGACCTCATTAACAACCTTCACAGCCTGGACATCATCTTTACAAGACGGTCTATTCATAATTGACTTCACTGCTCTGGCTCGCACACAATTCTGGTGCTGTTGTGTCAAAGTCCAGTTATTCCTCGTCCAGAATTCTCTCGACCATCTACACTCGCCGCTTAGACTCGAAGCTCGAATCTTTCAAAATAGTCAGCATGTGTTTCTTTGTAAATAGCTTCAAAAGTACCTCTGTGCACGCTGCATGCCTCAAGTCCGCCCAATCAACCTTCCATCTCAAATGATCCCACGCATGTACCATTTCATGCGCCAATGTATCCTCCAAATGTTTCCTATCCCTCATCTCATTCGCACATATTAATATTCCATGGTCTGGACTGAATCCGCCACCCTGCCTAACCCAATTCCCGTTTTCATCCTTCCTTGTCGGACACCGTCTACACAGCACATTTGTAGCATTCAGATCTCCGTTCAAAGCACTAATGTTCTTCCTCATGAATATGACCGTAGGGGAATATTGAAAGCACCAATCTCGCCACTCGTCGCAGCGCGCACAGTCTCGAGTTTCATTTCGGATATAGGCGTCTTCGCGGAAGGCATTTTGACCTTCAGAGGTCATGCGGCCTGTGAGGATGTTCCAGTAATTTGTCCACTTCGTGTTGGGATTGTAGCCTGTCTTCGCAGGGTCTTGGGATGGATCCGACACGGACTTGGGGGTACCATCTGACATTTTGGGACTGCGAGACTTGTTGTTGCGAAAGATTGGACGGCAGGGACGCTTTCGTGGGATTTGTCGTCGTTGAATTATCTCGTAACTTTTTTGCTGGGAGCTGAGAAGGCGGTGTATAACCTTGGCTGACTTAGGTTTAGCTCCCTATAAAATGTGACTCGGCAGAATGCCCCGATTTCGCTTGGACTTTTTAAGCCTGCTATGACCAGCGTCAGATGAGCAAGTGAGATTCATTGTAATTTCCAAGATACTTAAAGGAGCTAATCGAATGCCCTTTTAAATGCTCACTACTTTTGCTTTTACGGAGATAGCTTTTTCAACATGAAACCAAAATCACTCACAATCGTCATCAAACTGGGCGAGTACTCAGCATCAAAATTATTTCAGGGATGCGTATTGACTCATTGTTTCCAGGAACGAGTTCAATTGTTAATGAAAAGACACATGAACCTCTTATTTCAATTTTGTCACTGATTTGTGAGACTGCTGTAAAGCTCCACAAAGATGGACATAAAGTAATTATTGTCTCCTCTGGTGCCATTGGAGTTGGTCTGCGGCGAATGGACGTTGAAAAGAGACCCAAACACCTTCCAAGGATCCAGGTAATGTCCCTAACACATTCGTTGCATACTTACTGACTAGATGCTCAGGCTCTAGCAGCAATTGGTCAATGTCGACTGATAGGAATATGGGACACTCTATTCAGCCACCTACGACAGCCCATTGCCCAGATACTCCTCACCAGAAACGACATTGCCGATGTATGTTTCCTTGGATTTTGGCCTTTCTTGACTCCGGCTAACCTTACAAGCGTACCCAATACCTCAATGCCCAAAATACTTTTGCTGAGTTGCTTGAAATGGGAGTGATTCCTATCGTCAACGAGAACGATACTATTGCAGTCACTGAAATCAAGTTTGGAGACAATGACACATTATCCGCTATCACAGCAGCAATGGTTCACGCAGACTATCTCTTCCTCATGACCGATGTGGATTGTTTATACGACAAAAACCCAAGAACGAATCCGGACGCTCAAGCCATTGAGATTGTGAAGGATATTGCCGAATTACAAGCAGATGGTATCTCTCCTCTTCCATAGAATGAGACTTAGCTAACACCCCTCAAGTATCTAGCGCAGGTTCAAGTCTAGGAACAGGAGGAATGTACACCAAGATCGTTGCCGCCCGCCTCGCCACCTCCGCTGGAGTAACAACAGTAATAACCCGCTCCTCAAATCCGGGCAACATAGTCAACATCGTTCGATACCTACAAAGCATCAAACCCACATCCTCGTCTCCACGTTCGCAATCCCAATCACCAACTCCCACTTCCATAAAAACCATCTCTTCAAGCACAACTCTACTCGACGAACCTCTAGCCCGCTCCACCGCTTTGCTGACTGTAGAACCCCCTCTCACCGCTCCGCTCCACACCCGCTTCGTCCCCTCTCCTCATCCCATCCGAGACCGCTACTTCTGGCTCTTGCACGGTCTCGCCTCCCACGGCACCCTTTACATCGACAGCGGGGCTCACGAGGCCCTGAAGAATAAAGCAGGTCTGCTTCCAGTCGGGGTCGTCGATGTGGAGGGTCACTTTGCACAACAAGAAGCTGTCCGGCTCGTGGTTGTTGATCGCTGTCTGAGGACGCGACTAAGTCCAGGCAAGGTGTGGGAGGGTGCTGGGATAGAGGTGGGCAGAGCGTTGGTGAACTACAGTGCGGCTGAGATAGCGAGGATCAAAGGAGTGAGGAGTGGGGAGATTCAAGGGCTGTTGGGATATGCGGAGAGTGAGTATGTGGCGTTGAGGGAGAACATTAGTTTCTTTGAGAGGGAGAGTAGACCAGTCTCGCCGAGTGTAGAGCTCCAGGAGAATAAAGTTCTGGTGTGATGTTTCTGGAGATGTCAATTGGGGCGTTCTGGGATGAAATCAATAGATTGTACTGGTAGAGAAAAGGAGTTTGGTAGAGGATGCAATGTTTTCTGTATTCCACCACACCGTTGAGCTATTCAATGATACATGTATGCGTGACACATTATGCAGCAGCAAACTAAGCAGCCATCTGCTCCCATGAATGCAAGTCATCCTTACGCCTTAAACGCCTTTCGTCCCTCGGAAGACGGCAAAAAATTCCAGCTCCCTAACCATGCAATTGAGAATACTTTGAAGGAGGAAAAATGCAGACAAACAATCGATCATCTAGCATCTTTCGGACTGGAACTGCTTGCAGTAACGTCCTCAAATTCAAGCTCCCACTTGTCAACTTCAGCAAACTTCCTCGCAGCCTGTTTTAACTCTTTCCCAACCCTTTTCTCCAATTCCAGGCTATTTTCTGGACTATCATTTCCATCATCGGGTAATGGTGCCAAGCTATCATCAGGGTCTACCTCTTCATTCTCTTTATCAGACGTCTGATTGGCTCGACCATAGGTTCGCTTTGCATTAGGTTTTGGTGCAGGTTTCACTGGAGCTTTGGGCTTGGTGACTTTTCTGCGAGGTGCTGGGCGAGGAAGTGCTGTCGATGCCCGGCTTCGAGCACGTACATCCAAGTGAGAGAGCTCATCGTCATCTGGAGCTAGACCAGATACGTCAACCTCATCATCCGAGCTGGGAATAGAGAAAGTGTCTGCAGCTGGGCGCCGTCGCCTTCGCGGTAAGAAGGCTTGAAGTTGGGCTGTAGAGAGTGCGCTTGGAGGGGGAGCCTGTCGTTTGGGTTTGTGCTTGGCTGTGACCATAGACGGCCGATTAGGAGAATGTGTCAGGGAGGGTGGAGACGAAATTGGAGAATCTTGAGTCCTCGGCGGGGGTGTTCTGCCTCGCACAGGTCTTCTGCCTCGAGATGGAGCTCTTCTTGTCCTTGAGGGCAACTCAGGACTAGAAGGGGTCGGGCTGCTACTTTGAGGAGGTGCCATTGTCTCGCTGAGCAGCTCAGGTGTGTCAGATCGAGCTTCGATAGATGGCATGACTGGTTCTGAAGGCTCTCGCTCGTCCTCTTCCTCTTCATCGTTGAGCTCGCCAGTGGCGGGAATTGAGTCGTTAGCATCAATCTCGCCCTGAGGAGGCAACGTTGGGCTTGACCGGGGAACCTGTACAGCCGATAATTTGCGCTTCCTAGAATTGGAAGACGATACAGCAGACGAGGACGTCGTATGCCTAGTTTTGGACTGGTTCAAAGGTGTGGATTCATCGTCCGGGTTGAAATCATCCTCCTCGTCCTCATAGTCCAGCGGTGGCCTTTGTGCTTCCTGCCCGGTTCTCAAAATGCTTGCTTCTCGTTCGCGTCGTTTGAAGTTCCCAATCTTTATTGCTGATCCTACGTTTGGTGTGGTGCCTCTGTCCATTTCCAGTCCCATACTGCTTGGTACGACATTTCGGCCCATAACACTGCCCTCTCTTGGCTGCCTTCTAACATTGCCCATAACGGATGCGTTCTTTCGACGGACGCTGGTGAGGCCATTATCGTAGGCAAGATTCGATTCCACACTGCTCGATCGAGCACGACCAGCACCGCGACCTAGAATACTTGGTTGACGCGCCCTCCTCCTAAAGTTTCCAATTGCCAGTATAGACTGTGTACTCTCCCTTCGGCCAACCTCTACAGCGGGGCTGCTTGATCCTAAGTCAATATCGTCCAGGATCGGTTCTGCTTCCACCGCCTCCGTCTGAGCGCGATTTGGTGCCAACTCTTCGTCCCTCTCAACATCATTGTCATCCCCAATGCCGTTTCCACTCCTCTTGGACGACGATTCCACTGTGGCCTTTTCTTTTCCATTGTTCTTCTTGACGCGTCGCGCATTTGTAACAACTCCTTCTTCCGGATCACTGACATCGTACAAGTCGTCAAATGGTGCCTTTGGAGCTTCTGGGACTGCTCGCGCCGTTGATTTCGCGACTTTCTTCAAACGTGGTTGAGGTGCTGAAGGCGCGACTTTTGTCCGCTTGGGTCGAGGCATTGTTGCGTTGTTTGAATTGAATATCTGGATACTCATATAAAAACTACAGACAGAGTTATCGCATCTTGGGGATTTCGAGAGTTGGCCGTTCGTGGGGTTGTTCAAGCTGTAGCTGGACGCGTCTCAAAGTCGCGTGGATGTTTTGACTGACTAAGCGAGAAGCACCATCGTCGGAGTCCACACTCCAACTTTATATATAGTGTGACATGAATCCTTTCTCCTGTACAATGCAAATGAGATAGCGGTTTGATTACATCTCCCATTCTAAGCTTGTTTAAATTAGTCGAGCACTACTTTCCAAGTCCTTGAGGTCGCTGGACCTCCAACTTTGTGCTCCTACCTTTCAAGCTTGGTGTCCAGCATCAAGATCCCACTCTCATTCCTAACTTTGCATAGTTGCTGACTGGCTTTCTAAGCGTCAAGCTGTAGTCAGCAAATATCCCAGCATCATGAACTTCCATAACAATCAAGAACCATTTTCGCCGCTGCCAGTCTGCAAGTGCAACACATGCTGCTAGCACCCACATTCAAACATATCGGAGTTTCGTATGCTCTGTCTGTGTAAGAAGCGACTGGCAATAGGTTCTATGTAAATGCGTTGAAGCGTTCGGCTCTCTTTTCGACTGCTCTTCCTTGAGCTTCTATTATTGCAAGCATGAGCCATGCTCGAAGTACAGTCGGCGTCCACCGCCTTATTGTGGGACTTGCAGCCTCATAAGCATTCAGGTTGAGGTTTTGATGATATCTCTAGAAGGGAAGATTGTGAGAGATTCGGCATTTGAGGACACAGAATGCGAAACGTTGTGTAGAAAATGCTTGCAATGCAACCTGTTTTTGCGATACCAGTTCTACTTTCTTTTCGGTTAACCAGAATAGGTTTAGACTCCGAGCTCTAGAGCTCGCCGCTCGACACAATACATTGCTTTCATCTTCTTTTGTGAGAGATACTTTCGTATATAATCCCTGTTTACAACCAGAGCAATTTGCAATACTTCCTTACATGAAGTTCGAAACCAGTCTCATTAAATTCAATCGCATTGGTACCTGTTGACACCGACACTATGAGGCTAGTGGCCGAAATTGGGACTCGAGACATTTGAAGAGGTTTTCTCGGCTGCGGGCTCGCTGATTTCAAGTTACCGATACACTTGCCTATCCCTTATTCACAGCCGAGATCGAAGCTGAACGGTATTGCGGAACTTACATGACTGTGCCTGCATGTACTTTTTGGTGGTTGCCTGCTTCGTTCAGACCAGATCTTAACACAAAAGGGCCGCATCCCTCAAATGTCGAACCCATAAATAATCCATCGTTCAAACATTTCCATCAGGGAACCAGATTTTTCATCTTACACCTTTGATCACACTTCACAATTCTCATCATTTAAGGCATGTCCTCAACTCACGTTCTGATTATTGGTGGTGGAATAGGAGGTTTAGCTCTTGCCCAAGGTCTCCGAAAACACAAGATCACCTTCACCATCTTCGAGCGAGACCCGACTCCTGCTTCACGTGCTCAAGGCTATCGCATCAGGGTTGCAGGCATTGGGGCCGAAGCGCTCTACGGCTGTCTTGACGATAAACTCTGGGACTTCTTTGAGAAGAGCTGCGCAGCTATGGAATTTGGAGCGAGTTCTCTAAATGCTCTCGATGCCTCAAACCTTCCAACTCCAGGTCCACCAGGTGGTTTCGGAAAGGGATCTCATCGATATAGGAGTGGAAGTGATGTAACAGTGTCTTCGAAAGTGAAGCCTGCATATACTGTCGACCGAACTATGCTGCGGGCTCTACTTCTTCTCGGACAAGATGAGAACATCAAATTCGGGAAATCTTTCACGCACTACGAAATCACTGCTGAAGGAATCAAAGCATTTTTCGCTGATGGCACGTCCACTGAAGGCAGCCTTCTCGTCGGAGCTGATGGTATCTCATCTCCAGTCAGAAAACAACTCCTCCCCCATCAACGATACGTCGACGTCAACACCCGGGCTATTTTCGGCAAAACACCCATCACACCTGAACTCGAAGCAAGCTTCGCGGCTGAAGCAATGAAGCATATAACCATTATCAGAGACCCAACCCCCTTCCTAGCATTCCTCGAACCTGTGCGTTTCCAGCCAAACATCCCGCAAGCAAGCAACAATAGGCTACCTCAGATGGACAACTACGTGTACTGGGTATTCGCCGGTGCGACAGACGACATGGGGATGTCCGATGAGGACTTTCGCCATCTGTCGGGCAAGGAAGCGGCAGCTCTCACGAGAAAGTTGACATCGAAGTGGCACCCGACCTTCAAGCCTCTTTTTGACATGCAAAGTGAAGAACAAGCAGCTCCCTTGAGGCTGCTTTCCTCGAAGCCTCATAAACCGGACTTCTCTCCTAATTCCAGAGTAACATTACTAGGCGATGCAGTGCACGCCATGATGCCTGCTGGAGGATCGGGTGCCAACGTTGCACTTTCGGACGCAGCTCTGTTGGTGAACTTGTTGGTTGAGACCAAAGAGAAAGAGGAACCGGTTGGGAAGGAAGTCATGACGAAGTTTTGGGATGAGATGTGGGAGCTTGCGTTACCAGCAATTCAAGCAAGTGCAGAAGGAGCTTCGAAGCTGTTTGGCTTCGAAGGATTCGAGAGTACGAAAGAGGTTGATGTCTGAAGCGTTTTGAGACATCGATCTTCCATCCATATTTGATTTTGTAATGCGAATGTACCAATAAGAATCTCAGCTTCATGCTATGCTAAGTATTCTCGTGGGGAGCAAGCAGTGATCGCAGCCAGTGCCACCGAAGTTTCTAAATATATGGTAAAATTATATTTCATCTTAGTTTCTCAATTCATCTAAACAAGGATGTTACTGAATTTTGAGCGAATTATTTTGTTTAATATTGAAGTCCTCTCATACTGGGAAAAATGTTCGCTGGGGTTTTCAAAGCACCAAAGCACTGAAGAAATGTTGCCCGAGGCACTATGCAAAAAGTAAGTCATGAGCATAGCCACGATTTAGACGATCTTGTCGTTGATTGGTCTACAACGTGCAGGGGATCATTCGGTGAAGCAATGCAGGTTGCAATTCCTACCTCGAGCCTTGCGAGTGAAATTGGCCTGAAATCCCAAGATCCTCAAAATCAAAATGTTCTTGGTCCTGGAGAATTTATCGAAATCACGCCGCTCAGATATCCAAGAATGGCAAGAAATTCCAGACTGAGCCCGTTTGCTGCTGTTTGGCCAGGGAAAGGTCCAGCAGTAGAGGACGATTATAATCAGCCCGATGTGCCAGCTCGACTTATTTACCAGGAATTAGACCCTCTCGATAACTGCATTCGTCTACTCCGAGTTAGCCATCGGGGATCGTGGGGACATCTTGTGACAACACTGCACATCGTCCCCTTGGAAATGGCTCCAACTTACTATGCTCTCTCATACCACTGGGGCGAATCATCTCGTCATGATCAGATATTCCTTAATGGATACTTCCGAAAGGTCACCAAGAATCTTGCCATAGCATTGCGACAATTGTACGATTTGCAACGAAATTCGAAATTGAGACGAGGATCGTACATATGGATCGATGCCTTGTGCTTATAAGTCGATTGATACCGAACAAAACACCTCAGAAACTTGAGGGTTTGACCTTTGTTTTCTGAGGGTTTTCGTTTCGTGCTAGTCGGATCCGGAAATGTAGCCTGAGCCCTAAGCACGCTTGTGGGTCCAGCCCATCCCTCATCCGGTCACCGAGTATGCAGCCGGCATTGCATTAGTAAATAGCTATTTATAAGTAGACGTGAAAGTACTGATGGGTTTCGGCAGCTTTAAGTCTTGTTCATTCCAGGAAATCTGTTACCTCAGTATTATTATGAGATTCCCACAACTCGATTAATCTTCAAGTACTTGAGACTATACAGTTAAATATCGCTCTTCAACTTCGCAATACAATTTCAGAGTTATGTCAGACAAGTGGAACTCTGCCTTTCTTTCTTGCGCTTGGAATAGACGTTGGTTTCCTGATTGTGTAGGTGATTTCTATTTCCTTTGGTCTTCACGTTCGAGCTGTTGAATGGGTGCCAACTGGTAGCAACGTAGGATGATTACGGGAAATTCTCATTGGGAGATGGGGATATCCGCCTGCTAGATCTTGAACCCGACCAATCAGATCAACCTATTAGATGTACAACGTCAATAGGTCGTGCTACGGGATGTGTCAACCAGTATTACGCACTTTCATATACATGGGGATCTAGGAACGACATGAAGACCATCATCTGCAACGGATCCGTAATCGAAGTCACCAAAAATCTCTTCGACGCTCTATTCTCTTTCCGGCGAACCGACATGCCTACTCGGCTTTGGGTCGATGCTCTTTGTATCAACCAGCAAGACAATGACGAGCGCACAAGAATGGTTAAAATAATGACAGAGATATATCGAAATGCGTCATACGTAGCTGTTTGGGTTGGACCTTCGACATCTTCAACGACATTGGCGGTAGAGTTAATTCACAGTCTTGAGGCGAAGTTCTCAGATTTCAAGTCTGTAGCACTAGGAACAACTCCATGGAGCGAAGTTGAAGCAATGGGTCTACCACATCCTCTAGATTCCCGGTGGAAAGTCTTGGATCAATTCTTAAGCCATCCATGGTTCCGACGTGTATGGACCATCCAAGAGGTTTCTGTGACAAGAAAAGCGGTCTTCTGTTGTGGGCCGCACAAGGTTGATTTCGAAACCCTTTACATGGCTGTCGTTCTTACAGAAGCGATATGTTTCAATGGGCAACGAAAGCAACTTTATCGTCTGGGTTACAAACGAGTAAGGAGATTAAACAAGTACCGCCGCGCTATCAATGCACCAAAATATCATTTGCCTCTTTGGGAGCTTTTATGGATGGAGCGAACCGCTCAGGCGACTGATGATCGGGATAAAGTATTTGCGCTCCTTGGTCTCGCATCAGACGTCAATATGGAAGCTTCAGATGCTATAATTCCTGATTATACACTCGATACAGCCGAGGTTTACACTAAAACCTTCCAATGGATAGCCAGGAAGACCGACACTTTGGATTTTCTTGCAATAGCTGGGATTCCACCGCAGCCTACCAAGTATTTGTTACCTTCCTGGGTGCCAGACCTGAGCTTTGTATTGATGACATTGCCATTGAACCTATTAGGGATCGGATCTGCATACCCAAAATGCGACAATCAAAGCAAAGGACGTAGCTTGGGCTATGACGGGATAAAATTCATAATGCAGGGCATCTTTATTGATAAGGTGCTTGTATCTGGTAAAGTTCATCGAGGATCCCCCGAAAATGAAGATGCCCCTCCTGAAATTGCGATAAAAACCTGGATGGACATGTGTTCGGACTCTTTTGGCAAAAGGGGTTTTCATGAATACCCAGCCTCTGATTGTCATCATTGGAAAGAAGCGTTCGATCGAACTCTTGTTGGAAATCAATGGATAGATGGCAGTGTACTTGCTGCTGAACACGAAGACGACTACCACGCTTGGATTAAATTGATGCTATTGTATCGAGCGTGTTATCCAAATGGCCGTATACCGGTACGTCTTTGGCCACCTCCAGACGTACCTCAACCAATCGACACACTTTTGTTGGATCGTTTTAATCGGATGTGTTATGGCCGTTGTCTTTTCATTACCGAGGCTGGATATATTGGCGTCGGCCCAGAATCTTCTACGAAAGGCGATTCTGTCTATATTATAGACGGAGTCAAAGTGCCCTTGATACTACGTCCTAAACGTTGTTTCATTGGAGACGGCCAGCATGCTCCTTTTGCAATTAGCAATATGTGGCAATTAGTAGGGGAAGCATATGTACATGGCATCATGAATGGCGAGCGATACAAAGAAGATAAGATTGAAGAGTTTCAACTTTCGTGAGGTTAGTGGAGGCTTTCTATCAATTTTGCAATAATGCTATGCTTGAGAGCTGAATCCTGTACTTCTCTTAAACTCGGAATTAATACTGCAAAAGAAAAAAAAGAAAGGGGGCGGGAACAAAAGGTTAGACAATTTATAATTTATCCTGAGCTATTGGTTATATTATTCCTTGTTTTCAAAATTGAAAATAAATTGATATAACGGTTTGTGTTAATCCTGCCTTCATGTCACCCTGGATACTTTTTATTTAGTGCTGTAAGCATCCTCTGCTTCAGGGTTCAAAACCGGCTCCTTTCACAAAATTGAAAGACTACAGGGAAGAGAATTTGGCAGCAGAGGAGGACATGTTCACCTTTTCGGGGCGGGAGGGGGGTGGCCGCCAAAAACGGCTCCCACACCCTGAGCCGGGATGGGCCAGCCTGCCAGCGGCTGTGTAAATACCTTGGAGTCATTCCCCGTCTTCCTACTACTATAGTATTGGCAAAGCCATGGTACGCGCCCTGGTAACGCGAAAGAATAGCAGTGCGCTATCATCATGGATATCGGGGGCAGGTCTGTTGGTGATGAGGATGCAAAGTTGTAGAGGAAGGAATTCGCTAGGCGAGTTCACTAGATTCATTCGGGGCTGCTCAGTCAAGATTCATCACAGGTAAGCACCGGAACCCGTCTTAGCCGGCCCGAGGATCTGCCGTAGATTAATGACTTGCTGGTTTCTTTCCTGCGGAAAGATGCACTCTGCTTATATTTCGATCGATACCGAACGGAATGCCACAGGAACTTGAGGTTTTGACCTCTGTTTTCTGAGGGGTTTCGTTTTGCTTCGCGTCGCCTTGCCTATTCATTTTCTCGATCTACGCACCCTTGCTTTGAAGTGCGCGAATTTCAATTTCGCGGCCTCACCCCGATCGGAGGTAGCACAAGATAAACCTATTAAATCTAAAATGAAGCTTTTTCCACTTGTCTGTATTCCGTTAATTAATCTCAACCTCGTTGACTATATCTCTCTGTATTGCGATTGCAGCCCGTGTAGTAATGTTTATAATAGACTCTATTTGATATATTGATAAGATCCTATGCATTAATGCCTATTTACAGGCCTTGATACAGGTAGTCCCACACTCCCATGCCGGAATGTCGATATAAACGTTTCTATTTCCGTCTTTGGACCTGAGAAGTCGCTGCCTTAACTTGAGCTGAGCCCTGAGCCCTGAGCTCTCTGAGCAAGTCGCTGAGTCAGCCGGAGTCTCTGGCGCTCCCTCAAGATCAGTAATACTTTCCCTGCCGTCTATTTGGAGATTTTGCTAATGCTTTGCTGCCCTGAACACAGCCACTTTTTCAACCTATCAAAATGGTGGTGACGTCAAGCAGAGAATCGGTTCTGGCTCACCTTGACAATGCTGCCCGCAAAGGCGATTTTGGATCCCTGCTAGCGGGGGCTGCACGGAACGACGACAAGGCCACCGAACTTCACAATTCAACTTCATTGTTTACGACTTCATTCTGCCACAAGAAGCGGTCCTCGAACTATTGACCTCAAAATACGCACGATATCGCTTTGTTAAAAGCGTCGACAAATAGTTCTATATAGTTTCAAAGGCCTTGAAAAACGGCACTATACTTCTTGGAGGGTGCCAATATCTGGTGCTCCCCAAGAACTCGTTACTCTTCATACGAGACGAGGTGGAATATTTCTAGCAGCAAGTACTACGGTATTGGAATACAACATCCGGTGCCTCGCATAGGCGAGGTATTATGGAAGGCCAGGCAACACCAGCGCGGCACTGCGGTTGTGTCGAGGGTTCAGACCGCTGGCGTGATGCGAAATCGCATGAGGAAATGAACCATACCAAGGTTCCGTCTGTCGATGAGCAGATAATTTCATGCAAGGCCAGACACATCCATCTCGCCGACATAGATCCTTGGACGGATGGGTTCATGGTTGCCGGTACGCTTGTGAGCTGTTATGAGATTATGCATGGACGGGACTGAGCAAGGGAACGGTCGTGGCTAGCTTCTCTCGGCGACAGTGCATTGATTGAGGGTTTATTACTAAAGTAAATGACTTCTGTGCCTGCTGGGTTTCATGAGACTCATGCAGCGGCAAAACTACGCCGAAGAAATGGTCATATTGCGGTTTAAGCCACACCTGAAGAAGCAGGAGGGTCATGCATGCAAGCAACGCAAGGCAGAATCATCTCGGCGCAAGCTGTATTGATGGGAGGGTATGGCTCCAGAGAATCTTGAAATTCATGTGACGGGGAAGTACGCCGAAGAAAGATCATGCTAATGTTCAGTCTCCTTAGCCCTAGCTAAGAGATTCATGCAAGGCGTAGCGTGGCAGAATCGTGTTGGCGGCAAAGTCGCGACGTCCATGGTTTGATTAAGATATAATTATAGGGTCATATCTTAATTTAACTTAATCATTTCTCACGCTGGCGTCAGCTAAGAAGTACATGACTGTATGAGGAGGTGGCACTGAGGGATTTATCATTAAAATGATCAAGCCTGTATCGAACAAGTTGCAGTAATCTATTATCCCTAAAGCTCCTTCCACGCTTCTTATATACTTATAGAGATGAGTGCTTAATAAAGAAATCTTCTCGCTGATCACTCGGTACCAGAATCCACATCTGAGATCGTATTAAGAGCTTATTTGAAACGATACGCGCATTAATAGATATAAGAGTAGTGGTTTCATGAACGCTACTGAGTTCAATCTCAGTATAATAAAAGGCTTCCAGTGGGATTGCGTAATCAGGACTGTTGCGATAGCGCTCCATCAGCAATTGGATGTTGGCAAACTTCAGCAAGTAAAACGAAAACCAATAATAACAGAAGCTTACATCCTTGCTGGCACAAGGGAGACCTTGGCGGTGTGGAACTAATCGTGGCCATTGTACTGCGCTGCTTGAACGGAGCTGAGTACAACTACAATATACAAATCATACCGAAAGATCCTTCACCAAACAGAGCAGGAAAGCCAGGCGAACATCTTGTTCTTCATCGTGAATAGATCTCCAAAGAATGAGGACCGACTATCCTGCTCAAGGATCGATTACATAAAGCAAGACAAGCAGCGGAGACGGTAGGGACGAAGTCTGCTATGCATAGTATTGTTTCTGCAGGCGGACCGTGGAGCCTCTTTGTCGATACATCTAGCGAAGCCGACATCTCAGCGAGTGCAGAAGCAAGTCTTGGCCGACATGCCATCTCATGTCCTTGTTCACGTGAACCAACGAAGGTCGAAGGTCGAAGGTTGAATGTGAAATTCGGAAGAGTCTAAAAACTATTGCTCCTATACTCTGAACGCAAGAACGCGGTTCATTAGCCGACAATCCCCTCACAACGACTCCAATCGGCCGGGTATGTTTTTCTCCGACTGTTCTTGCTATAATCCTCCCAATAGCAGCAGCCTAGTCGATTGAAATATCCCAAATCGTTCCTTTTCTGGTATAGCAAAATCAATCCATATGTGTACCACCTAGTCGGCCCTTCCCCAACCCCATTGTTGAGTGACAAAAGTTCTAGTACCATGAGCTGAGAGGGTTCGAATGATGATGAGAGCCATTGAGCAAGTCGTTGTTGTCTCGCAGCTTTGTCTGGTCTCGCCCTACGATTGGACAGCCCAGATATCCCGTAGTCGATGTCATTTAGATCAACTTCGCTTCCATGAAGAAAATCCGGACAACTGACTACTTCAGCCGAGGCATCGAGGTAAATCTTAAATGAAAACGCCTTTCGTACATTAGGCGGCATTATTAGCGTTACAGGACGGATAGTAGACGATTTTTCAGCCTCGTAACATCGTTGTTCAAAAATCCGGAAAGGCGTCATATATCCCTTGAAATAGCACCATGTCGTACCCGAGATCTTCCCTGTAGAGAACGTACATGTCGGCTTGACCTTTCCTTGAGCCATCTGCTGATCCGATCTCCGGCTTGATGCTCCAGGTGAAAAATTGTAGAGTAATGCGAAATCGAGTCGAGGGCAGGCTGAGCTCTGATTCAAACGCCAGGCCGTGCCAAAGGAGGCAGGCGTAGTGAACACGTGCATCTGGCTAAGGACAGGATGCTGTACAAGTAACCGCTCAGCCAGTTGATCCTCTAGCTGATCCCTGGTCCAATATGTCCCTGCAGAGCCAGGGGCAGTATTTCCCAGTCGCAAATTGAATAGTTGCTGAATGCCGTACACACGGTCCTCGTCTCGCTTGGCAGTGCGGCTTTTCGCGGCAAGATATGCCGCGATAAAATTACCAGAGCCAATTGCAGATATACCCGACTTGTTCATGAGATCAAGGATAGTTCGCCAGGACTGGGGTGCGGGATCCTGAAGGGATTCATCCCACTCTCTCATACGGAAGTCTAGGTGAACGAGATTACCGAATTCGAACTTCGCACTAGGATCGTCGGCTCCCATCCTCGTCACTCTCAATCCTTCCTGAGAAAGGAAGACGGCGTCTACACGGAGGAAAGTCTCTTGTAGGGTCCACAATGATGTGAACCATGGATCAGAAAAGAATGACTCCAACATTTGACATGCGTTCTCGATGTGGTCTCGGAAAGGGGCATATCCTGATGGCTTGGGTCCGTTGAGCACGTCGTAGGTAAGATCGGTAATGGCAGAGTGTATCCTCTCCATCTGAAGAGAAGGAATGGAACCTATCCAGGCAAAGGTCCTGATTGCTTTCGAGAATATAGCCACTTGACGACCTCTCTCGGAGTCAGAAGTTGGCTCACCCTTTCTTTGGTCAAGACAAGCAACATCTACCCAGACAAACTCGACCTCGGGCTCCATCACCCTTGAACCGTCAGGACCTGGAATAGACCACCACATTGTCGCTTGCCGGATTGCCTCCAAGAACTGCTGAGTCGTGAACCGCGCTGGGTGAACCCTTGGGATGTCCCATGGGATACCCTTCACGGGGATGCCCTGCACTTCTGGTCTTTCTTTGGTGGGGCTATCGGCGAGCTTCCAGCGACCCCATGTGTAGGTAAGGATGTTGTATGCTGGCTTCACGGCCTTTCCGTACTTAATTCCAGGCTGCCACTCGTATGATGTCAATGTCGGTACGTGGAGAAGGCGTCGAGGCCAGGATCCAAGTGCCTTTTCCTCCTTCGCGACTCCGGCTGAAGCGGCGCTCATGTTGCAGCGAAACGGTATTAAGAGAAATTCTGTGCAAAGCCTAGTTTAATACCAGGTGAGGAGCGTTGATATCCGAGAAGCGCTTTAAGACATTGAAACAAATATGATGGAAAATTTCGAGTCTTTCCGTTTGTAGTATCAAGCAGAAAGGTGTTAGCGTTCTAGAAGGTTTTGTTGAGGGGGCTCGTACTAGTACAGACTATTAGAACGTGGTTAGTACATACCAGTTGCAGAACAGATAGGGTTCGGTTGTGTTGTTACCTCATATGATGCATGCGATTGCATGCGATTAGACGCGATGTGGGATCAAGTTAACTGAGAAGCTGGGAGAGGGAAAACAGCCTTTTATTCATATTAAAGGGAAGCCGGGCCAACCTGCTTACCTCTGTTCGAACCTAGATATACTTCAAATCATGTAATCAGGTCCGCGTGGCTTTAATCGGCAATATTTCGCAATGATTGGTCTTGATGTTGTCCACAAGAATGAGCGAGACAGCGCATAAAACTGCAACCTACTGTTTCAGGATGTTTGCTTCATTGGATGTGATCCCGGCGCCCTCGAAAAGCGTATCGCTCCCGTGTCTATAATTAACAGCAGTCACTGGTGATTGGTCGTAATCAAGGTTACGATTATGGTCAACACGGTGCACAAGGCTGCAGCTCGCTGTTTTGGGACATGTAGTCGTTGCTTTGATAAACGATTGGATCAGGGGTTCGTTACACGTCTTCCTTCCCGGAATTTGCATCAAAAGATTTGCTGGATTCTGAAACGTACTCTCGGCAAATCAATCTCTACGAGAAAGTGCCTCATTAATCTACATCGTCCAACTTATTTATTTCCAGTGAGATTGTACTTAGTGCTCACCGGTTTTATGGAGCGCTCGAGCTGCATGGCACTTGAATCCGGAATGCTGTGCAACGAATGTCGCGGTCCGTCCAAAAAACTAGGGAGAAAATCAGCTTGCAGCTGATCCAATAACGCGGTACTTGAGGACGTAATCCCGGGCAAGTAGTTGTGAATGCGAGGGACTGAGCGCCAAAGCGCGCACAGACAGATCCGGATAAAGCTCTCGAGGGGGTAGGCGACGGTAGCGATGATACAACAACCTTGGGCCTTACGTATTCCATACTAGTAGAGACGGCTCGAGCTAGCGATCATGATGCGAGAGTATATTGACGGAAATCCTTGTACTTGCTAGACCAACGCTCTTGCGGAATTCTAGAGAATTATGCCTCTGCATTCTGTAAAGAGCGCAACTGGATAAGCTCCTTAACCTTCCTATTTCCTTCAGCCATATTAAGCACTTCAGTAACGTCCAGAGTTGCCGCGACAGTGCAACCCCCTGCGCTCTGAAGCCATACCTCTTTCTTTTGCTCTAGTAAGCGAGCAAGCCGTTTCTCCGTCCTCCCGCAACCACTCCACCCAAGGACCCGAGTGGTATGCATTGCCAAAGTTGCGTACAACTGGTAACTAAGCCAAAGATATTGCTGGTTCCGGTTCATCCAAAGAAGAGCGAGTAAGCCAGCGGGAAAGTAAAGGACAAAGGTGTACACTAGGACTATCGACAAAACCTCTCTCCAACGGTCTGCCAAAATCCGACCCCTGTGCTTTTCATCGCGCCGTGGATGGCCGTAGTGCCCGAAGAACTGTTGGATTACCGGAGCCGGTCCCTCGATGATCATAAAGCCGTGATGCTTATCCTCCAACTCAAAGATCTCAGGCTGGTCGACGTCGCCTCTCTCGCTCAATTGTTCAATCGACATCAAGCCTTCGCGCCGGACGCTCCATAAAATGGAGGCACATTTGAGCAACAGAGGTGTACAAAAGTAGGCGAACATCCACCAAGACCCAAATTCAATGTTAGAAATAAGGGCCACGGCGACCGCAAGTCCTTCACTGGCGATAACGAACAAGAACCCTCTGGCTGTTATATGTTCTTCTCCGACTCTTACAACACCATTTGGACTTGGTGTGTCACTATTAATTAGCTTGAGCCTGAGGTGGTGGACTTGCTGAAAAGCCCGAAGCGGGATGTTTTTGTTTGAACACAGCCGCAGCACAGCACTAGGGGGCACGTGCCTAGCACGTGACCTCGACGGAATATATAAGAGAGCTCTCCCTCGAGCTCTCTTTCTTCCCGCGTACACAAATGAACACAACGAATTGGACTAGTCTTATTATGGCTAGCCTGAATCCCGTGTTCGCCGCGTACCAACGGAATCCTTAGGAGTATATTCCAACAGTTTTGCTTGTGCTGGGATTCAGAGTCGACTGTATTAATCATGGTGCAATCTTGATCGCCTTTGATATCTCACAGTACTTCAATCCAGAGTATGTTGCGTGATTCCTTAGGTTGAGCGTAGTTATCTTCATGCGTTCTCCAGAAGTTGAATGTGCGAAGATCTCTATAGAAAGCGGTACCCAGCATATCGCCACGACGAGGCCCAAGGTAGAGGCCATGATCCCGTAAGTCATCAAGGGTTGCCAAAGCGGCTCGATGCAGCGGGCCTCCCATTCCCATTAAGAGAAACTGGTTGAGCAGAGTCTTGATATTGCAGTCGTTGTAGAACCTTTGAGGCCAAAGCAGCCGCTCAAGGAGTTCTTTCTCGGCAACTTCGGCTCCGAGATAGCCGATGACGGAACCCAGGGCTCCGGCCAACCCATCCATTAGATTGAGAATAGCAAGTAATTTGGTGTTGAGGGGTTGGAGGTAGAATACGGACGAGGAAATGAGACGTCTGAGCGGCGAGACAGAATATATGGACGTCAGTGCTACTTTATTTATGTATCGCTAGAGCATAGTGGCTGTGATCTCGCTGCGCCCTACCATCCCCTGAATAAAGTGCAGGTGCAGACTTTTTACAGCTGTGTAATGCCAGGGGGGATGCGCCACCCTCGCTCATGAAATTCTCTCAAGCGGGAGAGGGGTTGGTCCCACGTGACTTTTGCCGCTTTGTTCCTTCTTTGGGTTTAGCTCCATTACTTTATGTGTTTGCCTAAGGCATCAAGAGGCCTTGTCCTGTCCTTATCGTTATCGATAACGAACCACACCGCCTTCATCATCGGAGGTCTCTTACTGCCACGCAGGTCATCCCTGCCACACCACTTTTGTTATTGAAAGCCAATACGAATAAACAGCCAACGTGCCCCATCACTATGTCTTCTCACAAGGAGTACCTCGTGATGCAAGAGATGCGCTCCCTCTACGGTATGCGAGGTCTCGAGGTCTGCGCCAGCAGCCATCCTTCTAATCCCTTATACCTCTGCAAAAGCCCTTCTACCTATACCCCTCACAAGAACATTTTCGCGATCGGAGCCACCGATCTGGAACACAAGTTTGTGGCAATCTTCGAGGATGAACTTTATAATAATATTGTCTCGGCCATTCACACTATACTACCGGATTGCAATTGGGGACTCAACGTTCTACGGCTCGGTTTTGATATTAAGCGTCTCAAGAACCCGATAACTATTCACATTATTGTGGCCGATAAAGCCCTTTTCGAGGATGCTGCCTACAACATTATCTCGATGATCCTTAAAGTTATGATAGTAGTAGGCCTCGATTCGAGCGAGAAAGATTCGTAAAGTCCCTTATCTAGCTATTTATAGCACAGAATAGTCGCTAACTTGAGCTATAATGCAGGATCTACGTTAATGTCTGCCGCACATCCCGGTCTGATATCGACTTGTGCTTTGTCCTTAATAGAAACCCCGATGTCTACAACTCCCCTACCCGGCTACTATACTTATCAATCGGCCCCGTAGATATCAATTCCGTGGGTACCCTCTCTAGATACATCTAGTATTGCGATAAGGATGGCCGAACTATAGTTTATACACTTACTTATAAACATATTATTAACCTAGATAGTATTTTAGGCAATAAACCTTATATCGAGAATAGCGGACATCCTAAACAGCGAGTAATATGCCTAATAGCTAGCGACTATCAAACGATAATATAAGAAATTAATACTAAGATTAAGTTATTACGATGGGGAACTGTATCTAAGAACGCTATTAGGACTACTTTTGAGATTACTACTCTAGATCAAACTCTTAGGAACGCAACGCAATATGATATTGATCTTAGCTATGTTTATACTACTTTGGGTTTGGACAGATTACTCCCACAATTCGAGAGTTGTAGTAACTAGGCTATTATATTAATTATCAACCCTGCGATTTTAGCTGAAAACAAAGTATGTGATCTCTACTTAAATACTTTAAGGGTTTTAACAATAGCTAAAATAAGTAGTATGTTCGTACGAGTGGTTCTTTTATATCGTTCGACCACTCATCGATTGCTTAAGTCAATAAGGAATTTCAACACACTACTACACTACACTTTAATCCGAGTCCGCATTTTAAGCCTATTCGAGACAATAACCTAATTCCTAGCGAGCTTGTCTTTAAACTAAGAAGTCGGACCACAAACAAATGGGTTGGAGGCACATTTAATACTATTCAGAGTACGCAAAACACTAAGGGCAGAAGTAGCATATTAAGGGAACTGTGTCTCATTGCCTTAAATCCACAAGGGTTTATGTCTGCCAAAGGAGATTTAGGATCAATTATCGTCGATCGAGATTTCCGGCCCGTAGCTATTATTTGGGGTGGAGATACTCATTATTTCGCTACAGGCCCGAAAGATGTCACTTATGCGAGTCCACTCTCTAAAAGTTTAAGAGATATCGAGAATTGTTTGCGATAGGCTGAAGGAAGTGTTTTATTAGTTTGGTTTAGATGAATCCTTCTAGAGTTATTTGCGATAGACTTCAAAAGTTATTTGCGTTGGGCTTCGAGAGTTATTTGCGATGGGCTGAAGGAAGTGTTTCATTAGTTTAGATGAATCCTAAAATCGAAGTAGGGCTCTTTAAAATACAATGAATAACATTTAACCTGTGAAGTTTGTTTTCAAATCGAATCTATAATGAAAGTATAAAAAGGAATAATAGAAGAAAAGATTGTTAAAGAAATTTAACGGAGAATGAGCTTTGGCGAACCAAAGGATTTACTAGGGGTGCGACTTACTGATTTCTTTCGTCGTGTTCGATCGGGTCTGTATCAATCAAGACGACCCCAAAGAAAGAAATCATCAAGTGACGAAAATGAGGTCGATATACAGCAAAGCTAAAGGTGTTTTCATATCGTTAGGTGAGGCTGCAGAAGATAGTCGCCTGGTACCCAGCTTGGCTGAGACTCTCGTCGCTTGGGAAGACGACAGTCAGGGCCCAATTGAGCAAATCATAAATCCGAGACGAAAGAATGAGTTTTGCGCCTTACAAGCACTTTTAACACGCACGTACTGGACCCGAGTATGGGTGGTTCAAGAAGTGAACTCGGCAAAAGAGGCTCATATCCTTTGCGGCGAGGATCTCCTTCCTTGGGAAACATTGCTCCGAGCTCAGAATATCGTCAATTTGAATCAAAGTGCTCTGTGGAAGCTAGTCAAAGACGATCCTCGTCTGGCAAGTTTTACTTCCGACGTATGGTACGAGGGCCCGAGGGGCCTTCTGTCCCATATTGGAAATGAGGAACCCTCACTGTTCGAAGCGCTGAGGTGGCATTGCACGAAAGAATCGACACTACCAGAGGACAAGGTTTACGCAATATTGGGAATCACGACTGCAAAGGAGGATCCTGCCATGGTGATCGACTACAGTCGAGGGGTTGAGCAATTATACATTGATACTACCAAGTACATCATTCAATCCACTAGAAGATTGGATGTCATATGTGGAATGCAACGCCCTCATCATCTCAAGAGCGCCATGGAACTTCCAAGCTGGGTCGTGAACTGGGTGGACGCATATACGAGCTGTCTGCTAGATGGATCTACCGGGGAGGTGGAAGCAACTGGATCTCGGGAAGCATCTTTTGAGTTCTCAAAGGACGGAAGAATGGTGACAGTTGAAGGGATTCATCTTGGAACAATCTCCTCGGTTGCAGAGTTTCCAGTCTCGGAAAATGAAAATATCCCAGAAGAAAGAGAGCCGAGTTGTCTCGACAGATTTTGTCTTTCTTCCTTGATGCTTGGGAACCCTCAAGAGGCTACTATTCCCGACCTCCTAAGACTCTGCAAGAGTTTCACTTGCAGCCGCATCTTGAGAGATGTCGAAATCCTCGCCGAACTTAGTGACGCAGATGCCACAAGAATGATACTCGCAGTATTTGCATATCTAGCGATCCAGGAAAACACCATGATTGTTGGTCCACCCATGGCAGATCTTGCTCAAGAATTGACTGAAAGATACTCCGAGCAGGATCTAGACTCTTGGAGTGAAATCATCCTCAGCGATCTTGAGACTATTCTTCATTCTCGTGATTCTTTCATCTGCAGCGACGGTTTGCTCGGATCTGGCTTCGGTCAGATCGAAGCAGGATGCGAAGTCTTTGCCATCCTTGGATGTGCTGCTGCTGTCATTCTTCTACCTACGGGAATCAACATAGATGGAATTGAAAGCTTCAAGGTGATCGGTGATTCCTATCTCGATGGATACATGCTCGGCGAGGCACTTGTCAAGCTTGATCAGCAGAAACTTAAGTTGAAAAAGCTTGTTCTAGTGTAATACCATTTCCAAATTTCGTGTGTTGTATGATTTTGTATAAACAGATAATAATTGTGTTAATTGCTAAATGAACTAATGATTAATCCGATGGATTACAATTGTTGTAGGTTTCTGAAAACAAAACATTGATACCTTGAATTTAGGTTTTTGTTTCCTAAACATATTCCCAAAGTACCTAGGTATATAACAGGTACGAGTTCACTCGAATAAATAAGCGAAACACAAAAGCAAGCTTGTTTGGCTCGAATCCCTCCAAATCAACCTCAATATATTGTGCTCCTCAATCAAAGAAGGCTCCAGTGTTGCTGGCTGATACGAGGCGCTCGACTGCCAGCCTACGAGGCACATTCTGATGACAGGCTGTAGCGAAGAGAAGGCTTTGGTACTGCCGAAATCAGGCAAGCTTGAGCCTGACAATCTGCATGAGAGGGAGGCGCGGCCAGTTGAACAAATTACGGTTTGAACGTTCTACAGCGATAATTGAACTCAATAACTACTGGGCTGCCGGCAGTGCTCATCGACTCGTTGAATCCCGTCACAAGAACATATTAACAAAACACAGCTCCCCCCATTCTTCATATGCATATGCTCTTGATTGCCAATCCATCAATTGGAAGCTCTGCTATCTCCCTCACGCCACAGGAACTACTTCGTTGGCTCTGGTTTCCTGATAACGAGCACGAATCGGCAGCATCGTGGTTACCCCTCTCCAGTAGTCCTTAAAGCTTATATCACGCATATGCACAGTGTGCATACCACGCACGAGTTCATTCGAATAAATGTTTGTTTCAAACCACTGTGCATGACGCATCCGCCCGTAGTCCAAAGAGTTTGCCTCTGGTTCGTTCCTCCACCGGGCGAACCTGCGCAATGGCGCCTGGGGGAGCCCTGAAATAGCAATAGGGCGGAGCAATGGACGAATCGCATGCTCTCCTAGAGGGATTTAGAGCCTGGGCAGAACTTAAGAGAGCCGTGAATACCGTTCGGGGCCTTGTCATGAGAAACGAAAACGATTGCGTCGTTCCTACTTGATCCTCCCCTCTCCACTTCCTTTCGTGTCTTGCGTCGAGAGTCTTGGAAATTCTTCTTGTCTTTGATTCATTGACATGAAAAGAAGGTTATCGGAATCGTGATTGCCGCCGAGAGGCCTACAAGGATCACAGAACTTGGTCAAGCGAAATGGCGATCTTTAGCAGAAAGAAACAGACGACAGCTCCTCCACCATCACAATCGCAATCAACAACTCTTCTTACTCAACCAGCGAACCAATATGCCATCGCCAACCCGCCTAGTTGGACATATGTTCAACAGCAACCCAATACATCTCGTGGCAATGAACCTCCATCCTCGCAAGGCTGGCTAGTTGCACCTATTCCTCCTCAATATCAACCCGTCTTCGTTCAGCAAAGCTATTCCCCTCCTGTACCGCAGAGACCACAGCAAAGTGGCGTAGTCAGCAAATACAAGCTTGGCTCGGTCACGAATCTGCTAGCAGGAAACGGATCCGGATTAGCTGTCGGTCAATTCATTCATAGTGGGATCAGTCCACTCTACCAGCAAGGCACCCAATATGTCGATCAAGGAGCGGTACTCTGCGAACTTATTGCATCGAAATTCGACAATGTTATCACACTCATCGATGGAGGACGGTTCAGTGGAGATGAAAGGGAGCTTGTCGTCTATCCTCCGCCTCAGCCTATGCTACAACAGGAACAAGAAGCAGGATATGCGGAGCGGGGTGTTAGCAAGGGAAAGTCAAAGGGCATGGTCAACAACTCTGTGTCTTCTGCATTGACTAGTACCAACTACTTCGCAAAAGTCAACCTGTATGCCAATTCGAGGCTTCCTCCAAATCTTCCCCCACTCAAGTTGTAAGTTTCTCTGCGTGAACTCTTGCAACTTTTATTAACAATATCTAGATATGTAACGACGTATCCTCTGCTGTGTCTAGCAGTCCAATACTCCGAACGAGTCTACGCAAAGCCATCTGGCCAGGAGAAAGAAGAACATGTGGATTCTGATTGGAGACATGGTACAAAGGCGATGGTTATCAAGTCAGTTCCAATGGATGACATGAACACTATTGTCTTTGCTATTCGAGGGACGCAGACATTTATGGACTGGGCAGTAAACCTCAATTCAGTTCCGGCTTCACCAGAAGGGTTTCTCGTAGGCTAATCCCTCTTCACGTGATTACCCCGCTAACCTTGAACAGGACGACCCTGGCAACTTCTGCCATGCAGGTTTTCTCTCTGTTGCTAAGAAGATGATCAAACCGGTTGCGGCTCGTCTTCGACATCTTCTCGAGGAGGACCCTGGGCGATCGAAGTGTTCACTTCTGATTACTGGACACAGTGCAGGTGGAGCAGTCGCAGCTCTACTTTATTCGCACATGCTTGCCACCAATCCAGAAACCGAGTCTGAGCTGAACATTCTCACGGGATGCTTCAAACGAGTCCACTGCGTGACTTTTGGCGCACCTCCAACCGCTCTCCTGCCTCTCGCCAAACCACCCACTCCAGCTCTTCGAAAATCCATCTTTCTGTCCTTCGTAAATGAAGGCGACCCAGTCGCTAGAGCCGACAAGGCTTATGTTCGGTCGCTCCTAGATCTATATGCTACACCAGCTCCTGGGCAAACCTGCCTCGATGCCGTCACACCTCAAAAACTACAACCACTTGTCTCAGGTCTTGGAAAGTCAACGAGCTCGTTGAACATCAACAAGATAAAACATTCAAAAACTCCGAAGAACGTGCCTGCCCCAGGGTTTGCACCAGTATGGCCAGTGCCAGAAGCAGCATTAAGTAATGCAGGAAGAATTGTCCTCTTGAGAAGTGTTGAAAAGTACGAGACTCGACCAAACAAAAAGAAGCAGATTCAAGAAAGAATGAATGAAGGAGTCGTTGCTCAGATCGTTACAGACGAGCTTTTGAGAGGAGTCGTTTGGGGTGATCCTGTTTGTCATATGATGAGTTTGTACGCGAGGCGCATTGAAGTTTTGGCCACGAATGCAGTTATGGGAAGATCTTGAGTTTTGGTTTGGGGCGTTGGGTGAAGGTTGAGTAATGATCGAAGGCGCATATGTTATATACCCATCTTTAACTTGAATTATTTCTATGCGATTCTTGATGGCACATTTCCGAGGGAAAAAATTTCCGTTTCATGTGACTTCTGCACAGGCCCATCCAAAGTTAGGGATCAGGACTCGATGTCGCAGCGGGCTCCTGCGTCTCTTCCTGCGTCTCGTAGGCCGCCCATGGCCTAAAAGTCCTTCTCACTTCTGCAGCTTCGAGATGAAGTTCTCCAAAGGGCTGGCACGAAGGGCGCAGCAAGAACTTGATGGTGGTGATCTTCAAAGTCAGTCTCCCGTCGAGTCTGCATCGAAATTTGGGTCAAGCAACAAGTGTGCAAGTCTAGAGAGCTACCAACATGATCACAGTTCCAGATGAAAAAGATCAATAATTATTCCTTGTCTAAATTGATCTGCTACTTTTGCGATTCTCAAATCCACAAAAGAACGTGGTTATCTAGCTCCTCCTGCTGTTCATCTGGAGATAATTATCTCGCGCATCGGCGACGAAGATGCCCCGACACCAACTCCAAAATATCTCCAATGACATGATGCACCTGGCTCCTTTCTTGTGGGTATTATGGCATCATCGTCCTCATCTCCCGTTGCAATGTTCGCGGACAAAGGTGGAGATGCTACCTCGCGTATCAAAGAGGGCGAAGATGCCTCGACAACAACTCCAAAATATCTCCAACGACATGATGCACCTGACTTCCTTCTTGTGGGTATCTGCCAACAATTATGGCATTGTCGTTCTCATCTCCCATCGCAATGTTCGCGGACGAATTCGAATTTGTGGGGTTGAGGATGCCAAGCTCTACATCTGGTTCTGCTGCGCGATGGTTAGAATCTTACTGAACAATCGGGGAATTGAGTGATAAAGGATGAGGTTGAATTTATGGATTGGAAATTTTGGGTTTAGAATTGAATTAGAAACACGTACGCCTTGTTGTAGTTGTAGTTGTATATTGCTTGTAAGCTACCCATATTGCTCCAACGGCTGTGATCGAGGCTACCATGCCGAAGATTACTGTGAGAGTATCGCCGGTCGAGACTAACGATATTGAGATGATATCTTCTCAGAATAATATGGGAGACTTACTCATCGTGTTCAGATTGCGTTTACACTAGATCTCTGCTAAGTCTTTGATAAAAATACGAATATGAGTATTGGTCTTCTGAGGTGGTTAGGAAACTATTTCATAGGTACCGTTGTAGGCTTCTTGTGGACCTAAGAGCCACGGAGTGGTGGGTGCAGGAAAGGCTCGCGATTGGTCGTGGTGGGCGACTAGCACGAATTGACACAAGATCCACATCATATTCCTAAAGATTCTCATTGATATATGTCAAGCCACCGACGCCCGTGCTGCATCCTTTATTCCCTATCGCAGCAACGTGAAGCGGCGAAGAGGCTGAGGCAAGCACGGTGAGGCACGATGGCAACGAGGCTGAAGAAAAACAGCGAGCTGACGTACAGGATTGGCGGCATCCTGCAAAGATTGCTACATCTCATTCGTGCGTTGACAAGGAGAGCCTGTGAGGAGAGCGTGACCAGGGTGTGTACTCGGCGCTGCTTTTGGACGGAAAATAATGGAGAACCAGTCAGAAGGGGAAGCTGATTTTGAAGGAGCACGTACACGTAGATGCATGGCCGCCCTACGGCATCCTCGACTTAGATGCGAAGCTAAGAGGCGCATTTTTGAAACGTGATTGGCCAAACAAGGCGAAATCTTCTATTTGTTTGCGCTCGACACCAACCTTAATCAGGTACCAGGCGCAGAAAATGGTCAAATATCTGCTTGGGCTTTCTTACTCTTTTGCTCTATTGAGACACATGCGATTACGCAGAGTCAATCAGTGTCTGCTCAGACCAGTTACGGCCAAGAAGGGGGCACAGGTAGGGCCACCAGAGACTTTTTCGCGCAAATTAAGTTTGGCAATATACAGCACTTGCTGGACGTTGGATTTGAGATTCGCGAAAGCAGCAGAATCCAAGCAATTGACACTCCAACTTTAGACCAAAAGCATGGAATCGAGAAGTCGATTCAGAAGTAGCATCTCGATTTCAGAATAGCGAATATTCGTCAAGGACAGTAGTAACACCAACCTACCCCCATCAATTCTTCTCAGCACCATACAGGTGATCCCTCACAATATCATCAGAACTCTCATCCCTAACCCTAACCTGCTTCCCCTCCTCCACAATCTGTGTCCCATCTTCCGCAGTAATCGTATCACCACTCTGCTCCTCCCACCCGAGCCCCATCTCCTTGATCAGCCTCTGGTTCTTCGTTGGCCAGACCGTACAGATGGCAAAATACACGATGAAGGAGATCGTGAAGGAGAGCAGCCAGCCGAGACGTCCGAGATCCGTAGCGCCGGTGGAGACGTGCGCGCCGAGCGTGCCGACGAAGCCCGGGAATGGGGGCACGATGCCGCAGATGTAGGCGATGAGCGCTTGGATGTTCCAGCCATGGTGGTAGTAGTAGTGTTTGTTGGTGCGGGAGCCGTTGTAGAGGTGTCCGATGAAGACGTTGCCTTTGGTGAGGAGATAATCTAAAATTGTAAGTATGGGTTAAAGATAAGTTTTTGGAGGAAGTCTTACAATCACAAATCATGACGGCAACAACACTAGCCATAAATAGACCGTAGCCTGAGAGGAAGGTCGTGAAGACGGATGCGGAAGCAAGGATCTTCCAGGGACAAATGGCAAAGCCGAGGAATTCGACAATGAACTGTCCACGTGGAATAGTGATGTATCGTGGGAAGAGCATACTGCTGTCTGATCCGAAAGGAATCATGTTCGCTGCAATGTTCGTTCCAAGGATAGATACCATCCAGGTGAAAGCAGACAAGAAGACAGCAAATCGGACACTTCCGGTCCAATATCTGTCCAAAATCGCACCCAGAAGATCCCATGGATTCCATAGATCGAGATCCCAGCTATTGTTGATCGCAGCGGTAGCGAGAATACCAAGAGATGCCGACAACGTGACTGCGATGGGATTGCTAATTAGTTGCGACCATTGAGCTCCAGACTTAGTTTTGCTCCATCTGGCAATGTCGGGTTGATTGGTTATCAAAGTCGCTGTGTTGCCCATACCACTGTTGATGGCATACATAATAAACCAACCCTTGCCTCCGGAAATCTTAGACTCGTAAAGCGTCCCAATATGGCCCTTCGTGTTGACCATGCAAAAGATGAATAACCCCCAAACGGCTGGAAGAATCACGATTGATTTGAACCAGAAGAAGCCTCGGAGCTGATAGGGTCTAAAGGCACAGAATGGAAAGTGGACAAGCCAGAAAAGGAAGAATGCCAACATCCCAGCTGTGGTGATACCAACTGATTCTGGGATGTGGTTTGGAATATCTGTGTAGTTGTGGCCGAAAATGCAGCGTAGAATATTGGCCATGAAGCTCGCTCCGGAGTATACTGAAGGGAATCAGGTTGAAGGTCGATAATATGGAGCTGAGACTCACACTGTACCCCATACCAAATAATTGCAAGAGCTGCACGTGCCCCAACGAAATAGTAGGAACCCCACATGCCAAACACGCTTCGAGCGACGACGGCTATAATATCAAATGTCAGGACAACTATACTTCTATCGCAACTTCACAAGAAAGGCGGTTTTGCAAAGTCTTAGGACGTTGGAAAATGTTACATAAGGTCCAGTGATAGACACCAGAAAGCGAGAAAATCGGTGACTTACGGTAGCCGATGTGATAGACACTAGCGCATCTTGAGTTGAAGAACATGGCAATGGAAGAGATCATTTGACTGGCAAAGATTCTGATGGCATGTTAGCTATCTGTGCCGAATTCAACATTTGAATAAAGCTAGGAAAGAAAACCCACACTAGAATGGATTGCCACCAGTTCAGGCCAATTCCCACCATAGTACTGCCCAATGTCCAATTGCCAAAGGAGAGTCCCGTGTAGAACGTCACATAATTCCACCATCGCCCTATTATCGATCAGCTTTGCCTTTTAAATAGAATGGATCCAACTTGCAGGTCCGCTTCTCTGGCGGAGTTGGGTCCAAATCTTCGTTACTCCACGTCTGGCCATGCTTCGCGTCAGGGTCGCGATGCTGATCAAGAGCCGTGTCCCGAGTCTCTATGAAATACTTAAAGCCTTCGCGACTCCGAAATGCCCCCTTAAACGTCGAGGTCTTTTCGCCGACGGTCGTTTTCCATTCGGTGACACCCATGATTGTGGAAGCTACCTCGTAGCGGCAAGCGATCTCTTGAATTTTTGTTCGGCGGGGTAAGAAGCTCACTGAGATCCCACGATGCGCACCCCAGAAAACAATCGAGGACTCCAACTAGGAGTTATATAGGACGACGAAATCCAGAACACGGGAAGAACAATGTCTGGATGGCTGTCTGACAGATGTAGAAAAGGCAGCTCATGTGCGATCCTATCGACCCATGGGTCAAGAGCTTACGATTAGAGCCGGTGGTGTATCCACTCAGATATCACGTTGGAGATAACGGCGCCATCGCGGTTGCGAAACCTTCGGCCTTTCCGTCCATCTCTAGGCATAATAAGGTTAGTCGGCAGAGCCATTGGTGGAGTCGCCACAGCGGACAGCCAGTGAAGTCGGTGTAAAATGTCCAACTCGTGCGAACAGCTTCCTAAATGAGATGCTGGGAGGGTAGAACGACCAGGGCCCCTCCCTTTGCCGATCATGAAAGATACCAAGGATCTTATCGCGACGTACAACGACGACGCGACCCTTCAAAGGTGGGGAGCACATGTTCGATGCATGTTCGATGTCCCTTCTCTCGAGTCTGGGCGGTGTGAAGTAGGATGAAGAGAAGAAAGAGGCTGAGAAAGTTGTTCAGAGGTTGTGATGCTGACCTAAGAGGGGTGCAGAATGGGGGTGAGACCTCGCTAGTCCGGATAAGGGTCGCCGTTCTCCACGTCCCATTCTTCAACGTTCAAATTGCAGACATCTTCCAAGTTGAAAGAGAGTTTCATGAAAAGTTTCAATCACTTACCGAAAGTCTGAGGCTTGAAAGCACATTTCCCAAGATGGCTTCTATTGCATCTCAGGACGTCGCGGATACTCCTCGACAGATCCACCCCACTTTAGACGAACTCAAAGCAAGTGCTTATGACAGTCCAAACATTGAAGCAGCTCTCGAAGCCCTTCATCAGGATGGCTTCGTCGTTCTCAAGTCGGTCGTCGATGTCGATCATGTCAAAAATTTGAATTCTTTCATGGCGAAAGATGCAGAACATATGATCAAGATCAAGCCTTTCAACCAGGGCGTCAATTGTGAGGCGACTCTTCTTACGGCACTGTGGCTGCAGACTGACATTTCAAGCGAACATTCTTCAAGCTCCTCCCTTGAAGCAACCCGAACTTCTCTACAATGATGTCTTTTTCAACCCGTTTGTCATTCAACTTATGAATGCGTAAGCCAAGCATCTGCATGCCCTTCAGAAGTCCTTCGTCTTTCTGATACGGATCAGATATCTCGGTTCCAAGCCAATATGGAATTTCCTTACTGGTAATAATGCGCTTCCCAAGACAAATGGACTCAGACAGCCGGTCCACAAAGATATCACTTTCTTCCATCCTCAGGTGCGGAAACATAACTTTATTTAGGTGCTTCCACTAATTCCATACAGTGCCCCTTCTTTGTAATTGCAAACGTTCCACTTTGTTCTTTCAATCCAAGTACCGGCTCGACCGAGTTTTGGCTGGGCTCGCATGCTCATACAGCCGGGAGACAACAAAAGATCACTACCCCGGAATCGAAGCTTGCTAATGCGAGACTTGTGGTTGGAGACCCGATGTGTGATGTCCTCCCAGACGTGATCGAGGAAAGGCGCAAGATTCGACCTCCGATTCAACCCTCGTGTGAGCCTGGCGATATCATGTTGAGAGACCTCCGCACATGGTATGTGACATTGCATAATCTCTTAGCTCGCCGCCCTGATATGCCGGAACTGGATCCACTCCTCGAGTTCCCTAGCAGTCTTAGAAATATGAAAATATAATACTGACATCGAGATCGTGATAATGCAGGCATGCGGGAATGCCCAACGAATCCGAGAACTACAGAATCATGCTAGCTTTGGGTTATCAAGTAAGCTCAGACCCGCCATCGGATCAAATCCGTACTGACCCGAGACGTATAGGCACAGTGGTATCCGAATCATACTCTGCGCGTCAAGCTGCCTCTTTCTCAAGGCAACTTCTTCATGAAACACGGAGGACAGCCTGTTGAAGTCAGAGCTGATCTCTTACCTGATGATGTGGACTTCGTGAAGCTGAATGATGACTTCACTTTCCGACGATCAGAAGGATCAAAACTTTGATCAAGCAGCTGCGAGATCTTGTGGCTAAGGTCGAGGCCTCGGACATAGGATTTTCCTTCAGCAAAGCCACAAGACGGGAACATGAATCTCACGTGGGCCTTGCTACCTGCGAGCTTGGTCTTTTGTTGCACATCGCATCCCTGACCGTTGTTGAAAAGTCTTGGTAAATGAGGGCGTAGGCTAAAAACCTCCGCTGCCGTGCTGCGGTTTGTTCTTGGTAACCACACTTTCGGAATATATTCTTTGGCTTAGAAGAGCGTGAGCAACATGCGCCTGCGCTTGCTTGCGTTTGACGTTGGACTGTGCCACATCGTTCTCCACCACCACCGAGCACCCGCTTCGACGGGAAACCACTGAAAGGACTGGTGGTGGGGCAGTTATCCACGTCAGAGCCCTTCGCCCGATTACTGTAGAACCTTTCGAATCAAGAGCAGAAGTTTCTGTCTCACAGTGCAGTGCCCTACCGTGCCAGTGCCCTTCTTCTTTTCGCGGTGGTCATACAGTTGGCTTGGTGGCTGACACTTTATGCATGTCTGTATACCGTTATTAGGGTGTAATATTGAATTTGCTGTCACCATAGAGCAAACCCCCCACGTCAGCCACATTGCGGGGTGCAAATCTCTCGGCTCGAGCCACAACCCCACACCCACACCCCGACGCCAATCTTTCATCCCAAGCAAACACCAAACATGCCCAGCCCGGCCCTTCTTTGTTCCATATGAACATTTCATCTCCAGACACCTTGATCTTTTCCCATCAACTCTTTCTTCCGCCAATCGCATCTGGTACGCGGTGGCGGATGATGGCGTGCTCGTGTTTAGGCAAAACCCGATTTGATGCGGAAATGAAGATTGTCACTCCACCCCGCATTTCACGCAGCGTACCTGAAGACTGGCCGGGCCCATCGTGGGCAATACCGAGAATGCTGTGGGGAAGGCATATAGGCTCAAAGAGAATTTAAGCTTCATGCCCGCTGTCTCGGGTTGCTGCTCCGAGATTCCTGTTCTCTAATGTATCTGCTACGGAGGAAAGTTTTACCTCGGAATATGTAAGGAAATGTGTTCTCCTTGTGAGAACAATTTCTTTTGGGATGCTTCACTTCTCTGGACATACTCAGCATGCGTTTGTTATTCTTCCTTGGTAGTTTCCTCGCCTCAGCTGTATCTGGTTATACTTGTAAGTATCTGTATGGTAGGCAATTGAGTCAAGCTAAATTGGATAGGGAAAAATGTAAAAATAGGAGGAGGTGGTGGTTTTACACCTGGAATAGTGTTCAATCCCACCGAAAAAGGGCTAGCATATGCGAGAACAGATATAGGAGGACTATACCGACTCAATGCGGACGATTCATGGACTCCTCTCCAAGATCATGCCAATGACACAACTTGGTATTGTTTACCTCTTCAATTGAGACACGACATCTAATTCTTCCTAGGCATGATTGGGGAGTGGATGCCCTTGCATCTGATCCAGTTGATCCTCGAAGAGTCTACATCACAGTTGGAATGTACACGAACAGCTGGGACTCAAACAATGCCTCCGTTCTGCGCAGTGAAGACTATGGAAAGACATGGGCTCGAACCCCACTTCCATTCAAAGCTGGTGGGAACATGCCCGGTCGTGGAATGGGCGAACGACTTGCTATAGACCCGAATAACAATAAAGTGATCTACTTTGGCGCTCGAAGCGGAAACGGTCTTTGGAGAAGTGTTGATCAAGGATTGTCTTTCCAAAAGGTTACGAGCTTCACTCAGGTCGGCACATATATTTCGGATTCTACCGATACCTCTGGATTGAACAATGATATCGATGGCCTTGCAGCTGTCACGTTCGATCCTACTTCGCCGTTGAAGAATGGTTCCACCTCTAGGATTTACGTTGGTACAGCGGATCGAAATTCTTCAACCTGGGTCTCGAATGATGCTGGCGAGACATGGACAGCGATGGTTGGTCAACCTACGGGAGTCTTTCCTCACAAGATGAAATTCTCCCCGGCCGAAAAGGCATTGTATATCTCATACAATAGTGAGTCTGGTCCTTACAGTGCTGGTACTGGATACGTCTATCGAGTTTCATCGAATGGAACGTTCACCAATATTACTCCCGCTTGGGCTGCGAAGAATAGCGTTTCGATTGGGTACGGAGGATTAGCGCTAGATACTCAGAAGCCAGGAACGTTGATGGTCGCCGCCATGAACCTTTGGTACCCTGATGTTCAGATTTTCAGGAGTACTGACTCAGTGAGTTGCTCCTTTTCTGTTCACTTGATGATACTAAATTCAACAGGGAGCTTCTTGGACCACGATCTGGGATTATGTAAACGGAAATCAGGCAAAATACTACACCTACGACGTAAAGCCGCTCCCAATATCCTTTATTTCTGCTAACAATCTATAGACAGCCAAAGCACCCTGGATCAACAACCAACGCCAACCAACCGACACCAAGATCCTCGGCTGGATGGTCGAAGCCCTCGAAATCAACCCCTTCGACAGCAACCATTTCCTCTATGGAACAGGCGTCACAATCTACGGCTCCCACAACCTCTCTTCCTGGCCAAATGCCCACATCTCCTCCCTCGCAGACGGCATCGAAGAAGAAAGCGTCGAAAGCCTCATCTCGCCCCCCGGAATCGGCATCCCGCTCATCAGCGCCGTCGGAGACGATGGCGGCTTTGTACACTACGATCTTAACAAAGCTCCGGAAAATAGCTTCGATAATCCATTCTGGAGCACAACTACCGCTATCGACTATGCAGGTCTAAGTCCCAAGAATATTCTCAGAATAGGAAACTCTCAACTCGCAACCTCGACTAATGCAGGTCAGAACTGGACTCTCGTCACCAGCGTCCCATCAACGGCTTCAGGAGGCGCAATTGCCTACGCAGCCGACGCATCAGCCATCGTATGGGCATCATCCGCGGGCTCATTACGAGTTTCTTCAAACACCAGCACGACCATCTCAACCCTGCCAAGTACCGCGGCTGTGGTAGCAGATAAAGTCAACTCCTCTTATTTCTACGCTGGTGATACGACCGGAATCCTCGTTTCCAAAGACGGAGGCAAGACTTTCGCCCGCACAGCAAACATCACGTCTTACGCCGGCGTCAAAATGGCCGCTCATCCCGCTGTAGCGGGGGATGTCTGGCTGTCTACCGATCTGGGAATTTACCATTCTAGTGATTTTGGTACGAGTTTTGCGCAAAGTCCGAATGTGCAGAGTGGGAATTCGATAGCGGTGGGAAAAGGAGCGGGTAATGCAACGAATGTGTATTCATTCAATACAGTCGGAGGAATGGCGGCGTTGAGGGTGACGGTTGATGAGGGAGTGACTTGGAATGTGATTAGTGATGCCGGATACGGGTTTGGGAGTGCGGGGGCGAATTGTTTGGCGGCGAGTTGGGAGACGGAGGGGTTGGTGTTTGTGGGGACGAATGGGAGGGGGGTGTTTTATGGGGTGCCGTGAGTGGTGGGTGCGGATAGTTCTGTATATAGGTTTTGGGTAGGAGGAGGGGTTTTATATACTTTGGTCTGTAGAGGGGTTATGGTAAATTTGTGCCATTCACTTGCTCCTGTGGCCGTGTTCGAGTTTATGAGTAAAGCGCGTCTTCATGAAAGCTTTTACATAAAAGAGGGCATCAATGTCCAGAAAGCTCCGAGGCTCGCGTGGCACCTCTCCTATATCACATGGTTTCATGTAATCTGTCTCCCCTTTTCTTACTGGAAAAGATCGCCTTGTGTACCGCAGACCATCCAAGTCGGCGATCTCTTGAACTTTGTTGCACAAGATATTTTCAGACACCACAAACATTTGATCATAAGTTTCTCCTTAGTCTAATATTCTAAATAGCGATCTACAAGAAGTACCGACTGACAGAACATGTTGAATGTCACAAGCGCCCCTTTGACTAGGACAATAAACCAAACAGCTCCCTCACCACATAAAGTCCGCATCGGATCTATCCATGCAAGAATATCATCCAGCAGATCCCTAATTCCTTCTAACCTCAACGAGCCCCCGACAGCCCATCCAACCCCCCATTCCCCACAATCGGCAACCCGCCCGTCCCCCCAGTAAGCCCACCCGCAGCACCCGTCAACCCACTCGTCACGCTCGAAAGCGGATTAGAGCCACCAGTAAGTTCACCCGTCAAAGATCCAACCAGACCCGTCACCGTCGAAGTGATAGGATTACTGCTTGGGGCTAAGCCGCCCGTTATACCACCAAGTGCACCGCTGAGTCCAGAAAGACTTGAACTTTGTCTCTTCTCTTCTGGCTCCGCGTCGCGGACTGCGATTAAACGAGCATCCTCGAACTCATCGTCGTCGTCATTATCGTCATCGCCATCATCATCACGAGGAAGCACAGATCCAAGGCCGGCCAACTCTGCCACTTGACCAGCGGTACCGAGCAAGCCTGGAGCAGCATTCGTTACACCTGACAATACAGCCGTAGCTTCAGGAACATCGGTAGCTCCGAGGACAAGACCTGGTATATCCGTACCGCCAAGATCTAAACCGCCGCCCGTCGAAGAGCTAGTTGTTTGGCGCTTGACGACTTCATCGTCGGGGTCACGTTTCTCTTTCGCAAGAGCGCCGATGGGAAGGCTGCCTAGGAGACCTGATGCTATGCTGCTGAGGCCGCCGATATTTCCGAGGCCGGAAGTGAGGCCGCCGGTTAGTGGGAGGGAGGTTCCTGCGTCTGGTGTCGAGGAGGGACTTGCTGCGCTGGTGCAAGTGACGGAGGAGTAGGTCGCGCAGATGGAGGTGAAGTTGACGCCGCCGGTGACTTGAGTGAGACCGCTGAGGGTGAAGGCTTGGCAGAGGCAGGCGAGGGTTTGGATCTGGTTGGCGGTGAGAGGAGTGGGTGAAGTGATGGATGCAGAGGAGGTCGGAGTCGGGCTGTCTCGGGGCTGTGGGTGTGTTAGTCTTTGCCATATAAGAGATGGAGTGAGAACGTACATCGAGAGGAAGACCCAAGGTCAGAGGAAGGGTAGCGATCAAGAAAATTGAAGTAAGATGCATGGTTGCAGTAGTGAAACTTGAAATCTTTGAATGAAGAATATCAGAGTGACCTGAAGAGGACTTGATGTTAGATAAAGTATTTCAGTGTGAACACTGATGCTTTATATAAGATCATCTTGTGTTCAGTGTCCCCATTATACATGAAGATCTACGGTACCGAGGTACAAGATCTCTTCCATGCAGAGATCTCAGCATCTCGAAAAACTCAAATACCAGAGGTGAAATGCTTTGCCTCCGCCTTGATTTGACATCAATAGAGGCATCCACATTGGTTGAGTCGCTCTCTCTTCATTCACTTTTTCCATCCACATAAACACTAAGACCAGATTTGCAACCGCAAACTTTTGAAGAATAGTGATAGGATTCAATTCTGGCGAGTTTTTGACTTTTTCATTGTGATAGACAGTAATTCATGACGAATCTGGAAGCCAGCTGAGCTATCTAACTGTTTCAGTATTCTGTATAAAGCTAGCAAAGCCCCACAATGTCGTACATAAAAACTAGAATGCAGGTACCACAATGAACACGGTATGACATGTGTCCAAGAACCGAGATCTAGGTACTCGGCTGATCCGGAAGATGAAGATTTCTCAGATCAGTTTTGATTTTGAAAGAAGCACTCGCCGAAAGCACTCTAGGATAGTGAATGACGAAAAATATCAACTACAAATTCTCCTTGGGAGTAACGTCCACCTCTTTACCTACTTCCGAAACACAAAACACAAGATCGCAACTTGCGCAGGAATACACTACCTTCAGCCTTTGCTTATCATTTGCAAATATGGCGAACGCAACAGCAAAATACAAGTCCTTGAGTGAGTTAGACGTCGAAGAGCCATTTCTTCCGCACCTTCCAAAGGCTCGTAGCCGTCAAGGACTTTCGTAAGGGATGGTCGTCGGCATCACGATTATCTTGACAACAACGGTCATCTGCTCATTGGAAGCTCTTTACTTCGCACTCCGGCCACACGTTGTCTGTACTGGCGAGTGGCACAAGGGTTTCTCGACAGAGTGGGGTACGAAACCTTTTCCCTCGCTGGTAGGCAACGACTGACTTCGTCCCAGATTTGTTGACAGGAACAATTGAAACCGAAATTGTCACATATACAAACGCTTTCCGGTACAATCAAACGGACCAGACCTATTATCGCGAGTTTGACCCCGCAACCCCTCAATATGTGGGCACACCATCACCAGAGATCGACTAGGCATGGGACGATTTGCTATACGGTGAGAGGAGATTTTCAGATAACGTCGATGGTAGCTTAACTGGATTACAGGACGGTATCTGGTCATTACGGAGGAAAAGGCTCAGCACTTGGAGAATCCAGTCCCGTACAAAGGATATTACATGGCAGAGTATGTGATCACCGATTTCAGATCAGGCCAACTATTTACTGAACACGATCCAGACCAGAAGTCATGCACTCATTGCATTGTCTCAATTCGATCCGCAAGGCCATGAATCATGAATATTACATAGAGCATGATAAGCACAAGCTCGCACCAGGATTACAGCAGATCCACGTTGGTTAGTTTTATATCACCTACTGCTTCTAGAAAGTCGAATCTGACAATCGTTTAGATCACTGTTTGGAGCAACTTCGACAGAGCATCCAGTGTGCTGGTGATCTGAGTCCAGTCCCATTGCGACCCTACGGCGAGGCACCGCACGTTAACTTGGTTGGTACTACTCAAGTCTACACTTGCAGGAACTGGAATGCCTTCCGTCAATTCTACACTGAGCGTGGTGACACTTTTGGGCATGTGAACAGTGGTGGTACATAACATAGAACAGTGGTGGTAATCAAGATGAGCGAAACAATAGCAAAAAGCACGTTGGTTTTCATAGACGAATACAATCAAAAGAATATACATTGAGTGGAGTACAGTCTTGTGGTATCACTTGTATTTTGAGAAGGCCAATGAGGCATTGGTACCTCCAAAGCCAAAACTATTCGATAGCGCTACGTTGACGGTCTTCTCTTGAGCTGCCAGCGGGACGTAGTTGCATCTGAATTGTTCGCCCTTATGGTGAAGGTTCAGGGTTGGCGGAAGGATGTTCTATGCCAAGGGTCAGCAATGGTCTTCCAGGAGATTGAATTCCTACTTCTTTCACAGCCAGTATCGAAAATATTGCCTCAACAGCGCCGGCAGCTCCAAGTAGATGACCGATAGCGCCTTTCGTGCTGGAGACTGCTATCTGGCCCGGTGTATCAACGCCCTCACTTCCAAGCATCAATGTTGTGATGGCCGCATTCTCAGCGACATCTCCAAGTTGTGTACTCGTAGCATGGGCATTGATGTAATCGACATCTTTCGGCAGTATGCCAGAGTTTTTTAACGCTCGCTTCATGGCTAGCAGAGCTCCCTTCCCGTCATCTCTTGGAGCAGTAATATGGTAAGCATCGCCACTGCACCCATAGCCTCTGACTTCGGCATAAATGCGAGCGCCGCGTGCCTTTGCATGTTCCAGCTCTTCTAAGACGACCACTCCTGAGCCCTCGGCAATCACAAAGCCGCCTCTATCGTTGTCGAATGGCCGAGAGGATGCAGTGGGATCGTGATTAAAGGTGGTAACAAGCGAACGAGACCTTGAAAAACCTGCAAGTGCAAGCGGATGGATACAAGATTCCGAGCCACCTGCAACCATCACATCTGCGTCTCCAAAAGCAATGAATCTCGAGGCGTCGCCGATAGCATGGGCACCAGTCGTACAAGCAGTCGTTACAGCATGATTTGGACCTTGGAATCCATACTTCATGGATATGTGACCCGCGCCAAGGTTTATGAGTAGTTGTGGAACGAACAGAGGAGAGACTTTCTTGTAGCCCTACAATCGAGTCTCAGTATAACTCTGCTTCCAGTATGCTCGGCAGGTATCTCACAGTCTTATCATAGGCCACGCTGGTTTTGTAAAGCTCCTCAAGATTTCCGATTCCACTGCCTAAGCACACGCCGGTGCTTTCCTGTTCCGCTTGTGTGTTTGGTCTCCACCCAGCATCATCCAGGGCCATGTCGGTGGCAGCGATTGCGTACTGTGTGAATTTTGCCATTCGACGTTCATCTCCCTTGTCTAGCCAGTCCGAGGCCTGCCATCTCCCCTCGTCTTTACTCCCCTCTGGAACAATTCCGGCAACTGTGCTGGGAAGCTCCCGCCATTGTGGTGCCGGCGTGTACTGAGCAATACTGACAATGCCACTCTCACCCGCGAGAAGACGGCTCCAAGTTCGTCGAATACCAACGCCCAGGGGTGTGATAGCTCCAAGGCCGGTTACTACCACTCGTCGCATGATTGTGCAGCCATCATATCAGTCGTGGGGGTCCAGATGCTTTGTTTGAGCTGAGGTTTGTCTGCTCGCAGGGAATTATCTCTCGGAAGTTACCCCATAATTAGTCCAAATAAGGCTAGCCCTAGCTCTTTCGGAGGCAAGTAATGCCGTCCCGCTCGATATCTGAGACACGCAACGACACAACTCTCTGCTTCACAACTATCAATGCATATTGATCCGGACAAATTTGGCATTATGCCTCAGACGTTATGCCCATCAAGTACTTGAAGAAGTCTTGTCGCCCGTTATCTTTTGTCTCGAAATGAACGCCACTCGAGAAGTTAACGTGGGCCATTTTGGCTAGAAGGCCTTGGTCCTCACTCGAGCTCAGAGGTAAATCACTTCTGGTTTCGGACAAACATCTAGACTACATGTTAGACAGCAAGTGCGATCGCCACAAATTTGCTCGGCTTGGGAGAAGTCTATCATTTAAGCAAAGCCAAGAAAGAAATGCCCGTAGCTTGTTTCGTTTGTCCCAGCTTGAGCGCTGCCAATCGTCGGTGCATAAAAGTTTGTTTCTTTACCGTGCCGCAGATTCGTTTCACACAATTTGCATAGACAAATGCTGTAGCAGCGTCATCTTTCGGTTTACTTTCTTGGCTCTGCACAATGTAACACCCAATCGCATGCCGAACAGACCTTCTTACTCTCGGCAATGGCACTACCCTCCCAGCAGTCCGGGCCTTTGTAGATCTGCTGCATGGAAGCCGTCGCTTGATCTGACAGGGACTTGCATGCGGCGACAATTTAGGGTTGCCAAAATATCAAGGGGAGCGTCCGTGATTTACCCACTCCATGGCTGGAGGTCAGAATCAGGCGAATCTCAGCAAAGTATCTTATCTGAATTAACCCCTCCCCCACAGCCATCTTGCTTCACGTAAGTCAGAGATCTTGCCGTGTGGTACGCCTCCTTTTTTTAGTGGACTGTGCAATGCTGGACAGCACTCAATCAGTTTCTTGTCTTATATGTTGTCTATGCCTTACGAAGATGGCTCTTCAGACCGTTGACCGTTCTCCGTGTCGCCAGGCCATCCACCATCATGGCCTTACAATTTGATGGGAAGTCGTCAGGAACGACCAACCCAAGGACACGTCAATACTCAGAGTTGGATGATGATAAGGACTGGAATCCGAAGATGGACGATGTTGAGGTCAGCAGCCGGGAGCTGAATATTGGTACTGCTGTCTCCAGATACGAGAACAGGCAATCGGATCCAGTCACTGATCTGAAGGAACGTCTGTCAACATGGGGTATGTTTGGCAGAAAACTGAATAGGGATACCTGCTAATCCTTTAGATCCCAACTACCCGGAGGACAAGAGAGAGTCGATTATCCTCGACACTTCATCGTTCGACGATGAAGTTGCATTCAAGGAGGTGGAGGACTCTCCGTATCCCGAGGTCCGCGCTGCTATCCACAACTACGGTAAGCTTCAGTCGAATCTCTGCTCATAGACACGGGGCGCCCTAAACTCCAGGGTATTCTCGTACTTGGACGTATGTCGCTAATTGGGTCATTAGACGAAGATGTGCCTGCCAACACAATCCGAGCGTGGGTGATTGGAATGACTCTGGTCGTCGTTGGAGCTTCTATGAACACACTATTTTCATTACGTGCTCCCTCTATCGGTTTGGGAGCGTTGGTGGCACAGATTATTGCTTGGCCACTTGGTCATGGATGGGCCAAGGTCATGCCGACACGCCAATTCAGCACCTTTGGGCTCAAATGGTCTTTCAACCCAGGGCCATTCAACATCAAGGAGCACTCGATTATCGTTGTCATGGCTAGCGTCAGTTTCTCTGCTGCATATGCTACCGACATTCTCCTTGCTCAGATCGCCTTTTACAAGCAAGACTTCGGCATATTGTTCCAGCTTCTGCTGGTCATTTCAACTCAATCCATTGGATACGGTATTGCAGGAATGATGCGCAAATTCTTGGTGTACGCCTCCTAGCTCTTACTTCCCAATCTGCTTGCTAACGATGAATAGCTACCCTGCCGCTATGATTTGGCCTGGTAATTTGGTCAGCGTCACGCTCATGAACGCTATGTATGAGAAAACTGCCGTAAAGCCGGATCCCACCATCCTCGGTGGCACTATTCCGCGATATCGATGGTTTGGTTACGTCTGCGCCGGCGCTTTTGTTTACTACTTCATTCCTGGATTCTTGATGCAATTCTTGAGTGTGTTTGCCTTCGCTACCTGGATTGCACCAAACAACGTCGTCGTCAATCAATTGTTTGGAGGCACCACCGGACTTTCTCTGCTTCCTATCACGTTCGACTGGACTCAGATCTCCGGTTTCGTTGGATCTCCATTGATTCCTCCGTGGTTCGCTATCGCCAACACAATGATCGGCGTCGTCGCTTTCTACATGATTGGTGCCTCGGCGTTACACTACAGTGGAACATGGAGTGCCAAGTTCCTGCCAATGAGTGATAGCATAACGTATGACAATACGGGTGCCTCTTACAACACCACAAGAATCCTCACGCCACAGTTCACTCTCGACCTGGAAGCCTACAAGGGATACTCGCCATTGTTCTTGTCAACCACATTCGCTCTCTCCTATGGACTTTCATTCGCGGCCATTGCAGCTTTGATTGTGTATACTTACCTGAATCATGGAAAGCAGATCTGGCAACAATTCCGAAACAGCACTAAGGAGGAACCTGACATTCATATGAAGTTGATGAGCAAGTACAAGGAGGCTCCGACCTGGTGGTACATGGCTTTGTTCGCTATCATGATCGGTCTCAGTCTCATCACAGTGCTAGCCTTCCCAACCAATCTCAGTGAGTTCTTGGTAAACTTCTTAATTTCTATCATCTAATCGGTTTCTAGCGTGGTGGGCATTTCTACTCGCGTTGGGTATCTCGTTCGCATTCTCTTTGCCCATTGGTATTATTCAAGCCATTACGAACACCCAAATCGGCCTTAATGTGCTCACGGAATTCATCTTCGGTTACATTCAGCCAGGACGACCACTCGCTTTGATGATCTTCAAGACCTACGGATACATCACCATGTAAGTCTGCTTCGTGTATCATGGAACTCAAGCTTATAAATCTCAGGTCACAAGCTCTTGGATTCGTATCTGATCTCAAATTCGGACACTACATGAAGGCAAGTTCTGCTTGTAATGTATAGCAAGCGACGCTTACTAATATGACTAGATCCCACCCCGAACCATGTTCATGGCCCAAGTTGTAGCGACAACCTTCTCTTGCTTCATTCAAGTAGCAGTGCTCAACTTTGCTCTTACCAACATCAAAGATGTATGCACACCTCATCAAACTGAGCATTTCACATGCCCAGGCGGACGAGTCTTCTTCTCAGGTATGTGTTCTACAAATTCCATGCGCAAATACCCTGCTAACGTAGTCCAAGCTTCGATTATCTGGGGTCTGATCGGCCCGCAACGCATCTTCTCCCCGGGCCAAATATACTCCGGTCTTTTCTGGTTCTTCCTCGTCGGCGCCATCACTCCTGTAGCGATCTACTTCTCAGCCCGCAAATGGCCCAAGTCCCCCATCAAGTACCTTATGGCTCCCTTGATTTTCGGTGGAGCTGGATCCATTCCCCCCGCGACTCCACTCAACTATCTTTCCTGGGGTATCATCGGCTTCATCTTCCAGAAGGTCATTCGTCAACGATACTTCGGATGGTGGTCTCGACTCAACTATCTGACAAGTTCTGGCTTGGATCTCGGCTTGGCGCTGAGCACGCTGTTCATCTTCTTCGCGTTCACGCTGCACAACGTCGAGGCGCCAAACTGGTGGGGTAATTCAATTGTTAGCGCGACCATAGATGCGCAGGATACGGCAGTGCAAGCTATAGTTGCTGCTGGGGAGCATTTTGGACCTGCTACTTGGTAGTCGGCTCAGACTAGAGAGTGTTACTTTCAGGTATATCTTTGGTGATAGAGTGTGTATATCAGGGCTTGAAGAACGATTTCCTTTATTTCCTATTATCTTGTAATTGTAAGAATATGTACGTGTTTCAAAGTTACTATTATGGTAGCCATCCTTATGATCGAAGTAGATTTCTGAATGTCATTCCTTAGCTGATGCTCTTCTGAATCGTGCTTTTGCCTTGTTGGCAAACATTACTGCGTGATTGACATCTAACTTCTTTGTTCATGGTCACGGCTATCCTTACTATTCGGCGTATCATTGAGAGAAGTTGTCCGAAGCTGGGTGTTCGAACTTTTGATGTATCACATGATACTCGAAATTTCACGACCTGGAACGATCATATCTCCTAAGACCGATTTCAACCACAGTCAACCAGCTTATAACGCCTACACCTTCCTCTTACAATCTAGCTGGATATCTCGATTCTCATTCCAAGATTCTGGGTAAAAAGTTCTTATCCTAATCGAGATCCCCTGAGATTAGCCGAGAGTGACTAATCCGCTGGCATCGAACATTGCCAGGATAGTAATCAGAGCTGCAGTGTTACACTACCCAGGACGAATTGATCCATTCAAATTGGATTGGAAGAAGGGCAAATGCCAAGCATGTCAAATGCAGATCACCCGAGCATTGAGAGACTTTGGCTTCTAGTTGCTGTCGAGGAGCTGGGGGGGCCTTCTGAAAGACCTATCAATCTCGATCGCCTTACGCTAGGCACAGGTTGCCATGCAGCTTCTCAAGATGTCAAGCGTTCGGGATGGAATGTAGTACTGCCAAGATGAGAGAGATATCCGAAGTTCCACAGAAGTCGTGTATAAGTATCGAGCTTGTCTTCTAAGCATTTTCAAAAGACTCAGATTCATCTTCATCTGATTCCTTGACTTTACTTTATCTTTCACACATCTTCTACAATCAATCAAGATGCCTTTTGTAACCACGAGCGACAAGACTGAGATCTTCTACAAAGACTGGGGCAACCCGGCCGGTAAACCAGTCGTCTTCTCTCACGGCTGGCCCTTGAACAGCGACAACTGGGAGAACCAGATGTTCTTTCTCGCTTCTCATGGATATCGCTGCGTAGCACATGATCGAAGAGGTCATGGGCGGTCTTCTCAACCATGGGAGGGAAACGATATGGACACCTATGCTGACGACTTGCTCGTACTTTTCGGTTCGTCCTCCTAGGGACCTCATTATTCAAAAGAAATGACTACTAACTCTTGTATAGAACATCTTGATCTCAAGGATGCTATGATGGTTGGCCACTCCACAGGCGGAGGTGAAGTAGTCCGCTTTCTCGGTCGACACAGCACATCCCGAGTATCAAAAGCAGTACTCGTCGGAGCGGTCCCTCCAGTCATGGTACAGAAGGAGTCCAACCCTAAAGGACTCCCGATTTCAGTGTTCGATGGCTTCCGCTCCGCAATGATTCAAGATCGCGCTCAATTTTTCCTCGACGTACCCACTGGTCCCTTCTTCGGGTTCAATCGTCCAGGCGCAAAGATGAGTCAAGGCTTGATTCAAAGCTGGTGGTCACAAGGCATGATGTGTGGATTCAAGAATGCCTATGATTGTGTCAAGGCGTTTTCGGAAACTGATATGACGGAGGATATGAAAAAGATTGATATCCCGGTATTATTGCTACATGGGACTGATGATCAGATTGTGCCAATCGATGATAGTGCGAGGGAAGGTATCAAGCTGCTGAAAAAGGGAACGTTGAAAGAATACCCTGGTGGTGCTCATGCCTTGCCAAATCTCAACATTGAGGAGATCAACCAGGATTTGTTAAACTTTTTGAAGTCATGATGGGAAGTTCGTGGTCAGCGCAGTTTATTCTCCTTCAGACTCTACATTCGGCTGTCCTATGGCACTTCATCAAGCATATATGAATATTTTTCTCTTTTGGAATGACTTTGTTGCCCTCGACTCCTTGGGAAAAGATGCTGAAAAGGTGGACCCCGAAAGAGATTTAATGGTGTCTTACAGTAACGATGATCTTTAAAATACGATCGAAGCAGCATTTGAGAGCAACGGATCATTAAATCTGGGTTACTGGCTTGAGAACCTTCGAAGTGAGTCTGAGATATTTCACGTGACCAATACTCAACAACCTGGAACACAGAGGAAATTAGAGGAGAGTAACCTCTCTGCTAGTTATATGATCCTAGGCTTAGCAGATCGACAATTGGTCAATCAGAACAAGGCCTCGTATACTGAAGACTCATCTCGGAGACATGCGGAGACTTATTCGTGGACACGTGATGGACTCCCCTTGACCACCAAAGAGTATAAATCTTTCACAAAAATGGTTGAAAGTTGTCTTGACAAGTTCAACTCTCTCTATAATTCATGAATCGCAGTCTATCTCTCCTATTCCACTTCTCTAGAGTCTTTCAAACCATGAAGCCCAATACTTCATACAGCTCTAATTACGAGCGGATGTCTGGCAACTGCACTCGATTAGTTGCTGCACAGATGCTCCAGAACCTCTCTCCACCCATCACACCTTCTTCTTATATTCTCGACAATGCTTGTGGACCAGGAATCGTAAGCGAGCAGATCAAGCTCCTCCATCCTGATGCCAAAATCATGGCCACCGACTGGTCACCAGCAATGATCGAAGAAACGCAGAATAGGATTGAAAAGGAAGGGTGGAGCAATATTCAGACGGGAATTGAAGATGTAAGGGATTTGAAAGGACTGGAAGATGGGACGTTCTCGCATGCGTTCACGAACTTGGGGATGCTTGTTCCTGGCGATGATGACTCTGGAGTCAGAATAACAAGCGCGCTGTTCCGAGTATTGAAAGTTGGAGGTGTAGCTTTGGTGTCTTCTTGGGCCGGTAATTTCAACCCTCCTTGCTGGAAATGCTTGACTAACGTTGGATAGATCGAGTGTGGCTCAATGCATTTTACAACACTGCACGCGCGATCAGACCAAACGAAGAGCCACAGAAACTCATGGCATTGATGCCAGAAATGATGAAAGCTTCATGGCTTGCTGCACAACTTGAAGATGGCCGTTTCGGAAATAACATTGAGGTCAAACCCTGTGTGACTTACACGGAGGCAGGAAGTCTTGATGAATTAGTGAACAATATGCTACTCGCCAAGCAAATGTTCTTCAGCGGGTTCAGCGATGGCGAAATGGAAAACGTGAAAGGGATATTCAAGGAAGAGTTGAAAAAGTTGAGAACTTTCGAGGAAGTAGAGGGAGGTGTGAGAATTGAGATGAAAGCTTGGATCGGTATTGGCTGGAAGAAAGGAGACGAGTTAGAAGTCCCAGTGTAGAAATCTCCAGAGTGCAGAAAAGGGAACAATCTGATGACTTGATCCTTGCGAGATAATACAAACTAGTTGAATTCTTGCAAATAGGTGACAGAGATTCGCGAGCAATACAGGATCTCGAAAGCGCAAACATAGGTATAGATGAAAGGAAGTCCCGAGATTCGTCCCCATTACCTTTGAGTCGGGAAAGACAATTAGCCTCGAAATGAATGCAGGATGTAGATCTGATAAAATATGGTAATCATGTACAAGTGCGGCACCACTTTGTTGGTAAAGACAAATTAGGATTGATCGCTGCCTATTTTGCTGCAGCAGATATAAATACCACTGATATCCCACTCCCTCTCTCATTCCTTAAGTATTGAATCATACTTTTATCTGCATAGCATAACGCTGTCGACTGCACACTCGACAGCAACTTTGAGACATCTTATGAAGACTCGCAGCTTCTTCAGGTATCGACACAGGGTATGCTTCCCCGCAGCGAGCCATGAGTACTTGCCCGTGCCAAGAAGTACAAGACACAAGTATCCCACTTTCACTTGAAGAAGGCACTGAGTCACGATTGAAGCTTCGAGGATGGAGTTGAGATAAGCAACCGCCGTCGAGACACACCAGCCCAGAGCCCGTTTCTCTCCATGTCCAATAGTACAAGTTATTTCGATCAGCTTGCGTCGATTATGATGGCAGAAGCTTTCGGCGAAATCCTGCCAGAGACGGGGATGTTCAAGTGATCTGCAGGGCATTGCCTCACTGATAAGGCAGCCCGAACATATCGTCAAGCACAGAGAGCCTTTCATTCGTCGAGAACACGAATACACACGATGCTTCGTTACATTGATCTTGAGAGTTTCGTCAATACTACCTTTTCATGTTCAATCATTTTCCTTGGCACCGGAGTGAGCGTGGAGGGAACGAGACAATGAGGGGCAATTAAAGGAAAGAAATGCTGTGCTCTCTCAGAAACAGCAGCTCCGAAGCCTGTCCTGAAATCGTGTAGTTGCATTGTTTCTACTTCGACTTTGTGGTATACCGATATTTTGGTGCAATAAGCACTAAAAGGGCAGCTGGGAACAGATCGACGCACGATGGGCACTGGTAGTGTGGTCGAGCGACGACCCCTCCTTCCCTTAACCTTAACCGGTTATCACACCGGTCCTGATAACCATATAACTTATGCATGACGATCCTTGTACGGAATCTGAGAGTGGCAATTGGATACAAAAGTTAATGATAGTGAGCGAGAAGGATGTTACGATTATATGCAGCTTTGTGTCCTGGTGATTGCAAGCTCAGGGATTGAAGATATGGTTTGCGGAAGGCAAGTTCCGAGCAATTCACAATCTTGAGATTCATAAATCTAGTCATACAGAGAGATCTTTTCTTCTCGTTTCCTTTAACAATTGTTTTTCGGGAAACGTCGAGTTCCATATCCGACAATGGCCTCTCGAATGCCAGGCCAGGTGGGCGCACCACTCGGCGGTGATCCTGCGTTGGCCTTCAACACTGGCCACTCGAGTGGCATTGAAGCATTGGAAGAGCTTGGAGTTCACGATGTGTCAGAGAAGCGAACAACGACAGTAGCCGACAAGAAGATCGATGAAAAAGGAGGAACTGATGAAGAAATACAATATGTTCCTGTGGACGAGGAGTCATTCGGCATTGGGAAGGGACTGACAGCTTCTGAGAAGGTCTGTGTTTTTCGGCTCAATTGAGCACTTACGATAGAAAAGGTGCTGATTCGAGACTTAAGGTGAGCAACATGGAGGAAATCGCATTATATGCACTCCATGTCGATGATGATCCATCGCTCAACCCTTGGACGTTCAGAACCTGGTTGTAAGTTGAAACCCAGTGCTTAAATTGTCATCTGGATTCAGGTGTATGAGATACCCAGAAAACGTTGCACTTGCTGTTTCAGTCGGTGCATGTGGCTAACTTGACTTGTAGTCTAGGTTAGTAACATTTGCAAGTGTTTCCTGATAGAGTCCTGACCCTCATGACAGGCATTGGACTTTCGTGCTTTTCAGCGGTCTTGGCTACAATATATCAGTTTAAGGTTAGACTTTTAACTTTATGTAGACTTGATTGAATACGTCAATTTGTCTCCTGGTGCTAATTTGAAGACAGCCTCAAGGAATTGTTCTCTCAGCAACCTTCCTTTGCGTCATAAGCTATGTATTAGCTCTAGTTCTTGAATACATACCAAAGTCAGGATTCTTGGGAAGATGGTTAAATCCTCATTCTTTCAATCACAAAGAGCATGCAGCCATTCTCATAATGTCCTCAACGGCTGCGCGTTCAGCCATGGCAGCAGAAGTAATTGCGGTTCAGCGATTGTGGTATACGAAGACCCCGAATGCCGCAGTCTGTATCTTTCTCATCTTCTCTTCGCAAATCCTGGGATACGGTGTCGCTGGATTACTGCGAAAGATCCTGGTGTAAGTACTCTGCTGTTCATTCCAAGGACTTAATTTGGCTCCGTCCACCTACTGCTGACTGTTCCAAACAAGCCTTTACTAACTCTCTAATTTTGACTTCAGTTACCCAACCAAGGTACATACTCCGCACTTTTGGCCCTCATAAGTACTCATAAGACATTTTAGTTCTTCTACCCTGCCAATTTACCGATCATGTCGTTGCTAGAAACTCTTCACAGGAAGAAGGTAGACACAAAGCCGCAGTTGAAACTATTCTATTGGGCTTTCGCTATAATTTTCGTCTGGGAACTAATCCCTGAATACATTATGCCAATCTTGACTGCGGTCAGTGTATTCTGCTTGGCCAACCAGAAGTCCCTGGTGTTTACCAACATCTTCGGAGGAGGTAACGGAAACGAAGGTCTTGGGTTCCTGTCATTGTGCTTTGATTTCCAATACATCGGGAGTGGCGCTCTCTACTTGCCTTTAAAGGTATGTCTTGATCATCTCGCTGTGCAGGTCCACACTACTAATCCTGCGCCCAGACTCAATTCAACACCATGGTCGGCTATTGTTTGAACATCGCTGTATTTCTTGGTATATTTTACGGCAATATCTGGCGGGCCAAAGATTTTCCGTTTCTCTCACAGCTACTATTTTCACCAGAGTCGAACTCAACATCTTATGTGACTTTCAACCAAACAGCTGTTTTGAACGAGCATGGCGTCTTGGATGAATCGAAGCTTGCCACAACGGGCATTCCATACATGGCTGCCACTTTCGCCAGTTATGTGCTGACGCAGAATATGGCTATCACAGCAACTTTGACACATATGTGTCTGTACCACTGGGACGATCTGAAGTCGGCGTTTGACTTTATGTCTCTTGCGAGCATTAAATCTTTAGTAAAACCATCCACTTGGATGTTTTGGAAGAAGGAAAGTCGGACTGAGGAAGAGACTGCCAACATGGATCCGCATTACAAGCTGATGCTTCGTTATAAAGATGCTCCGGATTGGTGGTACGGGCTCGTGTTTCTGGCTTCTGGTGTTGTTGGCTTGATCTGTATCTACGAAGCAGATTCCGGCATGGCTTGGTGGGCTTTTATAGTCTCTGTAATCTTGGCTAGTATAATGATTCTCTTCATGGGAGCACAATATGGCTTGACTGGCTTTCAACTTCATGTACAGCCCATCATCCAAATGATTGGTGCTTACTTGGAACCAGGAAGACCTTTGACGAACATGTTAGTGTACCCAGAAATTCGCTATTCTAACCAACACTGACAACAATGCAGGTATTTCACTTTGTTTGGATACAACTCCGTTGGACAAGGCATGCTTCTGCTTCAAGATCTCAAACTTGGACAATATGCCAAGCTCTCTCCTCGATGTACGTTTGCTATGCAAATGGTTGGAACATTGGTTGGAGCTATCCTCAACTATGTCATCACTTTATCCATTACGACAAACCAGCGAGAAATCTTGTTATCGATTGAAGGTACCCATATTTGGTCTGGAGCAGTGAGTTTCTCAAATCCATGATCTTGATTCTCGACTGATTGATCAACCAGGCTCTGCAATCCTTCAACACTCAAGCAATCACGTGGGGAGGACTTGCCAAACAGATGTATAGTTGGGGAAGCACCTATCAATGGGTCCCGCTTGGGCTCGTGATCGGCTTTGCAGCACCACTTCCAGGCTACTTCCTACATCGACTTTTCCCCAAAGTTGGGTTCAACCATCTCAACATGTCCATCATTTGCTGGCACATTGGCTGGCTTGTGACAGGAATCAACTCTGCTATCATCAGCTTCTTGGCTGTTGCCTTCTGGAGTCAATATTATCTCAGAAGATACAAGCCGGAGTGGTTCTTGAAGTACAATTATGTGCTCTGTGCGGGGCTTGACGGAGGTACTCAGGTCATCGTGTTCATCATGACGTTCGTTTTCTTTGGGGCAAGCGGGAAGCCAATTCCTTTCCCAAACTATTGGGGGAATAATGCGAATGGGAACATTGACTTTTGTAAGCTGAACCCAGCAAATAGTGGATGATGAGATGAATTGGAAGTGGATGACTTGTGGGCTGGGTAGGAGCAGAGGATTTTTGTTCGACGGGTGTTTGGATTGGAAAGATTTTGAACGTAGATTTAGATGGTATGATACCAAATAAGAGTTCAGACGTATTTTATTCCTTCAACAAAGTCTGTTTGGAGGGGAAATCAATCACTCTCGAACATAAGAATAGGGGTCCGGCAGAAAGATAATCCGTAGCGTGCCGCTAAATTTGAACCCTGTCCAAATTTGTGATGACATCTACGATTCGACCGAGAGAGCTTGATATATGAGAGGTTTCCATTAATTCTTCCCTCAATTCCCAAACAATGGCTTCGAAAACTTGTGTGTCGTGTCTCCGAACACTACAGAGACAATCACGTTCAGTAACCCAGGTAAGTGGTTAAGAGGCTTCTTTTGGTATCATCTCTCATAATTTCATAGACACGGAGAGCACCTCCAGCGTTTCCTTCTTCTAGAACATTTACGACTACCCCTCCGAGGCATGTCGAACTTCCTGGGCCCAATGCGACTGCTGCGACATCGATTCCACCCGTCACTCCTGAACGCGCAACTGGAAATACTACCCAAGCAGAGAAAGAACCTACGAGGCTGAAGGCTGCAAGAGAATTGAAGAAGCTCGCAGGCGGGGCTACAGAGACATATACTGCATATGGAGCGACGGAATTGCTATATAAGGAATGCGCGAAACAAGCGGACTACACAATCCCACAAGCAAAGACAGGTGAAGAGATGCCGAAGACAGAAGACGGAGTGGACGTTGGTATTGGCGAAGGATGGTGGCATACAGGTATTTTGTCTGCACAGAAAATGCTTCCAAGTACTGACAACGAGCTAGAATTGGGTCTGAAGCCAACATTCAGCACATGGTCTCAAGTCACCATGCTACATATGTATCTCCTCTCAGCTCGCTTCCGCTGCTTCCAACCACATATCGCTCAGCCATGGCAGCAACATCTCCTCGATCACTTCTTTTACGATGCAGAGAACAAGATGACGATCAATCATGGAATGCACGCACGTGGTACACGAAATAAATATTTGAAGGACCTATTCATACAATGGCGAGGTCTGCTTGCTGCTTATGACGAGGGCTTGTACAAGGGCGATGCTGTGCTAGCAGCCGCTATTTGGCGAAATGTTTTCAAGGCAGACGAAAATGTAGATGTGAGAAGTTTGGCTCAGATTGTGAGCTACATGAGGAGAACATTGAAAGGCCTCGATCTTGTGCCTGATGAATCCATCATGCGGGCGAAGTTGGAGTTTGGTAGTCCAGCTGAGGAAGAAAGATTGGTCAAATCAAGAAGTCAGATGATGGATTTACCGTTTGAGAACGCGTCTGGGACGGACTTGCCAGGTGGCAAACAGCCTTGATGGAGAAAGAAGGTATTTGTTGTAAGATATCAGGAAACTTTGTATATTGTACAGAGTATGAGACTACGAAAACGGGAGCTTTAGACACGGAGGTCAGCAAGAGCATCTCCCAATCAAAGAAACTCAATGCTATATTTAACAGAGCTCCGTTTCATTTAATGAATGAAGGATCCTGCTTACACTCAGCGTCTTTTGCCATTTCGTTCCATATCTCGTTAATTTCCTGCGAGGCATTTCAACCAAATCAGCCAGCAAACCAAGAAACTCCCTCCAACATCATTTGAGAGATATAGAGCCCCTTCGCACCTAGTAAGTGAAATACGAATCGTAACAAGAAGATTGCGCATCAACGGCGCGTGAGCAGCGGACAGATCTAACCCCCTTCTCGTACGGATAAATAAACTGCCCAAGAAGCCCATTGCCAGAAAGTTGTGTCCAATCATGACCGACCGTATTGCAATCTCTATCAGTGTAGACGCAGCACACATTTTGAGAATAATAATACATGGACGAGGCTGATCTGTCCCAGTAGTCTGGAAGGTTGATGCAGGTCCCATATGGGCCAAAAGCTTGCCAAAAGGAGCCCAGACACTGAGGTTCCGTGTAGAAGTCTGCTAGAATACTGGATACAATTAGTTCGTCAGCTGATATTGGAGCAAGGGAAGAAGCGATCTTACGGATCTGGTCCAATATTGCAAGAACACATGTAAAGTCCAGATGGTAGTGTTATGCTCTGGCAGTTGCTAGAATTGTAGGCGCAGATGCTACCCGGTGAGCTGAGAGGCGGCAACGAAGTTGTTGTCACCTGGGCTGATATCACAGCTACCAGGCCGGAGAGAAGGGGCAGTCTTTGCATGAGCTTTATTTAAGACAAGAAGATGGCTGCAGAATTCGAAACAGGTTCTAATGATTGTATTGTTGACTGATAGCGGACGTCTTCGTAGTCTCAAGTTCGTTCCAATTTTGTGCAGTGATGCTTCTCAATTACCCTTCTTCGGGACCAATTTATAAATTTGAGAAACCTTGAGGGCGCATGCATCTGATCTTCAGATCAATGAAGTCTAGCCGCACTAATGATGAAGGTACTAGTGACTTGATAGTGCGGGAGTTACAATGTACAAGGGTAGGGATGACGGAACCCCAGTTCCAAGTGAAGGTTGGGTGTCAACTGTGGCAGCAGCTGCAACTTGAGATATGACTGATATCTCATTCCTCTGGCCTCTAAATAGTGATATACTTGCTAAATCTGACTTATCTTAACGACAAAGAGAGGTGAAAGTCTATGATGTAGGTAAAGTGGTTAGGCACAAGGGTTGAGGACCCCGGAGCAGCAGCAGCTGGAGCTGGATTTTGGTTACGAAACATGGACAGAGGCAAGTTATTCCGTGGATTACAATGAATACATAGTGTAACTTCGTGCCATAAAGGATGCGAGGAACATAAACCAAGGACTAGAACACCACATGACCATCGTTATCACCGACACAAAGACTACGACCAGGTATGGTCGCCACAGGCGAAAGGTTTCAGAACAATCCACAACTAATGAGTATAGAGAGACTTGAGCAACTATTCAAATATAAGATTCTTAGAAATCTCCCCGACCTTCACACTTTCTGGGTGTACCAAGGTTGGTACCACGGTAAGCGGCATTCTAGCTTCAAGACTAAATAGAATTGTGGAACAAGATACTCCGAATAAATGCAGGATTGGTGTTTATTATAGTATGATCCTTCGGATGTGCTCCGAAACAATTACTTCCGGATTTCTGTGGAAAGGTTTCGGAACTCGTATGCAGGTCATGTCCTTCGGCATAACGTGATAGAAGCAGACTATATCTCATGATATTCTTCCTCACAAAATCCTCGGATGAGAACGAAGTATCGATCTTGAATGTAAAGTCTTTAATACATACTTAGCTGTATCTAAGTGTCATTCTGGTTGTCGTCCACCTAGAATCGGTCGGACAAGCGAACCAGCCCCTGATCAGAAAACCCTCGAACAAGATCAGGCTTCATATCCTCCATAACAATAATTGAATGTAATTCAAAGTGCTTCAAATGCTCAAGCACCTTAATCAGAGATCGAAGACTGGCGGTGCGGAGTGCGAAGTTCGCAATACGAATTCAACATTTCCTTTGGTCATGAACAAGTCAAAGGGAAATTTGATCTATTACGGTCAGCAATATCTCTGACACTTTCAGCAGAAGTCTTTTCTTCCACTCTAGATTTCCACAAGCTTGATGCCACAAGACAGTAATAACACCGAGGAGTTACCCCTTTTTTCTATCCTAAATATTCTCGGAAATGGCTGTGTTTGGCCTGTAGCCGAGACCGTAGCGACATTCTCATTCACCATTTCTATGAAAAATGCGGTGCCGTATCTTGTCGAGACTTCTTCTTTCTAGTCTCACAGATTAGTGAGAGCTCGTCTAAGCGCTTTTGCCATGCCTCAGCTGCATTTCTTAGAGAACATCCAAGTAGTCTTTCTTATCGCCGAAACACAGCGACAGGACAAAGTAGCTGTGTCCCAGACTTTATGGCCTATGTTTCAAAGTTAAATGAAATATTCTCTTGAGCTTAGGTCTTTTATCACATGAATCAGGCTCTGATGCTTGTGTCAATGTCTGTACATCGGAACATGCTCTGGTGTTGCTTCCCCTTGAAGCAGACACCCTCAATCAGGCTCATGATACTACGGGGAGTCTGGTTAGAACTATTGAAACGACTTCGTTGATCAAATAATCGGCGATAAATATCATTATAGCGGAAGCTTCGATACTTAGGACTCCTTTCCAAAGACGTTTTCTTTGAACAATGATGTACTTACTATTGGTTTCGAGCGGCTCGTCAACATGAAGGCTTCTTCTGCTTGAAGGCTCTTATCCATATGTAATGTATAGACAGTCACAGTCTTGTCATCGTCTTTTCATACCCAGACATTTTAGTCATCTGTGCATTAGTCCGGGCTTGAAGGATGAAGCGACATTTTGACAGCGGATGAAACATAAATGACGGCGGATCACAGCTAGTCTACATCTATACAAGATAGCCGACTCTGTGCTCTCTGGTGAATACGTATTGGACAATATTGCGTCAGCTAAAGCGCCGGATCATAACGCGAGACCACTTTCGCAACACGCGAGGCCACTTTTCCGATTCGCAACGAGGCCGTCTGCAAATACACTTCTTCTTTTCTTCAAACGCAGAAAAAGCGCAACAGAAATCAACAATAAAAAATTTCCATAATGGTCCTTACTCGAAGCGTAAGTTGTCAATCGGTCTCATGCTTTGCTCCCTTTTGAAACGCCCTCTGATGTCTATATCTTCGCTTCGCAAACATCTACAATTGTCCAGAAGACCAGGACACAAGTTCCACTCCCTCGAACACCACCTCTCTCCCATTTCATATTGACAATTAGAATTGTGAGGGGATTTGCTGACAAATTTCTCACACAGCAACGAAAAGCCGCTCTCGAGTCAGGTAGCAGCGTAACCGCTACTACCGATCATAACGACGCAAGCAAACCTCCGAAGTCATCAAATGTCGCCCGTGAAGAACCTCTAGCGCAGTCTGATAAGACCACAGCCGAAGATGCCACGACCCCATCGTTGAATGTTGTCTTGAAGCCAGCTCCGAAGAAGGCCAAGCCGAAGCTTCGGGCCAAGACTGACAATGAAGAGGTGCCAATGCTGGTCTACAAGGTCACGATGGATGATTTGATGCCGCCTCCATCAGAGTCCGTCGTAGAGATTCACTGAGAAACCTTGCTTATCTCAAATTCTGGTTCTTTTACTACACTTGGCTGGGGTTTTGGGGTATGTAGAGACATCGGAAGAACATCATGCTTGGAACTAATTCAAGTTATATAGGACGTGCACAGGCTTCTTGGTAGAGTTCCTGGGTTGTGTTGATAAGAATTGGGGAGGAGTTCAAGGACAACGAGCAAGAGCTTCATAGACGATGAGGCAAATAAACAATCTTCCTGGCAAAACTATTGGATTCTGTGAAAATTGATACGTCGTATAAATCTTATATGTGTCAAACAGAACGAGAATCTGTAACTGACAATCGACTGGCTACAGTCAATACGTGAATAGGTTTGAATAGGTGTGTACTAGCCCTCATTGCCAGATTTAATCGAAGTCACTTCTTTGCGCCCTTGACCTCTCCCTTTAAATTCGTCTTCTGAAGACAACGCCAAACCGGCAAATTCTTCCAGTCCGAGAAAATGACAGATTACCCAGAAGTAAGTCTCCCTCCATTGAATTTCCGTTCATTTCACATGGCCTTATTCCTCATATTGCGTTCGCCACCCTACGCTTTGCGGCATTCCAAATCTCGTCGTTGTCAAGATGTCAAGGCTTAGAGCACAATTATAATTGATGACTGACTCGATCATCTTCGATGTGGAGTTGACTTGATTGTCTTGAGTCTCTTTCTTCCAAGTCTCTCCCCTCTGATATAGCTATGCTAATTGCGCTGTTCCCCAGAACGAAAAGGTTGTCGATTCCCACCGAAGCGCAAGCCAGATCGCCGCCGCCTCCGATGTTCTTCTCGATACCGACCTTGGCGATCTCCCATCCCTAGTGTCCAAGGTCACTTTGAACGACATCCTTGAAATCACTTCTGAGGCTCAAGTCAACATGGCCGAAACTGTCGAGGTTGTTGCATCTAACGTTGACATCCACAAGACAAGTCACAAGGGCCCTAAACACAGAAAGTCAAAGCATGTGAGCTTCGAGGTACCTGAGCCTGTTAAGAAGCAAGATCTGTCGCCCTACGAGCAGTACTTGGCTTGGGTCGATGACAGGGTAGAAAGATTGCTGAAAAGTCTTCATACTTTGTCCGTTAATGGCATCTTGGTGCTAGAGACTACGCACTTGCCCGCAACCTCGGTGTTGAAGCCGCCGCGGTTGAAGTAAGAGCCCAATAAGTGAGAGAAAAAGCATCAAGGAAGGGCACGTGTTCTTGTTCACGTTCCTTGTGTTTAAATTGTCGGCCTATGACTCGGATATTGTAGTAGGAGTAGTGGTGAAGATTAACTCGGACAATCTGATTTTGATAGAGAACCCTTTTGAGCCGTACATGATCGCGAAAATGATCTCTGAAATAAAGTCGCACATTTTAATCGAGATACATGTCTGATCTAGGCCCCAGTATTTCTATGCTTGAGTGTTTGGATCCTATCTGCATATTTTGTCCTCGATACCTGGCCCAATGTTGGACATTTCCGGCCAGTATTGTCGGGACGAAGTCAGATATTTCCATGCCATAATTGTTGGCTCGGGAGTTTGATGCCTCTACCGAGATCTAGGAGTCCAAGAGTAATGCATCGTATCATGGTTCTCAAGGCAATTGAGGTAGTTTGGGCAGCCACCGAGAAATGGCTCCCAATATTGATCCAACCACGAACTTTAACACTTCAATCCTCCACCTTCTCCCACATCTCAAACTCGTACTTCGTCCCCGCCTCCTCCTGATCCCCAGCGGCAACCTCCTCCCCCACCCAATTATTTAGCCCTGAGTTCTTCCTCCTCCTCCAACCCTCCGCGCTACCATCCTCTCCCAACTTCAGCGGAAACCATGCATCACACTCGAAATCTCCCTTGATCCTCGTCAACAATATCCGTTTCGTCTCCTCCATTTCCAAAGCAGCTTTATAGATCTCCGCTCCTCCGATAACGAATATCCTCTCACTCTTGTTTTCCTGAGCGAATCCAACGGCTTCTGCGATAGAATTCACGATATGTTTCCCAGGTTCGCGTTCAGAGGGAGGAGGAAGCGGGGAGCGAGTTATAACGATATTTGTTCGGTCTTTCAATGGGCGGAATTTTGGGGGTATGCTGTCCCAGGTTTTTCGACCCATGATTAATGCATTCGTGGTCTGCGAATCAATTCAATGATTAGCCGGATGAATTCGGGGAACAAGAGGGATTAAGTACGCCTGGAGGAGCACGTTTGGTTATTCGTGCAAAGTATGCCATTTCTTTCTTGAGTCCTTTCCAGGGCAGGCCGTTATTTATGCCGATTCCCATTTGATTTGTGGCGGCGACTATGAGGGTGAGTTCGCGGGGATGCATGGCTGGAAGCATGGATTGGGATGCCGTTTCTTGTGCTGATTGGGAGGTGGAGCTCATTTTCCTTCCGGGTCAATTGTTTGGATTCAAGGAAGAGACTGTTCTTTGCCGTGTGAGGTTCGAAGGTTGAGAGTGTGAACTTGGCGGGGTTTCTGACGCGTGAGAGGTGAGTTGACGCGATCTGACGAAATGGGCCTAGCGTGCTGCCACCAGATTCCCAGCTTCTTCACCATATAAGAAATGGAGTAAGCTTCACTCTCATGCAGCACTTAGCGATGGAATGTATAAGTCTAAATCTCAACGTATGTTACATTCACAGGATAACTACTTTGCAATCATTGTACTAATCCCCTTCTTCTTTCGGTTCTATAAGCTGCCAGTTTCGCTCCATACCAGCCATCCACTCCCAGAGAAACACACCATAAAGGATAGAAATTGAGGCTCCGCACCAAGCACCAGCTGTTAAGCTCTTGAATAGAGGCAAGCATATAATGAGAGCTACCGCGGGGAGTCTCGGAGCCAATCGTATCCATCTTGAATTGATCAATAGAGTCTTCGGTTTGTCGAGCGGTCGATTTAAAAGAGCCGCCACTGTCATGGCGAAGATTGTACTTGAAAGAGAGATTGATGCTGACCATAAAGCATACAGCGTGAAATGAGGCAAATCTTCAGTGGACACAGGATCCGTTTCGGAAGATACTTCTGCTGAGGTTGTCGTCGAAACTTTCTCTCCCGGATGTTCGACAAGAAAGAGGACCGAAGCTGCGAGGATCAAAAGAGCAGCGTAAATGATGAGGTGGGCACTGTTAAAATCAGCTTGTGCTACGTTAATGAAGAGAGTTGACTCACAATTTCCAAAGAAAACCTTTCCACCATTTTCGTCGCAATGCATGGACATATACCTTGCTCTGGTCACCATTGAAATATAACCAATGGATACAATAATAAAGCAACAAAGCTGTAAGAACGACGCCGCTCGCAGCGTTGAGGCCCATGCCGGACGGACTTCCTTCTATCAGTCTGAAGACTCCTTCGCCGAGGATGATGATGAAGAATCCTTCTATACGCTCCACATAGTGCTCAACATCTGGAGAATGTTCCCATCCGCCTGTCAATAGTGGATCTGAGGCCGGTGAAGCCATGAAGATTGCAAGAGGGTGCTCGGCGAGGTTTGCAGCAAGTAGGAGACCAAGTTTCCCAGGATAAGGAACAAATATGGCTGCGATCCATAAGCCGCTAATAGCTACTGTTGTGACAACCTGGAAAAGAACATGACGTCTGAGGAATGGCAGGAATCCGGCTTGAACTGCGTATGCGATCAAAAATGATCCTCTGGCGACGAGATATATACATATGAGCAACGTAAGACTGTTGCCCTCGTCGTCAGGCGTGAAGGCGTAAGGAGCGTTGATTCCGTAGAGTACACTCAGAACAAGAATCCACACCATGAAGTTGCGTTGAACCACATCATCCCTATAGTAATTGCTTCCATACTCTCTCAGATAGTCCCAGAGTCTCCATACCGGTATGAAGAGAAGCATGTATTCCAAGAACGCAGTCCCTTGGCTTACGCCGCTATCAGTGAAGGCCTGTTCACTAAATGTTGCAGAAATATTCGCGACGATACCGACCCATATCAGATCGATGAAGAGATCTAGACGGGTAAGTTGTACCAGGAAGTTGTCTGTAGCCCGCTGTTCGCCTTCACCGGAGCTAGCGCTGTCTGATCTGACAAGTCGTTCTTTCGGCCTATGCTCCTGATGAAAGTGTTGCAACGCATGAGGTCGTCGTATTATGTGGGCATGTTTGAAGGAACGCTCGTCAACCTCGACTTCGTCCAAATTGGTTCGTTGGCGATTTGCACGAGTAATCCATTGCCGCCGTGTCAATAAGGATTCGGATGTCGATGGATGTGTATCTTCGTTGAAGGCGACATTTTTAGCCTCATGGGAGCGCTCAGGGTCAGACATGTTGAGGACAGAGTCCAGGGATTGCTAGATTGATCAAGGACTGTACCCGTGGATACAGACATAACGGGAGCCAGAGATGGTCGCCAGCTCGCGATGCGACGATGATGATTGAACTTCTCGCTCGGATCAGGGGCAGAGCTTATGAGGAGCAATAGATATAGGGCTGTATCTAGCCACGCATCTGGTGCCCAGGTTATTGTTGATCTAAATTCTACGCCGCCTGACAGCTTGACATAAAGTCGAAACAATGACGAAAGTGGAAGTCTGCGAATCAAAACATGGGAAATGATTATCGCTATCAAGGTGGAGACAGACACTTGAGATGCCAAGCACCAATTGATATGTGCCAATTCATTAAGCAGCATAAGCTGTCCTCAGCCGCAGAGTCCAAAACTCTGGTAGCGCGCATACTGGAGGCTTTCATTAAACGGGTTGGCTTGGCAGAGCCCTAAAGCGCAAGACCTGCCGAGAATAGATTTAGAGATGAATCTTCAAGACTCCTTGAAGCTTCCCATCGATTTTGCGATATATCGGCAAATAGAATTGTTGATGAAGAGAACAAGTACAAAACAAGTAGAAAACAAGTTGCTTTGATGAATGCAAGTAAGAACTTATTCGAATCCTGAGAAAGACGAGCTATTCCCAAAGTAGTTAGCCGAGTTGAAATAGTTCATTTCTTGCTGCCTCCTTGCAAATCACCTCGGTCTAGTTGCAAGCGTCAAGTCCCTTCAATTCTGCCTTTTCCGTCTTTTGCTATAAAATGGATAAGAGGCAGAACAAGACAAGTCGTCGAGCCTGTGCGTTTTGTAGAAAAAGGAAGCTGCGATGCGATAGGGCGAACCCTTGTGGATCATGCCAAAAGTTTGGCTTCGAGTGTCAGTACATCTGTGTTCCGGATGGTCGAGTATCGAAATCAGTCTCGAAATCCTCACGGGTGAATCAGCTTGAAAACCGTCTTTGTGAGTACAATACCTATTCATCCTCGGTGGCTGTCACCTGACTGGACGCAGACAACGTGGAGCAGTTGCTGCAGTCAACAAGCCAAGATAGTGGACAAATTATGAATCTCAGTCCCAACGAATCACTCTATCGTCAAATTGATGATCTAGCTGCATTAAGTTCAAGTACAATTCGCTCGCTGTATGCACTCCCACCAAGCAACGACTTGGGCTGACACATTATCCAGAGAGCAAGCATTTTTTGATTTCGTGCATCCTGTCATTAGCTTGATCCATCGAGGAAGTTATATGGAATCGAAAGCTACAACTCCATGTTATTTGACACATGCAATATGGGCATTGGGTGCTTTAAATTCTGAAGTGCATACTGGTTGGTCCGAGCAGTTATACTACTCATCTCGGCAGAAACTCGAAGAAGCAGAACTCAAGGATCGTCGATTTGATCGAGTCACTCTTGCTCAGGCGCAAGCAGTTATACTCATATCCTATTATGAGCTCCATCAAGGGTTCTTTCACAGGAGTTGGATAAGCATAGCGAAAGCTGTCCGATTAGTCCAAGTAATGAAATTGCACCGGCTCGACGGGATATCACAATTTCGTCATTCACTCGAATCCATCAGTACACCCAAAGTCATTACCGAAGCAGAAACCAAGAGGAGGGCATTTTGGCACACTTTCTTGCTTGATCGATACTGTTTTGTTTCTACTGGTTCTCCCACCTTGATCCAAGAGAAAGATGTAGGCTTCACTTTGGCCAGCGCAACCAAAACACTAAAATACATGCAGATTTACACTTACTTGCCAGCGTCTGATGATGCTTTCGCCAAAAGTTTCGAAGAGAGATATGTAGTCTTGCAAGACGCTCTCACCACCACAACAATCAACCAACCACTGTGCAGCTTCGCAGCCTTGGTAATCCTCTTGTGTCAGAGTATATCCAAACTTCGAAGTCTTGACCAGTATGAAATGCACATCGACGCTACGGAGTCATTACATAACGACCTACATTCGAAATCAGACTTGCTTCAGACCGCCCTGGGCACCGTTTATCGTGTCCCCAAAAATTTGGGTATTGAAACTTCTCTGTTGGACCCTAGCCTTGCCTACTTGCATACGGCAACATCGACATCAACAATTACCTTGCATATAGCAGCACGAGCCTTGGCTCAAGACAATGTACCCTTGCCTGAAAGCTGGCCGCCTGACAACAAACAATGCCTCGAAGCCGCCACGAACATCACCAATGTTTTAGAAATAACCAATTCTTGGGATCTACGTTCTGTGAGCCCCAATACTGTATTGACTTCCCACTCGTGCTGATATGATTCTAGTACCACTTTCTGACCCTATACTCGATATACAGTGCAGTTGCAGCTTTTGCCAACTCTTGGCTTGTGAACCCGCAGCCTTCATATAAGCGTTCGCTGCGTTTCCTCCTAAATAAACTAGAATCCTTCAAGCCCCGTATAAGACTTGCGCATATCTTGCTACAAGATATTGACACAGAGTTTCCTGAATTGCAGCATCGACTTCGAGCGCAAGGGGAGTCTGCAAACTCGCAAAGCGCTCTGTGTTTGGATTGGGAAGCCCAAGTCGTTACCCACGAGCACAACAAGGCCTTTGACTTCTCCGATGCTCAAGAGCACGACCCATTTCTTGGAGATACAAATAATTGGTGTCTAGACGAGGACCATTTGTACCTTAACGTCTTCACATAAGACTGTTCAGTCTTCGGAAGGATACAACGTGTGGATACTTTGTTGACAAGTGACAACCTGTTCAGGAGGGACGAGCCACAGGAAATTGAGACGTCTCCCTGAGACTTTTTCAGGTGCTGTTGAGTCGAGTCAAGATGTTCCCCGCTTGTACACGTTGCACAGAATCCGAAAGACTTAGTCCCTGATCGCAGGAGATTCAAATTGGTGCGATAATGAGGATGTGCTAGGCGGAGTCACAGTTGCCAAGCTTAGCGGGAAGGCCAGCAGCCATGGAAATAGAAGTCCTGAAAAAGTTGCTTGAGTTTACATTGTTACTTTCGGAAGAGAAGTGTCTCCTATCAACACTTACACATCATTTGAAATGTTGATTTTCGTCTGCAGGGTTTTCCTCTTAGCCTCTTCCTCCACCAACCCCGTTTTCGTCACTTTATGTTCCGTGCTCAACTTTTGATGGCTGATGAACAGACTCATAATAAGACCAACAGCAGCAAATGCAGCGTACATAATCCACATGGACCTCAGAGAATCAGCGAAAGCTTGACGAACGATCCATTGTTGAGCGGGAGCGAGTTGTTTGACGATGTTCACGGTAGCGCCTGCAGAGCTGCTTATTATGGCGCTCGCTGCCTGGCTGCCGAGCTCACCGCTGAGTGAAGAATGGTGCTTTTGCATCTCGTTCTGAAATACGACGCCTCCCACTACGACCGAAATAGAGAGTGAAAGATTCCGGACGAATCCAAAAGCCGCCGTTGCAGCCGCAATATCTCCAGGGGCCACAAAATTTTGCAACGCTATAAGGGGACTCTGAAAATTCGGACCAAGGCCAATACCAGCGATCATCTGGAACAAGATAATCTTCGCCCAATCGGGTTTCGCATCAAAGTTGATGAAAAGCCCAAAACCGATGACCGTCAAAACAAACCCGGACCAAATAGGTATGAGATAATTCCCAGTCGTCTTAATATAGATGCCCGTCGCCATCCCGACCAGAGAAGACGAAATAGCAAAGGCAAAGAAATACACCCCAGACAACAAAGGGGTAGCCCCAAGTATAGCCTGGAAATATAACGGCATGAAATAAGTGCCCGCAATGAAAACAACTCCATGGCAAAAGCAAGTTCCAAAGACGGCTATCTTCGATACAGTATCAAAAAGTCGTAAGGGCATAATAGGATAACGAGCGAATTTCCTTTCCGTCAAAAGAAAAATCGCCATGAGCAGAATGCCAAAAAGTATTAGGCAGATTACTGTCGCAGAATCCCATGGATATGAAATTCCTCCAAGTTCAAGGCCGATGAGGAGCATAAGCGTTCCGCCTACGACTGCAAGGCTACCTGCCCAATCAACGGCTATGAGACCCTGCAAGACAGGTGTTTTAGGATTATCGATTTGCAGAAAAACCGAGAGGAGGACGAAGACAGATCCGGTGATTGGCACTATTTCAATAAGGACTCAGTACGTGCTCAGACAATGCGAAGTTGAGGTTCTTACGATTGACATAGAAGCACCATCTCCAGCTGACCTTTTGTGCGAAAATGCCACCCAAGAATGGACCAACTGCAGATGCAAAAGCCCAAACCAGTCCAACTATTCCGAAATATTTCCCGCGGCTCCGCATGCTGAACAGATCACCAATAACAATATTGACCAGAACAATTAGCCCTCCACCTCCAACTCCCTGTATAGCTCGAGCAGCAATCAACATGCTGATACTGATGCTAACAGCAGAGAGGAGACTTCCGATAAAGAATATCGCCACGGCGCACAGCAGGATGGGCTTTCGACCCCAGATATCTGAAAATTTTCCCCAAGATGGTGTACTAGCTGCGTTGGCAAGCAAGTATGCAGAACCAACCCAGGTATAACCTGCACTGGAGCCGAAGTGTCCTGATATGGTAGGGAGAGCTGTCGTAACGATGGTGATATCAAGGGCAGCGAGGAATACAGAGGAGCAAAGACAGAGCATGATGACAGTGGTCTGCAACTTTGTCCGCGTGGTCTCCAGGTTTGAATGGGACCTATCACCATTCTCAGATCCCATCGTGAATGGGGGTCTCGTCTCTGTTGTGATATCCTCGTTGTGGTGGTCAAGGGGGAGAGAATGGAGAGTTGTGGTCACGGATGCGTTTCTTTCGTCAACTTGGCCTTCAAGATCTGCCTCCCGCTCTTCTTTCTCCGTTTTTATCTCATGCTCAGAGAGCACGCTGGGAAACATATCTTTAGCAGAAATGGCTTTCATGTTGGAGCAGTGGGATATCCAGCTATTGATGATTCTGGTCAGCGTCTAATCTAAGTTTGTTGGGCTAATTTCAAAAGCAAAATGGAGTTTTACTGACGAAAAAGAGAAAGCATGCAATCGATTGTCATCTGTAGCAGAGTGGGGCTCTGTAGAATTGCCGCACTCTTCAACAGATGATAGATATTTTCATGGTCTTTTCGAAGTCCAATTGTGAGATGTGCATGTGCATGTGCGACTGTGACAGCGGCACTTCATTCTTGGATATTGACTTGAGGCTGTGGAGTTGGTACAGCAGGACAGCTCGGGAGTTCACAAAGCTCAGTTGGAGGCGCAGCAGGAGAGATTGTACTGTACTGTACTGTGTTGGAGAAATGTTAGATGAGAAGTCTAATTGCGCCTCGGAGCAGACCTCGGCGATGGCCCCTCAATATTTCGGCTATAATTGCTTAAATATGCCGAAACGGGGATGAAGTTCTATACTATATTAGGATTATGCAAGGTCCAAAGATTATCACAAACCCGAATTGACAACCAGAATTTGCGAAGCCTGTGCAGTACGTGAATATGCATGGGATTCATAATGTTGGTTAGAGGGTTCACTGCCTGGTGAACCTTGGCTAAACTGCATTTGACAGGCACTGGGATTGTAGATCGCAAGTGGTGCATACGAAATGGCCAATTAGATCACAATACTGTCCAACGGGTAAATCAGCTTACTGTTACAATACGCATCCTATATGATATAGTTTCGATCGATCGGCGCATATCATCGCAGATCACTCAAACAAAGCTGTATGCATTCCAAAAAGAAAAGCGTTAACTTCCATCTTTAGATGATAGTCAATCCGCGACTCCCGTGCGGGGCGTATGGCGTGCATATGTGGCGCGGCGCGGGCCGAGTCCGCAAGAGGAAGCTCGTGTATGCATCTTCTCTGATGCCCAGACTAGACTAATGAATTGCTGACATTGACGATCTAGATTCTCATCGAAGCATTCAAGCAGGTACATTAGCGGATCTTCGCGCGACCGTTACATCGAACCTACAATGTGAACAACCATAGACCATGTCACTATTCCAGTGCTTCTGGAAACGACCTGTTATTGTAAATGTTTTTGCCAAGGCTTGCCAAACATGGAAGAATTGGTGAAAATGCCTAGCTTTTTGGATTAGTGATCGAGGGTTGCAGAACACTAATTCAAGCTCTTCAGATTTTTACTCATTCAAGGTACCACCCAATGATAGTTTCTGTTAGATTGTAGATCGGGTATGAAAAGCACGGCACTGAGCTCGGGGTAGACTCCTCACAGACGAAGAAAGCATTGAGATGTTGTATGCCACAACTGTCTCTTCCAAAGCGAGTGTGACCTGTGCACCAAAATATCCCCACGACGACACTTCAAAAGATTCCAAGTATATCATAATCAACCATCTGGATATTAAATAGTTTTTCTAGAGATATATTTGTAGGATGTAGAACATGCTTTTATATGAGCTTTTGCAGACTGAGAGAGTTTTATGTGTCAAGTTGGTATTGCCCCATCCACACTCTCCCTTGGTGGGATATTCTCTCAAGACAGAGACTCATCCCTTATGCTGGCGTTAAGCTTACTTTACACCCGTACTTACTGTGTGGGCCGATTCGCCACTGCTCAGTCCATGGATACTCATCCCTACTTTCTACCTTCGCAAACTCCTGCATCATCCTAACCGTCACGTACGCAGCCTCAGTATTCACTAACTGCTGCGCCGGGCAGGTCCGTGGACCCCCACCGAATGGAATAAAACTCCAGAACGGCTTCAAACCTTCCCATCTCTCGGGACGGAATACGGCAACATCAGGCCCCCAGATGTCTTCGTCCTGGTGCAGACAATAGATGTTGAAATTAATGTACTCGCCCTTGCGGACCAGCAGCGGGGATTTTTCGTCGGGTCCACCACCAGTCGGGAGGATAGAGTCAGCCAAAACACAACGTGGGTTGTTGTCGGAGATGGAGTACATTCGGTGGGCTATTCCATGACAGTCAGCAAGAATATTCGGAAGGAGTTTGAAGAACGAGGCACTGACCCTCATTGATGACCCATTGCAAGTACTTGATAGATTTCAAAAGCTCAAATGTAAGCGGCTGGCTCCCCACTGCCATTACTTCCTTCCGAAGTCTAGTCCAAATGGTGGAATTCCGAGCCAGTGCATGAAATATATTGGCTACGAGAAAAGCAGTCGTGTCACGACTCGGCATGAAGACTGCGAGAATCTGGGAACGCAGGTCCAGCTTATCTTGTGTCTGCTTGACCATCTCGTTTAACAAGATGTAGCGATGATCTTTTTCGTCTTCCGTGCCTCCATTCATCTTGCGTTGCTTTTCTCCTTCGAGAGCTACATCGATGTGTTTTTCGACGAATGCATGCACGATACGGACAGATTCAAACCAGAGCGGATCTCGATAAAGGAACTTGAGACGACCCAATCTGACTCTATTGCCAAGGCCTTCCATCACGTAGTCGAAAGACTTGATGAAGAGTTCTCCCTCTTCGGCCGGTAAAGGGAGAAGGGTATCAGCCGATTTTCCAAAGAGAAATTCAGTAGATGTATCAAGGAACTAGAAGAGATCTTAGCACAAGACGCATCATAGCAAACTTTGACGTGATTTACAGACCAGCCGTGAAAAGAGAGGCTGTAAATCAACTGTGGCCCCGTCCTTTGGAAGTAGCTCTAATAACCTTTTGAAATGAAACTCCAGAGAAGCTAAATTGCAGATTTCTACTCGTGAGAAGGTAGGTTTAATCAGGGATCGACTGTATTGCCAATATTCGCCGTCTGTCGTATTGATCCCATGGCCAAACAATGGCTCGGCAAGACCCTCTCGAAGTGGCTGTAGTCCGTAGTCTTTCGCATTGAGACCGAGGACTGCTTGTATGTTCTTTGGCTCCATAGTCCGAATCATACGCTTTCCAAGGAAAACAACCTCGTGTGTCTTGCCATAGATGGCATACTGGTGCTGAATTTCTTCGAGGTAAATGCAGGCCGTATGCTCTTTTGCATCTTTGACGAGAAGGTCTATGCCAATGAATGGCTCGCTATGTGGATACTTAACAGCTTCACCACAGCCGTGTTGCTGCTTCTTGCGCTCGTAAGACCTCTTGTCGATGAGCTTGGTGATCGCGACGTATAGGATTAAGGCTGTCGCCCCAAGGGCAATAACTTGCGATATTAGGCCCATACTGTGTCCAAAATGACGAGAAGGCGGGCACAGAATAGGGGGCTGGCAGCCTGGCTCAGAGCAAGAAGAAATGACCTGTTGTAAAAACGACCTGAAGCTTAGGGGCAGCTCAACGAGAATTCTGAGCGTGGAACATTTCCTGTAACAGGAGCGACCAACCTAGTTGGTACGTACCCAAGCACTCGGTAAACATTACTGTACTGTACGTGAGCCAACGCAATCGGTCGGAAATTTCCCAGATTTTCGTTGGTCGTGGATAAATAAATGTGAGCGCCTGCAGCTTCCCCATGCAGAGAACTTCGTGGGAGGTGGGGCCTGCAAGCCAGCGGCGGAAGGATGAAGTGGCACGACCTAGGCTTTATCTCGCAACTTTCTCCAAGTAGCAGGGAGTCTGCTATGCACGCTGCATTCCCATGTACCATGTAGTTGAGAATCCTACTTGGCTGCTAACGGCAACAGGAAACTGGCCTGCCACTGCGTCGCATTCGAGTCGCGGCTCAGTACATTGGAGGCGTGGGCACATTGTGCATCTTGCCGTCCATGGTTGATTTGACAATGTGAAGTTCCTATTTGGAAGGTCAGTATTTCATGAAATTCCCGTTTATTATTGTTCTCTCAACAGTACTTCTGGTTGTTGGACCCATTTGTCACACATCACCTTATTCTCCATACAACTCAAAATGTCGACAAATTCATCTAGTCCCAATGCGGCTCCTCATATGAAGTCTCCCATAGATGTTTCTTACATCAACGAGAGGTCTATGATAGTTGTTGGGGCTCTATTCCCAACTTTGAGCATCATATTCGTATGCCTTCGCTTTTACGTTCGCCAGAAGCAGAAAGCAAAGATTCTGGCTGATGACTTGCTTCTCCTTCCGGCTCTGGTAAGTCGAACTTGATCATCTGGTCATTCGATATTTGGAACAGTGTTAATCTTCTGCCAGGCGATTATCATTGGAATGGGAATTGCTTTTATCATTGGTAATCAAATGTCCTTCAAATATCTTCGAGACAGCACTTACTTCTTACAGGCGCAAGAGGACATGGACTCGGCGATACCAAGGGCTTGCCTGCTGGCGCTCCACCTGAACTCGAATTTACCTTCTTGACACCACAGATCATCTTAACAGAAAAGGTGTAGTACGGATGCTATGAAAACGGTACTCCACTAACATGCATTTCAGGTTCAATTCATATGCCAACTCATGTCCGTTATCTGTATCGGATGCATCAAACTCAGTGTCGTCATGTTTTATCGTCGGATATTTGTTACGCATAACAAGTCCTGGTTCTCATGGGCCTCCTCAATCATTTGTGGCGTTATTGTTGCTTGGACTATTGCATTCTTCTTTGTGTTCCTCTTCTATTGTGGAACACATATCGAAAAGGAATGGAGTACTGTGGTCGAAATTATCGAATACTGCCCGAACGCTTTGAACGATCAAATAGCAATTGGAGTCTCCGATGCTATCGTTGATATCGCAATTCTGTTAATCCCTATACCAATGGTAATTTCACCTAACTCAGGCTCCGGGCTTTGCTAACTACTATCCAGATTCTTAAGCTGCACCTTGACACAGCTAGAAAGATCATGGTCATGAGCATATTTCTGTTGGGAGGATTGTATGCCACCCTTCTATGTATCTTTTTTGGTATCTTGGGTTAACAAGACTTAGCGCTGTTGCCGCATCGATTGTGCGAATGGCAATATTCATACAAGTAGTTGTTGGTAAGTAAGGTAGACTTTCTGGAAATGATGAATCATGCTAAAATTTGACAGTTGGATTTACCCCAGCTCTTGATGGTGATAAGGACATCAGTCTCATTCTCTTCTGGACTATGGTTGAGTCTGGGACCGCTATCGTTGCAGCATGCCTTCCGACGATGAAAGTTCTCACTCATAATATCAACCTCGAAAACTTCTTGAGAAGCATCAAGAGTACCTTTTCCCTTCCATCTAGGGGCTCTCAAGCCTCCGTTTCCAAGGCGAGCAGCTCCAGATCGCATGTTAATGGCGGCTCATCTATCGAATATATCACAAGGCCAGAAAAGAACTCTAAGGTTGAGAGTTGCGCTATGCACGACATGGAAAGCTTCGATTTCAGCAGGTCAGATGAGAGCGCGATACAAGTGCAGAAGACTTTCCGCCAAGAAAGCATTGAGGTGTGAGATGATACACTTGATTATTTACGGTAGACTGGTTGTTTTGGAGTTTTAACATATTTATACACATAATAGATGATGTTTAGGGAAAGAAAAAGTGCAACTGTTAGACCATCTCGGCAGAACTCTTGTAATAATTGGACATCATATGAGACATGGCAGCATCTGTCTTCAAGTTCTGTTCCATTCTGTGCTGTGCAAAACCTGAACTATCGATTCTATCTTTTTGCCAGAATCTTAAAATTAGAACACTAGATATAAAAAAACTGAAGCCTGCATATGTTGAAAGTAAAATTGATTGCCTACCTAGGTAGGTAGCAGCCGTACTTCCTGCACATCAGACGATCTGCAACTGCGGGTGGCTTATTTCCAGTCCCTGAATCTGCGCCACTACACAGCATCCCAATCAATCAAAAACATGCCGATGATTGCACCGGCTCTGGAAAGGGTTTAACTTCTCATGTCGGTACTTTAGAAAGGTAGAGTTGAGACGGTTGCGCCTCGAGGACACAGCGAGCTTGTCAGCCTACATACTATTGTCTATTTTCACTGGAAGGACTCTCTTAGAATCCTTCAAAAGTCACACTTTGCCGCCAAAGTAACGCTAGTACCAGCGACTTTAACCACATACCAACTTCACAGGGATGTGCGCACAATCAGATGTTGGTCATGCTGATGTCAATATCTCGCAAGGTTCCCAGGAGGAGAATGAGATCCCGCTGTCGGCGACATTCTAGATCTGCGTTGGGGGCTGCTCAAGTCTTTTCAAGGACAAGGGTTGTTGTAGAGAATCAAAGTTATGTAGCTAGATTCCCGGCAAGAGCACTTCTTATTCTACAGCATCGAAAAGTTTCATCTTTGTTCCATCACTCACCAAATCATACCAACAGCGAAGAGTGACAAAGAATTCAACATGCGTTTCTTCTTCATCACTACGCTTAGTGTGCTCCTCACCACTTCGATGGCAGCACCAACCTCAATTACAGGTAGTTCACATCTTCCTATTCAATATCCATTAACTCAGCCGTGACCAGAAAGTCGAGCAGTGAACTTCGAACCCGTTGCCAACGCCGCGGTTCCCGACCTTGGGGAAATCTTTGAGGGTCATAAGACGAGCGCTGAGCATGCAGCCATGGGGATTGGATATTCAAAGCGGACAGTCAACTTCAAGGCGGTTGAGGGGGCGAACGTTCCTGATCTTGGAGAGATATTCGAAGGGCATAAGACTAGCGCTGAGCATGCTGCCATGGGTATTGGGTACTAAGATATACTGAGACATAGGTTAGAACATCTAGGAAAGATATGGTGGGTGGCAGTGACCAAGTATTAGAGTTTGGATAATTCAGAGTAATAAAGTCTCTTTATAATTGGTTTCGCTGCAAACTGATCTCAATGTGGGTGACCCAACTGACCTGCGATACCCCTGTGATATACCGAGTACAAAGATGGACGTGAAAGGAGTAAGTACTTACAAAAAAGACTCCCCTTCAGACAAGGAAAAGCAAGCCCTAATCTGTACAATTGTCCTGATCTGCAATACGATGTCATTATGAGATGATTCATCTCGCCTCCCTCCGCAAATCTTCATACAACGGCACCTCTTCCCCAAAAACCTCAACAACCTTCTCTCGCCACGGACTTCCCGCTGGACAATACACAAATCTCTGAATCTCAGGTAGATCCTCACTTGTCTGATTCACATAAGCATAACAACTATTATACTTCTCCGCCCATTCGTCAAGCTTGTCCCAGCTTCGACACATCCGCATTTGACCCACACCGGACTCCGGTCTCTTACTCTCTGTCGAATATCGAGGCGTATCATCAGCATTGCATAGAATGTCCTGGCGGATAGCATCTGCGCAGTGGAGAACATGGCCCCAGGAGCGCGACTGCTCGTCACCGCGGTAGAATTCTTGAAGTGACAGGTAGATGGCGCGCTGAATGTAACTCAGTCTTCGAAAATTTCTGAGGAGAAAGGGGGATATTACAATGCAGTGTAAGTTGTGGTATCCGTTGAGCAAATATATACTGCGTGAGTCGTCCCAAGGGAAACGTTGCGCTTCACGAAGACCATGCAATTCGACTAAGTCATCCGGGAGAGCGACCATGCCGGCATCGATATTGATATCCTCCCAGAGCTGGGTAGCCAATGTCTGATTGGAATCAGTGAAGGGGGTGTTTTCTTCAAATGGCACTGGAACGTCTCGTTCTAATTTGGCTGGTCGAGACTGATCAGCTTCTGGTAGCTAGGAACAAGAGGAAGGGATAATACCAAAAAGTGTTTTAGAATCTTGTAAAGGCTGACAAGAGCCTACTGAAAATCTAGTTGAGATAATGAAAGTGAGGATATTTGAAAAGAGTAAACAAATGAAGAAGAAAGCCATGTGCCTACTGCCACCCCAGGGAGGTCTGGAGGCAGCAATGTCAACCGGCGATTCCTCTTCTTTTAGAACACTGTATTTAGCGTACGAAGACATTGCTACTTCTTCTGTGTGAACGAGAAGAGTTTTCTAATGACTTTCTTCGGAATTCGACATGAAGCAATTATCTCCACAAGAATTATCAAAATAATTTGCTGCTACGATGGGGTGCGATATCATTCTGTCGAATCGGCGTAGTATGGGATACAGGTTGGAACCAGAAGGTTTGTTCCTGCAGGGTCAATCATTTAGTGGATTCCCGCCTCACACAACCTGTTTATGCTAATATCTCAAATCCTACCGAAAAATTACGAACCGGGAAGCGTTAAGTGCATTTTCTCGTAACTAATTTTGCTTTAACGGCGCATGCGGCGCTTGCATTGCATCTTCCCCTGGGTGAATTGTCACTTAAGATCGGCACCGCACCAGAGAGGCACAGATGCATGCGTACTAGCTCCAAGTGCCGAAGTCCCCTAGATACCTAGGTATGTGGCAATGCTCGGGATCGTCCGTGTATAGATAGGAAATGCTGTAGCCCGATGCAGCAGGTGAACAAGCAATTATAGTATTCGGTCAGTAACGCAGATAACCTCAGTAGTTGTACGTCAATTACCTTTCACTTCCTGAACCCTAGGCCCTTCCATGTTCTTTGAGTGTGTTGTCTCTCGAAAAGCTTTTTTGCCAACAGCTGTTCAAATTTCACTTTACAATCATGAAGCCGAGTATGGAAGAAAATCGGCTCTTGGAAGATATGAACGAAGAGGACTACGAGATAGAATTTCCTCCCCGACACTCTAACAGATCAACTTGGACATTTAGGAGTATCTTAACATGTTCTCTACTAATCTTATCAATCTCCATCAACATCTTCCAGTGCTGGTATTTCCAAAATTTTGCTTCTGAGCGTTCAAAGCATGGTGAGTTTGCACACTTTTTCGACCTTGAAAACTGCCAACCTCTATCACAGCTGGCGTGACTGGAGGAATCTCAAGAAACTTCGTAACCAACACAGAATGGAGCAGCGACAACACAACACACGCCGACATGCTGTGGACGGAACTTAGTCCCGACACCGGCATGGTCGTCGTCGACGCCGACTACAGCCAAAAGATGGGCTTGTACCGAACACAGCCTTTCCCGTGGGACCAGAGCAAGAACATTTACATGCTCGAGGGCTATCACAGCCTGCACTGCCTAGTTCGTTGCGCCCCTAAAGAAATTTCCAAATCTCCGTGACTAATGGCAACATTAGATGTACATCTACCGCGCCCTTCGAGAATTCGAGCAAGGGATCCCACAAACGACACCAATGCACCATCACATCCACTGTCTGGACGCATTAAGGGAGAACGCCATCTGCTCAGCAGACGACACGCTCCGACCAGCAGGCAGCGGACAAGCCACCCCGCTAGTTCCGGAAAAGCAGCCGCGCAAGCAATGCCGTGACTGGAATCAACTAGAGAGGTGGGCGGTGGAGAACTCGGCGTGCTTTAAGCGATATCCAGATGATGATCCGAAACACCGTACGCTTGAGGAATGGAGGAATTGTCCAGAGAATTCGCAGTTCATGCCTTTGGTGAATAAGTTCTTTAATGGGAGTTGAGAATTTAATGAGAATACTTCCTCAGAGAACCGAGCGTGCAGCCTTTGTCTCGTGAGCTTCCATGCTGAAAGTTTGGGATCCCTTGTGCCAGAAACTAAATATGAAAAGTAATAATTGGGATTTTGAGCATGTAAGGAGCAGTGAAAAGTAAATTTCTTGCAGGGGTTGTTGTGTGTGCGTATGAGGGATTCTCCAACTTCAACTTCTCTTTGGTACACACGACTCTTCACGTGAGGCTGTCCATTTAAAGATCCAAAAACTCCTTGCATCCTGTCCAGCTTTTTCGCCATCTAATAGATACCAGATATAGCTTTTCCCCCTGTGTCATGTGGCCCGAACGATCAACAAGCAGTCGAGTAATGGCATTAAGCTTGTCTCATCTCCAAAGCTATTCTTCCCTCTCTTTCGTTGTCTCGATATGAGGCAGGGACAATGTGCTTCGCCAGACCAAGACAATTTGCGTTTTCCTGCCGCCAGGTTGTCTTTGTGCTCTGATGTACAAACGAAGATATTCGATGAATACGACGTAGTAGTAGACACCAAGTCCTGTGAAGATATGCCACCTTTTTGACACTAGTATCAGCAATACTAGCTCTATAGGAGGATGACTTTGCTCACCAGCCATGCAACTCTGTGACAAATCCTAAAGGCATGCCAACAATATCTCTGAAGCTGCGAAGCGCTCCACATGCATGATTATCAATCCTCCAGAGCACATAGCCTCCAACAAACGTCACTGGAATATGTTAGCGAGATTTGAGACCATTATCCTGTGCTCCCTACCTGCTCCGTATAGCGCAAGACCCTTCATGTCCTTCACGGCATCTCGATCTGTCACTTTTGTGCTCACTAACCATACACACTGACAGAACACCGTCCAAACCATCAAACCGAAGACGCCTTGAAACCCAGGCGTATAGTCGATACAATAATGAAGTAAAGAGGCAGAAAATGCAATGCAGGCAACGGAAATGCCGAGGAATCTGCGAGCCTCCGGGCCAAGTGTTACGCTCAGGGCAGCATAAAGTATTGATGCAGTTGCATACATCATCGAAAACTCATCAACTTTTGAAGATGTTAGCCGTAGATTTTTTCTTTCCTGAGTGATTTACTTACCCATTTGGCCACTGTACTTTATAGTCGTGTGATATGCCATTGATCCTGGTCCCACGCTGGCGAGCATTGCATAACATAAGATAACAACTTTGTCTCTTCCGTTTCGCTTGGTGTTTTTGATGCCATGCCAGCCCAGGTACACTGATGGTAAGCCAAATATATTGCGAGAGCTTCAGGGACAACATACAGTACATAAGACTAGTTGCGGTGTTGATAAATTCGGCAATATACGATGTCAGGTAAAAGTCCTGGACAAGTCAGACTCAATCCGGCTCAACGAGCGAGATATCGAATCACCAATTCACAGAATCTCGAGAAAACATTAGCAGAACTCCGTTATAGGAAAATTCGTGACAAACCGTGCTGACGATGTCATTTCACCCCATGCTGACTGACCTTCAACATACGGCCAGCTCAAGAAACCCATTTTTGAAACAATCTCAAAGTTATCTCAAAGCAGATCCAGAACAGAATAATGTGATAGAAGATGAAGATTTTCCATTGAGGAATCGCAACTTATATCTCAACTCAAGCAACGTGCGACGTCCAGAAGGAACTCATCGCTGATTGGCTGGAGACGGAAAATCGGTGCATCTGCGGACGGAAAATTGACGACTGGTCAAACATCTCAGTCAGCTTGCCTCCGTTTCTTATCTGCCCGCTCCCTCGCGGCTACGCAACGCAAGCAGGGCTCCATCCGTTCGAAAAGGACTGAGAACTTTGTTCTCTGTCGTTTGCTTTGCAAATGTCATGTAGCACTGAAGTCAGTGAAGTGCTGGCCGCTGTCGGAGTGTCATCTTCAGGGCGCCGGCGCTGATCGAATGGTGGGGCTAGCGAATGGCATCCACTATGATCCGACGAAAAGCGTTCAGTTTGTAAGCTATTCTCCAATATGGAGCTTTATATATTGGCATCAATTCCACAGGGAAATCTATAACGCAAATATACACTTTCAAAGGGTCAAGCAATCAAACAGCAATTTCGGAGAGAGTTGGTCCCACACGTGATAACGACCCCACCTTCCTAAAATGGACAACTCTAGGTCCTCTCAGCGAAACATTGAGCTTGACGGCTGGAATCGGCGGACGACTTCAAATGAGGCAGACGGAAGCTTGATACTTGATAACAATGGCGGTGTTCAAGATGTCGAGGGACGAAATATTGTAATTCAACAATTGAAGCCTGTAGACGGAGGACCTGATGCTTGGAAAGTGTTGATAGCTGCTTTTATCTTCGAAGCTTTACTCTGGGGTAAGTCGATGAGCCTTGCTCTTGAACTACAGCACTAAGATCAAAAGGTTTTCCAATCTCCTTTGGTGTTTTCCAAGATTATTATTCTACTCTACCTCAATTTGCAGGCGTCAATTCAAAAATCGCACTCATTGGTACTCTAGCTCAAGGACTTTCCTACCTTGGAGCACCTATCTCAGCAATGGTAACGAAACGTTTTCCAAAATATCATCGTCTACAAATCTGGATCGGATGGCCAGTCTGTCTCGGTGGGCTTGTTGCTGGCTCATTCGCTACTACGGTCCCCTCCCTCATTGCAACCCAAGGAATCATGTACGGTATTGGCTTCATCACTTTGACCTATCCAATAATCTCCATGGTCGACGAATGGTGGGTTCAAAGGAAAGGAATGGCATTAGGACTCATTGCCAGCGCATCAGGAGCATCGGGGGCCATTATGCCGTTCATCATTTCCGCTATGCTGAACAAGTACGGATACCAGACAACATTGCGAGCAATCGCTGTCGCAATGGCACTACTCACCGGACCTCTCATCCCATTCCTCAAAGGACGTCTTCCACCTTCTGAACGCAGCGCTATTGCGAAGACAAACTGGTCTTTCCTCCGAAAACCACTCTTCTGGATCTTTGGCGTATCAACTTTAATCCAAGGCCTGGGATTCTTCTTCCCAGCTCTCTATCTCCCTTCCTACGCAACAGCAATAGGCCTTAGTTCCACACAAGGAGCTTTAGTTCTTGCAATCATGGCGCTGGCCCAATTGATCGGCCAATTTGCGTTCGGTTTCCTCTCGGACAAGAAACTCTCAGTCAGCACCCTCGCCATATTTTGTTCTTTCATGGCAACCATTGGGTCTTTTGCTGTTTGGGGAATGTCGAAATCTCTCGGTCTCCTTATACTCTTTAGTATCATATACGGCTTCTTCGGATACGCATTCGCAGCTATGAGAGCTGGGATGGGAAAGGCTGTCAGTGATGATCCTTCTGCTGTTGTTGCTACGTATGCTATTTTGGTTTTCCTCCAGGGCATTGGAAACGTACTGGCAGGTCCGATTAGTGCGGCGTTGTTAGAGAGGAATGTTAGGTTAAATGTCTATGGTGTTGAGAGGTTCAGGAGTTTGGTTATCTTTACAGGGACGTGTATGTCTGCTAGTGGATTTGTGATTCTGGGATGGTTTTTGAGACCGAGTAAGGTTTTTGCTGTGAGATAGTTTGTGTTCCACTTTGGGTTGCTTATAATGTCCTTTACGAGCGATACATTTTGTATTTTGCTTCGACATAAATATAATATAAAGCACCTACGACCACGACGGTAGATTATGGATCCTAGAAGCATAATACAGGCTTTTAAGCTTGATGGAAGGAAGCTACAGGCTGTTGAAGTGGGGGTTCTAGCGAGTTTACAGGGTAAGGTTAGCTCGGGCCGAGCCAAGCCATGCCGTCACCGACAATTTTCCAGCCCAGCTATCAACATTGCACTCTTTCATCTCTCCCAAACAACCACCTGCCACAATGTCTTTCCAACACACCCTCGACGGCCTCCTAGCCAAAGGCAAAGCCAAACTAAACGAATTCACTCACCCAGAACAACAAGCACCACCCCAAAACTACAACCAAAACTACAACTACAACTACAATGCCCGCCCACCTCCACCACCCATAAACTACGCCAGCAAGCCCACCAACTTCGCACCTCCCATCCCTCCCCGGCAGGCAGCTCCCTACTGGAAAGCCGATTTCAACCCCTCAACCCCCATATCCTCCATCTTCGTCCAAGAAACCGGCGCCCACGGCTGGGGCAACAACGAATCCCAAAACTACACCACCTCCCCCACCAACTCCTTCTTCACACCCTCACACCAGCTCGTCCTGCGCGCCATATCCTCACCCTCGTCCCCAGAAAACAAATACACCTCCGCACGCCTCTACACGCACCAAACGCTCTCCCGCCCGCGCGGCTGCCTCACAGCCGTCCTCTTCGCGCCGTGCGCCGACGGCATCTGGCCCGCGTTTTGGCTGCTGCCGCAGGAACCGTTCAAGTGGCCCGATGACGGCGAGGTCGATATCTTCGAGAGCTGGAACGGGGATCGGGTGAATCGCTCGTGTTTGCACTGGGGCCATTTTAATGGGGAGGATTGGGATAAGCATCGGGTTGTGGAGACGAGGATCGAGGATATGGGGGAAAGGCCGCATGTTTTTGCGTTTGCGTGGGAGCAGGGGGAGGAGGGGAGGGGTGGGAGGTGTGTTTGGTATGTGGATGGGAGGGCGGTTATGAAGGCGACTATCCCGCAGGGCACGAGGAGGATGAGTGAGTGGAGGGTTATTTTGAATGTGGCGATGGGGGGGAATGTTTGTGGGGGACGGCTGCCGAGGGAGGGGAGTTATGATTTTGTAGTGCATGAGTTGAAGATAGAGGAGCAGCCTGTTGGGGGGTGGGGCCAGTTTGGGGTGGATTGGGAGAAGGCGATGGAGGGGAAGACGATGTGAGTTACGAATTGGATGATATATAGACTTGTCGTTACAGGGCTAGCGCGGTGTCACCTAGGATTTAACAATGAGATTCAACTTGTTGCCAAAGAGCAAGGTATTGACTGTGCTCTACTCTTGAATTCTATTGTCCAAGTACACAGCATGCTCTCTGTACCATCTGTTCTCCAAAGCCCTCTAGATCCTAAACCACTGAGATATCTTTCGTGTAAGCTAACGCCTCCGATTTTATAGCAAGCATTTCATCAACAGCTTCTCAATACTCCTCAACGTCTCCGGTCTTGAAGTCTGACTAGCCATTAGATACAACACATTTCCCAATACCCTATTGTGAATTTTGAAATCTTCACATCCGGCTAATAGCTTCTTCTGTAGTCCGGTAGCTGCTGTTGAGCTATAACCTATTGAAAACTCATAGATCAATAACACAACAAGGAGGTAGGTAGAGGAAACACTCACCAGCGTGTTCATCTTGCAAATTTATAGCCAACACCGAACCCAACGCAATCACACTCTCAACCTCCCTACTCATCGAAATATCACTCACAAACCCCTTTCCCCACACACTCCACACCTCACTTCCATTGCTTTCTCCCACCGTATCACTCGTCTTCCAATCCTCCATACACCCGTTCCAAGCCCCCTCCCTCTCCAAGCTCGTCAACTCCCTCAAACTCTGCAGAGCAACATTACAACCCACCGCATGCGCAGTATAACTATGACCATGCAACAACGCATCAGCTTTCTCTTCTCCCAAGAACGCATCATAGATACTCTCGCTAGCTAGCGTGGCGCAGAGCGGAACAAGACCACCAGTGAGGAGTTTGGCGTGTACGGAGATGTCGGGGTAGGTTTGGATTAGAGTGGAGGGTGAGGGGACGCCGAGGCGGTAGAGGCCGGTGAATACTTCGTCGTGGATCACAGGGAGGCCACGCCAAGCTGTTGATGAGGGGTTGGAAGGGGGTGAGAAGAGTGGGAGTGAGCGGATTGTGGAGGCGAGGAGGTGTTGGAATAGGGGATCGCTTGAGGATATCAGTCGTTGATGTTGAGAAAGGGGAAAGGGGCTTACGCGAAGAGCATTCCGCCTGCTCCGAGGATCACTGGCTAGAGGTTTGTTAGTTTATACTCAGACAGGGAGGTGGAAGGAGAAATCCGTACCTCCATGACCAAAGCACCAAATTCCATTCCTTCTACTCTGATCAAACTGTCCAGCGTCTTCTCGATATGTTTCCTATATGATCTTGCAGACTCAGACTTCAGTCTAGCCTGAATGTCAAAAATACCACCAAGCGACTCGAACTTGGTAGTCCCACCAAACTCACTCTCCAACCCACCGGGACTTTCAACAATCCACTCCATTCTCTTCATCTTGACTTGCGGAAAATCAAACCAATACCCTCGTCCTTGATACCAGTGGACACGCTCATTAAAAGTGCTCGGTTCTGAACAATCCATAGCACCGACCGTATCTCCATGATAACTCCCTTTAAGCCCTATGATCCCTAGATTTCTATCAACCTTGTGCTTTGTTGGGCTAACAGAGTTAGCAGCTGTTAGAGCCATCTTGATAGCAACTTCCATTCCGGTACTCCCATTATCCGAATAAAACACACGTGATAATCGAGGGTTGTTAACCGTTTCGAGGAGAGTATTGGCGAGGTTCAAAGCTGGTGCATGGATTGTGCCGGCGAACATTACGTGGCCGTAGCGACCGGATGCGTAGGCTGAGGCGAGGGTTAAACTTGGCGAGGAGTGGCCGAGGCCTTGGGTCCACCAGGATGCGGAGCCGTCATAGGTTGGTGCAAGGAGACCTTCGTCTGGTGGAGCGGTAGTAGGTGAAGAACTTGAGGTTGAGTATGTTTGGAAGAAGTCTCCGTGAGCTGAGTCGATAGCCATTATTGTATTCGGAGAGACTTCTCGATGTTGAGTGAAGGGATACCAGATTGTCTTGTGAGCTTTCTCGGACATCTCTTCTATAACCTGGATCCGCGTAGCATGTCTCTGTATCAGATAATCTAAAGTCTCTTCCACCCGGTCGAGGACACTCATTTTATCGTAATAAGCAGACATGGCTTCCATATCTGCTTCTGGATCCTGGTCTCGTGCTGGTGGAGGAGGGAGAGACGGTGACAAGATCCCCTTCTTTGCGAAATAGTTGCTAAGGTATTCGTGATTCTGATATTTCTGGTCTTCGAATTGACATACAGTTTCAAGATCATAGCCTCTTATGTGGAGAGACTCGAATGCAGAAATTGTGGCTGAGATTCCACCCAGATGGTGATCAGCCACCAGACAAACTGGTAGACGTAAAGGACGGAAGAGATCTGCTTGTGAGGATCCGCTTGGCGTGGGAGAGTGGACTCCTCCTGCAGTCTCGAGAAAGAGTAGACCTGAGCCGGAATTGGCACATGACGATAGATGTGACAAAACTTGTTCTTGAACAGAGGTATCCGAGAGCGGCTGCCTCTATTTTAGTTATGAGATCTGAAGTTTGTAAGGGATGCCTACCTCACTTGATCGAGCAGCAATATGCGGGCTCACTGCTTCATCGAATTGGTAGAAACATTTCGTCTGGACGCCGGGAGCGAAGTGAGAGATATGTCTATCATCTGCTTCATCTAGAGGTCCTGTAGAGACAGGCTTCAAGTACCATGTATTTTCTGAAGGGAACTTTCGAGCATGTGCCTTGAGAAGGATTGTCGACATTATCGTTTTGCCGACATTGGTATTTGCTCCGTAGATCTGATAGGACCGGAGGTTCCTCCAGAGGGAGGACATTCTGGTTACCATTTTTAGCTGAAGAGCTGCATTTCGGTCAGCATTACAGGCCCGAAGAAAGTTTGAGATTTAGACAATAGGAACATCATGACTGCGACAAAAGATCCAAACTTGTGTGAGAAAGGAAGTTCGAAATACATACCCCTTTTCGGAAGGAGGGGCAGCTCACCGCTGATTGGTTCCCCTGTCCCGAGCCGAACCCGTTGCCGAGACTTTAACCTCTGTGTCACAATGTACGTGAGATGGAAGTCTATTCCAACATCACCTCTTCCTCTCTCGCACGCTCGATTCAGGAACAATTGTGATCTCAGAAACCCAAAACATGGCACTGGCAACGTCTCCGATCGCTGATTGGGTTCCCGTTCTCGCAATGCAAACCTTTCACGACAGGGGACTCGCAAGTGCGGGGCACAGCAGACACCAAGGTGAGGTATTATTTGATAGCATCAGTAATGGCTTGAATTAGTGTCTTTGGGCGCATTACCGACAGCAAAAGCGTCTCCAGCGAGACCAGTGAGCGTTTCAACAATTGGTAGCCCCCTGAACGAACCCAACAAGTGGGAGTTCAACAGTTGTCAGCACAGGGGTAGTGAAGGATGGTCCCGCACGACATCCACCGAGACTCAGGCTAAAATCCAAAGCTTCCTCGGTGCCCCGCGACCTTGCTGGGACTTCTCCGTTCCTCCTTTTATCTCAGCATGTGGATGCATTGATTCTACATCCATATCTGACAATGCGTGGCCATCGACCTCAAGCTCTTACGGTTTCTCTTAGAGGATTGCTCCAGGAGAGCAAACCTCAACATGTTTTGCGAAGATATGGCACCGTTTCGTCCGTTTCTGCCCAATCTGCTGCCCCGCCATCCATCTTCAGCAATGCTTTGGATGCAAACGCGCCGAGACACAATTGGACCAGGGAAGAAATCAAGGAGATCTACGATACTCCATTGATGAACCTTGCTTTTGCTGCAGTAAGATATAATTTCATAACGAGATGATCAATTCTCCTGATGAAATCTCAGGGCACTGTTCATAGGAAGTTTCACAATCCTGCATCGATCCAGATGTGCACGTTGATGAATATCAAGACTGGAGGCTGCAGTGAAGACTGCTCATACGTGAGTCCTACCATATCATACTTATGCTTTCTCGTCTAACATGTCCACAGTGTGCCCAATCGTCACGATACCAAACTGGCCTCAAAGCCACCAAAATGGTCACAGTTGACTCGGTTCTCTCTGCGGCGCGAATTGCAAAGGATAATGGCAGTACAAGATTCTGCATGGGTGCCGCGTGGAGAGATATGCGAGGACGAAAGACAAACCTGAGAAATATCAAGGAGATGGTCAATGGTGTACGAGAAATGGGCATGGAAGTCTGCGTAACACTCGGCATGATCGATCTCGAGCAAGCCAAGGAATTAAAAGACGCCGGACTTACAGCATACAATCACAACGTCGACACATCTCGAGAACACTACCCTTCAGTCATCTCTACACGAACATACGATGAGCGATTACAGACAATTGCCAATGTCCGAGAAGCAGGACTGAACGTCTGCACTGGAGGTATCCTTGGACTTGGGGAGAAACCAAGTGATCATATTGGTCTGATCCATACCGTTGCAACTCTACCTTCACACCCAGAAAGTTTCCCAGTCAATACTCTGGTACCGATCAAAGGTACACCCATGGGAGACAACGCACCTTCACCGTTCGACGCAACATTAAGGACAATTGCAACAGCGAGAATGGTCATGCCAAGAACTATCATTCGTCTAGCTGCTGGTAGAACAACACTTTCGGAGGAACAACAAGTCCTCTGCTTCATGGCTGGTGCCAATGCTGTCTTTACTGGAGAGAAGATGTTGACTACTGCTTGCAATGGTTGGGATGAAGATAGAGTTATTTTTGAGAAGTGGGGCCTGAGACCCATGGAGAGCTTTGAGGTTGAGGCTTTGAGAGAATTGGTTTCTTCGTCGGCGCCACCGCCTATTGAGGAGAAGCCAGTTACTACTGCCGCTGCGTAATTTCGATGATAAAAAATAAGCAATCGTTATGTAGATACTTTTGTATGATGCTTAATGTTGCGAGAACATCGACCTCGCTTGTTCTGCTCTTGGCCAAAAACACTCATGATATGGCAAGACACAGTAGACTTTCAAGATACATGTACTCCGATTGACTTCAAAGTGACTCTCGTATTCTTGAATATCCCAGACCCTCCAACAATGCTCCACACAACCCTGAACCCAAATTTCCCCGTGAAAAATCACGTGCTAGCTCAACAACCCAGAAAGACTTTTACCATCTACATTCTCCCGAACCTTACATCCTTCCATCGGACCTATTACCCTATCTCATCCATCTTCACTTACAGTTTCCTTTGTTCTTTGTCCAACAAACCCAGCCTCAAAAATGCCACCACTCATCGCCTCACAAATGTCCACGCTCCTCACCCGCCGAAAATCTCTCTCCTCCCACCGCACCCTAACAACCTTCCCACCCAGCTCAAAAGACTTCTCATCCAACGACTTCCTCTCGCTCTCCACCTCACCTCTCCTACGCTCCCATTTTCTGACCGAACTCTCATCCCACCCCAATTTCCGCCTCGGCTCCTCTGGTTCCCGCCTCCTTGACGGAAATTCCACTTACGCCGAAGAATTGGAATCTTTTATCGCAAACTTCCACAAATGTGAAGCAGCACTGCTATTCAACAGCGGATTCGACGCCAACGAAGGCTTCTTCGCTTCCGTGCCGCAGGACGGCGACGTCGTGGTCTGGGACGAGATGATCCATGCGTCTGTGCGGGAAGGGATCAAATTATCTCGTGCAGCGAAAAGTGTTAGTTTCAAGCATTGCGATGTCGATGATCTTCGTCGAGTTTTGAGAGATGTTAAGAGAGGGGATAGGAATGTTTTCATAGCGGTAGAGAGTCTTTATAGTATGGATGGCGATTTGGCGCCTTTGAAGCAGATTTTGGATGTGGTGGAGAGGGAAGTAGGGGAGAGGGGTCTGGTGGTTGTTGATGAGGCCCATTCGACTGGTGTTTATGGTGAGAAGGGGAGGGGGTTGTGTTGTGAGTTGGGAGTGGAGGAGAGGGTTTTTGCGAGGTTGCATACTTTTGGGAAGGCGTTGGGTTGTAATGGTGGTAAGTTTCCTATCTATTTTCTGGAAGGAAAAGTGAAAAGCTGATGGGAGGTCGTAGCTGCAATTCTGTGCTCGAAATTGACGAGAGAGTATCTGATTAACTACGCGAGACCGTTGATTTACACAACAGCAATGGGCTTCCCGTCTTTAGCTGCTATCAAAGTCGTCTATTCCCTCATGAAAGAAGGAAAAACTGACCCAGTAAGCTCTCCGAGCCCTTTTAGGTCCTCGAACTCTGAAATAACATCCCATAGCTCAGAATCCACCTCAACGAACTCATTATTCACATGTACCAACAACTCCAAACATTGCACCCTTATACAACATCAAGTGACCTCCTTCAAATCCCATCAGAAATGCCCCGCTCGCCAATCTTTGCTCTTTTGATGCCGGATCCGAGGAGCTTAGCGAAGTACTGTCAGGAGGCGGGATTCGTGGTTAGGGCTATCATGCCACCGACTGTGCCAATTGGGACGCAGAGAGTGAGGGTTTGTTTGCATGCGGGGAATTCGAGAGAAGATGTTGAGAGGTTGGTGGGTACCATTAGGAATTGGTTGATGTTGCAGAGGAGGGAAGTCAGGGAGCGTGGGTGTGAGGGCATGAGAGAAGTGTTTGTGAAAGCTGTGTTGTGAAAGTATCTCCACTAGTATTAGAGAGGGATTCATAGAATGATAAATATTTAGGAAAAGAAGTTCGTATGAAGAAGACTTTCTACTCCTCCTTAGCAAATACGGTTATGGTTGAGGCGAGAGGTGTTCAGTACATGGGGAGTCGAGATTTACACCTCGAACCACGTCAAGCTATTTCTAGGGCTCATGCCCAGCAAAAAAGAGTCAACAGTGAAACGAAGGAAGTATACTTAGTAGACAATAGACAAATTTTTTGTTGAAGTTAAGTCAACAGTCGTCTTGGGTAAATAAGCGAGCCCCTTATTGCACTACACTAAGCTTGAAATCAAATCGTGCTTTAAACATGATCAAGAAAAGCCACGAAAGAGGCCGAAATGATATTCAGCTTTGCTAAATGTTTTCATCCCTTTCCCTCTTTTGTGCCAGAAACGGATCGGTGCTAAGCGATAATCACGTAAAGTCCTTGAGGGGTAAAAGCAGTCTGTTTGTTTGTTTGCCCATGGAATTTTCTTGGTTCCTTGTCTGGGAGGCAATTACACAATTGGTCTTCACTGTCCCTACACACTAGGATGTGCTTATGTCAAGAGGTAAGTTGCTTTCAAGGTCGAATTTGAAGCTGGATTTTTCCATTATGGATTTGATATCGACGACCACCTTACTTCCGACATGCAACAAAACATCGAAAATCGAAAGTGAACTGATTGCGAGATTGAAATTGAATCCCAACTTGGAATGGCTTTCTTTTTATGTGAGTGATTAGCTTACTAGAGACATGCAAGAAAGTCTCTTCTGCTGAAGGTGGTAACATAGCCCAAAAGCTCCGTCGTTTCTTCGCATTATATAGCTTTCTCTACAATACCCCTCCATCACCAGTCAAGCCTGAACAACTAGCATCTCCAACGGTCTCACCACATTTGTATACACAGCCTGGGTAAAATTCGAGTCTGCCCAATTCGGCTTACCTTCGTACAAACAAAATATACACCACTTAATGATAGGACCCATCCTTGGTTCTTCCTCATCAACCGTGTCTAACCAGTCAATCGCTGTCAGATAATCAGTTCCTCCAATAGCTTTCCCGTCTGATGAAAGGTGTTTATTCCGTAGGTTGGTCTGGCTCTCTATCGTTTGGCCCCAACAAAGTTCTAGTAAGAGGATGCCGAGGCTGCTGAGACTTGCGCGCGGAGAATTGATATTCTGGGTTTCAGTTGTCGTTTCTCCTGATGGACAATGTGTAGCCTTGGTCGAAGGGAAAGAATGGCTGAGGTAAGGCTGATCTACCATGACCTCTGTCCCGTTGTGGTAGAAGAGGATTTTCTCCTTGTCCAGGCTGCCTCTCAGCCAAGGAGTAGTCTCGAGTTGTAAGAGTGATGATGCCAGGATGCAAGCAACTTTGTACCGCTTTTGTCTGGTCAATCTGATATGTCCGTCTTTCGCGAGTAGCTCCTCGAGGCTGATGAGATCCAAGTTTGCAGAATCTATTACTGCTTCTGTGAGGCAAGTTATTTCATGCATTCTCTTCTCATGATCGGAGAGGTATCCTAGTTTCGTCGCTTTGGGGTCAAGGTCTCTCAGAGTAGAGCATAAGTCACCGATTTCGACTTCTGCGCTTGTCTCTTCTGGCACTGATGGTGTGTCTGGAAATGACACATGTTGATTAGATGGTGTTGATGTTGGCCCGCTCCCAGGATCTTTGGCTTCTGCAGGCAAATCCATTGCGAAACTGATGCCTTTCTTAGCCTTTGGCCGAAGAGCAAGATTTGGCGTTTTTCTATCTGACGTTAGCTACAGGTGCAAGTGGGTTGGATTATGCTTTACTACTTACAACGACTGCTCGCTTTGCACAAGGACTTCTGTTCTACTCGCCGTCGACGTCGAGATACTTGAGATAGTTAAGCTAGAATCACTTTTTGAAAAGATCGATCCGAAACTGGTGAGCCGAGAAGACATCGACGATGAAGAAGAGGTGAAAGCGGGCCTTGCATGCACTGAATTTGTGATGGTGACTGATTGCGAAGAGGACCTCGAATCGAAATCTACTCTTAATGTATCGAGGTATGAAACTGCAGCAGCGGAGCCATTCAAGCTTTTCGGAGGAACAACCTGGCCAGTTCTCGATTCTTCTAGAACAACTAGTACTCTTTTCTGTTTTTGGGTCCCTGGAAGACCTGAAGCACCAAACGTCATGGTGAAGCGTGCGCCAGATTCGTTGACCGCCCGTTTCTGTAGCTGGAGTCCTGCCAAATGAGTTCCTTCGCAACTGCATTTCCATCCAAGCTTGATAGCATAATGAAGGTTTATGGCGTGGCGCCGAATGCACTCAAAGAGTTTCGCCCATGTTGTATCCCTCGAAACACCTTTCGTACCGCTCTCGTCGTCTGTGCTATCCAGAAGGCTGAGGAGGTTGTTCAGATCCGAGATCTTTTTCTCTAGTGACTGAACAGTCCGTGTGCCTTTCTCACTGAAGCTCAATTGTATTCTTTTTGCTTGGTATTTCCATTGCTTTTCTCCGGGATGAGCCCAGTCGACCTACAAATCCGAGACTCATTAGCCTCGGATACGATCGACACAACAATCAAGGATTTGGTCTTACACTACCGTCCTTTAGACTCATCATTGTCTGCAACTCTTGCATGTCCTCTTTCATTGCCCTCAATATCTCCATGCAGGCTTTGTACGAGTCTCCTAATCGTACTTTCATCGCATCAACCGTGGCTGGCTGGCTCCAGCCTTGGTAATTTGGCACCGTCGACAATTTCTGCTTCTCCTCAGGCGGCAGCGGCACTCTGATCAACAGCCTCTTCAGGACAAGGTGGAACATTTGCCGTTGTATGTCGACCGAGGTAATGAATTCACGAAACACAAATCTGAACTTCTTCCACCTCACCAAAGGCTCGAAGCCTTTCTTGTAGTCTTCAGCCGCAGAGATGATGAGGGGCAGAACGCCCAACACGATTCCAAGTACCTCGACGCCCGACATGCTGTCAATTGCCGTCGCATGTAGCTTGTCTGGCTATGACTTCAAAATTGATTATTGCCCAAAGATGTTGTCGTCGGATTTGAGGTTCAGCCTCACTGTACGAACCCCTGCTCGTGGTCGTGGATGAGGGCTATTGGTTGCTGGCTCTCGAGGAAGCGATGCATGGCGGCAATGCCAGGAGCGACAACTTTGAGTCTTGATCCCCCAACTTCTCATCTTGCTGGAAGCTTTCGCAGCACTATGTCCTGAGTCTATTGCGCAATCAATTTTGCTCCCGGTGTGGCTTGCCGACCCGTGGACTCGATTTGAAGGTACGGATTAAACCATGACTTGAATAACGCAGCCTTGCCAGACCCATCCAGAGAGGCTACAAACGCACCATGTCATTGACTACTGAATCCGGCGCAATAGCTCCTCGAGCGAGTGCTTGTCTTAGCAACCTGGAAAACATATGTAGTTCTCTACGGACACTGACCCAGGACGAAGCGGATCGAGTTGGCATTGATCGGAACCTGGCACTTCTCGACTTCCAAGATGCCTACGCAAGATTGAAAGCATGGGGTGTCAACACTGCCGCGTTTCGAAAGGCATCTAATCCATCGTCCCTCGATTCTTGATTGCGAGAGGCATTTGATATTCGAAATCGCTTGGGCCAGGTTCTTGAAGAGATTCTGGAATATGTGGAAGAAGGTCAGCATCCTAGACTTCTGCTACATTCTTACTTGTCTCACGTCACGTAGGAACTCAAATCGTCTCTGGACAAAGGGTAGATGTATTGGAGGAATATTCCTCAAGCGATAGTGACTCTGATGGAGAAACAGCCCAATCACGCAAATCTGGCAAAGCGCCGGCAGGAAGTGGCACTGAGTCAATCTCAGAGCTTCAAAAGTTGGGCACCGCTATCAATGCTGCTATCGCAAATTTGATGAAGATCTCCGTCCTTATTCGCGAATCGTCTAAGCGTGATGATTATGCTAGAGCTGCTTCTCGGTATAGTACATGGAGTCCCAATGCAGACATCAGCCACGTGCAAGAGAAATATGGATCTTCGAAAACGGGAAGTGACTGGCTCCTAGAACGTCTCGGAAAGGGTATTACAAGGCGTCGACAATTCTTGACGTATCGAGAACAGCACCATGCCAAGTTGACTGGAGATTGGGGTGAGGATATTGATGATGATGAAGAAAAGATTCAAGAAGATAAGAAGCCAGCAAAAACGATCGCACCAACTCAAGCAACAACGTTTGTACCCAACATGGTTGCATCTGATAAAGATGGAATGGAGTCATTTGGATCTCAGACCTCTTATGAAGCGACTGAGTTTGCCAGCGAAGATGGCCCTACAAAGTTGTCCACCCCCTCCAAAATGGGCTTTCGAAGATGTGCTGTTCGAGTACGGCGAACCATTCCAGTGTCCGATATGCTACACCGAGCAGGTAGTGAAGAACAAACACGCTTGGAAGTAAGTAGTACTAACAGTTGGTATTCAACAAAGAGCTAACAAAGAGGCAGGAAACATGTGTTCAGAGACTTGAAGCCATATATATGCACTTTTCAAGAATGCAAGATGAGAATGTTTCGCAGCCGAAATGAGTGGTTTGCACATGAGCTTCAATGCCATCGAAGGGAGTGGGCGTGCCAATATTGTCAGCACAGTGCATTTACGAGTGCAGAATCATTCTCCAGACACATAGCCTCTGCGCATCCGACCATTCTGGCCCACTCGAAGATAGAAGCTATCATTCTTCAAAGCGAAGAACCAGTAACAAAGATATCCTCCAAGGCTTGCCCACTTTGCAATGAATGGGAAGAGAAATTTTCTGGCTCCTGGCATGACCGGAAGAGACTGGTGGAGAACACGGAAGCTATCGAGCCATATGGAACCCCGAAGCAATTTCGAAGACACTTGGGTCGTCATATGGAGCAACTAGCTCTTTTTGCCTTGCCAGTGAACGCGAGCGATGACTCGGATCATGAGAGTCTAGATGAAGAACCAGATAGGGAGGAAGAGGACGGAACGGATTCTGATTATTACGCAGAATCAGACCCTCAGCTAGTTCTAATCAAAGGCCCAAGCCTACTTCCAGAGCATCAAGAGCTCACTTCCCCTCAACCTCACGCATCGCCCGCCATGTCGACGTCCGTCAAGCGGGCCTGCGACGCCTGCCATCGTCGAAAGCTCAAATGCGACGGCATCAACCCGTGTCGCAATTGTTCGTCCGCTCAATTATCGTGTACCTACCACGCCATCCCGCAGCAGAAAGATCCCAAGGGTTCCCGAGCCAAGTTGGAACGATCCGATCTCGATCCCGCGGACAACGAAGATGCGAAACGAGCTTCCAGCCCACATCACGAAACGGGACATGAGACAAATGACATTACTGCTGCTAATGAAGCTGCTCAGAAAGAGGCATTTGATGATCTGAATACTCCAAAACTCGAGCTATCAAAGGAAGAGAGCGAACGCTTGGAACAAGAAGCTCTGAACGACTTGCTGAATGAAGAAAAGCGGACCTCACAACGTTCAAGACATCAATTAGAACTGGAAGTAGATGAAAGCTTGGCCCCCACCACCTCGGAAATCTATGCCACCTTAATCCGAGACATAGCAGAGGAGGAAAAGGCTATATTGGAGAGGAAACTCGAAGATGAGAAGAAGGCGGTCTTGGAGGCATACGAAACTGCACAAACAGCGGCTGCCGAAGTTCGTGTGGAAGCCGCCAGGAAAGCTGCAGAGGAGAAAGCCGCTTGGGAAAGAAAAGTCGAAGAAGAGAAGAAAATTGCTTTGGCGCATTTCGAAGCTGCACAAAAGGCGGCTGCTGAAGCTGCCTCGGAAGCCGTTAAGAAGGCTGCAGACGAAAAGGCTGCTTGGGAAAAGAAGCTGGAAGAGGAAAGAGATGCTTTGGATATCAGAGATAAGGAAGAGAAAGCTGCCTTTGCAAAGCTTCTGGACACGCTAAAGGCACAGGAGGCAAGGAGTCTGGGCAACGAACAGCCGCCAGAGTCATTAGACAACAATATCTCTTCTACCAGAGAACAAGAGCCCAGGCGGCCTGTCTCTGTGGATGAAGTAGACGAGACGACTGGAATGCCGGTGCTAGGAACCAGACGCAGCGCCGTCTCCGGAGAGAAGCCAGAAGTCTCCCGAGAAAGAGAAAGACGATCAAAGGACGAAGTTGAAGAAGGAATCTCACCAATTCAGAGACAACGAAGTAGGCAAGATTTACCAGCTCTCGAGACAAAGGTTCCCAGAGAGATACCTCCACAATTTCGAAGGAGCATGTCCTCGGTTGCATCACTGCCTAAAGATAAGGATGAAACTCTCAAGGCCTCGACCCCTCCAGAGCACTCATTTCCACTCCTGCCTTTCGATGGTGGTTCTCTGCCATTTCGGACGGATTCGAAACCTCGATTCTCGGATCCTCCAGCACCACCTCCTCAGGAGCCACTCCCAGAGAAGCCAGATGTTCCACGATCCCATGCGTTCGAACCATCCTCTCCTTCGTTGAAGCGATCGAAGACCGACGAACGAATTGAGATGACCGGCAAGCGATTGCCAAAAGCTAAACTGGACGAGAAGGCAACCAAGCTGAGCCCACAAGCTAGGAGAGAGTTGAACGCATTGAGCGACGCAATGCAGATCGAACGGAGGGAAAGGGAAAGGGTTGCAGATAAGGAACTAAACAATCATCTTAATATCGGTATTAAAACGTGGAGGAAAAAGGAAGGGCCAATGTCTGGAGAGATCGTTGAGTCTACTGCCAGTAACTCCAAAGGAAAACAACCCTCCCAAACACCACCTCTTCAACAGAGTACAAGGAGAGAACCGATCGTCATGCTCGACTCAGGGCCCGGAAGCCCTCCCGAAATATTGAGGGAGCATACATTTCCTACCCCCGACGCTCCAATTACCTCAACAATTTTCGACACCGTCGACGGTCTGCCCCCCGAGAGAGAACGGTCTGGAAACACTAGTGAGCGTCCGTTTGAGCATCCACAGGTACATTACCAAGGACCCTCTTCTTCTGCAGATTATTTCTCAGGAGAGCGTCCTATTGAGCGTGAACGGGTGCCTTACCAGGCACGCCCGTCTTGGGCGGACAATGTTTCCTCTGCCGCAGTCGTCGATGAGACTGTAGACAACAAAGTGAGAGAAGAAGGTTTGCCGTCCCTTCCCTAGTGCAAACCCTAATATATTGCTAATCTACCTTCAGTCGACAGCCAACCTCCCGAAGGTGTCTCCTCGGAGCTAATTGCGAAAATCACAGAGAAAGTGAAGAAAGAGCGTATGCATCCCCCAACATAGGAGCGTCACGGCTGGCTAATCTGTGCCGTGTTAGTTCTCGAGCATCTGAAGCAGACAGGCAGTAAAGATGAAGAGCCGGCACTGCAAGGAACATCTTCTCCCCTTGGGCCTGCTCCTGTTGTGCAAACAAGTTACATCGTCCGTGGAAGAGACGATGGTGTACCCGCTCGTCACAGATCCAGATCTCGGCGCCGTCGCCCGTCGATCAGTCCTCCTCCTGATTCTCTCCCTCCTACTCCAGTTATCGACCGTGATTTCGTTTTCAATTTTGAGGGGGACGCTATCGACCAAAATGAAAGACGAATTCCAGTGACCCCACAGGGGAAAGAATCGGTGAGCATTGACCACCCGTCTGATATACGTGAGCGACGCTTCGACAACAGAGAAGATAGGGACAGGGAGCGCGAGGAGAGAATTCTGGCGCTCGAAGCTGAGCGTCAGAGGGAAGAACGGATTCTGGCTCAAGACGAGGAGATTCGTCTACGGCGAGTCATTCCTGGTCCGCTTCCTCCGCTTCCTCCGCCTAGGAGGATGATCTGGAACCCAGTTGTTACGAGTCCCGAGAACCCAGATCCGAATGATAGCGAGACTCGAGACAATGTTAAACAATCTGGTGGGGATCCCATTGACCTTACGGATGGCTCCTCCAGGAACAACTACCCAGTAAGATACTATTTCCTCTTAGCAATACAAGTATAAACACTAACAGAGCCAGTTTCAGGGCATCAAATGCCCTACTTGCGCTGCCAATGGACAGGAGGTCTGGGTCATTCCTGGAAGAAGCTGCTCATATTGTGGTACCAATTGTTGAAGCTAATATATATTGGAATGTCGCAAGCGGCTCCAGGAAATCTACCACGGGTCCCGGACATCGTGATACTTCACGTTGAGGGGTGAACAGGACAAGAAAGAATATATACAAGTGTCGAAGTAGACCGAGATTAGGGAAGGATTCAGTGAGGAAGGATATCAAGAGAACTGAGATACTATCAGTATCGAGGACACAATGGATTGATGGGCCGAAAGAGTTGCTGTCTCAAGTCTTCATTACGACTATACTCTGTAGACTGATATCTACTTATCTGTTATACATATCTGGGTATCGCAGAGCCAGCTCGAATCTATCAGTCCGTGGGTGATACAGACATGATGCAATGCAATAATGCCACCTATCCCCAGAACGCCGTAATATCGTACATCATGCTCGCTGAAATGACATCAAATAGTGCAATAAGACCTCACATCGTAATCCTCGGCTTCTTAGCCCGTCTTCCACGTCTATTGGCCTCCTCAATGACTGCTTCGCTGACTTCTCTCGTGACCTCTCGGCTTTCGGTCGCGCTCCTGTTGCGCTTCCGAGCTTGCTTCTCTTCGACTGGTCGGATGAAGCGATGGACGGTTCGATGATCAAGGACTCGTTCCTCGCTATCGTTTCTGCCTTCCTTGTCGGTCTTGGGCCACATGTACCCGAATAGCTTGCTGTGACGCTCGCAACGTGGGCAAGATGAGCGTGTAAAGTACGCATCATTCTGCACAAAAGACTCCTCACAGATCTTACATGTAATCCATGCTGATGCAAGATCTACCAACAAGCGTGGTGTGAGAACATAATCACCTGGAATCCGGACTGATGGTGCATGGTCCAGATCTGTTTTCGGTGCAACTTCCTTCTTCTTTCTTCTTCCCCTCTTCGGCTTGACTTCAATCATAGCCTTCTCCTGTCGCTTCGTACTTGTATCGTCGCGATCGAACATCTCACTAGGTAGATCTGACAGAACAGAGCTTGCATCGTCTTGTAGTACAGGATGCTCTGCAGTAGTCGAACCACCCACAAGTACAGGATCGCCCATCTTGGCCTGCTCAAGAAGGGTCTGCTTGCTACTACGTCTTCTTCTTCTCAGCTTAGACACGACCGGATTGACGTATGGCTCTACCACGATGGTGTCCTCGTCAACAGATGTAGCATCGGTACTGGTCTGATTATCGGTACCAGATGGTGAAAAGCTGGCGCCTCTCGATTCGCACGAACTCTCTGGTGCAGACTCCGTGCTGGCGAGAGTAGAAAGATTCAAATGAGATGGCTCGCTCTTGACCGTTACATCTTTTCGTACTCTCTTCGATGAGCCTAAAGGAGATAGCAACACTCCCTCGTCGTCTTCTCTCTTGCGCTTCAGTGGAGTATATACTGGCTTAACAGCCTCTTTTTCAGGTGTTGGCGACCGAAGCACCTCGGCCAGGCCGTTGTGCTCGGAATGGGGTTCTGTAGATGTCGGCTCCTCCTTCTCAGGCGATGGTGATCGCAGGACTTCATTTTTTCGACTGCGTTTCAATGGACTCTGAGACATTGTTGGCTCCTCGATCTCAGAAGTTGCCAATGGAGACGGCGGAATCTCATCTTGTCGCTTACGCTTACGAGGAGTTTGCGATCCGGATGGTTCAATTGATGGTGACAAGGGAGAATCCTGGTTCTTGAATCTCGAAAGCGATCGTGGGGTTCTCTTTGGTACGTGTGGTCGAATCATAATATCTGGAGTCATGGATGCGTTCCTGGAAGAGTCGACGGAATCGCGTCTTCGGCGGCGTCGGAACGAATATCCCTCATTTGACTCCTCAATGGACAATTTTGGAATCACCCTGGTTTCGCCATCGTCTCCTTTTGACCATCCATTCAAACATTGATCTTCGCAAGTTTGACATAAACACTCGCAGTTGTCCTCACCGAAATAATTTTCACCTGCAATTCGATTAGTATTTCGTTTCAGGTCAGAGGTCATAGCATACCATAAGACACAGTAATTTCTTCACCAATCTCAATATCTCTAACAGCAATGATCTCCATACCATTAGTTCCCGTAGTCATCAATCTTGCGCTCGCTCCGCAGTCATGATTTGCGAATCTGGCTGGTCCAAGAAACAAGGACGCAGTCTTATTACGGCTAGAAACCACAATGCTGAAATCGCGGCGGCTTGACTTAATGAGCTCCTCCTCTTCCTCTGTCATTATAACTTGAATTCCGCACAAGTATTTGACAATCTCTCCCTTCTTAATGAATCTGCGAGCTGTGACCGCCGCCTCTTGCGTCACAATCGTGTATCGGTTGGTGCTCGAAACTTCGAATGGGCAGTCTGGCAGATAGATGTTGATGTACTTTCGTAGATGTCGTCTGAAATCATCTTTCTCCTTGTCTGTCTTGAGACTGTCCGAGAACTTCTTCAAGCCAGAGAGCGCAAGGAGTTCTGTTTCGGCTGTAGCTGCGTCTTTCTCGACAATGACGCGGTTTTGAAGGATTTTGGTGATATCATCCTCTGTAATACCGCGAGAGGAGTGATATGCGCTTTTGTTCTTGCGAATTGTCGTCCAGAAGTAGACCTAAAATGAGTGTGAGATCCGCATTTGTTGGTTGAGACGGGGTTACGTACATGATCGACGAGGGCATCTGTTAAGATATCATCATAAGCTGCCAACTGGGCAAGAGTAAGACGTTCCTTCTTTGAAGAATTCTTTTTGGGGGGCATTGTGACGATGTATGTTGTTGTTCTTGTTCATGCGACAAGAAAGTGGTTGTGCTGAAGAGCAGTTGGGAGAATGCGACTCGCGACTGGGATTAAGTATGCACAAAAAGAGCGACTAGACACTCATAAGGTGAATTGGAATCGATAACAGAATAGCGCGCTATGCTCTCAAATAGGCAATCTGGCCTTGTGTGCAGCGTCCGAATGTGCGAGGAATAACCTATTGTGGGCTGCGCAGCCTTCTTCTCAGCTCAGCACCGTGGTAACCAGGGGTAGACGTGCATAAAAGAGAATATATTTGGAAGAAATAGCAGAGTTGCGGGATGAGGTTTTTAAAGAGATAGTGAGCGGCCAAATGTCAGAGCCAGTAAAGGTCTAACAAATCTGACAACTCATTGTCCGTCGTATACCAGGAGGTGAACGCTCCTATCATCCCAATTTCAATAATTCGAGAGGCCGGCCGGGCTGAAGGAATGCCTGAGGCCCAACACGAGGCTAGATCAAAAAAGTCGAGTGGATTGGATAATGTATTCGTCGACATCAAATAATTGCAGCTCAACCGGACATTGAAGCTGTGACATGTTATTACGATGATTCAATTAAAGGTATGGCTCCAAGGTTGTTCCTGCCAGTTATGAAAGCTAATTGTCTTTCAGACAATGATGAATTGCATCGACAATTCGGGAGCGGCCATTGTCGAATGCGTGAAGGTCATGAAAATGAAACGGCATGCGAAGATCGGTACGGCAGACCTTGATGGGATGAGTGATTCAATACTCACTTTGATATAGGAGATAGAGTTATTGTTGTGGTACAGAAGCAACGAAACTTCTCGGAGTCAGGCCCCGGCGCGAGCGTTTCTACATCGGCAGCGAACAAAGTCCGAAGAGGAGATATTCGACATGCGGTGGTAGTCAGGACAGCGAAGAAGTTACAGAGGCCGGATGGAAGTGTGGTGAAGTTCGACGATAATGCCTGTGTCCTGATCAACAAGGCGGGGGAGCCAATAGGGACCAGACTGAACGGTCAGTATACCATGGGCAGTTCAATTGCAAGGCTAATTTTTTTGCAGGTGTTGTTGGCACAGAGCTGAGGAAGATGAAGTGGTCAAAGATTTTATCTTTGGCACCAATGCATCTGTAATATCACTGTATGGAAGTCACGGCGCATGTAGCATAGCAGGAAGGCGTTCAGAATTTGGTCTTTGGAAATATCAAATCTTCCCCACGCATCTTATCCTTTCTCCGAACCCAACCATGCCGTAACCTTTTCTCTATGCAATGCCCGAACGCCATGAAAGAAACGCCGCTGAAATTCCAAATCCAAGGGTATCATTGGAAAATATGACCACAACCACAGCACACGTAGAAGAGTTTCTGTATCTTTATTAGCTAATGTTCGAGATGTGGCTGGACGTCGACTTACCATACCGGTCTCAGCACTTCTCTGCTGAGACTGGAAGAAGACTGCATCCTCGGTCTTGCACTTCGGGCAAGTCTTGTTCGACCTGGGAAGCTGTACGAGGAAAACCACATCAGTAAAAGGCATAGGAACGTGCACACAACGCCAACACCTATACAACAGCTCTCCGCATCTCCTAATGCACTTCTCCCACCGTTGAGCATTCTTCCCCGTTGCGCTCTGGCATTCCTACATTCCCTCCAGCGCCTTCACAGACCACAACAGAACCACATAATAAACAGAGAGGTAAACCCACAGTTGGATCCGATCCAACATCTTGTGTCACACCTGCTGTCTCGCCGACTGCGTTGTTGAGGACGTTGCGGAAGACACACGAGGAGGTTGCTTCTTCGGAATATTGGCATGTTCGGCATGCGAATTGTAGACGATGGGTATCGGGATCTTCCTTGGGGTACAACATGTTGGAACTGCGATCATGTTAGATAGAGACATCTATGCGATGAGTATTATCCTACCATTCACTGCAGAATCGGAATGTGATTTGCTCCATCTTGTTCTTGGGCTCATCGCCTGCGCTGGATGCTGGTGAAGCCATGGTTCGGGGACTGATAGAGTATCGAAGGTCGAAGTGTGTAGATAGGGTAGTTGGAGGGTGTCGAAGGCGATGAAGTTGGAGAGAGCTATCAAGATCAGAGTTCGTCCTTTCGTAGAAACTTTACGTTTGTGATCACTCAGAGTATCGAATTGTTCAGAAGGTCGATGGCGGCCGCATGTGAACCCCTGTCGCCCACGCTTAAATATCTGGCTGTACTAAGAGGCGGGGATCAAGTAGTCTGGTGACCCAAAGCACCTGCGTTCCTGCAATCTGCAGCCCCGTTGATCACCTCTCAACCCTTCGCAATCGCTTTGTTTTGTACAACACCTCAAAGCCAAACACTCTCTCCTTCAGACATCCGACTCCAGTTTGTCTCTTCATCCCGTTCCATCCCCCCTTACAGTCTCACACAATGGTTAGTTCTGTACAACTTTTCGTTCCTGCTTTGTTTTTTGTTTACAACGCAGCCTCGTCTCCGTCCCGCTTCATTGCTAAGCCAACATGCCCAACATAACATTATGCTGATGCAACGAAATATAGGCAGACGCAGGCCTTCCTCAAGGATGGGAAGTTCGTCACAGTAACTCCAAAAACCTCCCTTATTACTTCAACGAGTCGCAGAAACAGTCAAGATGGGAACCGCCGCAAGGAACCGATACCGAGAAGCTGAAGAACTACATGGCCGAGCATCATAGTGCGCTCGAGATCAGACCCGGTGCTCAGGCAAACGGCAACGCAGGACATTCGGACAAGATTCGTGCGAGTCACTTGCTGGTTAAGCATAGGGATAGTCGGAGACCCAGCAGTTGGCGTGAGGTAGGTTGAATACACTCAGACGAGGCATTACTGGGAGCTGATGAATTGGTGCAGGCTGAGATCAAGCGCTCGAAGGAAGAGGCTATGAGTATTATTCTTGGACATGAAGCTCGTATCAGAAGCGGCCAAACAACCTTGGGTCAACTTGCCGTTAGTGAGTCGGATTGCAGCAGTGCGAGGAAGATGGGCGACTTGGGTTTCTTTGGCAAAGGAGATATGCAAAAGGAGTTCGAGGAAGCTGCTTTCCAACTCAAGCCTGGACAGGTGAGCGGTGTTGTCCAGACTGCTTCTGGACTGCATCTCATTGAGAGGTATGTAATACATCAACCACCGTTCGATCGCATGCTAATATGCTGGCAGACTCGAGTAAAGCGTGTCACCATTATATGAATTTCAATCATTTCATTTTGGGGCCGGTCTTTATATTGCTGGGCAATCAAATCCTGGCTGGTCGTGGCTGTACGTTGAATTAAAAGCGCTTACATTTATCAATATTATGGACATTCACTCGGGTTTCTACCTATATTATATCTCTATACATATAGTTTTTACATACCCACAAGTGAGTCGATAGCTTTAACAATCACAGGAACCGAAGTCAGCGCCAAAGTTATGATACCGAATAGACTCATACTCAGGCTCGAAAGTGCCGCAGCTCTAGGATCCGATTGTAGCAAAACAGCTGTGGCTATAGCAGAAGAGCTTCCACCAAGCGTCACACCTCTCGTCACATAATCATCTACTGCTTGTCAGCCAATTTCAGCAACAGCTCACACATGACTAACCTTCAGGAATTCTCAACCAATCCAAAATCTGCGGCCCAACCAGCGCCCCAACAATCCCACTCATTATCGCCACCGCGGCAACCGTATTGGCATCACCACCAAGATTCTTTACTGCCGGAAGGGCTAATGCCAACGTCAGACTCCTGCCTGCGAATGCGAGACTCCTCGTAGCCGAGATCCCAATTGCGTAACACACAGCAGGATAGCCGAAGAGCGAACCAATCGAAACTGCAATGTTCGGGAGAACGATTGCGAAGAAGTGGCGTTTGAGTTCTTGTCGGTAAGCAAACATGGGCAGAGCCAGGGCGACAATACCAGCGTCGAGAATGGACACGAGGACGTCGCCAGCTCCTGGTAAAGGGAGATTAGGCTTGTTCTCCCAGAGGGAAAGGTAGGTTGTTTGTGTTCTATATGCGTCAAGGGAAGTGTCAAGACTGTCTCCTCGGATGGCACCAAGGATATAAACACCAAGAACCGTGATGGCCGAAGAGACAAGAACAGGATGTAGAAAGCGTCGCCAACGAGGAGGAAGAGCAAGTGCGGCGAAGTAAGCCAGGATGTTGAAAGTTAGTTGTGCTGGCATGGCGTAACCTGTGCTGTAGTAGATTGGCAGGCCAACGAGCAGGAACAGAACAAGGTAGGTCAGTCGGTCAAAATTCAAGTTGATGACCGCAGCCCATCTTTGGGGTCTCGTGAGTGGTAGCGGTTGCTGGAGTACTTGGTTTACTCTCGTTACCGCTTGGGAGGAAGCATCATTCTCAGGTGGTCCTCCTGTGCCTCTGATGAGAGATGGATCTTGTGTTCGTCGAGGTGCGGCTAAAGTGCTCATGGGTTCGTCACTTTCTTGTGGCGTGCTTGTTCCGGTCGTTGGAGTAAAGTTTGCTTCAGAGTTTTGTCTCGGGTTGGTATCCGTCAAGGGAATCGCATCGGATTCGTGGCCGAGTTCTTCAGCTCTCTCTGTCATTGCTCGTTTCGAGGAGCCAAGGAGGAGCTGGAGTCCTCGAGCGAAGTAGGCTGTTGCTGCCATGACGACGACGAAGCCAACAACTGAAAATTGATATCAGATACCAGCATATATACAAAACGAAACATTCTAACAGTAGACGCATGATCACTTCAAATGAATGATAAAGCACTATGGTACTTACTGAATACGGCAATAATCTTTCCAACTTCGACTCCACTGATTGGAGAACTAAGAGGAAGGAGAACGAAACTATTTGATGATTAGACTGTTCCTCAACTGGAGGGATAATCTCACGAAGGTGTAAAAAATATATTTAGATATCGAAGAGCAAATCCGGCCTTGCTGACATTAGCTAAAAATCAAAATACTCTCATATAACTCTTACTGGCACATCGATAACATTGACAAGAGCTCTTGTCTTTCGATCACCAATGATCAAATCGATGACGATCAAGCCCAAAAACAACAGAATCAAGCAAGCCACAGATGCTGGAAATGAGACAGAACTCAATCCAATCAAAGAATCAACCCCAAAACAAGCTAGAAGAATGATAAGAAGACCAACAGGCACATAAAGCCATGAAGTGAGATTTCGTTGCCATGTCAAACGAAAGACCTATATTGTCAGCCTCGTTCTGCCTTGCTGAATAGTGGGGTAAATGAGGGGCATTTACCAATTGCAAAGCTTCGATCCCGTCTGAGATAATAGTCGTATAGCTCTGATTATGAGCCATTGTCCCAATTCATAATGATACAAAGTTGTGAGAAATGTAGCAACTTCTGACTCGGACTATTTCTGTTCTTCAGAGTGGGTTCTGGGCTGCGTTTTCGGAGAGTTGGGCCGAGCGGTTTTGCCGAGAAGGCTGAGCCGAACAACGCGCCTCGCGACAATGACTTCGTAAACAACACATTCTTTCAGCCTTGTGTTGCATACCATTCAACATTATGGCGGACGCTTTATCGAGTACACTTATTAGGATCTTGCGCGATCGTGATATACCATACGATCGAGAGGCTATCAAAGCAGCATTCGCTGACAAAGAAAGCCAGACCGCTGTTCAAGCTTGGATAGAGGAATACCTTTCTCCGGAAACTCTTCTGACGAAAGATGAAGCTGCTTTGTATGTACCTGCATTCCGTTTCCTATTGGCATACTAATTCTATAGATATGCTACTCTCACGAAGACTGGAGAAGCAGACACTCTGGCCGCACAGGACCTATCCATGATCCAAGGGCTCAGCGAGGAAGAAACTCACACCGCGATCGAAGAACTGAAGCGTTCAACAGCCGCCATTGAGAAGCAGACCGAAACTCTGCGACTCCAGCAAAATGCTATGAGCGCTTTAGTAAAAACCGAGAAACGAGCTGTTCAATCAAGGTCCCAGATCGAGAAAGCGCAAACGAGAAAATGGGATGTGGAAAGGGGTCAGATCAGTGCTGCTATTGAGGAGCTTTCTCAAAGCTTGATATACCAAACTTCTGATCTGGATCAGCAGCTTAAGGGCTCTGAAGCCAATGCTAGGCAGACTGTGGACAGCATTCTTAAGTCGGATGACAAGCTGTTGTTAAGTTTGCAGAAACTTGCTAGTGATCTTGATCCTGGAAAGCCCGAGGACGATGTTCTTGTTGCTAGGATTAGAGAGCTTTGTGCTAGGTACATCAAGCATACCGTGGAAGGCATTCGCACTCGGCTTGATCGAATTTATCTCGAGGCTTTGAGTCAGTCGAGAGATACAAATGGTCATGGTGCTGATGGCCAAGAGGCGGTCGACTTGCAAGAAGAGCTTGAATCTTTATATTCGGAAATATTGCCTGTGGCTCAGATGTCGGCCGAACAACAATATCTGGAACCAGCTCTGAGAAGCATTGCTGCTACCAATGGCAAAGGTCAACGGCGGGCAGTGAAGGCAGTAACATACGTATATTCTGTGAAATCTGATCTATTATCCCATCTAACATTTGCCTAGATACATGAATGTCTGGTCTTCCTCATCAATCGCATCGAGACATTCTTGCAACGAGCGCAAGAAAGCCAATGCCATAATATGGCGCTCCAATTCGTCTTAGACTCTGCAAAGACCGAGCTCAAACGAACCGACGCTTTACCTGGTGTCAAACCAACAAGTCCAGCAAAGTCTAACACCCAGAGGCGACGAAAATCTTCCGGTTCTCAGTCCTCACTAAAAGTACGAAATACTCGCCGCTCATCAGGCCATCTCGACGAGGATCTAGATCCCGCTGGTCAGCTTGCTCGTAATCTCAGCATCACTCTCCCTGCCGCAGATGCTTCTGACGAAGAACGAATTACTTTCCTGGAAAGGGCCCTAATGGACAGAGCTAGCAAACTGGAGAGCCACATGACGAGTCTTCAATCAACAACCGAGACATCAATCGCTTCTCACCTACTCGATGCTCACGTCACATTGAATCTACTACGAGATTCGCTTCTAGCAGATACGGACTATCATACGGTGCATCTAGTAGATCAAGAACTTGAATCTTCTGTGAATTCATTTGAAAACGACATACAAGCTTTGCAGGAGGACTTGGAAGCTGTTGATCTGTATTCGTTACAGACTAAGAATGTTCATAAAGAGCAGCTCGTTGAGCGGTGGTCGAGATAGTGGATTATTGGCTGTACTTGTGCGACTCGGAGATGCACTATTGTTCAATTTGAATCTACTACGTCGAAATCGTCATCGATAGAGAGAAATCGTGTTGCACGTCAGGACCTCGCACTTCTGCCGTGGAATGTCTCTACCATTCATGAACCATCGTTTAGTCAAGCAATCATACCTTGTTGCACATCGTCCAATGTAAACGAGTAAGCCGTCGTCTGGTCAAATATTGCTGCCAAACAATTTTGCAAATTGAATATTGGAGCAGATTCTCTTGTCAATGTCCCAGCAGGGGGGAAAGTCCATTATATTCGATGCATGTCCACTTCAATTACAATAACGAGGCAAGCTTTCAAGGCCTGGTATCAGATCCGACATTCGAAGCAATGAGAATTATTGCATCCCCAACCAACAATTCCCGGTATTCGTCGCCTTCACACCACTGCACTGACTGGCTTCTTGACAACACTTGGAAGGGTCTTTTCAGACACGACACTCTGCCAGTCGAGCTCAAAGTCGTCTTTCTTCTCGATAGCGGCCGGCTGGTAGTCTATATATGGTGGCAACGACACTCTCCTACCAGCCCGCTTCACATGTCTATACTCCAAGAAGTTGAAAAGCACCAGGAGGAGTTGATGCACGCTATCAAACACGGTCAGAACGGACACCATGACGAAGACAAAAGCCATGCACGACTTACACGGCGACTAGAAGCATCACAGCCCCAATCTCCTCAATTTGCAACCACGAAGAATCGTTATCCCAACTAAAGGTGTTGGCGTTCCCAGTGCTTAGATACGTCTCGTCGTCGTGGTAGAAGCCAATGACGCCCAACACCGTCGCGGCAATGAAGATGAAGAAATCCCCGATTGTGAGGAAGAGATGGGACATTCGAATAAGCATGAAGATTGCAGAGAGTATACTCCAGATCAGGATGATACCTCCCTATCCATTCATCAACAAAGGACTGAAGTTATACGAAGAGGACTTACAGCAGCGATTGGTAGAGCTGTCAATCCTGCCTCCTGACTGTCCCAGTCATTAAGCACATCTTTGAACACCACGATGTAGAGGCCAAGCCCTGCGGTGCCAAAGATACCAGCACCGACACGGAGGAGGAAAATAAGGTTGCGAAAGGGAGTTCTTGAGCTCGCCATTGTGTTTGTGTGAATTGAGAAGTATCTGTTTCTGGATATAATTGCTCAAAGGTACCTACGAAGTTGGGACTCCATCCCGAGATATATTCTATGTGATGAGGGGTAACAAGAACAACACGATATCAAAACCCGGCAATTGCACAGCATTTTTTCGCTTCCAAAGTCTTGATAGTATCAAGCAATCATGATCTTCACTATCTGGACCTTCGCTAGTATGGGCGGGGAACGTTCGCGATGCACCTCGTATTCTGCAAAGCCTCCTCCTTCGAGGCTTGGCATCAACATCACCAATCAGTATTATACACAAGTGTGAACATGTGCAGGAACACGAGAGGTGACGAGGCTTTCGTGATATGAAACACGCTATTGTACGTACCTGAAGTCTGGTTTGCTTATTCAATTGGCGAAAAGCTTGATTTGGTTGTTTATCTTGACTTTGGGGACAATTGTTGCTGCCTAGTCGGCCGCAAACACCCCATGTTATCGTCTGCTTTCTCACTTGCATCACTACCGAATTCCAGAAATGGAATATACGATTTTATCCTTTCACACTCTACAGTACCTTATCTCAAGATACACATCACTCATCCCCTCAACCCCAACCTCCCAATCACCTCCTCACCCATCCCCCACGCCTCCCTCCCATCATCCACCACCGTCGCCCTCCTCACATCCCTCCTCCCCATCCCCTCACTATACCCACTCGCCCTATGCATACACTGCCTATTATCCCACCACATCAACGTCCCGCTCTCCCTCCACTCCGCCGCAAAAACATACTTCTCCTGCGCACACCACTGTATCAAGTCCCACACCAGCTTCTGACTATCCTCCACCTCGTTCCCGCTCGGAAGGAAAACTCGCTTCGCGTGCGCGGCGAGGAATAGTGTTTCTTGCTCGCCGGAAGGGGACAGTTGCACCAGTTTGTGGCAGGATGGTGGTTTCTTGACTAATTCGTCGGCCGTGGGTGAGTGGTATATGGTTGGAGAGTCGAGTTTGCGGGAGTGCCAGAGGGAATGCTCTACGATTAGCGTCCGGAGATATGCTTTCTTTTCCTCAGGCAAGTCGTGGAACGCCAGACGAGTGTCGGCGAAAAAGGTGTTTGAGTCGGAGGAGTTGGAGGGCGTGTGGGAGAGGAGGAGAGAGTATTTGGAGCGGTGTTGGTTGAAGGAGGAGTCGGTGTGCCAGAGGGCGTTGCCGAGGGCGTGGTGCCATCTTCTCTGTGCGGGTGTTAGCATGGTGAGGGGAGGGGAAGTGAGGAGGAGTACCGAGTCTTTCTTCACTAAACCCCCGTCCGCCTCAAGGTTCGAGACGTCAAATAGGTATTCTGACCCAACGCGCTCGCTGCCTCCCCATGAATGGTTGATCTCGAGCTCTCCGAGCTGTTTGGAGAAGGAGACTTGGCGGTCGTTGTTTAGGTTCGTGTTTCTGAATATGAAGACTGCGTGGCGGTTTTGGAGGTGTATTAACTTTTCATATATCAGTTCTTTAATTTGGAAATCGAAGAGAGTGGTGGAAGAAGTACGGTATCGATGACATCTTGTGGCAAAGGAACAAAGTCCCAATCCACCCCTTCGACATCTGCTCCGAAGGAGCCTTTAATGGGGTATACAGTCAAGCAATTCAGCTTATATGAGCTGAGCTCTTTCTGCTCTATGGTATCGAGTGAACCTATTCTAAGAGATCTTCTCTTACGTCTTCAAAGTTCTTTCTTTCCTGTTGTTTTTCTTTGAGCTGGTGTTGACGACCTCAGTACGGTATAGTTATGCAAGGCTGAAGGCGATTTTGGAAGCTTGCCGATGATGCCGATGAGAAAAGTGGACTGCTTGCTGGATGGCTTTCGGGTTCCTTGGCATTGATTCCGATGCTTTGGTTGATAGGAAACAGGGAGCGGGATGATGAGGGTTGCGTTTTGTACCTTGCATTTTACGGCTTGCAAGAAGGTATAAATGTAGCTAGTCTTTTGCGTTGAATATCCTCAGAAAACTGTTGAACTTCCGAGAACAGTATTTAGAAAGACATATTGATCGTTGATTATTGTGTTTCTAGGTATAATGACCACCAACGCCTCTAAGATTTACGGTCAGTTCCATAGGTTGTCTATAACACTGGATAATCCAATCCATCATCCTTAAATAGACCTCCCTGCCAGTTGAACCCCGCGTCAAGCATCATCTCAAACAGACCATCCATACTCATATCCTCGCCCGCCAACCCCAATCCTCCAAGGTTGTCTCCAGCCTGTTGACCTTGAGTGTCTTGTTCCTCCTTATTGCCCTTCAGAATCACGGAGAACACATTATTAATAATAGTCCGATAATCAGCTGCCGGATGAGCAGCTGAAGTCCGACATATCGTATCAAAGATCTGCGATGCGAGTGAAATGAGACGGAAGAAAAGCGAGCTTGGTCTTGGAGCAGCTGGTGCGACGGTCCGAACGGACGCCGAATGGGCAAGATGCAAGATCTGGAGTTCATCGTCTATGGCCCCGCGGGTATAACACAGGACCAAGAAGACGGCCGCAAAGCTGTGAGTGATCCATGCCGAGTCGACAGCGAAGCGGAATCGTCCTATTGCTGCTTCATTGATCGTGAAGGGCCGGGATGGAAACGAGCTTAGGCTTTGACATTGAGCTGGCCAGAGTTGCCAGTTTGTTTCGTTGGCTAGGGCAAAGATTGTTTGAGCAGCTGCTGTGAGGCTGTTGTCGAGGGCTTGGAGGAGGGAGAGCTGCATTGGTTGTTCGGAGGATTTAGGTGAGAGGATAGATCCAAGGCCAGCACTGTTGGTGGCCAGGCGGTACCACTATAGAAGATTAGCAAGAACAGCTAGATTTGGAGAGATGATTCATACCCGGAAAGAAGTGAACGGTATCTGACTGTGGTGGAACACATCTAGAGTCACTATTAGCACGGTTCCCATAAGGTGAACATTTTGCAAATACCACTAAGTTCAGAAATCCAGAATCTACATTGAAATAATTAGCAAGGATTTATGGTGGAGAATGGGGTGTCTGCTCACGATTCCCAAGTATCGAACTCAGAATTTGTCTTCTTCAGAGTCGCTGCATCCAGTGAGCGAACACTTGGATCTCCACTACTTTTTGCCGCTTTCTTGACAATAGTCACCAGCTCACAGATAGCTGCAATCTTTGCATCACCTGGCTGTAGAGAATCTTTGTGGAAGGCAAAATTTCGAACAATCTTCATCATTGGCTCCGGATCTAAAGATGCAGGCAAGCCCGCCGACAACATCAAATGGCAGTCACAGGTGAGTATATTTATCCAAACTCGCAGACGAGAGAAGTCTTCTTGTGTGGGAGAATCAGTGGACTCTGGGAGGAAAGGCTTGATGGCTGTGCGGTCCAATCCTAAAAAGATGGCGTATCGGATGGCAAGGCCCAAAACACTCCAGGCTGAGATATCGTTGTCTAGACACAATTAGATCACGTATTGCAAAGATATAATGATTCTTACATCGGGTCTGGCAAATGCCTGGCGTATGTTGTTCTGTTGGCATCCACTGAATATATAGTAGTAATGATCTAATGTGGTCGAGGTTTACATCAGACAACGTTGGCTGTAATAGAAGGCGTGATATGCTGGTATCTAATAACGAGACTAGATTTTGGTATCCACTATGAAGTCCTTCATAGTTCATTTGGCTGATAAAAGAGATTAGCTTTGATTTGAGAATAGTGAAGAGGCATACCTGTTTGCGGCTTGCCAAAATCTTGCACCAATTGTACACACTGAGAGGAACAGGGTAGGACTCGTTTGGCGAACGTAAGATGCCGAGCGTTGTGTTTGGATACATAGAAATGGAGCGTGTGGATGGCAGTGGGTGAAAAATATATCAAACGCCTGCTGAGCTTCCTCGAGAGTCATGATTCCTTGTACAATCGGGTCTTGCTCAAAAGATTGGATGTCCTTTCTGCTTAGTACAGGAAGTATTGGATCGTAGGTCATGCTTCTTGCCGCTGCTGACTCTTCGGTTCTCTCTTTGGATAGTGTTTTGAGGTTCCGTAGCGTCGACATAGGAGTATCCAGATCCACTGCGTCCATTGTGAATCCTGAATCCGTGGGCGGAGGAGAAGGTAGTTCTGAGCCAAACATGCTCGGATTGGCTTGCGCGTTCTGAGGGTGGCTCTTTGAAGAAGCATTTGATGGGGAGAATATCCTAGCGGGTTTCGTTAGCTCGAAATTATCTCATGTACTATCGATCAGAAGTCATACTGGTTGAGATCAACCTCTGTTGGGTACTGAGGTTGGGTTCCGGGATCTGTAGGTATATCTAAAGCGTTTGTTCCAGCTCCAGAAACAGATGTCGTATTCTCTAGAAGGACCTTTCTTTCTGATCTTCCCTCCCGCTCCTCCCGGAGATCTCGCAATGCCTTTTCTAATTCTTGTATCCGTCTTTGATGATCCGTCACCTGCTTGAGTATCTTGCCGACCTTATGAACCGTATTCGAAAGAGTCCCATGTTCCCCTTCGTTCTCCGGAGGTGTAGTTGTAAAGGAACATGTTGCACCTAACTGGCAACAGCGTCGACACGGTAATGTCTGCTCTGACTCTACTGGACCATCACACTTTTGTTTGCGCATTCGACACTGGAGACAAATGAACATCGAATACTAGGCCATGTGCCTTTCTTGCTACTTACTTGAATACAGGCACGCGAAGTCCGCCGCATCTTTGCGGGCGGCTCGCCATCTTGAGACTGCTCATGATCATCTCTGCTGCGTGGTCCCATCTCGGATTTGAAAGAGCAAAATTAGTGAAATCCAATGTACAAAATGTTAAAGGCACTTGCCTATGACCTGCATCCCACTTTCCACGACATTACGACCCCTAGAAGACGGAAAGAAATGGTGGCCTGTGACAGGACCCTTCAACCTTATCTTGACGAGCCAAGCTACTGGGTTCTCCCCGTTCTCGATGAATGACACAGACCACATGTTGATCTTGCTTGTGGATCCAGACGGGGCAGTGTGGAGTTCACGAGTAGCCTTTCAGTCTCACTTCTTGACGCCACAAAGCCACATCACCACGAGTCAATACATAACTTGAAAGAGTCTACATCTCATTCCAGAACAATGTTCACACTCGACGTCGATTGAAGCAAGTGCCAAGTTGGCCAGAACGTTGTCAGTGCCCGTCCTTCGACCAGCACCAAGGTCATATTGGCCAGATCACCTAATGCAGTCGAGGTCCTGACAACAGCAGAACTCAAGAAGTCTTGAAGCCTTACATTATTTATAGCCTTGGTCATTGCGCTTTGTATCATTGGTTACTGATACCGTAAGCCTTTTAGTCGGTTCAGAGCCGATATTGCCGTTGTATTGCCAGGACCACATCCCCACTCTTGCCGTTATATACGTCGCCATGGAGTCCAGATCAAGGATCTCGGGCTATGCACGATTCAAGAGCGGAGACTACCAAAGGAATGCCATGCCTTGGATATCAGGATCTATGTTTTGTTCTACAGTACGTTGCTTATCTCTGAGAGACGTATGTTTTGTATGGATCTTGGTATCTTATAAAATTGCTAGATCAGATCCCGGCACTGAACCGATCTTGCCGATATGCCTCTCAATCCCATATTATCGACTTGATGCAAGTATAAGATATTCCCTAATACTGTTATTACTTTTTCCTCTCAGCCGTTTGTATCGTCAAAATGGCTTCCACCAATGTTTTCCCGATGTTGGACCGAAAAGCTTCGGGTTCAGACAACAGTGGAGGAGAAGAGAAGCAAATTGGCCTCAGCACCAGCATCGATCCAGCAACGATTGACGCACCAGTGCCTCTCGAGGCTGCGCATGCTGCTGAATATGTCGAGTTCTTGCAACTCAAGAACAAATTCGAATCAGATCCAAAAGCGTACAAGGCACTTATTCGGCGACGTGCGTTCCTCGCTTGTCTTTATATCGGATGAAAGCTGATACCAGCAGTCGATCTTCGAATCATTCCTATGCTTTTCTTGTACTATTTGTTGAATTCGCTTGATAGTAAGTTTTCCAAGTATATTTGCGAGGGAGACTGACCTTGGCAGAATCGAATGCCGGCAATGTCAAAGTAAAATCTCCCCCTTTTTGTGACAAGCGGGGTCACCTGACACATATGCGAATAGATTTACACCTTTCTCGAGGATACCCATATGACGAGTCACCAGTTCAATCTTGCTCTTACTTGGTACTTTTTCAGTATGCTACCTTACCTCTATTATGTAGCTCTCACTGAGTCGCTCTATAGCATACGCCGGTCTCGAAGCACCATCGAAGTAAGTCGCCAAGGGAGTTCTTGCATGTTATAAAGACTGACGCTTGTCATAGCATGTGTATGCGAAAATTCGGTCCAAAGCTCTGGCTCTCCGGTTTGGTGATCTGCTGGGGCGCGGTCACACTCGGAAGCGCATGGGTTAAATCATATGGTGATTACTGTGCTGCCCGTATCATGCTTGGTGTGTTCGAGGCTGGTTTGTTTCAAGGTATGCCACAATCTCAACGAGATAAGTTGAAGAGAGCTAATGTTTGAATCTTTAGGATGTATGTACTTCCAACACCAATTTGAGTCCTTGAACTTACAGTCTTAGGTTTCTACACCCTCAGCTGCTGGTATCTTAGCTCTGAGCTACAGACCCGCTGTGCTTACTGGTACTCGTAAGTACAAGGACACCCGAAGTCCACTCGAAACATGACTAACAGAATATGACAGTGCGACCATGCTTTCCGGCGCATTTGTAAGTGCTCTGCCTCCCTTCAAACCTACACACTCCTGACACCGATACAGGGAGGCCTCCTCGCCTACGCCGTAGGCCCCTTACAAGGCCATCTCGGCCTAAAACAATGGCAATACCTCTTCATAATCGAAGGAGCAATCACCATGTTCATCGGCATCATCGGCCTCTGGCTCTGCGTCGACTTCCCCGAAACCTGGTCCTCGCGCTTCTTCAAAGCAGACGAGATGAAGTTCCTGCAATTACGAGTCAAGTATGCCAATGGCCCGATCGCACCCGATGATACGTTCCGCTGGAGCGCGTTCTGGGAGGCTGTTAAGGATTGGAAGACTTAGTTTGTACCCCTTCACGTGGAGCAGATGTTGAATTGCTGACTGCTTGGTAGTTTTATTGCGTCTCTTCTTGCATTTGGTGGTTCTGTGCCTACGTACTCGTAAGTTCTTTTCTCCTTTATATCTATAACACGTTTTGCTAAAGCCAAACAACAGTGTAAACTACACCCTAGCAACAATGGTCAAATCCCTCGGCTACTCCTCCATCAAAGCCCAAGCCCTAACCGCACCCCCCTACGTCTTCGCCTGTACCTCCCCCCTCCCCTCCCTCCTCCTCCCCACCGCCTCACTAACCCCCCACTCCCCATCTAGTCTTCTGCGTAATCCTAATAGCCCTCTACTCCGACGCCCACCGCTGCCGCGCCCGCTCCCTCCTAATCTCCTACACCGTCGGCACAACCGGCATCGTGATCCTGTGGCCATGTCTCTACCACCCCTCCCTCGCCGGCGTCTCCTACTTCGCGCTCTTCCTCGTCGTCGCAGGCTACAACATGCAAGCCCCCGCCGTGGGCTCCTGGCTGGGGACTAATGTGCGGAAGCCGGCGAAGAGGGCTGCTGCTATGGGGTGGCAGAGTACGTTTGGGCAGTTGCTTGGTGGGTGTATTGGGGCTAATATGTGGGTTTCGTTTCCTCTGCTAACTTTTCCTTGCCTTGGATTTGGGTTTGAAAGAAAGAAAGAGACTACTGAAGAATAATGAAATAGTTTCGTAACATCCGAAGCACCGACGTATAACTCGGGCTTCATCACGCTGCTTGTATTGGTTATGGTCGGTGGCGTGGGAGCCACGATCGCGAATTGGTATTGTCTCCGGGCGTCGAATTTGAAGAAAGATCGGATTCCGGCCGAGGAGTTGGAGGGGAGGTATACGGAGAAGGAGTTGAGTGAGATGGGGGAGTATTCGCCGTATTTTAGGTATATTCTTTAGTGGGGGTTGGGGGAGGATGAAGGTTATATATGGGAGCTGGGGTTGAGTTAGGGGGATGTTTGAGATCGGGATAATTATGAAGGAATCGAATTTGGATTTAATGGCTAGATTCTTTGATCTAAGTGTGAGGCATCAATGTCATTCCTAAGATATATGTGGCAAGAAGACAAAGCATATCGTGCTCTTCGTATAGGCTTGAACGGGTCCAAGAAGCGTTTTTGTTTTGGCTTTTAATTCTTTAATTGTATATAAAAGGAGAGTTAAGCGAGAATCGATTTCGGTCCACGTATATCGCGGCGAGTAACGGTATGGAGATCAGTCCGAAGGGAAAGTTGATTGAACAGAGGCTCTGTTGAGTGTTAAGCATTTGAATCTCATGCAGAGCTCTAATCATTGATGCAACCTAAAGCTAGCTACACCACGAAACTCTCACTTCTTTCCTTTCTTCTTCTTCGCCTTACCGCCGCCACCCCCAGTATTCTGCTGAACCTTCACACTCCCAGCACCACCCGCCAACTCCAAACTCTCTTCCTCCTTCACCACTCCACCTTGCGTTAGATCCGCCGCCTTCTTCTTTCCCTTCTTGCCCTTTGGTCGATAAGTACTTCGATCTCTCAACGGTAGCCAGCGCTCAGGATCCATCTTCTTTCCTTCCTCAAAGTCCTTTGGCATCTTCGATTTCTTGATTTTGCGCTTTTTGGGCTCTTGAGCTGGCTTTTCCTTCTCTGTTTCTGCGGCTCGCTTCTTGCTTGCGGGTACATTAGGTGTGAAGGAGGGGATACCGGCTTCTTCCAATGCTTCTGCATCGATGCCAGAAATGAGACGGGAAACTGGGGTAAGTTTGTCGAGATCTGAGGAGACTTTGGAGAGATCGGTGGTGGCGTAGGATGCGACGTAGCCGGCGATGGCGGTCCGATCATTGGGATCTTGGCTGCGGAGACTAGTGAAGATTTCTCCGGCTGTGGAAAGATCTTCTGGGTTAGAAGATTCAAGGAGAGAGGTGCCCGCAGCGCGGAGGAGGGAAATTGACGGTTTTGATTTCCTCCGCCAGTGGGTGGCTGCCTTCGCTAGTTCGTTCTTTATGGGTGCTTTGCGACCAGAGAGGCGGTAAAGTGAGATAAGAACTGCAACAAGTCCAGGTGCAAAGCGTACGTCCTGGTCTTGTGGTGCTGTAGATTCTTCTAAGCGCTTGAAGAATGTCTCTAAGAGATTGATGGCAGGACCAGGGTTGTTGGTCAGGATATAGAGTTGGATGATAACAAGAATAAGTCCAACATCATTAGGTCGCTTCTCAAGAAGAGGTAAAATGGCTTTAAGACTAGCCTTTCCGGTCTCGTTGTGTGCATGAGCTGCTGCATTTACGACAGACAAGGTGTTGATGAATGGCGAAATAGTTGGTGGAGATTTGGAGATGACAGAAGAGGTCGAGAGTGCTACTCCAGAGTACTTTTGTGATTGTAAATCGATAGCATATTTGTTGCGTTTCAAAATGCTTGATTGATGTTCAAAAAACTTCTCTCCGTGAGATAGCTTAGGAACAGAATCGAAGATCCGTTGTGTCATGAAAGGATTGTCATTGGTTGTAGATGAAGCCAAAGCGTTGTTTTGAGCAATAACTCGAGATGGTGGTTCAGGAACACTATCTTTGTCAGTATTACATCTTTCAAGAGGAGCAAAGCACCGTACTCAGCGATATTGATCATTTTTTGGAGAGCTTCGGCCTCTTCAGATTTGCCAAGCTTCGTGAAGACGTAGGCTTGCTGCACCATGATTGGTAGCACTTCCGCCTGCTTATCCTCGTCACTCAGTTCATCCAAAGCTTCACACAGATCTCTCGCTCGCTTCAATAATACACTGCCTGCGCCAAGATCTCCACGAGCAATACAGCCACATGCAGCATTATAGGACGTCTCAAATGCTTCCAGATCTTCTCTTGATGGTTTCTTTCTGCTTGGATCGATTTTGTCCCCGTTTCCCTGCCATTCTAATTGTGCATCTGTCGCAGAGCTATTGATCCTCAAATCGTTCTCCTCTCCTTCAATCGGACCTTCGTTTGCGCTCAATTCTTTGTAGATGTGGGCAGCATCCTCGAACTTCTCTGCACGATATGCCACTTGTGCAGCCACATGTTGTAATCCCCTCTTCTTTGACCCTTGTACTAACTCTTTTGCTTCTGCGAGCTTCCCGGTCTTGTACAGCGCATATGCCTTCTCAAGAACGCAACGTTCTGCCAGTTTGTCTCCTCCGTCATCGAGGGCTCGTAATGCATCGTCGAAGCGGTCTAACTTCAGGAGTGCCACGACTCGAACGTGTAATGCATCGGGATTGTTCTTCGAAGCTTTTAGAGCAGCATTGGCTGCTTTGAGAAATTCATTGTGGTCGTCGATTGTTGACCCCCGCAGAAGAGAAGTAAGTGTAGCAGTGGGATTGGCCGCCATATTGCCAGGCTGAAGTGTTGTTATGGGTCCTAGAACTGATCCACGATTAACATGGCCATCAAAGGGTCTCAATATTTTCAGCAAACAATGTTTGGACTCGATATCTCGACGTGGCCGAGGACGGACTATGCTCATGTGCTTTTGGCGGGGTCCAGTATAAAATCCCGTTTAAGGCTTCGTGGGGTACGGAAAAACTTTTCGCCTAATAGGGTGGACGATAGAAGCTACTAGTGTAGTTTTATGAAATGCTTGCCCGCTTCGCTTTTCGCAAATGTCTTCATAGGTGAAAGATAAAACAGTATGATCGTCTGATTCCATGAATATCACACGATATGGAGAATCCCGAGGCATCTCAAGAAACACGCATCGGAGATACCGTATATTTGAGCGATGAATGTCTGACTAAGTCAAAGTTCGAAGGGCTGAAGCTTTGGTAGCCTAAGACACTCTAGTTTCACAACTCTGTCTCTAAAAGAAGACCAACATGTGGCTAATCAAGCAACAATGTTGCATTGCATTGCATGCATGTGCATGTATAAATAGATCCTCCCCATCATATATCAGGAAATTTGGAAGCTCAAATGCTGTGCTCTGTCTTTGCTTCTATGCACTCTCCCGTCGATGATGTACCTAGGTACAGTCCTTGGAGAACTGTACCCCTCCCAACCCCTCAACCATGTTCCAGCCAGAGCTTTCTTTCATGTAAGTACCTCCTGTAGGGCCGTGATCATCCCTCTCCTTGCCCACAGTTCTCGCAAACGGGTGGTCAAAGGAATCCAAACTATCGAAAACAGTTTCATAAGTTCAGTTCTTCCTCACAATTGACCAGGGGCGGGCGCATGGCTGAACTGATAGACGATGCTTTGCGGGCAGGCTCATGCAGCCCAATAATGCACGGGCATCTCACCCACATCCACATCCATCACCTTCCCGCACATACATCCAGGCGACAGCGTCTACGGCAAGGCTGCATCTCACCTTCTTTCTTTTCTTCCGAACTCGTCATCTGTTCCCTTCCCCTTCATTCATCTCGTCAACCTGCTGTTCGGTTTCGTTATCTGCCTTCAATTCATCCTGCATGTTGACCTACTTCCGTGTCTCAATTTAGGCAGAGTAAGCACAATTCCTCGCTATCACCCCACCAAGCTGATTCCAAGGCAGAGATGGTCGTTAAAGACAACTCCTCCAACCCACCAATCCCAAATACAGACCCAATCACCCAAAGATCTCCAATGGATCAAAGCTCTCCTTCCACGGCCGCCTTCCCCTCCTCTGCCAGAATCCTCGCAATGGCGCCCGGAAACCAGCAGCAGCACGTCTCGCCATATGGCCCTCCTCCCCCAGCAAATGCCAATCCCCAATCTCCTACCGGTCCTCAACCTCCTCAATCCGACGCGAATCAAGCCCAATCGTACCCGCAGTACTCCTACGATATCCAACTCCGCTATCCTCAAACGCAACAACAGCAACCTCCACCACCCCGCACCTATCCCAATCCCCCGCAATACACCGGCGAGCCCTTGCCCCCAATGAACTTTGCACACATCGAGCAGGCCCAACAAGGCGGACAAAACTACCACTTCGAGGCTCCCCAAAGCATGGACACAACCGGCCAAGTTGCTCCAATCGGCATGAAGCCCAGAGTCACTGCTACACTATGGGAAGATGAATCTACGCTCTGCTTCCAGGTCGATGTCAAGGGTACATGTGTTGCCCGCCGCGAAGGTAAGTTTATTTCCCTCCACCAACACACTTCACCTCAAATACTAACAGAACGAACCAGACAACCACATGATAAACGGCACCAAGCTCCTCAACGTCGCAGGCATGACCCGCGGCCGCCGCGACGGAATCCTCAAGAGCGAAAAACTCAAGCACGTCGTTAAAATCGGGCCCATGCACCTTAAAGGCGTCTGGTACCTCATCCCCCTCCTCTCCCCTTCCCCTTTCCTTCCTCTCCTAAATCTCACTAAACAATTTTGATAACAGGATCCCATACGACCGCGCCCTCGACTTCGCCAACAAAGAGAAAATCACCGAACTCCTGTACCCCCTCTTCGTGCACAACATCGGCGCCCTGCTCCACCACCCCATCAACCGCGGCTACGGCGCAGCGTCTTATAACGACGCCGCGGTACCGAGGAGTCATGAGAGGAGCTTGAGCCAGCAGGGTCAGGGTCAGGGTCAGGTTCTGCAGCCGCAGACGGGGTATATGTATTCTGCTCCCCCACCACCGCCGCCTGCTCCTGTTCAGGGTGGTGGTGAGCAGAGAGGTTGATTAATGGTGTTGGGAAGATTCTCTTTTTATGGAAAAGAATTCGTCGAAAATTATGGCTAGGGTATGATGGATGGGAATTTTTCTTCATCACATAGCAGGATACCTCTTTGCGGATTTGAATTTGCTGGCGTTTTGCCGTTTTCGTGTGGAGGGATGGATGGGCCATAGTTGCTGGGAGGTTTGGATGGATTTTTTTTGCTCATTGAATGATGATGGATGGATGGATGGGCGTTTAGCTATGCTACCTTTAATGTTGGCAGATGAAGGAAAGAAAGCAAGCTTATGATACCATGCAGACTCTTTGCCTTTTCACCTTCATTCTCAGTGTGCGGAAATCACAATTTCTTTCTTCTTGAGCGTTACCGGAATACCTTTTGATCTTTAAACCTCTTTCTCAAGTATGGATTACCAACAAAGCTTCTAAATTGCCTTCTCCAACTCATTGCTCCAGGTAGGGCCGCATTTTGTACTTGAAGAGTCGTTAACGTATAAGCAGTCAGCTTTGGGCTATAAGTATTGAGACTGAGTTTGAAGTGTTTGATAGCAATACGCAACTCTACTGAAAACAAAACACCCAAAAAAACCCCCCAAGGAACTTTAGCGAGACCCTCAAAAACCATAAAATCCAACAAAACATTAACAACCATCATACCGAGACGGGAGTATGATAATTGCTTAGTACAAGGGCTCACCATTGTTTATCCTTAGCTGCCTTCTTGGGACGGTTCGTCCTACTCCGGCTTCAAGTCTTTTTTTTCTGAGAAGATGGTATGCCTCTTAAATCTTGTCGGAAGTCGTACTTTGACTTGTGCTAATTCTGGGAATGAAAAATGCTTATTTGATACTATTAAGGGTTTCGCGATATCGGGATCGAGCGGGCCGATTTGGGCCGCGGATTCACCCGGATCTGGGATGACGAGATGGATTTAGCAAGGACTTGCTATTGCGGAGATATCAAGCAGTGACACAAGGGTAAAGCTAGAGACACAAGATTGTTGGACGTTGAGGAACTTGGTTGAAAGTATCGAGGTTCTTTGAATTCCGAACCTAACGGAGCAAGACTATATACTCGAACCTAAATCCCATCCCGCCAACGCCTCGCACCAGGTATTAATCCTATCCCAATGACGCCATTTCCTATATGATACCAAAGCATTTTCTTTTCTTTCCTGTCTACCTCCTTCTCCGCCTCAGCTCCCAATTGACGTCCTCAGCATCATATTCAATATCATCGTCTAGCTCCACTATTTCAACCTCGACTTTGACGTCTGCTACAGGTCCCTGATGTAGCTCTTCCAGGAGCTTGGATTCAATGCCTTTATTCCCTAGCAGGAAATCTCCGAAGTATTTCAGAGCATTGAAGGCTTCTTCACCTGTTGGCACGATGTTTTCTTTTGGTAGTAAGAAGCCGTAACTACCAGTATCTCTTAATTTGATCTGGTAGCTGTACCGAACGTGCATTTCGTGGTAGAACCAATCGATTGCACTCCCGCCGCCTGTTTCCATCCGGAAACCGCCTTTTGCGGGCTTGAGTTTCGAGGAGACGGCGCCTTCGCAGGCTGAGGCTACGTTGTATTGTTGTCCGCTTGAAATGCGGATTGCTTTGGCTAGTCCCATGCCGAGTTCCTCTAGGTACTCTAGGGTGGGTGGGTTGGCGGCACATGAATAGGAGTATGGGTACAGGACTTGTTGCGAATAAGAGTGTAGGTCCAGGAACCCGACAAAAGTTACGCCATTATTCTCTGTCTCGTTCTTTGCCCATTCGGCTAGTCTGTGGGATTCGACGGCTTGGAATGGTTCATCTCCGGGATAGCTCTCTGAGCAGGGATTGGATTGATAAGTCGTTCCATCCCACTCGAATCCGAACCCACGGTCGAGGTCAAGTCCACGGCAAAATCGAAGACTGGTTTGTTGACGGTTCTTCCTCCACAATCGATCGTTCTCCCAGGTATAAACATATCCGTCAGGATTCGTCGTGGGGATGAAAACAAAATCAAACTCCTGGAGAAGCTTGGTAATTCCAGGTGACTTTCCGTAAGAGGTAATAAGTGACCAAGCAACATAAGTCACTGTGCTTACCGATATCCACTCTCTAGCATGGAAGCCGCCTGATACTATGATGGTCTTTCGTGGTTCCGGATTGTCCTGTGGCAGATTTGGAGATACGCCGACCCGAAGAGCGTGGATGTCTCGACCTTCATAAGTGGTTCCGATATCGATCATACGGACATGAGTAGTGAACATCGAAGCCATAAGACGCATCCATGGGACGATGACCGAGTACGGTTGATAGTCTCGGAAGAAAATATTCTCTACTCCATCAGATGTTTTCAAAGATGGAGTGAATGAACGATCCAGGTGAGTTGGAGGAAATGACGGTTCTCCAAAGGCGATTGAGGGATAGGTTTGGTAGATAGTATTTGCCAAATCGGGCATCAAGTTGGAGTGTGCTGTTTGGAGAGACTTTGGCAGTAATCCTAGGAGTGAAGGGACCTGGTAGAGTCAGTATTATGCATCCATATTGGTTGGTCCTCCACAAAACATACATCGTCCTGTCTAAGACGAATATCCGCCCAGTTGTTTGTAAACTCCCACACATCTAGGAAAAGTGTATCTGCCGCTTCCGCCAATGCCTTCTCTTCCTGTGCAGTACTCAGATTGAATCGGAGTACAACGTCTCCTCCATATTTCGCCAATAAAGTCGCTGGTAGTTGTGTGCTCGTCGGCCGCGACAGAGAGCTCGGCTTATCCAATCCAGCCTTCGCCGTGTTCCGTGGCAGACCGAATATCTTCTCTATAGCAGTATCTCGAAGCCATGTCAACTGAGGAAAGACGCTTCGAAGCTTCTGTGGCTGTTCTGTTGTGGCCGAGTGACGTTGCGTAGGGGAGAATTGGTTGTTATTGGACCATGGAACGGCGAATGCAGCAACAGGAGCGCAGATAAATGAGATGAAAAGCAAGGTTACAAAGGATAGCAAGTGGCTCGAGAGCTGCATGTTGAATAGGGCATCAGTGAAGAGGACAACAAGAAGAAAGTGGTGGTCGTGTGCACAAAGTTGTGGTTGCCTTGCGGGGACGACGGGTGAAGGAAGAAAAGCGTGGTGGTGGGGGAACGCTCCGCTTCCGCGCGCCGGTAATGTACTGTAGAAGGGAAGTCGTCGAACGAACGGGCTCAACTCGACACTCTGCAACGGTGAATGGCTGCAAAAGACTGGATTGGATGCGATACGCGTCCGAAAGTGGGAATTGAAAAGGGACAATTGATTCGGGCGATACTTCTCGATCGCTGGATGGTGGAGTAGGCGCAGCTGCAGTGTTCCAATAGAGAGACCCGACAATATTAGAGTTGCACTATTGCTCCATCCAGACTTGGTTCTGCCTCGTCTCTTCGTTCACTAGAAACCAAGACCAAGATTCCAGACCCAAGAGCTGCTAATCGGAACCATCGGTCGATGAATGACATCTGCGAAGCTTTTTTGCAGATTTCTTCCTTCTCGACTACAATTCCACGCTTTTGATTTATTCTTGTGTCCTTGAAATGTTGAGTTCTTGATTGAAGTTCTCTAGTCACTCGTTTGGTCGCACCAGCCAGCCTCCGAGACCCTTCAACCAGGATTCCCAGCCTCATTCGATCAACGCTCAGACAACCAGAAACGAAGAAACAACACATCGAGATTCCCAAAACAAGACCCGAATGTGATTCTTCCCATCCGCCATCAATCCACTACGTCTGCGAGATCAATGACTTCGCAGTCTCGATTCCATCATGCCTCTCATGCCAGGCTTGTTTCGCAAGGCGCAGGTATCTGATGTAGACCTACGGAGACACTCCTACTATGCTGCCGACTCGAACAATCAGCCACGAGGACCCCCCCTCGATGGGAGAGCCAGTGAGCAGATTCCACGAAGGCCATCTGCAGCAGAGTTTCTATCGCCATCGTCTGCCGCAGATGAACCAGCACCAGCGAGGATGTCAGCTGAGGCAGACGAGGGGCTTCAACGTTCGACATCTCCTCCGGTACAAGAGGAGAGCCAAAAACATCGTCGCTTCAGCATGTTGAAGTTTAGACATGCCTCCGACTCTCAATTGTCTACTAGAGGTAATTAAAGGCTATTTTCCTTTCTGCTGAATATACTGGATGTTAATGTACGATATAGCCCGTCTCCATGCCCAAACTCAGGCCGACGCTCCTCCACTTCCACGTCGTGAGTTTGGCAGATTATCTTTTGAGACAACGCTAACACTGGTTACAGCTCCTGAGATCATCACCACGGCGCCAACTATGGACATGAATGCTACGAAGTCAATCAAGACAAAGAAGTCCAGGATGAAAATGCCAAGCCGTACCAAATCTTCCTCAGCAGACACCGCTATTGAAGCACCAATGTCCCTCAGAGTTACGAAGAATGAGAAGAAGGAAAGAAGGAAAACAATGTCGGAGACCGCTCCGTCCGGTAGCAAAGGCAGAGTTACATTCGATGAGCCTGAAAACCGTCCACAAACTCAAGCAGGCCACTCACCTCCCGCTTATGGAGATGAAGCCAATTCGACTTTGGCATTACCAATCAATCGATTGTCCGAGTCTTCAAGATCAGATGGAAGCTCTGGTGAACATGGAGTATATGCCACGACCACGACTACTACGCACACAGTCCATACCACCACTACCTTCTTTCGGCTCCCTCGCAGGAAGAAGCCGGCACCGTTATTTAATCTTTCGCATCTCCCTCAAAAATCCAATCCTCAGAACCCAGCTGCTTCTCGCACGTCTGTAAGTTCTGCAGGGGTTCCACCACCTGAATCACCCATTATTACGGCGCTTCGTTCTCCTTCGGTTGACAATGTGGGACTGGGTTCGCATGGTGGATCCCATTCGCCTCTACCCTCACCTTCTCACAGTGCATTGGCCAAGTCCTCAACTGCTTTTGCTGTCCCAGGTGCACCTTTGTTCAGGCAAGGCTCAGCTGCGTCGAATAGATCTTCTCCTTCGCGAGCAAGACTTGGTATGCGAGGTAGATCTTCGACTTTGAGCTCTTTGCGAAATGTCCCAAGCGAGGATCCTTTACCGACACCAACTTTACCATCCACACGTACTTCTACTTCGACTGGCAGAAAGAGCTTTGGCGACTTGTTTGGATTGTCTCACAGGCTACGGCAAAATTCTGAGCCGCCCTTTCATCATTCGGGACCTGCAACCCCGGGTTCGAGTACTTCGAAGAACAACTCGATACAACTAACACGTGAGCCTGTCCCTCCTATCGTTTTGCCAGAAAGACACGAGGATGATACACCTGCAAAATACCTAGTTCGCCTTGAGGAAGCTGTTAGTCGAGGCGTTGTAGCTAGTGTGCTTTCAAAAGGCACTGATAACTTCTCGCAAGCGGTTCTTCGAAGCTACATGCGTGGCTTTGGTTTCTTCGGTGACCCCATGGACATGGCGATTCGTAAACTCCTGATGGAGGTAGAATTGCCAAAGGAGACTCAGCAAATTGATAGGTGCTTGCAAGGTTTCGCGAATCGATATCATGAGTGCAATCCTGGAATCTACGCATCGCCTGACCAAGCTTACTTCATAGCTTTCTCACTGCTTATATTACACACTGATGTTTTCAACAAGAACAACAAGCATAAGATGCAGAAGCCAGATTATTTGAAGAACACTCGTGGGGAGGGTATCTTTGATGAGATTCTAGAATGTTTCTACGACAATATCTCCTACACTCCTTTCATTCATGTTGAGGATGATCTGGATATCAACGGCGAGCGCATCATTCAGCATAAGATGAAGAAGAAGTCCATCTTTCCTCGTGGCGCGGCTGACCCAGCCAAAAGACCATCAAAAGATCCTGTGGATCCTTACACTCTCATAATTGATAGCAAGCTCGACACACTGAGACCAAATCTCAAAGAGGTAATGTATCTAGAAGAACATTACAACTACCTGGGAACCGCTCCAAGCCTGAACCTGCAAGACTTGCAGAAAACATTTTTCCGAACTGGAGTCCTTCAAATTGTCTCTGCGAGGTCAAGACCAGACGCTTTCTTGAATGCGAACACGCTTCACAATCCTTCGTCAGCCCAGGAAGCACATCCTGGTATTGTGGATATTAAGATCACTAAGGTTGGCTTACTCTGGCGGAAGGATGCCAAGAAGAAGAAGACGAGATCTCCATGGCAAGAATGGGGAGCTATCCTTACTGGTGCTCAACTGTATTTCTTCAGGAACACGACCTGGATTAAGAATCTGATGCACCAGCTTGAAACACATATCAAGCAAGGTCACGATGGCATCCCAGTCATATTCAAGCCTCCTCTAGATCAATTCAAGCCCGACGCGCTAATGTCAACTGATGATGCGGTAGCCTTGTTGGACTCTACGTACAAGAAGCACAAGAATGCGTTCGTTTTTGTTAGACATGGCGGATTTGAAGAGACATTCCTAGCCGATAATGAGCAAGAGATGAATGATTGGCTTGCAAAGCTCAATTACGCTGCTGCATTCCGGACATCAGGGGTCCGAATGCGAGGTGTGGTCGGTGGGAATTACGAAGGTCAACGAAGCCGCGGCATTCGACGACTGGATAGCACCAACGAGTCAACCAAATCGATTCAAACTCCGACCGGTGAGGTTACTATTGTGAGTGGTAGAATTGACGCAAAGATGGCCCAAGATATTCTTGCAGCACGTCGCGAGATCATGCTGCAAAAGATTGCAGATGCAGAGGAAAAGTTAGCTGTCGCTCAGAAACAGCTCGATGCACAGCTGAGAAATGCCCGACATCTTCAGATTCTCGCACCTATCCAACAAAAGAGCCGGGAGCAAGTTATCTTGGCTGCTGGTAGGATGGCGGCTCAATTAAAGTGGGGAAGAATGGAGATATGGAGATTGAAGTGCCACAAGGATATTTTGACGATGGATCTAGAAGAAGAACGGGGTGTCGATACTTCCGTTCCTCGTACTGAGATCGTAGTAGAAACACCCACGTCGGAACGGACTGCTCTTGCTCGTTTGCATTCGAAAGCAAGTAGTACCCTTGCTGCACAGAGAACCCCGCGGTCTCCAACTTCCCACTCTGCCAACAGACCATCAACCTCGACGACTCAAACCCCAGCAAAAGAGTCCGAAAATGCAATGGATGATATTTTCTCAACACCACCGACACTCACCACAACTTCCAGCTTCCACAAACAGCAAGCATCATGGGAGCTGCCTCCACTCGCTTTCGATGCTACTAGCCCTCGCAAAGCATCATTTTCAAGTGCTGCTCCACCAGGCAGCCCTGATCTAGATCCAACCCCATCAAGATCGAGTTTGAAACCTGTGACTTCAGGTGATGCTCAGCGCGCACCTTCGCCGAATATTGATGCCGCTGAGCAGGCTGTACTCGAGCAGGCAGGACTTGTTGGAGCAGAGAGGACGCCAGACAGCAAGCGTCACACACTTGAAAATGAGGAGAGTAAGGACCGTGTAGCTGAGAAGGAGAAACTTGATCGAGGCAAGATTCGAAGAAGTTTGCATCGCACTCTTCGTGAAGGTCACGTTCCTTCGCACCACCGAAGTCGAAAGGGAAAAGACTCATCATCAAGTGCTGGTATGTTTGATGAGGCTAAGGAAGATGTTTTGGCTCGTGGCACTGGAAGCTTTGTTGTGCACGGTAAGAAGGCATCCGTTATCACCTTCGGCTCAGAGCTACAGAGCATGTCTCCTGATGAGCGATTGCGACTACGCAAGCAGCCGCATAAAGATGAGCCTGGTTTTCTTTCACCTGCGACAATAGAGGACGACTTCCATTCTGTTCTTGCAGAGCCATACGAGTTCCACGAACGTCACGACTCGGCTGCAACGACAAGCACCATGACCGCGCGAAGCTTCCGAGAGTTACATAAGAAGCTACGAGATTCAAGCGCCGCTGCAGTAGTCTCGGATGGAGAAGACAGTGAAGCAATCTCTTTCTCAGAAGGCAGACGCACTCCTCTTCCACCCGTCGAAGACGAGAACGAGGAAAGCAATAGCAGTCGACCCAGCAGTCAAAACCAACAGGCCATGTTCTATTCCGCAACCAACTCCCCGGTCCGAGACGCCTTCAACGAGAAAAACAGCCGTGTCAGCGAACACGAAGATCGAGAAGTAGAGACCGACATGTTGCCAAGCTCCTCCCTCCAAACTGTCGTTAGTGCCTGATTATGAAATACAGCATAGCGCGGCGCGCAGACAAAAAGTTCGTTTACATTCTGTGTTTTTATTCGTTCGTGATATTGTGGTTTTATTAGCGACGCTCCTTAGAGATGGGTTCTACTTTGGGTTGGTTTGGGCTCGGCGCGATACTTTATGTTTTGGTTGCTTGATTCGGGACAAATGCGGGACATGGTCCTGGAATCGTTCGTTGATAGTCGCGGCTACATACGCGTTACAAAAGCTTGCCCTTCCTTACAATTTTGAACTGCAAGGTTCTTTGACGGTGTATAATAGATGGAATGGATGGATGTTGGGCGATGGGGATGGCGTTCTTGTGTTTGGGACGTGCTGTATAGGGTTACGGGGCGGTTGGAGAGGTATGTGAGATAAGATGAGATGAGTGATGAAAAGTACGTATGGCGAGGCATAGCGTAGCGTAGCATGTGAGCTGAAGATCGGTGGAATATTATATACATTGCTTGATCTTGCTTTCTTTATAATGGTGCAAGTAAAGTGAATGATGTTGGTATCATCTTACGACTCTCTTGTATGTCCAGTGGCTTGCACATCAAATTCGCGAAGAAGAAATATGAGATCTAGGAATTCTCAGCAGTCAATTAACATCTTCGGTCAAGCATCATTACCCTTCTTACCACATGTTAAAAAACCTCCTACTGCAGTACGCACATACTCTACCAGATTCATTTTATATCCTGCTAGTCATCTATTTAGTGTTTTCGTTTTGAAATCCGTGGCCCGCTCTGTGCCATAGTGCAATTTATATAAATCACTTAGGAAAAGTTGAGTGTTAGGGAACTGTATACTGTATGATTGGGTGAATAGGAGATTATGAGGTTTTAGTGTGAGTGTGGTAGTAGGGGTTGTTATTCAGAGGAGGGTATGTTTGCTTGAGGTTATAATGGTATGAAGGAAGGAGCTTGTAAGTGAACAAGAGAGATTCCAGAACTTTGCACTGTGAGATCAAGTTTCGCCTTAGTAAATGAACTCCGATTTGCTTAACGACTAACGACAATACACTCTAATAGCTAAACAGCTACAACACCTACAACCCAGATTTTCAACTCACAACCTCGCCTTCCCATCATCAAACCCACTCTTCCCCTTCACAGCCCCAAACGCACCCCCCTTCCTTCCAAACATCGTCCTCAAATCCCTCGCCAACAACTCCGGCCTCTCGGTAGCAAAAAAATGCCCCCCGCTCTCATTATCACTCTCATACACCACCGGCCCCAGCGTCCGACACCACGTCTTGGGGAAAACACCCAACTCCTTCGGATTAAACGCCATCCCCAACTTCACGCCCCCAATCCAGCCCGCGATATCCGCCTGTGTGACCCGTCCCGGCCCCGGCTGCGTGTGCGTCACTTCATAATAGATGCGATGTGCAGCGCCCGGTCCCATACGTGAATACGCGTAGATGGAGACCCAGGTGAAGATCTCGTCGTCGCTCCACGGGTAGGAATCTGTCCAGTCGTGCAGCTTCTCGTAGATCCATGCTAGCAGCGCGACGGGGGAGTCGTTCAGTGCGTAAGCGAGCGTTTGCGGCTTTGTGCTTTGTTCCAGGTTATAGCCTCTCCCCTCCCTCGCGAACCATTCCGAGCGCTCGAACCCCTTTTTATCTTTCTCGCTGTAAGGCGTGAGAGCGTGCTGTAATGCCAGCAAAGGGTTCTTGCTCCATGTCGGCGCAAAGGCCAGGATCATGTTGATGTGGCTCGCTTTGCAGGATTGCGGGTACAGTTTGCCCATGGCGCGGGTGACGGTGAAGCCCCAGTCGCCGCCCTGGGTCACGTACTCGGGGTAGCCGAGCGAGAGCATGAGTTTGTGGCAGGTTTCGGCGTATTGGGCGGAGGCGAAGCCGCGTTTGCTGGGCCCTTGGCTGAAGCCGAAGTTCGGGAGGGAGGGGGCCACGATGTGGAAGGCGGGGCCGTTGGGTTGGGCGAGGAGGGGGAGGATGTGTTGGACTTCGATGAAGGAGCCGGGCCCTGGATGTTGTCAGACAATGTTCGTGGATGGGTCGAGGAGGGGACTTACAGCCGTGGCAGAATAGCAATGGGATGGCGTTCTTGACTTCGCTCTTTTGCCAGACGAAGTGGATGTCTAGCTCTCCGAAGCCGTCGACGTTAATTGGAGTGTGGAATTGAGGGAGCTTGTTAATTTTCTCTTCGGCTTGTCGCCAGTCCCATTGTTGCCAGGCTTTGACGAGTCTTTTCATGTCAGAGAGAGGGACACCGAGTTCCCATGCTGATTCTGAGAGCTCGTCTGGGAACTCTGCTTGTGAAAGCTTCAGCTTGAGGTTGTCGATTTTCTCCTGGGGAACGGAGATCTTGTATGGTTGAGGAGCCATTGTGAGTTTTGTTCTGTTGTAGTCAATTGATCGAGAGATGATGAAGAGAATTGAGAAGTGATTGATTGAAAAGAGAAAGAATTGAGGAGGGAATGGAGACTTATAACTTCGAGAGAACGATATAGAATAGAGCTCCCCTGTATGATCTGAGGTCAAGGAGTACAAATGAAAGGATTCTTACTTCATCAATTGCACCGAAGGCTTACATGATCTATCACTTGGTGATCGGTGTTGAGCTGTTGTCCGGGATGACGTTGGACTGCCGAGCTCTGTGAAGCTACCCCGCAACGCTTGTTAGGTTAGTTTGACCGCTGACAAATATTTTGTATGTCCAAGCTGACATAATCACACCGGATTGACGAGAAGAACTCTTGGAAGACTTCAAGTGCGATTCAGAGTGGCTGTTGATATTGAATGGACGAGACATGAACATGGATTTTTCTCTCATTCTTACGTGGGTATCAGTCATATTCGTGCACGATCCTCGTTGCTGCCTGTTTCTTATCTTGATAGCAAGGTTTAGCATTGTTGGAATTGTTTATATCACCTAGCCAGCCTTCACCAATTGGTGGATGTTGAAGATACTCATCCATTGATGTCCGTTTAAGTGACTCATAAGGAACATTAGCAAAGCCGGGGTTCGTATTTCCGAAGGGCCCGAAATTGAATTGACCTTGCTGACCCTTTCTAAGCGCATGGGATGGTTCATTGGCAAGCAGTGTTCCTGCATTGACTTGAGCTCATAATTATGCAATGCATACTCATTGTGTCCCGCTTCGGACAATTCGATCTTCTTCTTTTCCATACATCGAACGGATTCTTGATGCCAATGCGAGGAACATTTTTCACGCTTTTGTTCTTTCTAGGGAATATCTAAAAGACTCCTCTACCATGCCCCGAAGCTTTCTCTGATTATTCAAGAATACTTCGAGTTAGAAGTGAATCATGACATTCTAGAGAAAATCCTGGAGCTCGAATGTTGAGTATACAAGACTGTCAAGTTCTATTATCTGCAAATCGTTGGCGAATGGCTTGTCTCTCGACACGTGGGACAATGACACCTTGATCCAAGAAAGCAGTGCATTTGGCATCTTGTCGAAGTTTACACGCATTAAGTTCTAGCCTCGTACTAGTGTCATCGAAAGATCGTGTCCGTGGTACTATCGGCTAGGAGGGTGGGTGTTGACGACTGAGAGCACCATTGTTGAGGTTGCAAGGAGCCTTGTTCTCCTAGTTCTAAGCTACCACACAGCACCCACTCAGCAGAGTGGCTTGCGTCTCACTCACTCACGGAGAGTATAGCATCTGAAAAAAATTCTGTAGCAGCTTACCCTTACGATTCCAAATTTTGAAAACAAGCCCGCAAGTTCGTCTGGTAAAGGGTTGGAAAGGGCGGAAGATGTACTTACAAGAATAAGTTAAGAGCATCAATGCATCAGTCCTCGTATTCACCGTGTTGAAGTGACTCTTGAAGACGAACAATGAGCAGTTTTTATTGCACATCGCATTTTGCTGAAAGGATTTCTGCGGGGAATTTTGTATTTTTGCTGTCCTGCGAAGTCTGTCTCTAAATATAGACAACGGGTTATCTTGCCAAGGACAGACAATGATCAATCTTTGTTGCACATCGCATTTTGCTGATGAGATTTCTGCGGGGATTTGGTATATTTGATATCTTGCGAAGTCTATCTTCAAAGTCAGACAATGGATAATACGCGTTTTGTTGCACATCGCAAATTTGCTGATGAGATTTCTGCGGGGATTCGGTACATTTGCCCTCTCTCGAATGTTGGGGTTGAAGGACAGACGTTGACTTGTTTCTATTGCTCGTTGGGCGAATAGGGTCAAAGCGAACCAATAGTAAGAGTGAACATGTTATGTGTCCTGCAAGGAGCCAGTAAGCGGAAAGTGAATTGATATGCGATTGTATTGCGGGGTGTAGGCATTGCTTGCTGCTGCTGAATGAGTAGATTTCCACATCGGCATAGGCCGTGCGTGATTGTTGGTCACTGGAGTTGAGTTTCTTCTTCAATGGATATACCTGATTAAGAAGTGTCCGCTAGGGTGTGAAGATATGCAGCGGAGAAGTATGTCGGAGTTTGGGCGGGCTGGTTGCGGATCGAAATCCCTGCCATCCGATTTTTTGGTGTTAGAATGATATGGTGGCCCTTAGGATTCTCATCTTTAAAAGAGTTTGCAGGACGGTTCTGATATTCCGAAGCTGTGATGGGATCAATTGTGAGAAGAGAAGGGAGGAAGGAGGGGAGGCACAAATCCGATGTGCAAAATTAGTCCATAGCGTTCAGCTTGTCGAGGAAGCAGATCAATCGAAGATCCCTTGTTCAAGTATCTCTCCTTCCCTTCGGCTCCACTCACTCTGTGCTCTTTGGACAATGAAGTTATACCATTGTTCCAAGGAGAATTATTTCCAAGAAGAACGATAAGAAACTGCTCCTCGTCTTCTCGTCCGACAAAACTTTGTCGGTGCAAAGGAGTCGAGCTCGCAGTTCAAGGTTTCCAAATGATCAAATAAGCACCATACGCTAGGAAAAGTTCCTCTTACCGTTTCAATCAATCAACATCCTCGACCTTCGTAGCAATTTTTTGTTCAGAACGAGGAAGAAAAGCGCGAAAACACATTCTCAGCCGGTCTTGATGCACCTTGCACAAGAATCTCGAGAATCGCAACGACCTTTACGTTGATGACAGTAAAGGAACAAGAACTCCTTCAGTGCTTTGCTTGACGAAAACCAGTCTGGTGTTGGCTTGAGTCGTGTCACTGTCCCCTGAGCTCGCTTCCGTCTCGCTTCCAAGTGGCTACGGAATTTCTCTTCGCTCTCAGGTACCACCAGACCTCCACACCAAGAATCGCAAACTCTCGCTGCGTGAAGCTTCTTTGAGCATTTATTTTATCCCTTTGCCAAGACCGCACTTTCCCAAATCTTAATGCAGTCTTCGCTCAGAAAATTGAGGTAAACGAGGTAAACGAAGAGCGACAAAAAAGTTGCGAAGGATGGAGGAATAGAATCTCCGCCCCGCGCCGTCTCAGCGAAGGAGGCCTATGAATTGGATACCAGATTGGGATCTCATAATTCATGATTACAAGTACGAGGTGGGATGATTGCACAGCCTCGCTCGCACATGAAGAAAAGCTGCGAGTTCTGCACACCTTTGCTGGTTGCTGGCGTTGCCGATCGACCCAAACCTTGGAAATTTGACGGCCCGGAAGAGCGTGTGATTCGTGCAGGCGTGAGGCGGCATCCTCAACTCGACTCAATCGAGCGCCTAATGCGAGAAAGAAGGTTCTGAGTCTGAAGATGACTGTGCCTCCTTTCCTCGCCGCCGTCTACTCACCGATCAATCCAAAATCTCACATGCTGCGCTGCCAAGAAAGTTAAAGAAGATGTTCGGAGACGGGACCAATCCGAAAGAGCGAAATGAGGCTACCAAGGCCTTGGATGTCGGATTTCTTGAAGGCTGAGGGAGGATCGCGATCTTGTACAGTATCATCCCACACCAATGCGAGAGGAAAAGCCATCCGCAAACCCAGGCTTAGCTAGCCGCATCGCAATCTATTCCGGAACAAGACTAACTGGACCGGAGCAAGATAAGATATTATGATTGGCGAGAAGCGTCCGAGTCGAGATCCGTTGTAAGTTCATGATTGGGAGAGATGAATGCCAAGCCGCCGTCATTGCAAGAAGTGTGGGACGGCGCTCTTTAAGGCTGGTTGGAGGCGTGGATTTTCAGGTTCTGAACTCCTTTGTCGTGTGGAAAATTACCTGATGAGGAAAGGTTGCATTGTATTGAGTGGAGCTGGTTGTCGTGTGCTCTTTCCTGAATGCGAAGTACCCGGGTAACCCAGTGGCGAGTACGGCAGTACGATGAGAGTGTTTGAAGAGATGAGTTGTGTCTCTGTACAGTACTGCACATCTGATAAAATTAGATGACACGGTCGGTCTGTAGACCGAGTACAGTTACATTGGGGAGTTGAATGTGCGGTTTGCGCATTCCCATACGAGCTTTACGGTCTGTTTGGCTGGTGCTGCGACGGAAGCATTCTTCATGATCAAGGAGGAGACGCACGCCCCACTGTTCCCACGTTCGGTCCTGATTCCTGAAGACTCGACAGGCCAGGTGACGGGAGTGGCGGCGCTTTGAACTCGAGACTTGCCTTGATTGGGACCACATGGGAAATCAAAGTTGCCCTCTTCGGGGGAGATATCGTTTGAGGTTTCGTCATCGCGAAGCAGCAGCTGTTGGACTTGGGACGGTTGAGCTCATCTTCATGCCGAAGAAGACTTTGGGCTGCCGGTGAGAGAGCAATTAATGCAACGAGATATTGGAAACAAGCTCAACAACGTCCACAGCCACATTGTTGGTATTTGGTACTGTATTCTCTGCGAGCATTGATGGGGCTCTCATAAGCTTAAAATATAATTGTGGTGAAATCGGCACCCGAACATCAAACGACCACTAACCGCTTCGGGCCACGTTTTGTCTGTCGTCGTCGTCAGCTATCTCGTCTTAGCTTGAGGCTGGGGTAGTGCATCCAATCATATCGCGCTCAACGCTCAGACGAACTGGATACTCCTTGTCGACGTCCCCTTGAGATGACGATGGCATTGGCCCATACAGTACAATATTCGTGAATAAGGACTGGAGAAAGAAAGCGTCTTGGCAATGGATCCCATCCATCTAAGAATAATTGCGGATCACCGCCCAGCCAAGAATGCCAAGACAGCTCAAGGCAAAGCTGGATATTATCAGGTCGCCTTGGCCCTCGTTGCTGCTTTCTTTACGTACCGCTTTGCTTCGGGGCCTTTTTCCTGGATATACTTCTCCTCTTCTCTTTTGCCTCATTCTCTATCGGTGGCTGCTTCTTCGACGACCATTTCGTGAGGCTCGACTTTGCAAGTTCCAAACGTCCATTCCTCGGTCGTGCTTGCCCTGCGTCGCGGTCACGTCTCCCATCTGAACTCTTCCACACGACGTCAGCCTAGCAGACTTTGCCACGTTTAATCCTCGTCACTCATTACGAGGTTCTTCTACTTCTTCAAAAACAATATCTCAGGAAACCATAGCCAGGCTTCTTATTCTTTCCGTGGGACCCGGCGCATTCTTAGACCAAGACCGCATCATTAGTTAGGGCCTAGCCAACAATAAAGGAACATTTGCTTTGCCCACGAACATCGAAAACTTCAAACCAACATGGATTCTCTTAACATCACAATCCCGTACGAGGAACCAGAATGGAACTCTGCTCCAGCTTGGAGACTCCCGGGATGGGCGGAACCAGTTGTAAGTCGTGAATAACTTGCATACGATAACCAAAACTAACAGGAACGCGCAGATGGTCGCAAGCATACTAATCGGCTCAATGCTGATAACAAGAAGACATGGCTATAAGCTTTTTGGACGAAGGAGAAGGTCCCAAGGGCTACTGGACGACGATATAGACTCAGCCCGGTCATCCGACGACCTCCTCTCAAGGGACTACATGATCGCAGGAGACGACGTGAGCGAAGATTCCATGTCTACGATGAAGTATCCACCAAAGAAACGATCATGTTGCGGAACGATTCTTTACACGCCAAACTCCTCCCGATTTGCGGATCACCTCCACAGCAGGATCATGCAGAAATTCCCGTTTTTGATGGAGATGTTTTATTGGATCATCACTTACGCATTCTACCGGTGTACGAGCTTGACTGCACAAGCTATATTTTCGAAAACTGGGATCTGGGATGTGGCACAGGATCATGGATTGGCGATTTTGGAGTTCGAGCAGTTTTCCTGGCTGAGCTTTTTGTGGCCGGTGAGGGAGCAGGAGGTGCAGCAGTGGTTCATGCATGGACACCAAACTTTCCTGACTGTCTTGAATCGCTCGTACGCCCTGATCCATATTCCTGGAACTGTTGGGTAATTTTTCCTCCTTCCCGAGATTCGAATTTTGCTGACTCGATCCAGATTCATCGCTTGGTGGTACTATGTTGCTCCGTCATTCAACACGTTCGCCATTGTCCGAAGAACGATGACCCTAACGAACCTCATCGCCTTTTCTATCTTCATTCTCTACCCTTGCATGCCACCACGCCTTCTCCCAAGAGAGTACGGATTCCTCGACAGTGTAGGGCACAACAAGGCGGAAAGTGTCTGGATGAGTGGGAAATATGTCAACTCCTTAGCGGCCATGCCTTCCATGCATTTCGGATATTCCTTCTGTATCGGCTGCACCATGTTCTACCACTCCGGCCTTTTCCGCAAAACTCTTGAACCAGGAGAATCTCGTAAATCCAAGCCATGGCAACTGTTCTACGCCCTGTTCGCCATTGCCTATCCCTGCTGGATCCTTATAACGATTGTAGCGACAGCGAACCACTACTACCTGGACGCCTGTATTGCATTCTTCGTGGCCATCATTGCGTTTATGTGTAACAGGATCTTTCTGGTATTTTTGCCATTGGAGGATCTCCTACTCTGGTGTTTGAGGATCGAGAAGCCAATTCCTACTACTGGCGATAGAGCAAGGAGAAGCGGTCGATGAGCTGTCCAAATGGGTAAAAATGCATGGGGTATGGCGTTCTCATTGTGGAGTTCCAAGTCTGATTCGATGGCGGGAGGTTTATTTTCGACGTATTGTATTTGATACCATTGCATGCTCGGCGTAGCAAGATAGCACGGCCAACGGCCAATTGGAGTTCTCCTTTTGTATATTCTTGTTCGAGAGGTTTCTGCGGAGTGTAGAGAAGAGGAAAAGATCGAAGATTGATCAATGGATGAGCTACATGGCTCTTGATCTCACGTCACTCCTTCACTCCCAGCGCGAATAGTGAACAGACACAAGAATGGGGATTTATTAAAACGAAACGGGAGAAACAAGATATATAAGAGAAGAGAGACGTCGTTCAACTTAACTTTTGAGCCTCAGCCACAATGTAAATGTCGCTGCCTGCTCCCGTATCCATTTGTCAAATTTATCACTTGGCGGAGTAAAACTACGCCGTTCGTGTGGGTGATTCAGTACGTCAATAATGACCTGGGTATGGGGTGTGTGATTGTGGCCTTGCGATTTCGCAAGGCCGCAACAAGCTTACAGTAAATTCAGAAGGCTGAAAGCTCTCCAGAGCTTCAACCCCGCGCACTTCTTTTCTCTTATCACTCCTTCAATTGTCCTCAAACTTATTCAAGAAGCATCGTTTTGATTCCAGACACTCGTTAATGCAACTCCCGCGATCAAAGCATTATTTACTGAAAGCGAATTGACATTTCTGCTGCGCTCGTCTTTGTTGATTTAACAACATAGAAATCCAAGCTCTCCCCAGCCACCGCACTTTTCTCGAATTGACCTTCAATTGATCCAATTCCCCATCGAAATCTCTCTCCAAGCAAGCCCGACCGACCGCACAATGGCCGAGTCACCCGCCAACTACGACGACCTGATCCCGGACGACGACGCCGGCGACGTGGAGATGGGCACCGAAGCCGTAGTCGAGATTGAAAGCTCCGTAGCTCCATCTACCGGCCTCGTCGACGAAGAGGGAAATGGGCTGCCGTTTGAGGAAGAGGGTACGATGGATGAGGCTCGGCCGGCGAGAGTTACCTACATTGATTACTTGAAGAGTCCGGTTATTGGGTTATTGGTGGGACAAGGGGATGAGCAGGCGCTTTTAATGGCGCATCAAATGTTGTTGGAGAGTAGTCCGTGGTTTAAGGATGCGTGCTCGAAGTTCAGTGATGAGGTTTCGGTTTGTGGTCCTTTTCCTACTTTTCTATTTCTCTCTCTGCGGCAGAGCGAGGTTTGGTGCTGGAGTTCTGATAGTTAAGAGATAATTGGAGGCTAATTGGAACTTTTGAATAATAGGAGCGCAGAATTGACCTCATAGACGAAGACCTTGATGCCGTAGGATGCTTCCTCGAATTCCTCTACACCGGCGACTACTTCCCGCGCAAAATCGCCGGCACTAAAGACCTCGAACGCGACCCCGCCACGCCCACCGTCGACGAGACCGGCGACCAGCTCCTCAAACACGCTCGAGTCTATACGCTGGCGGAAACGCTCACTCTACCCACCTTGAAGAACTTGGCGAGCTCGAAGATCCATTGCGTGAACTCGACGGCTAAGGGCGAGATTGCGTACGCTAGATACGTGTATGCACATACGCACAAGGACGATACGGCGATCAGGGCTCCCGTGGCTAATTTCTGGGCGACGAGATCGCATACTCTTAGGTCGGAGGCCGAGGTTGAGTTTAGACAGATGTGTCTGGAGTTTCCGCAATTCGCTTATGATGTGCTTAGTGAGTTCCTCTTCTTATGTACGGTGCTAAGAGTTTTGTTAATGTGGTACAGCGCGTGTCCTGGACGAGAAACTCAAGCGCGAAAAGCAGGAGAAGATGCATCCCACACCAGGCAGTTCGCGAAAGCGTCCTCGTGGAAGTGTAGTCTAGATCTCTTGTAAATACCCGCACTTTCAGTTGTCAAAATCTCAGGAGTCTAGATGGTGGTATACTTTGTTATTTACTTGGCGGTGCTTTACCTTTTTCTTCCAGTTGCTGGAACGCGTAAATCTGTGTACCACCTCAATCGAAAGGAAATATAATGGAATGGGAGGAAGGAATATATTGCTTAAAGAGCTAGGGATGGGGAGATGTATGATCAGATGGATAAAAGCAAGATCGCTATTGTATACTAGAAGCTCATTCTTACATTGCATCAACCAATTAAGTGTGTTCGCCAATGGCATACTTCCCAGTTCTGTATACGTTTGTGGATTATATGTGCGTACAAGTACTGTAGCCTCTTCATGGGTTTTCGTATCTCCAAGGCACTGCTCTTCTCCCTTTGAGAATCAAAGACGAAGCTTCTATTCGTCGGTTATTAAAAGCTTTAAGCTTGTGGCCGACTCGCGGTTATGTCTAAACAAATCGGCCTAACTTTGGTTTAGCCGACGAGTAGACATTGAATGATTTGCAGTTGCGTCATTGGAAGAGAAGTCGTTGGCTTCTGGAAACATAGTAAATTATAGAATCCTAGCAATTCCTCACAGTCTTCAAGAGTTGAGTATTAACCTCAGGAATCTTCAGCACAAGTACGACCAATTTGACCACGAGAAAGTCTCTAGTCCCTCGCTTATTACTAAAAAGGAGATCCGCCAAAAAGCATCCTCTCCCTCCAAACAGCTCTCTCCCAAGAAACAGTAATCGCTGACTCCTCCCACCTTACCAAACACGCCCCTCCCATCCCTCATACACCAACACGCCGCAAAACTCCATCACCAATCTATTCTCAGCCACCCAACATCGCGGGGCAACGCTCCAATCCCTCACCCTCGTATCGCTTTCGCTCATCCGTATTGCGCACCAATCACCATCCCGCCTTCGCAACATGGCAAAGTCTCAACATGCGGCTTGAGTACGCGTCTCCCACTCGCTCGCGAGGGAGGAGAACGTTGGTTTTTTCTGTCTGTCGACTTACAATGACGGAATAGGGAAATGCTCAATCTCTGTCTGTTCTGTTCCATGGCGAGCGAGTACGGTCACAAGTGGGGCAAGGTGCGAGAGCATGAGTAACGAAAGCCCAGATTCCGGGTTGGTATCCAATTCCATCCTCGCCCTCGTGAAAGGTTGGTTTTACAGACCTGCAACAAACGCTTCTCTACATCCAATCTTGTTTCTTTCTTTCTTTCTTTCTACTAGTGGAGTCTCCGTATTACCCTCCAATTCCATGCTCGCCCTCGTGAAAGGTTGGTTTTGTAGACCTGCAACAAAAGAGCTGGATGGCGTATTGAATATCCAATTCCAGCCTCGCGTTCGGGTTCTGTTGGTTTTTGTGTCGACTTGCAACGAAAAAGTGTGCTACCTGCCGGCCGGCAGAGAATAGATAGTGTATTCATGTCCAATTCCAGTCTCGCGTTCGGGAACTGTTGGTTTTGTAGACTTGCAACAAAAGTCCGGTTTTCTTCTTTCTTTCTTGTTTATATGGAACTTCTAGCTAGCCTCGTGTTCGGGAGAACAGGGGATGGGTGACGGGTATTGGACGGGCAAATCTGTATTCTGCATCGGCATCCAGTTTGGTGCTCGCTCTCGCGATTGTCGGTTTGTCGACTTGCAACAAAGGTGTTGAGGATACTGTACAGTACCGGGTTCCTTTATTTGTCTGCCGGCATGTTGTGGGAGAAGGACGGACGGGGAGGGAAGAATGCGAGCAGCAGAGCCGTAAACGACGTCCATTTCGAGTCTCGCTTTCGCTTTTGGCAAAGGTCGACTTGCAACAAAAATGAAATACGGGTGAGCTTTGGGGGTGAGTGCTCACGCATGCGAGGTGTGATGATGTAGGGTGATGAATAAGGAGAGAATGCGAGATTTGAAATCGTGGGTGGATGCAATCCGAGGATGTGGTGTGCTAGGAATAGAATACGATTACCGACAGGAGGATTGACGGGCAGATGTGTCAGACCTTTAAATGTTGAGGGGCTCAGAGTGTCGTGTTTTCTGGATCCCAGTAATCAAGTTTCTGTTGCAAAACAGGTGTCTAGTCTGGGGCCATTCTCGAATACTAGAAACAGTTGACCCTTACTTAGCCGGATATGGGCTTCTTCACTATCTTTCCATCAGTCTGGTTGTGGGACCTTCTATGATTACTCTTGTGTCTTCCAGGAATGTACCATCTGGCTTCCGCTTGTATAATGAAGGTCTGTCAGCAGAGATTATCAACAAACATGTACATGTTGCAATAATACCATATACTCCGATTAATTCATCGTACCTCTCGTGCTATAATCCTCCTCCGCTTCAACAAAACGCATCAAATTTTCTAACCAATAAAAAAAAATAGCCAGCTTTTCCAAGGTGAAGCTAGGAAAGCGTAAAACGTGAATATCAGCTTTGATTCTGGTACCATCATACATGTCATCGTGCTTAGGCATAAGCTCCCTTGTATCTCGCTGAATCCACGAGGAACAACTTCAGCCTAGATACTGTCGTGAAACCATCATCATGCTGAGGTCGGATTCACGCTCCATATCTCGCCGAGCACAGAGCTCAAGTCTAGGGCTGCAGGTAAGGACGGCGGAGAGGCGCCTCTTGAAAGAACAAAACCCCTACAACTTCGAGCATCGAATTGTGCCTTTTGCAAGCATACAAATAAGACTACGAACTGGACCTTTTGTGGAGCCACCTCGAGCAAGGCATGCGAACGCTACCCAATAACTCTTTAGGTTATCCAAAAACGTGCTCGAAAGTGGCCTTTTAACTATGCCTTGATATTTCTTCCAGAATTTCACGCAGAGTACATACGAAGCCCTTGGGTTCCTCTCCTCCACTTTCAACATCATTCATAAAGTAAGAACAATACATTCGGTGCATTGAAGCGAATCACAATAGCTTGATCGTAGTTTATATGCGAGGACGCGGCGCGAAGAAGCGGCGCATTTACAGATCTGTTCCATAGACGAGAACGAGTGGGCAGAGAAGTGATTCGCTAGACCGTGTAAGTATATCTGGAAGTCTGGATGGGAGCTGCATTTGGTGAATGGTCCTGAATGCAGATGGATTGTACCGCCGGCGGGGAAGGAGGGTGGACTTCCGGTGACACCCATTTACGCACCGAAGCCGTTCTGTGAGGGCCTAGTATCGACGAGAAGTCTACTTGTAGAATTCTCTTGCTAGATGGCTGATCAACCTTAGGCTTTGACTCGTCTCGAGGTGAGCATCTGTACTGATATTTTGAGTGAAGCAACTCTCGCAGGCCGGTGCGTCCAATTCGTGGACAACTGTGCCTCTAAGCACCGTGATGAATGCCTTGTACTAAGTGATTTTGAAGGAAGGCCCTTGATTTTCCCATGGCTTCGGAGTGCTTGGCTTCCTAGACGTTGTGGCTACTGAGCCAAAAAAAAAAGGCGAAGACGAATAGCGTTTTGATCACGAGAAGTCCGCAATTCCCACTTCCATTATTCCAACTCGAAATTTGTGTTCATATGCAGAGTATCGAATAACTTAAGACATTCTCTGGTTCTTATCTTAAAGTAACATTTAATCAATGACTCTGGTTGATTTGGAAAGTAACGATCACGTGCCTCGCACAAACCGGTCTTTCTCCAACCACATTCGGAAGCTTCAAAATCAGAATCAAAAATTTTTTTTTTTAAGATCACTATTAGTGGAATCGAACCACCCTAAGTATCAATCCAAGATTGCTCTTGGCGGCGCTGGGAATCGAACCCAGATTGACAGAGATTCATTGTGTTTTGTGCCACAATCTGACGTGCTACCATTACTATGAAAATATTAGATTTAGAGATCTGGATCCTATTGTGACTTTGAGGACTTACCACCACACCACCGTTTGGGCCTTGATTTTATGGCGCAGATATCCTTATTGAAGCATATGGCACAGGTGTTGGGGCCCCACTGGCTGCCTTTGTGGGTTGTTGACTCATTAGTAGGAAAATTTGTAGATAGCTCGCTTCTAGGTACGACCACTTAAGGTTAAGTCGACAACAAGCTCAAGAATGACAACGGAACCAATTGTGACTAGGAGAAAGCAATGAAGATGTGAAGTTCTTGATATAGAACACTTCGAAATGCTCGCTGTGCATACAAATTTTAGAGTTACATCTATATCTGCTTCACCTGTTAGAAATTGAAAGAAGTGTGATGGCATTAGACGAAATGCTATATATTATTGGGAGCAAAGCAAGTAGCTTTAATGGGCAAAGTCGCAATATCGGGAAGAGCCAGGAATCAGTAATCAAATGTGAAACTCCTAGACCCTAACATGCTGGTCCGAATTGTAAAGAGAAAGAAGTAGCTGCATACTTATACGACTACATGCAAACAAGCTTGGCAGCTCACTTCGACCAACAATCGAGACAATCCAACCACTCGGCTATAACCTTCTGATGTTGCTAAATTCATGCATGGTATAATGTTCTTCGTGTACCTTTACAAAAGGTTCAATATCCTGTTGATTCCTCCAACACCAGAACACCATTCATTCCCATTCAAAATGTACATCTCTAAGAGTCGTACGTAACCATATCTCGCTTGTGGATTATGTAGCCCCTTAATCTTTCCATCTGTTGAGGAATTTCTGCATGTCGTCGGTGGGAGATGATGCTGCAGCAGCCTACAATATGTCAGTATAAGGCAAGTAAATCGAGCTTCGAAACATACCGTGTTTGCGTGACTTGAAACACTGAATGTGTTAGCTTGAGTGAGCGTGGTTACTTGACTAGCAATTGGCAAGAAAGTGCTAGCCAAAACGACCGAAGATGTTGGCCAGAGAGGCGATGTGTTCGTGGCAGTAATAGCAGTGGGAGGAACTGGTTGCATAGGAGCGTATTTCGTGAGTCCGGTTTGCTCGTTGTACGGAGTTCCCCATGCACCTGCCGCAGCTGAAGAAGCTGCTCCATTGGAAGTTCCCGTAACATCGTTGACTGGGTCAGGACCAGTCGTGCCGACGACTGCCGCATTCGCTGCAATTACAGCTGCTGAGAAGCTGCCAGTCATACCGGTGAGTGTGAAACGGTCGGAGTATGTCCAGATAGTTCCACCCGCAGATGCCACCGATAACATTCCTAGGAAGCTGGGATACTGTCAGTACATGATGGAGACCCCGGAGGTATATCACCTACTATGCATTTGTAGTTGCTCCTCCTGTACCTAGAGGTACCGTAACGCTCACTGTGCTACCGGCGGCAATAGTCGAGGCAGCTAATTGGTATAGTTGTTGCGGAGTGGCATTCGAGCCCGAGAACAGGAACAGTGTGTACGTCGTGAGATCCGCATTCGAGGGTGCACTTCCAGAATCTTTCCAAGTGACAGTAAAAGCTGTCCCACCAGGGACAGAGGCGCCTGCAGCAGGTACTGTGAACTCGGGGTATGCGATCGCCAAGGGGGCGGATGCCACAAGGAAAAGAAGACCGCTGGAAAAACGCATGATGGTGTTGTGTGTGATCGATCTACAAAACGAGTGACTTGCGCAAAAGGGACGAAATTTGTTGCGACAATGAGAATTGGTGATGTTGGGTTTGAGTCTGGGTATTTGATGGCTAGAAACTTGAATCTGAGGCGGAGGCGTTCGTCGATGCAGGGCAGGCTTGATTAGAAGCGGCGATTGGCGCAGCTCGACAGGGGAAAATAGAACACGAGCCTAAGGTAGGTACAGATACTAAAAATGAACTTTGTGAAGAAAGAGCATCTTCTAGAACGTAATTCACAAATTCACGAACCACCATTGACTACAGTATCATAATCGCTTTTTTAACAGCAGCAATAATACATGGACGCCTCCATCCACCTGCCATGTCTTATCATCACGTGTTGCTTTCGGCTAGCATCGGACCTGAAAGATTGCTGATAACTCGCGCAATTCCGCCACAAAATACGATACTTTTTGTACAGACCCCTCGCTCGTTCATTCGAGAAGACTTTCTTCAAGAAGTTTCACTCTCTTGCAACTCAAAATCAAGATGTCAACCATTAGCAAACCAGCGGTCTTCCCAGCCATGGCACAATCGGCCACCGAGTTGATTGGCAATACCCCTCTTGTTCGTCTCAACAAGATTCCACAAAGCCTTGGGATTGAAGCCGAAATTTATGCCAAAGTTGAACTTTTCAATGCAGGTGGAAGCGTCAAAGACCGCATTGCCCTACGAATGATTGAAGAGGCTGAGAAATCTGGGAGGATAAAGCCAGGAGATACACTTATTGAGCCAACAAGTGGAAATACGTAGGTAATCATACTGAGTAAGTCTAGCAGATTCTAACAAGTCACAGCGGCATCGGTTTGGCATTAGTTGGTGCAATCAAAGGATATAAGACAATTATAACTCTGCCGGAGAAGATGTCGCCTGAGAAAGTTGCTGTACTCCGAGCACTTGGTGCAACGATTATTCGAACACCTACCCAAGCCGCTTTCGATTCACCAGAATCTCACATTGGTGTTGCTAAGCGTCTACAAAAGGAGATCCCAAATTCGCATATTCTGGATCAATATGCAAATAAAGATAATCCATTGGCTCACGAGTACGGAACTGCGGAGGAGATCTGGAAGCAGACTGGAGGAAAGATCAAGGCTATTGTGGCAGGTGCTGGTACTGGAGGAACAATTACTGGTCTAGCGAGAGGATTGAAGAAGCACAATCAAGATGTCAAGGTCATTGCGGCCGATCCATTTGGATCTATCCTCGCTTTGCCAGAAGCCCTCAACCAAGAGCATGCCAATGAGGCCTACAAAGTGGAAGGTATTGGCTATGATTTTATTCCTGACGTTCTGGACCGAGAGATTGTGGATGTGTGGTACAAGACGGACGACCGAGAATCATTCGCCTATGCCAGACGTTTGATTGCCGAAGAGGGAATACTGGTTGGTGGCAGCAGCGGCAGTGCTATTGCAGCGATGGTGAAAGGCGTGAAGGAGCTTGGTCTTGGAAAGGGTGATATTGTGGTTGTGGTCTTACCAGACAGCATCCGAAGTTATTTGAGTAAATTTGCCGACGACGACTGGTTGGCAGCAAACGATTTACTTCCGCCTACTCCACCAACGACCTCTCCACCATCTCCAATTCTCACTGCAGCTTCGGCAAAGAAGGATCCATATCACGGCGCCACTATCCGTTCTCTTAGATTGAAACCCGTCACCACCGTCCTTGCAGACACACCATGCTCAGAAGCAATTGAAACTATGCGAGAGAAAGGTTTCGATCAACTCCCAGTCCTCAAGCCAACTGGTGGAAAGCTCGTCGGTCTCGTCACTTTGGGTAATCTTCTCAGCTGGATCAGCCGTGGCCGAGCAACTGGCAAGACTCCTGTTTCAGAGGTCATGTTCGACTTCTCTTCTATCCCGGAAGTCGTCACCGACCCCAAAGACATCAGTAAGCTTACGGAAGCACCAAAAAGCAATGGTCTCGCAAATGGCTCTGAAGGCAAGGTTCAGAAGACTCCTAAGAGAAAATTTGTCCAGATTACATTGGACACTCCTCTCTCGGCACTCAGCAAGTTCTTTGAATGGAACAGTGCTGCTATTGTCACGGAGAAGGGAGGCATTGAGAGCGATGGTTTTTCGAAGCCAGTAGCTGTTGTCACGAAGGTTGATTTGTTGTCATGGATGGTCAAGCAGACCAAGATATAGACATTGGATAGATGAGATGCATTATGAGTTCACGAAAATTTGGGCGCGGAGTTCTGGTTGTGGGTAGATTCAACAACTACGTTGGTTTGGCTTGGAGTTGGTGGGATAAAGTAGAGTGTGCAAGCACGAGCATAGCAAGTGACGCCTGGTTTTTAGATCATCCTAGACAGTACAGGATCGGAATTAGAGATTTTAATGCAAATCCTTTGAACTCAGAATGGTACTGCTCTAAATTTTACATTTTCCAGTAGAGTATCGCCCCAGAGGATATGAAAAGAGTTAGATTATCTCTAAGAGTTTAACTAAAGTAACTTATACTTCAACTTTTGTTGCACATCGCTTCAATCGCTAAAAGGTGATCCGGACTTTAGCTACCAATATTCCTGGACCCTTGTTCGAGGATTTTCGAGCAGAGGGTCTCTTACTAGAGAGAATTAATTGAAAATTAGTATCTGGGAGAAGAATGTCTCAAGCACGGCCTGACTTTAGCTCAAGGTGTTGCGATTTCAAAGTTTAGGTTTAGTTAGAGTGTATGTGCTTGGGAGAATGTCCTAATGGATGATGGCACTTTGTACTTAGATAATGTCCCACTTCTCCACAAGAATTTGTCCAGCTTTTTGTCCTCATGTTCGCACGAGTCCCAGAGGATCCTGAAGCAGCAACTCTCTCACAACTACTCCACCCGAGTCAAGTCGCTGTTCTAGAAACGCCGCTCTCAAAGCCAATAGTCACCAAACACTTAAAAACAATAATTTTGGCAATTACTTTATTTCCCTACATATCAACCCTCACAACCTCTCCGCAATCCACTGCCACCATCTATCAACCTTCGGCTCCTCCCCACAAACATTACCCCCCAGAACCTCAACACTAACATCAAACTCTTCCATCTGCTTAAACCTAAACTCCTTACTCCCCATCTCCCCCAACCAATCATCATTCTCCTCCCCCTCATCCTCCATCCCGATCCCCGAATCCAACAACCCCTTACTCCTCGCCTCCCTCACCTTCGTGATCTCCGCTTCCAGGCTAGACTTCACGAGAGCAGCTGGTAACGCCGTGAAGAGATCCATCTTATTCGCCGCGATCAGGACGGGGATATCTTTTAATGCTTTTGCGGCTTTGCTGCCTGTCGATCTCTTTTGTAACATTAAGAGGATATTATGGAGATAATCTGCAGTCTGTCTTAAGCCCTCGTCACCGGCGGATAAGGTCGCTGAGTCGACTAAGAAGATCAAGCCTTTCAGGTTCTGGGGATTGGTGATAGATGATTGGGCATGGTGGCGTAATTTACCATGGCCTGGGGTGTCGATTAGGAGGAATTTCTTGTGGGTGAGAGAGGTGGGATCGTGGGTTGAGCGGTATTTGTCTGAGGAGGCGGTGGTTCCTACGGGGAGGGAGCATTCGACTGCGAGAGGGGTTTGGGATGTATGGGTCGAGGCGGGGGTTCCGCGCTCGAACTTTGTATTGTCATTTTGTGCATATTGAGGTGAGTATCAAGAGATAGCCTTACTAGTGTGAGAAGAGAAGTTTTGCCAGAGCCACTGGGACTGAGTAGGAGGATAGAAGGTAAGGTAGTGAGTCCGCTGGCTTTAAAGACTACTGTGTGTAGAAAGATAGGTATTGTCAAGGCGATTAGTATCGCAATTATGAGGCCCACTGGCGAAGGATTCATAAGGGCATGCGCCCAATCCTGTATTGTCGACATTTCTGCTGGAATTCCAGAATTGTGGTCGTGTGTCGTGTCGCAAGAAGGCTATCGAGATAAAGCGTCCAGCCGAAACTTGACCCTAGTCGGAAACTCAGCCTCGTTGACGCAGCGCAGGCAAGAAAGTCGTTGGCTGGGAAAAAGGTTCACACTCTCTCTCAGCCCTCATCTATAGATTACAAATATCACTCTTTCTCATTGATCCCCGGTATGCGTTTTTCATTGTCGCACGATACCTAACGACGATACGATTCCCCGGTATTGCTCCTTCCGTCAAATTCCCGGGTGTTGAGAAGGAGTTAAGGTTCATCGTGATATGGCTACCAAGTCTCCTGTCAACGCACCACATAACCCTCCAATGGGACCAAATGGAAAAGCGACGGCCGCGGCGCCGAAGCTGAGCGACGATGAGAATGTAGAATTGGCCAGCATGCATCAAAATGACCTGGAAGCGAACGTGGAGGTGGACATCATGCAGCTGGCACGGTTAGGAGATGTTCAGAGCATGGAGAAGTTGTTTGAAAGCGGGAAGTTCGATGCCTCGTATTGCGATCATGAAGGAATTACTCCATTACATGTATACCGTCTGATTCCGATGCTGTTGGACGTCTGCTAACCTCGGTTTTGTAGTGGGCTGCTATCAATAACCAGTATGCGATGTGTCAGTTTCTGCTGAAGGAGGGCGCGGATGTGAACAAGAAAGGAGGAGAGTCGGTCGCTACACCTGCCATGTGGGCTGCTCAGAGGTGTCATTATTATACCGTCAACTTATTACTGCAGCATGGCGCAGATCCTCTGATCATCGATGTCCAAGGGTACAACATCCTTCACCTCGCTACTTTCGAGGGCAATATATTCCTCCTGGTCCTATTGTTACATCAGGGCATCAATGTCGATGTTCCCGACAGTCACGGACATACTGCTCTCATGTGGGCGGCATATAAGGGATTTCCGACATGTGTAGACCTGTTCTTAAGATGGGGAGCGGATGTACATGCTACGGATGAGACGGGTTTCACGGCATTACATTGGGCATTGGTGAAAGGTTCCCAAGGATGTATGCAAAAGCTGTTGGAGTACGGAGCCGACAGATTTGCGGAGACATCGACCGGAAAGACGCCAGCCATAACCGCAGAGGAAATGAAGACGGAAAGGATATGGCACCGAGCGCTGAAGGAATGCGGGTATAACGAAGACGGGATGCCTCGAACTCTTGAATTTCCGATGGCCTCATATCTGATGAAGGATAAGCGGAATTTCATGACGAAATTCTTCTTCTTATGGCCGTTCTTCATTATATGGGTTATGATCATGTTGTCAAGTCATATGTTTGTGTATGCTGGCATACCACTGGCTCTTTTTGCTGGATACTCGTTACAATGGGTGGCCTACCAAGTCATGGACTATGCTCCGGCTGATATGAGACATATGCACAAAACGGTATGTTGGAAGAGTTTTAGAGATGAAATGAAGCTAATTGGAATAGCCTTGGCTAGCAGGTATCTTTGCTGGAACACTATTCTGGGTCGGTGTGAACTGGATTATGACTATTCTGCCATGTCAGTAGTATAAGCGAAAGTAAATCTCAAGTACTGACTTCAGGCAGGGACATTCTCGACCTATCCTTTCAGCAATATTGCGTTTGGGGCGGCTTACGCCCTTTGCGGATACTTTTACTTCTGCACCATGTTCTACGAACCTGGTTTCGTCCCAAAGCTGGGAGGGTTAACGCAGCAAAAGGAGATGATTGACGAGCTTTTGAGCTTGTGGAAATTCGATGATCAAAACTTTTGTGTACCTTGCATGGTACGGATGCCTTTAAGAAGCAAACATTGCAAGAGATGCAATCGTTGTGTGGCTAAGCATGATCAGTAAGTCTGGACCTTGATGATGGTGAGGTATCCTAATGACAACCCAGCCATTGCCCTTGGGTGTACAACTGTATCGGCATCAACAATCATCGCCACTTCTTCTTATACCTTGTTTGCTTGGAAGTAGGTGTCTTCATCCTCGTAAGACTGGCCATTGGCTGTCAGTGAATCTCTACCTTCGTAGCTGGACTATTTGCTAACATGAAATCAGATTTTGAAATCATTAGCAAAGATGCTGATGACTCGTGCAATCTTCTGGCCCCAGCTTTGTGTAAAGTCGTTAATGCGGATCCTTACACCTTGGTTCTCACTTTCTGGTCAACTTTGCAGTTGACATGGGTAACTATGTTGATGTTCGTCCAGCTAGTGCAGATCTCCCGAGCAATGACGACCTGGGAGAACATGAAGGGAGCACATCATGGACATGGTAGCAAAGCCTCAGAAGCCATCACATCTGCTCTCACGACAGGAACAACCTCCAGAGCAGGAGCTCAAATCGGAAGTACAGGCATGGGTCCAGATCCAGCGCTACCCCCGACTCATGCACCAGGCCATAACCACCCGCACCATAAAGCAGGGTGCTTTGCACAATGGAAGAAGATCCTCGGCGTTGACACTTTCGTCGAGACTGCTTTGGATAGCTACAAGGGCGATAAGAATCGACCTCGAGCAGCACGGAATCCTTTCTCAAACGGCTGCATCGGGAACTGCAAAGATTTCTGGTGCGATCCCGCTCCAGTATTCGGCAAGCGCGATAATGGAGCTGCAATGTTAGGAGGCCAAGTCGTGGATTATACGGCTATGTACGAGACGCCCAGACTAATGAGTGCAACGAGAAGGAGAGGAGGTGACGGCGCGGGTGCTTATGAGGCTGTTGGAAATGATGACAGTGTATGATATGATTATAACATAGCGAGCGAGCGGGCGTATGAATGACTCTGTCTATATTAATGAAGCAACGTTTATACTTTTCACATTCTCGACCTCTAGCAATAAATTTATGAACATAAACCGAGCCTCGAAACTAAGGCGTCCCGGAAGCTGAAAACAGCAATCCGGAAAGGGGCTCCAGCCACACTTCTTCTTCTTCTTCTTCTTCAGAAAAGCCAGATCTCAGACCGCAACCGAAACCCTGTCTCAGCCTTCCGACCCACTTCTTATTTCCTTTTCGTTTACGACGCACATCATCTGAATAGTGGCGTTTTACCCTTGGTGCGGACGAGATTTTTTTTTCTTTCGGGACTTCGAGTCAGGGGTTAGAGAAATAGTTGGGAGCTATGACCACCTTTTGCTGGAAAAATCCTGGTTTGAGAAGCGCTCAATAGCAGAATGTGAGCTTTGAAGAAAGAAACGAAGGGTCAATTGATACGACGCTTCTTAAGAATGCTATCGATTGAATGAATGAATAAGGCACAATTGCATAAATAAGTACAGTACAGTAAGAAAGGGGCCGATGGCACAATCAGTGCAACCCCCAAATGTGAAATAAAGGGCGTCGGGAATTGTCGGACGGCAGCATCTCGGACAGCTAATTTTTCTTAGCCTCAAATCTCGATTTCGCTTGAGGCTGATAATCCTTGGACACGTTCGTTTGTACCCATAACTTTTTCTGGACCTCGTTCCGTCATTGACTCGTGCAGGAGAAGACGACCGAATGTTTGGATGTTTGAGTTGTAGGGGAGGGAGAGAAAGAGATGTGTTTTTATGATATTTTTGGAGGGAGGGTGAGGGAGGATGAGGAGATTGAGATGGAAAGGGGAGAGCTGACTTGAGATGTGACCCCCACGCACAGCTTATGCGGTTCAGCAGCTGTCAGCATGGCAGAGCTCTAAATCAACGACTCGGTTCTCGGCCGCAGGGACCCAGCTTGCCGGGAAGGGAACGAACGAAGAAAAACAAGCAAATGAGCGCAACCAACAAGAAAAACCCTCCGTGCTAACAATCGAAAAAACCAATGTCCGTCTTCTCCCGAAGAGAAACTCAGGGGCAAGCTTCCCGGAGCTCTGTTTGCAAGTCCAGCTGCCCGTCAGGTGCCACATCCCAAAAAATGAAAAGCTCGAAATACCCACTCTCGGGATCCATTATTGACCCACCCACTCTCCCGGGATCCTTGAGCCTCAACCAACGACTCGTCTTGGGCAGGTGGATTGGATGTCTCAGACCCAATCAAAACCACCGAAGCAAAAACGGGTGCAGTTGTTCTCAGATCACCCTGAGAGCCATGATGTGAGTGAGTGAGTGAGTAAGTGAGAGAGAGAGGCCTGAGGACGGAAGCCGCATTGCTTCCTGCTGGCCGGACAAACCAAGCGAACGAAGCAGCTCGTCTCCCGCGTCGACGAAAATTTTTCCCCTTCCATCCTTTCTCTCTTGAAATTCCCAAGCTTCCAGCACACCATCCATACACACAGCTCCCCTCTCTTTTCTTCCTCTTCTCCAGACTTTTGAAGCTTCCTCCGCATCTCTCCTCTCACTCACTCACACACACATCAAAAATGTCTGCACGCATGTTCGCCCCCAAGGTGGCCTCGATGGTTGGCTCTACCTCTGCTAAGGTCGCTCGTCCTGTTGTACGAAGCAGCATCAAGGCCAATGGCGCTCAACGTGCCTTCTCTGGTATGCTGATTTCTTCAATGTCGTCCTCAATAGCTCCAATCTCAAGATATCCCACTCTTGATATCGTCCTGTGCCAATTGATTCGATTGACGCCTGTCCATTGATACTGTTGGGATATTAGCAGGAGCACAACTGACAAGCAAACTCACAGGCGTCCCATCTGCTACCCGTAGCACCGCTTTCCAAACCCTCAAACGCCAACAAGCTTCCCAAATCCTCTCCTCCACCACCCGCCAACTGATGGCCCGCAAGACTTCCCGTCCTTTCTCCTCGGAAATCGCTACCGCTATGGTCCAAGTCTCCCAGAACCTCGGTATGGGATCTGCTGCCATCGGTCTCGGTGGTGCCGGTATCGGTATCGGTATGGTCTTCGCTGCTCTCCTGACCGCTGTTGCCCGTAACCCCAGCATGCGTGGACAACTCTTCTCCTACGCCATTTTGGGTTTCGCTTTCGTTGAGGCTATTGGATTGTTCGATCTCATGGTTGCCATGATGTGCAAGTACGTGTAATTTAAAACGTCTGGAACGGACATTGTGTTAGGAGAGGGGGAGAGATGAGGATGGAATTGCATTAGATGGGTGGGAAAATAGATGAGATAAAGGATAGACTATAGAAGGCTGGCTATAGACTGTACAGTACTGTTCTAGAAGGCATATAGAGTTATGGAAGTCGGCATTTTAGCGGTCCTGTAGAAATCCAATCCGCTCTGTCAGAAACTGCAACTCTCTTACAACCTCTCCCGGTGGCTGGCTTTGTGACCAGATCCCAAGACCACTTGTCAAGTATCGTGTGATCACGTGTATGAGAGGTTTCTCTAAACTCGATCTTGAGAACCTGAGATGACCCCCACTGAATGGGGAAGTTCAGGAGAACCACTTTTGATAACATTGTCAAACAACAAAAGTATGCTCTTAGCCGAAAAAGGCAAGCCGTGAACCATTCGGACAATGCTCGGAAAAACTTGTTTTGTCTCCTTAGGCATATTCGATGGAAAACTAAAATGGAAAGAGTGCTGAAATACGGTATATCGAAAGAAACAGATTTCCTTGAGAAGTCGGGGTATCCCAGTGTCTGTCTTTGACTCGTCTCGAGGAACAATGCCACTAAGCATCACGCCTAACCCATTTTCTTCGCGTACCATTCAAAGAGAGCGTCATCGAAATCTCAATTGTAGGGGTTTCTCTCCAAGAATTAGATACGTCCGCGACCCTTCTCTGATGGAGCATTGATCAGAATGTCCGGATTCCCTCTCTGGCACACTTGTGACCTTCCTGAGAGCATCAGTTGACGTGAAGCCCACTTTGATACGGAGACGTAGCTCCAAATGTACACTCGCACTATGTGCAAGACCACCGAGGTGAGGTCGAGGGACCGTGGCGTCCGTTCTCGCGACATTTCGACTTCGGTTGTATACGAATAAATATCGTGTCCACGACAGGTTGAAAACTGCCTACGGGAAACGTGTCGAAGCTGCCTCCGAGCGTGGGCTTTCATGTAGTAGTCAATTTGCCCTTGACTCGAGGTCCAGCAGAAGTTGCGCGCCGTCTTGGCTCGTGGTAATACGTTCGGTAGCAGACAAAGTGTCGCGAATGCAATGAACTCTTTCATGATCTTGGTGAGCGTATTTTCGATGGTTCTAGCGATGAAGACCTAGCCGTCCATACTGGCGTTGTTCGCGTTGAGTAATGCACCGTAAGTCGAGGATTTACGCCATTGCTGATTTCTTGTGTCTATGATCTTCTTGCACTGCGTTATTTGGGTCTGATTGGACGTCATTTGAATTCCGGGAGAAGAAGAAAATCGCCGTCTTCGATCATGATTTTACTGTAGTCGGCACCAGGTGAGAGCTTTGGGGGAACGAAGCTGACGGCCTCTTCAGGAAAATTGGCGAAGGGAGCTTTCTTGAGATATTGGTGCTTGTATGAAGAATGGTCTGTCCATCGTCTGGATGGTTGCCGGATTTTCGTAGAGTTCAGCATGCATTTCGCTCGGAAGTCCTCTATTCTCAGTTATGCGAAGGTCTGAAATATCGTCTCGATCAGCGACCTTATTGCATTCCTCGGAATTCCAGTTGTCCATCATATCGAATTCTGTGGTCGCACCGAAGAGCAATGCCATTTGGAGTTGCGATGTCCAGATGAGAACGTGCGCGATGAGCAGACGGGTATTATGCCTCATCTTCTTTGGCATCGACAATTGTCATTTCTTTGAGAACCGGGCTTCCAACAAGGAGAATGTTTCGTCCATCGACGAACGATTTATCAACATCGATGATCGACCTGCCGTCGAAGATGAGCGATGGTAAATGCTGTGAAAGAGTCTGGCTGGGCTGGGCTGGGGAACCCCAGGTTTATAAATCAAAAGCGGGGTAAATGGGGGTTGGGGAAATGAGACTGAGCACAGAATAGATCATGGGGAGAGACAACGACAGAATGAAGCGGAATCGCAATATTTATATGCGTCGACATGTCCATTGTGTCAGGACTCGAGGACAAATATTCGAGGTTGAAGTCGCTGAATTATTTGAAAAGAGGAGAAAGAAGTTCGGGACCGCAGGCTGGGGAGGAAAGCGGAATGGGCCCGAAAAGCCACGCCACAAAAATCCGGGGCTCACTTCTCATTCGCTATCCAGAATTTCGATCGTAAGACGTGCATCGAGTTGAAACTGCTTGACCTCAATAAATTGGATTCTTATGGGTTAACGGGTGAGATTTTGACCTCAAGTCTCCCCATTCATATGTCATTCCATTATTTTGCCCCACTGTCTTTCGCATTTGTTTATCCCTCGTTGTGGTAAGTCTTCGCTGCTGTTTCTGATCTCCAGTATCTGCCCGAACATTCGAACACGGACTTCTGATCCATATTTTTGGTCGGCAAAATTTTGTTGCAGCAAGCATTTCACGACCAGTTTCTGAATTACCTGTTGAGATTCTTCTTTGTTTTCGAGTTCTCTATCCCTAACGTCTCACCTCACTTCGATCTTCTCTACCCTCTTCTAAGCCAAATCCAGTCCTTACTAAAGAGAGCAAAATATATTGTCCGACTTGACGTCCCTCAACTCGACATATCAGACAACATGGCAACCACGCTGCTCCAGCAGATGGTAAACTTAACTTGCTGTGAATTGGAAGTCTTGGTCCCTAGTGTGATGTTCACTTTGAAAAATCGGCTAGCTAAGGTGGGATCGATTAGAGAATGCCCAGCCAGCATTGCATTTGTTTTCCTTGGTGTGGTGGTGATGACTGAAAATCCAGCCAACGCCTTGACTGTTGTGGCTCACTTGAATCTGGTCGTTGAGGTAACAAGAGTAGGTGAAGAGGAGAGCCGCACTCACCAACGAAGGAAACGCTCTGGCATCCATGTAATCTTTCTTTCCATAGAACATTACAGCCTGCTCTTTCATGAAGGATATGGTTCTCGCTAAAGAAGCGCCCCTATTGTTCTGCTACAATACTTGAACGGCATGTTTACAGATTCAGCCTCCTAAAACGCCCAATGGACTCTATAGCTCTCTCAAGTAAATATGATGAGTATTTAATTGTATTGGTTTCAAATCGCCCATGAGCGTGAGCTGGCAGTGTCACGTGGTTGTTAACTCCGTCGGACTTTCCACTTGGGCAGGTTCAATCGTTCTTCAACCATCATCCAGACTCTACTTGCAATACAACCACATTTTGAACCACTTGATTACCAGGATCACTCAACACAGTATTTCGATCTCCCTCGGACGACAAAGGACTAATGGCGCTTTGAAGTTGTTTTTGGTCATGCTGCTGAAAATTTAACTTCAAACATGCCTCCTCAGCGGCATCTCCCTCCATCCACGCAACCAAGAGTTCGTCAACGCAGCGCAAGAGCTTGCGGTCCATGCCGACGACGAAAGATCAAATGTGATGGTACAGAGCCATGTGCTGCTTGTGCTGTATATGGGTATGACTGTGTCTTTAATGATACTCCACGTCGAAAGCCCGCGGCAAAGTCGCCGGACCGTCCGGTTGCAACCACTGAGGTTGCCAATCCAATATTGCCGGGCACTGCAATCACGCTGGGAGAACCTCTGAAAAACAATGAGCTTTTCATTGCCTCGGAGAGTATTCTGGAACCCTCTAATACCGACCCGCTGCTGTTGCGAGCACTCAAGACAAGATTCACCACCATCCATAGTGCAATCGCAGTCCCAAGAAAATTAGGCATGACACTTGGTTTACAACCTCTTCCTCGATTGCAATCGTTCGGCTGGAATCCAGGAATACGGCCTGAGCCTCATGTAACCCCCAAAATCGGTTTATGCGACATTATTTCAGTAGATCAGATGAGATATTATTCAGATATCTACTTCAACGAGGTTCATCCTTACTTTGGTATATTGGATAAAGACCTTTACACTATGCGATCAAAAGAGTTTTGGCTTGTTGGGAGAAAAGGCATCGACTTCGAAGCATGCATTTGTGGAGTTGTCGCTTTGGGTTCTTACTTTTCTTCTGAGCCATTGTCTACGGAAGCAGAAGTCGTTGAGCAAGGACGGTACTTGCTGGACTTCAGTATTGCACACGCACCTGCCCAGCTTTCCATAAAGCACGTTCTTGCTTGGATACTGAGAGCTATCTATCTACGCTCCACCACGAGACCACATCTTTCATGGCTTGCTTCATGCAATGCAATGCATTTGGCAGAAGCTATTGGGCTTCATCGGGAAATCAGTGAAAGCCAAGTTCCATGCGAGCGCCTTGGCAACCACCGACCCGTCGAGCCTTTAGAGGTGGATCTTCGACGAAGGACATTCTGGGTGGCTGTCGCTCTCAACCAGCTTTTATGCTCCGAGTATGGCCGTACCAAAATTACAATCGATATGATCAGTTGTAAACCTCTACAACCTGTACCTGGAGATTTTACACTAGATGTTGTCAACATCATGACTTCCGTGCCACGATCTCAAGATTTCACGACTGCGAACATCGCTGAACTGGTCGACTCGCTTCGAATGGCCTGCGAGATGCCAGCCAAGAGCGCTTTTCTTGGACTTTTGAAAGCTGATGCATGTTTCTGCATATACCGAATGCTGCGATGCACGAATATTATTCTACCTTCTTGTCGAGTAACTCCTTTACTGGAGGTTATTCGTGTTGCATTAGATGGAGTAAAGTTCCTCTGCTCTATGCGACAAGCTTGGTGGAATCTTATCGGCACACCATTTCACTGCGTTTGTGTTCTGTTAGCCCTTGGTACACCAGCGAGTTTGGAAATGGTCCCAAAAACTCTGGAGACTCTGAAAGCTGCTACGGATTTATATAACTCGCATCTCTCAGATGAGACTCTGAGAACAGCATACGCCCTTGTTCAGGGTGCAAGAGACAAGAGGAAGCAAGAAATTGAAAATTTGGATCGTGGCCTCGAAAATGTGGGAGAGTTGCCTTCTGCAACCAACGGTGAACTGGACAGCGTTGGCTTCTTTGAAAGTCCAATGAACGGGGACATGGGCGGATTCATGGACTTCGTTGATATAGTCAACTTCTATGGCCCCGAGGTGGACGCCTTTATGCTTACATAGAGCTATACAAGTCACCAATCTCATTGTCATCATGGCCCTGGATTTCCGCGATACTGTAGAATTACTCATCGCGTAGGACGTTCCGTCCGGGAGCCGCCGTCCGGTCCGTCCTTTCCGAACGTCCAACTCTAACCAAAAGGACTTGGTTGATCATCCCCGCGGCTTTTTCTTACGACGGAATGGACGGGAATTGTGATAAACCCGATAATGTCTGGGGTTCACCTGCGGTCTAGAGGCACGCTTCGACGTGTCGGTGACTAACAGTTGATCGACATCATTTCTTTCTTCGCCAACAATGGTGTATATGTACTTTCCGGCAGGAACTTTCCTTATTCAACTTATCTTCATTTGCTTTGACTGAGAACTTCACCACTGGGATTGTTTTTGGTCCAATTTTCTCCTCACTTTGCCCAGCTTAAAGGCCAAACCGCAATACACTTTCCGCTCGGAGACAATAACTGTCAAACATGTCAAGCAGTAATTCCGACGACGAGAAAGCAACGATACCATCACCTTCCGAGGATGAATTTCTCGTCAAGTGGGACGATAATGATCATCTCAATCCTCAAAATCTACCAGTTGTTAGGAAATGGCTGATCACAGTGGCTGTTTGTGTCGGGGCGTTGGCGGTGTAAGTTGTTCCTCCGATCGAGCTCAGCAACGATCTAATGGGTACTCTACATAGTACATGCGGCTCGTCTATATACTCCGCGATTTATGATCAGATAATAGCGGAGTTCCACTCCTCTCAAGAAGTTGTTACCCTTGGTCTTTCGCTTTTCGTTATTGGACTTGCCGGTGGTCCTATGTTCGTGAGTCCTTTGTCTGAGGTGAGAATAGATACCCGCTCTGGTTACTCCATGAATGTCTTCCCATTAACTAAAACAATAGTTCTACGGCCGTCGATTCATCTACATTATTTCTATGATCCTCTACTTTATCTGGAACATACCATGCGCGACCGCTCAGAATATGCAGACTCTGCTCATCGGACGCTTTTTCGACGGCCTCTGTGGAAGTGCATTTATGAGCGTGGCAGCTGGTACCGTAACGGATTTATTCGCGCCTCAGGATATTCAAGCACCTATGATATTGTTCACCATCACCCCGTTTCTGGGTCCAGTGCTTGGCCCTCTCCTTGGCGGATTCATAAACTCATACGTCTCCTGGAGATGGACATTCTACGTTATGCTCATCTGGACGGGAATCTTGAGCGGCGTCCTCATCTTTGTCCCGGAGACATATGCACCGGTCCTACTTTCCCAGAAAGCTGCCGCAATGCGCAAATCTACAGGCAACGAGTCGTACTATTCCGCATCTGAGAAAACAAGAGCCTCGAGACCTCTTTCGGTGGCCCTTAAGGAAAGTCTTTATCGCCCTTTTCAGCTTCTGTTCCTAGAGCCAATGTGCACTCTCCTTTGCATATACTCGGCACTGCTTCTTGGGATCCTGTATCTCTTCTTCGGCGCATTTCCTCTCGTTTTCACCACCAACCATGGGTTCAATCTTTGGCAAAATGGATTGACCTTCCTTGGTCTTGTCGTTGGTCAATTCCTGGCAGCTGCGCTCAATCCCTTTTTTCGCAAGAACTATCTGCGCCTTGTGGCTGAGCAACGTGCGAAAGAGAAAGAAGGCGAACAACAAAGGCCAGCACCTGAATTCCGTCTTCCTCCTGCAATCGTTGGCGGTATTTTGGTACCTTTAAGCTTATTTGTAAGTCAAGATTCCGTCGCCCCTTGGCTACGCTCCGAGTGCTGACTTGAATCTAGTGGTTTGGTTGGACGACGTACTCGTCTGTTCATTGGATTGTTCCGATCATTGGAAGTGTCTTCTTCGGTACCGGGTATGTTAAGCTTCATCCTCTCTCCACTGACAAGCTGGCTAACATCTCTAGTATGTTTCTTGCCTTCCAAGGAATCTGGACGTTCCTCGTCGACGCATACCCGTCATACGCTGCCAGTGCCTTGGCGGCGAATGTTTGTGCTCGATGCGTCTGCGCCGCTGCGTTTCCATTATTCGGAGATCAGATGTACACGAATTTGGGATACCAATGGGCAAGTTCCTTGCTGGCTTTCTTGGCTTTGGCCATGATGCCGTTTCCGTAAGTGATATCGGATATCTATTAGCTAAGAAAAAGCTGACAGATTATAGTTATTTGTTTTACCGATATGGAAAGGCGATCCGGGCAAGGAGCAAGTTTGCTTTCTCGTCCTAGACCTGAGACGATACAAGTTTGCATATATGAGCATAGTCTTCATAACGTTATCTGGCAGATAAATCGACATGTGGGAAGCGTTGAAAATATTCGCATTGTAATCAAATTGATGGGAAATAGGGATGTACATAAGATCTTACATAAATTTGGAAATTAAGATATGATAGCGAAGCGTTGTCGTTCTCTCACTTCCCACTTCCTTTCGACATAGTCCTTCAATCATCCTCACAGCAAGTGCCGCCCTCGTACCCAACGTCCAATCGCACCGCAGCCTCATCACCTCCTCTCCCCTCCCAGCTACACCCAGATAGACCTCTAAAACGTCTCCTCACCACCCACGCCCCACCCAAACACAACCCTCAATTCGCACCTACGACAATCCCGAGACTTTTTGTTGCAAGTCGTCAAAAACTCGTCTTCCCGAACGCGAGCTTCGGGTTGGATGTCGATACGGCGCGGGCCTTGCTTTTTTAATCTATTTTCATTGGGGCGAGCTTGCAAGCGAGAGAGATGCATGTTGTGATTGGTTGTTCGGTGCGTGTACGAGGGTACTTCATTTGGGTGAATTGAGTGGTAGTGTTGTACAGTAGAGTACATGGTGGATTTATTGAAGTCATGTTTTCGTTGATGGTCTTGTGTGATGGTTGTCGGTGAGCAGCGCCGTGTTGGAGGTTCTTTATTTTGCGGCGGGGGTGTACTTGCTGGTCATGCGAAGGGCATATAAGGTAATGTATTTTGTTGGTTTTTCTTCTCAAACGATTGGCTGCGGGGGGCAGTGCCACGATGCCAATGAAAATTCTCGTGAGAGGACTCTTAAGAGGAGGCTTATGGTCATGCTTATATTGTTCTTGCAATCAGGCTCTTTTTGCTTTCTAGCTCTTTTACGTAGTTGGATCTCATTTTTTGTACTTGAGCTTACGATGGATTTATTTATACAGATATTCAACGCCTCGTCGCGCCCTGAGAATCGATACATGTCAATATGATTTTACAGGAGGCGTAGTTTGTCTCTCGTACGGTTGACTGAGTTCAGTGCACATTCACAAGGCGTCAAGTTAGTATATAAAGTGATGAGTATCTCATGTATTTGTTTCCAGCATCAATCTGTTTTCTAAGTCTACCATTCCTACCATTCCATTACATCGAAATATCCATTACAATGCGTCCTCAAACGATTGCTTCTTTCCTCGGCCTGTTGGCTCTCCAATATCAAAGCGTTCAAGCTGTTCCACTTGACAATATTTCCAACACGACTGCTATCGCCGATGACAACTATTGTACGTATAAACAGAGAAGTCATTCCAGTCTCAGAACCTTCCGTTGAAAATGTTTAACAACTTCCCTCGCCCCTAAAGAACATCCATCAAGTAAATCACTAATTCTCGCATCACACAGGGTGGCTAGAGCTCTACTACGCAAAAGGCTGTACAGGCAATATTGCTTAAACTATAGGCAGCTCTTCACCAATGGGGTGCCAAAATGTCGACGCGATAAGCCCAGTCAATTGCGGTACGATGAGCGCAAATGGATCGCCGTACACAGTTTGTCTCTATCCGAGGGAGAATTGCCTGGGAGGATGTTCGCATTTCATTCATTCGGGAGACCGTATTGATATGGTGGTGAAGAGCTATAATGTTGGGTAGATTTGGTACGGGTCAGATTATGGGAGGAAGGGGTGAGAGTCGCGGATATTGTTAGAGGATTTGAAGGAAGTGAGATGGGACGTGAAAAGTAAAATTGTTGCGTTGTGTGGACATTGAATGCTTGTGTTAAGATTCTCTTCTCCTCAATACAATTTTCTGCGCAACACTGGGCATGATCTTCGTCCCCATAATCTTATTCTCCGGCCTCTCCGTCTGTTCATCCGGATACGAAATCTCAAACTCCAGCAAGAAAACCATGACCAATAACTTAATTTGTGCCGTAGCCCAATGTCTTCCCGGACAAGAGAATTTTCCGAAGGTCCATAAAGGCTCGCTTGCGTCTACCGAAGCGAACTGGTGCTTTTCCTCTTCTCCTTCTTTTTGTCGGAGATTGTAGAAACGGAGAGGATCGAAGGTAAGAGGTGAGGCGTAGTAGGCGGGATCTCGGAGAATGGGTTGGTATGCCATGCTTATGTAGGAATTTCGGGGGATAGTTGCACCGCTGGAGAGGGTGAGGGGGACCATGAGGCGGCGTTGAAATGTTACTAGGCGTGTCTGTCAGCTGGTTCCTGGTCAGCATACGAGATACTTACAGAAGCCCATGGTATTTAACCTTCTAGATTCTCTCATGAAACTATCCAACTTCTTCAACTTCGGAAGTGTTGAAGTCTTGATCCCACCATCTTCCTTTACGGTTTGCAGAATCTCTTCCCGTAGCATATCAATGCAGTCTGGTCTAGCACAAAGATCCAAGAACACATTTGTTGCAGTGATTGCGGTGGTGTGTATAGCAGCCATATTCAGAAATAGCATCATCTTGACCAGCCTCTCCGGTTCTGTATCTCGTCCTTGAGCAGTGTCTATTAACCATTGCAGCATATCTTGGTACTGTCCTTTCTCGTTGTTATTCTGTGCCCTCTTCTCTATTTCTGGGAGCAAGAGTCTCTTTGCAACGGACGCACTAGACCGAAGCTGTCGATACGATTTCAAGAAGTGAACCACGACCGGCCGAACAATAGCGGGGAAGGTGAGCAATTCTTCACCTGCTTTCTGAACAGCCATTGTGTGGCCTGTCGCCGTGGAAAGCCATTCTGGATTGCGGCATAGGTCGGGACCAACGAAGACGCGTGCTGTGGAACTTGTCACGAGGTCGATGAGTGAAGTGAAAAGGGGTATTGAATATGAACCTGTACCGCAGGTCAATAAAATGCGTTATCATTTTCAATGGAACATACCATCGTCGTTTGAAACGGCTTTGAGTTTCTTATTCAATGCGAAGAGGATCTCATTATATGATGTCTGAGCTAGGGAGCCTGTTGTTTCCTGATTAACTCAATCATGTCTGCGGGTAAGATTTCCATACCAATATTCCTCGTCAATGACCCCGCACAAACCTCATATTGTAAGTTCGTCTCTTCACAAATATCCATCCCGGTATACTCATACCTCTCACTAGTTGTCAATCTCACACTCGACCTTGGCACCTTATTGAGCTCGCTCATATATTTATGAGAGATGATGAAGCGGTCCATGTCAAGTGTCCAAAGTTTGTAAATCCCATTTTTGTACTATCCTGGCAATTAGTCCGAATAATATGTAAGCGTGAAAGAATGAGCAACTACTTTCGAATATCCTTCTTGGATCATCTGAAAACTTTCCGTCACGAATCGCTTGTTGTCAGCCGCATCTGGCGCGGGTCCAATTCTGGGGAACGCGGCTCGAGACGAGGTAAATATTGTTGAGAAGCGCCATATTCCAAATGCCACGATGCATGTGAAAAACAGGAGAAAAGGCGACTGAGATAACAAATCTTCCATCTTGGGAATTTGTCTAGATGGAGTCCTGCAAGCAGTGTAGAAAAATGCTTCTCACAAGGAGAAAAGAAGCTAGTAACAAGGTACTGCTTGGCTGGGCTTATGTCACATGATACTGAAGCACTTTGACCGGATGCCGTCGCAACGGTGTCCAATGAAAAGATATCTTCAGTCGATTCATACTTCTCCATCTTGCTAGTTTTGTTTTGGGTATTGAAAGAGAATTGATATTGTGGGTCATAATTATTGTCCTCCCACTAAAGCATCTTACGTCCGAGGACTTCACGTCAAAAGCGCTGGCTTAGAATTCGACTGGCGTTTACAAAACGTAAAGTATATCCAGTTGCGAAGACACCTCACAAGAGGGAAGAACTGAAGATAAAAAGTCATGTGTCCTGAGAACCTGCACTTGCAGCGGGATTGAAATATGGACGTGCGGCGCAGTCAACCTTCTACTGTAAGCTTTTAATATAAACCATGGCGGGAATGCCTCCGCATTTGCCATATCATCTTTGTTGCAAGTCGCAATTTCAAACCCTATTTTTACAGCTGATCAGACACGTAAGTTGTTGTTATTTATACCCTTCGTGATCTCGCTTGAAGGATGACACTCAATCCCGTTTCGCTAAAGATCCCCCTCTTCCTTCTACTTCCCCATTCACTACACGTCGATGAAGATCCAATCCACATATCGGAGTATCGTTTCAAATCTCTCTACCAGGAATATTCACATATCCTCTTCCTCGTTGTATGGGCTCTTGTTGTCATGCTGGAAGGATTGTGTTGGCACAAGGGGGCTGAAGCACCTGGAACGTTCCAACACTGAATGATTATCGGTCCTACTCTTGGGACACGACAGCAACTCCAACAATTCGTTAGCTATGCAGCACTTGGTAATTGTGATAACGAACAATTGGGAAAGATCATACTCATACCGACCTTCTCGCTTGTGTGTAGATCGACAATCTCCATCAAAAGAGCCCCGAGGGTCAGCGGGCTAACCCATCCATCGATGCCATCACGGTACATTAAAGACGGAGAATGATCGTTTACATGGCCTGTCTAGTTGTACGCCTTTCATGACTCCTTCAGGGGTAATCCGGTTTGAATGAACAGCTTGGCCAAACTTTGAACATAGTTAACAAATAGAGAACTTATTGCTGCGAGTCCGTTTGCAAGTCTGCTGGACGCTGTGTTGCTCATGTAGTATTGAAATTGGTGCGAGTAACAATACTACTACGATAAAGCAGCGAGGAAATCATGTCAGATTATCCACAGTAATGTTGAGCAAAGATGAAATCAAAACAGAAGGCGAAACAGGATCAAGAAATCTTATTGACCTCACTTGGGCTTTTGCAATGGTGCGCATCTTCAAACCATCATTCAACTAGGACTTGTGCATAGACGCCATGTTCATTCTGTCGCCGATTACTCTATTCTTGATCGAATGAAAAACGGGTGATACACAGTTCCGATACAACAACACGGCAATTTTGGCCCCAACTTCGAGGTTGATCACCAATCGTCTTCACAGCCAATGAATTCTACGTTCGGAAGAAGAGATTGCAGGGGATATCTCTTTACAATCCAGACAACTTGCCTTCGAGAGAAAACAAACAGCCCTATATTGACAAGCACTACTCTAGCACAAATGAACGAAGTGCGCTGCCGTGGCTCCTTGACGTTGGATGAGGTGAGGCGTTGCAAGTTGTCCTGCAACCAGACCCTGGCCGCCGGGGGCCGCCTGTCAGACAACAAACTCGATGTCTCCGAGAGAGCTGAATAAGATCGTTTCCTTAACAGTCGTGATCAACCATAGTTGAGCTCGAATCGAGCCTCGACAATTTTAATTTTGGTGCTAAATCACGTGTAAAGACGAGGCTAATTCTTCAGCCTTGTCTGTCGAGTCCCTTCTCTTCTCACTCACGCCATTCACAAACGCAACAACGATAATATGATACTACTTCGTCGGCCATTATGGAAAGCGTGGCACGCTCTACGAGGAATGATCTCTTTCAGGAGGTAAAACTCCAAGCTACGGAACCTGCAGGACCCCACTAATTATTGAATAGCTCAAGCCCAGATGCGTGGAGCTCTCCCAGCTAGCACTCAGAGACGATGGCAGTACTTCCAATCAGAAAGCCCTGATAAAGTCAGTGACCGAACTTCTGCTCGTCCTCGAAGCAAAGTGCCAACGAAACGATGGCACATTTGACGAGAAATTGGCCGATTATGTCTTCTTCCCGCTCTCCCAGATCCTCCGAAGGAAGCAGAAATATACAGACAGGCTGTCGGAGTTGACCATAAGATGTGTGAGAATACTGTTAGAGTACGGTTGGATGCGTGCCATCTCCTTGGACCTTGCCAAACAACTTCTGATACTCCTCACATTCGTTGCTGGTGGAGTTCCCGGGAAGGAGACCGTAGCCGCGCCTGAAGAGTTGATGCTCGAGGCATATAGATCACTGGCGGCTTTGTTTCGCGACTTATCGGTGACATCTGGAGGCCCGTCCGCACTCATCGAATCTGGAACGATACCAGCATTGGGACATTGCATTACAGTGATTCTCGATGGAGTGGTGGACGGCCCAACTATGGATGTACACTTCCAAGCCTTGCATGCGTTGCATGCAGCTTGGTCCTGTATCAAAGACTCTCAGGTTCTGTCTAACTTCCTGCCCGCTACCATATCTGCGCTCACGAAGTGTCTCGTGCCTGGAACCATCACGAGAAGGTCCCGGAAAACCCTGGTCAAGGCATTGGAAGTACTCTGCCATGTTCTTCTTTCTCTTCTGAGTGATATTCGGACGCGAAGTATCAGAAAAGATGCCGAGGCACCATCAGAGAAGACAGTCGAAGATGCCGAACCAAAGAATCTAACCAGTTCATGGTTGAATGCGACCGTTGCTCAGATCAAATTAGCTCTCTCGAGCATCATCAGACTTCGAAGCCACGAGTCTGCGGAAGTACGCAAAGCTCTTAACAAATTTTGCATCACCATTCTGGACGAGTGTCATGACACACTAGCCGATTCTGCCGGCATGCTCGTTGAGACTTGCATGATTCTGATGGGAGTTGATGCTGATGACGATTTGAGTACGAAGGCGACGTCTATTGTTGATCTTGCATCTATACATCCCGATCTAAGTGATCTCATCAAGAACACCATCTATAATTGGGTGACTAGCCTTCCAAGAGTGATGCAGTCAAACGATGAAGCTGCAAAGCTTGCTGCTCTTGGCCAGCTTTCTAAAGCTCATGAAATTCTTCGAGGACTTAATCTAGAGTCTTCAATCTTGGAAGATGCTCTTGGCAACTCTCTTCGAGACAGCATCACTGCTACACTAGAAACTGCACCTGTAAAGCATTTACAGGAAGAAGACTTTGACCTGAATAGCCAATCTGCTTTGACTTTGGCAACGGAGGGAGCTTCTTCTTTGACATTCAAACCTGTCGTCATGGCTGAAGAGAGTCAGCGGAAGACTCGAGATCAGCTTACAGCATTACTTGGCAATCTGGGTTCAAGAGAGTCACAGATTAATATGGCGAGTGAGATGCTCGAGTACGCTCGTGGGGCCGCTGGACCCAGTCTGCTCTCAGCCTATTGGCTGTCGTCTCAAATTTTAATGTCTGCAGCATCTCAAAATAAGGACTTCGACGAGTTCTTCGAATCCTCTCTGACTCTGTCTGATGAGCAAGAGGCAGCAAACCAGGAATTATACCAGTTTTCGATATCTCTCCTCGCAAATAGTGATGAGAGGACATCCGACTGGCGAATGCAAGCCATCGCCCTGGAAGTTCTTGCAGGCACTGCTCAATGGATGAAGGAAGAATTCAAGACAGAGTTGTTAGACACATTATATCCAGTTGCACAGCTTTTAGGCTCATCAAGTTCACAATTACGAGAACACGCAATCATTTGTCTCAACATAATCTCGAACTCTTGTGGCTATAAGAATGCAAGCGATCTCATAGTAGATAACGTGGACTACATGGTCAATGCCATCTCGTTGAGGCTCAACACATTCGATATATCACCCCAGGCCCCTCAGGTATTGGTTATGATGATTCGACTGACGGGTCCATCACTACTCTTGTACCTCGACGATGTGGTAGAGTCTATCTTCGCCGCATTAGACAATTTCCATGGTTACCATCGCCTAGTTGATGTTTTGTTCTCTGTACTAGGAGAAATCGTCTCTGTTGGCTCAAACTCAGATCTACTACAAATCACAGACACTCCAACCATCGACCATCAAAAGAAAAGTCCTCCGCCCATTACAATGGACGACATCGTCAAGCTTCTCAAACCAAAACAGATAGCCTCCGACACCATACCCCATGAAGACTTCCCCAGCACCCCCTGGAAATCAGCCAAAACTCTCCTCGACGAAGCAGACGCCTTCGCCAACCCCACCGACGAAGAAGACCCCGCCGCAGAATCAGAACAACCACAAGAACTCACGCCCCCACAGCCAACGCAAACCTACACCATGCTCCGCTCCATCGCCCTTCTCTCCCAACACTACCTAACCTCCGCCTCTCCCCTCCTCCGCTCCAAACTCCTCCACCTAATCAGCACCTCCTCTTCCGCCTTATACCTCGATGAGAACTCCTTCCTCCCACTCGTAAACGACATCTGGCCCGTCCTCATCGCGCGGATATATGACACGGAGCCATTCGTCAAGATAGCAGCCTGCGACGCCGTCGTCACGATGTGTCATTCAGCTGGAGATTTCCTGGCGACGCGGATTAGCAATGAGTGGAGCAATATAATGGTTCTTGCGCGGAACGCGAAGCGGGAAGTGGAGAGAGAAAAGGGGAAGGGTAGAGGCGGGAGGGGGATTTATAGCCAGAATAGTCAGGTTTGGGAGGCTGTTGTTAGGTTGTTGGTTGCGGTTGTGGGGTACGTGAGGATTGAGGACGAGGGGTTTGATGAGGTGTTGGGGATATTGGGGGATTTGGTGTGGGAGAGGGAGAGTGTGAGGAGTGCGTTGGAGAGGGTTAATGCTGATGCGGTGTGGTTGTGTATGCAGGATGCTGGGAAGAATAGGAGGTTGGAAGTACCAAGTATAGAGGGGTTCAAGTTCGCGGCTTTAGATGCCGGTGTTGTAGCCTAGAGGGATCCTCATGAGTTTGTGTAAGGAGTACAATCACCAAAGTCACATAAGTCACATCACGTTTATATCATAATCGATTAGGAGTGGAAAACATGCATTGCAGACTATTACGACCAGTACAAGACTTTTGCGAGGCCTAAGAGAAAGAGTCGAGAGTCGAAACCAAGTCGCACAAAACAACGATCAAACCAGACGATCTAGCAACAGCAAGTGATCTAAGAATGCATCGAACCACAAAAGCTGCCAACAGCAGCCCATAAAAGGACCCATTCAGCCATCCAGCATGTGTGCAGAGCCTCCCCAACCCATCTGCTATATAGGACCAAAGTCGGAAAGACGAGATCCATAAGAATAGGTATACTAGTCGGAGTCATCGTCACTCTCGGCCTCAGCAAGCCAGGTCAGGAAAGTCTCAGCAGACTTGCGGACCTTCTTGCTGGTAGACAGGTCGACATATTTCTTGCTGGCCTTGGAACCCCATTTGGTGATGACTTCCTCGGGAAGGAGATCCTCGTTGTAGAGAACCAGAAGGATCTTGGAGGTTTGGTCGTAGAAAGCAGGATCCTTCTGGCCACGAAGACCAATGAATCGCTCGACGCCTCCGAGAAGAGCCTTTTCATGCTTCTCGGATGTGAGCAACTGTTCATCAGGTTAGCAGGACTCGGGCAAAACAGTGGAGCCTACTTACGTTCTTGAGCATGGAAGCACGCTTAGGAATTTGCTTGACGATATCATCATCGAAGATGGTCTGGACCAAGACAAGAAGGGTACGATGCTTGGTCTCAATACCAAGATCCTTTGCCTTGAGGTAGATGTCGATATCAACAACGTCGTCGACACTTCCCTTCTCCTGTGCCTCTTCAGTGATCCAATTTCCAAGCTGGTCATAGGTGGAGTTGCCACCGCCCTCTCCATCTTCGTCGTCTTCGTCACCACCGAGGACAAGCTTCTGCTTCAGGTCGTCAGGAAGTTGTTGCTGACGAGCTCTAACGGCCTCAGCAGACATGTCGACAGTCCACTCATCATCCTTGACTTCGACTGGTTCATCAAGTTGTTCGGCACCAGCCTTGATCTGGCGTGTGAGTTCATCATCACTGCCTGCCTCGATAGCTACATCACCATTGCCATTCTCGTTGGATCCGTGTTCGGAATTGTCATCTCCGGGGCTGTTATCACCGTTCTCATCTGGATTGGCACTGCCGTTCTGCTTAGCTTTGCGAGCGGCTTTCTTCTCGGACTTGTCTTTCTTGCCCTTCTTCGGTTGATTCTTCAAAATGAAACCGCTGAGCTTAAGGCGAAGATCGACGTTGGAGCGTTGACCACAAGCCTTGCAGTCAAGCACGATATTTCCGTCCTTGATAACCACATCGGTCTCGGGGTTCTTGCACTTCTTGCAGAGAACAAACTTATTGATGAAGCCATCGAGATAGTCTTGAAGCTTGGAGGCCTCGTGGGCACCGTTGATAATCCAACGATCGTCCGCGGGGTTGGTATTGGTCTGAGCTCCAAGTTCGAAGCCAAAGTACTTGATAACATAAGCCCCAGGGCGGGCGAGAGAAGCTGCGACACTGCTAAGATTGACAATGACGGTCTTGATACCGTTGCCCTTGCCTTCAATCTTGGACTGGAGCTTCTCCATCTTGTAGCGGTAGAAGGGGTCCTTTACATCGCTGCGAATATTGATAGTAGCCATGGTTGCGGGTAGCTCGGGGATAAGTTCAAATTTTCGTTTGTATGGATCGGGGCAGGATTTCGACGACTATGCGACGGTAGGATTCGACATATGACATGCAGAGGGTTTGAGGAGGAGCGAGAAGAGCACTGAAGGAGATGATAGGTCTTGGGTTTCTTGTTAACGCGACATTCGTCGAAGAAAGGTGGTCTTAGCCGTTGCTACTGAAGTAGGGGCTACAAGGCTTCCGCGGTATGCGAAATGGTTGCAGCTCGAGAGGCGGCTGGTGTCTGAGGTCGTTGGCTTTGGGTGTGAGATACATATAACGCAGATGTATCTTTGACTTGACGATGTCTTTGTGGATGAGGTCGGGAAGGGGACTTCCTGTGAAGAGTTCGGCGCTGTCGAAAAATGACTGGCCAGTTCGGTGGGGGAGGGGCGAAATTCTCACGATGCTCGGAGAGTTGATGATGGACGCGTTCTGAGAGAATATCAGAAGTGATGATTCTTGGGGAGGTGCAAGTTGAGGATGAGTTGTTCAGGAGTTGGTGGTTGGGTGCGTCCTGGGATTTTGTGGTGAACAGTTGTTTCTTTGAGTGGGTGGAGAGTAGAAGAAGAACTTATGTCGCAGCTACTGGAAACGCGCTAGTGTAGATGTGGCAACGTGCCGGCTTGTGGGTGACTTTCAAAGAACTTTTACACAACCACGCTTTCGGACAGTCACGCATGGAATGATGAGTTCCGGTATGAACGTGTTCTATCGTGAATGGTTTTGGAATTATTGATTGTATTGTGTTTGCGTCCTTCTTTGTTCATCGGCTGACTCTACCTGAAGGCCTGAGACATTCGTTCACGTGATATTGAATTTGACTGCAGTCAAGTTCAGACCCAGAGTTCTGGTAGATCAAGGCTTGAAGTCTTACAAGACTTTTGGTTCTCTTTTCATTCAAAGTCTTTATATTGATCAACTCATTTGGACCCAGACCTGTCCACCTGAACCTTGCTTCTGGAGCTTGGTTGGATCTTGCACAGCAAAGCACATGTATGACCCTGTTGACGCTTGATTGTTTGTTCCTGACGTATTGGAAAGATTCTATTCCCGCTATTAGTACATATACTACTTCTTTACTCAGATATAATCTCCCAAAAGAACAAGAAGTCAAGTCTCATTTGAAACCTTGCACAGTTGCCAAGATGACTCTTAAAAAAGTTGACTATGCTCTGTATCTGGTCACAGACTCTACACCAGCCATTCTCGGCGACAAAGGCATTGTCAAAGTCGTCGAAGCTGCTCTAGAAGGCGGTGTAACAATACTACAGTATCGAGACAAAGTCAGCGATACGGGCGCTCTCATCTCGACTGGAAAAAGACTTCATGCTGTCACACAGAAGCATGGGGTACCCCTTTTAATCAACGATAGAATCGATGTTGCATTGGCAGTTGGTTGTGAGGGGGTGCATATTGGTCAAGATGACGTTGGTGTGTTTGGTTGTTCTTTTAGAAAAGGACGTCCTTCTAACACCAACTAGACCTCCCTACTGCCAGAAGAGTGCTCGGTCCAGATGCCATAATAGGAGTGACAGCATCCTCCATCGACGAAGCTCTAACAGCTTGCAAAGACGGAGCAAACTATCTCGGCATCGGCACCATGTTTGCAACTCCGACGTACCTTTCCTTCCCATCCCCTCCACAAACCCTTCTAACGCCCCGCCAGCAAAACAAACACAAAAGACATCATCGGCACCGCAGGAACCAAACAAATCCTAGCCGCCATGTCACAAAACGACTGGAGCCGCACCGTCTCAACCGTCTCCATCGGCGGCATAAACTCCACCACCATCCAACGAGTCCTCTACCAATCCGCCCACCCCACCAAGCCCCTCGACGGCGTAGCCATCGTATCCGCCATAATGGCCTCCGCCGACCCTCGATCCGCAGCCTCCTCCTTACTCTCACTAATCCGCTCCCCACCCCCATTCGCCATCACCAACCCCAACAAAGCCACCACAACCGCCACCCTCCTCGCTCAAATCCCCTCCATCATCTCAGCCGTCTCCCAGAAAACCCCCCTCTCGCACAACATGACAAACCTCGTCGTACAAAACTTCTCCGCAAACGTCGCCCTCGCGATAGGCGGCTCCCCGATAATGGCCAACTACGGCGCCGAAGCGGGCGATCTCTCGCACCTCGGCGGCTCCTTGGTCATAAACATGGGGACCGTCACGCCGGACGGGCTCGCGAACTACTGCCAAGCGCTCAAAGCGTATAACCTGGCGGGCGGACCCGTGGTGTTTGATCCCGTGGGCGCGGGCGCGACGGCGGTGCGGAGGGATGCGGTGAGGGTTTTGCTTGCGGCGGGGTACTTGGATGTGATTAAGGGGAATGAGGGGGAGATTAGGACGGTGTTTGGGGCTGTTGTTCAGCAGCGTGGGGTGGATAGTGGAGTTAGTTCTACGACTGAGGGTGAGAAAGCGAGGTTGGTTCGAGACCTCGCTGTTAGAGAACGGAATATTGTCCTTATGACGGGAGCAACGGACTACATATCCGATGGCGAACGTACGTTTGCGGTGGAGAATGGACATGAGCTTCTAGGCCGGATTACGGGAAGCGGGTGTGTGCTCGGGACGGCGATCTCGTTGATGTTGGCTGTGAGTAGGGAGGACAAACTACTTGCTGCTTTGACGGGATTACTGCATTATGAGATTGCGGCGGAGATTGCGGCTGTGAGGGAGGATGTTAGGGGGCCGGGAACGTTTGTTCCGGCGTTGATTGATGAGTTGTATAATATTCAGAAGGCTACGGTGGGTGGGGATTTGAAGTGGTTGGAGAGGGCGAAGGTTAGGGCTGTGGAATATACGCTACCATGATATATATCCCTGTGGCTAGATGTGGCGTACTCTTTATCAACTCAAGATTGGCAAACCGATCAATAACAGACAACTAAAACAAATCTTACGTGCTAGCAGTCAGTTATACACCCGCAAGGGTTCATCACTTCACCACGACTGATAACCAGGGGGGGGGATGAGACTTTTGGAAGATTTATTCATGCATACTCTTCGCCCTATCTCTCCTCTTACCCCCAACTCACTCTCCATTAATAATCCTCCCCATCTCCCCCACATCCTTAACCGCCGTCGTCAAATTCTCGAACCCATCCCTCGTAATCAAAATATTATCCTCGATCCTCACGCCTCCGACCTCCCAATAGCGATTCAGGGTTTCGAAATTGATGTACGCCGAGTGGACTGGATCTCTGAGGTAGGGCTCTATGATGAAGCGGCAGAAATAGATCTGTATCAAATTAGAGGACATGAAAAGAATGGGAAGGGAGGGTAGGATGGACTTACGCCAGGTTCAACGGTAATGATACTTCCTGCTGGAAGTTTTCCCCTGACTCTCAAGTACCGGAACATCGAGTCCTTGTCCTCGTAGTTAGGATGGCCGCCCGTGTCGTGGGTATCCATTCCTAAATAATGCCCTAAACCGTGGGGAAAGAATGCTACGCTGGTTCTCGACTTCAGGATATCTGATTTCTCGCCTTGCAAGATCCCGAGTTTGAGGAGGCCATCGATGGCGATTTCGTGGGCTTTGAGGTGGACGTCGTCCCATACTACTCCTTCCTTAAGCACGTTTGTGCAAACGGTCTGCATCTCCAGTACTATGTTGTAGATCGCCAAACTTTCCTTGCTGAAAGTTCCTGAGATGGGAAATGTCCTTGTCTATCCCAACAATGTCCCGTCAGTACCTTCTAACCCAAAATCTACATTCAAGCAACGAAAAGGAAGGCAAGGGGAACCTACAATATCACTAGCATAACACCCAAACTCCGCCCCGGCATCAAGCAACAAATTCAACTTCCCCTCCAAGCCCTCACTATTCTTCTGATAATGCAACGTCGCCGCCGCCGTCCCACTCGCCACAATAGAATGATACGCCTGTTCCCTAGCCCCATTCGCAATACTCCTCTCAATAAACATCGCCTCCAACTCCCTCTCATTCCTCGCCCTCTTAACCCTCCTCAACACCTCCGTATGCGCGATGGTCGAAATCGCATTCGCGTGCAACGTCAGCGCAATCTCGTACTCATCCTTCACCACGCGACATTCCTCGATAGCAAGTTTCAGCAAGCTAAAATCCTTGTGCGAAAATTCGAGGAAGGTGATGTGGTCCGAGACCTGGTTGGCGATCGCCCAGACGGAGGAGGGGGAGGACCCGCGCGGGTGCGCGAGCGAGGCGTTTACTTGGTCGGTGGTGAGGACGGCGTCGACGTCGTACTTTGAGAGGGCTTCTTCTTCGGAGAGCGGCAGGCCGGACCAGATGACGGAGTCGGCGTCGATGGGCGGGATGTAGAGGGTTGATTTGGCGCTGTTGATGTCGTATGTGTAGTAGGCGTCTGGGAGGTCGCAGCCGGTGAGGTAGTAGAAGTATCGTCGTTGTCTGGGAGGGTTAGAGGGGTTGGAGAGAGGGAGGATAGGACTCACCTGAAGGGAGCAGCTTCGTCGTTGTCTTCGATCATTTTTGTCTTCTGCCCCTCGAGGTACAGCACCCCTCCTACTTCTCCATCTCCGTCCTTGTTCCTTTGCATCCATTCTACGACCCTCTTCGCGTGCTCTTTCGCTGGGTACTTGCCCTTGAGCACTTTCTGCACATCTATGCCTGCCATCTTGTCCCTTGGTGTAACCTCTTCGTTGACAGCTCTCGAAGGTTGCGATCGATGGAACGGATCGTGTGAGCTCGAGGGTATTCACGGCTTAACGATTTTTGGAATTGAGTATTCGCTCGAGGTGAAGGTAGAGGGACCTGCCAAATGCGGCGTTGGGAGTTGTAATGCCAAGTATGAGTACAGGCTTGTGGTGGTGAGGTAAGATCAAGGTGGGGTAATTGTTGACAAACGTCGTGGAGAGCTGGTAAAATTTACCCCGCCATATAATATCAGGGACCGCCTTCTTTTATACCTCCACGATTGCAGGGTAGGTGGTCTGATCTTAGGATCATAATCATGTGGATTCCTGCTTTGAGATTTTATAGAATAAATATCTGTTCTCGCTTGAATGTTTATAAGTTCAGATTGTCGTTCACCATATCAGATATTAAGAATTGAAGATGTTTCATTTGATACAATCAGACCCATCAGGTGAGATTCCATTCTGACCTGCCCATGCAAACGCCACCAATCCAGACCCTGGGTATGCAAATATCAAATGTCCGACCTCGAAACGAAACCCCAAACCTTGACAAGAATCCACAATATGCCCTCCATATACCATAACTCGAAGCAAGTGGACGAAAACAACGCTCAGATGGTATCCATGCATGCATATTCCTCCTCCTTAACGACACTCCACATTATATGCTCCTCAATTCTTAAGCTTTCGTCCCATGCTGATGCGATTTCATGCAGAACCCTTTCGTCCCAACTAAACTCACCTCAAAGTGAGGCATGCATTGACCCGACATAACATGTACAAAATCCCTTCCGTCTCCGACAATGAAACAAATTATTACCAATAAACCTCGTTGGTATCGACCAGTACTGGATCCATATATCCCAGATCTGCCTGCCCAAACATACGCGTGAGCGCTTCCTCTACGCAAGCAAGAAATCTTGCAAATATGCTCTGCTCTGCCAGTCCATGCATGTACTTTCCTCTTGTATTCTTCGGCTCATCTGTTCATCATCTTGTTTCTTCTCGACTCTTCATTATCTCCTCTAAGCATCGGCTGTAACCTCCTGTACCGTCTCTTGAGCCCCAACCCTCCTCTTACTCTTCAGCGGCATCCTAGGCACAAAACCCACCGCACCCTGCATGGCACTTAACTCCTTTAAGCTAATGGCATGCTCAAGCAGGGTCTCTTTACTGGTCTTGAACTCGAAGTTTGTGAGAAAACAGAAACTGATTTCCAGTCTCGCAAGCTCATTCTCGCTCACTCCTCCCACCTTCGCAAATCTCGAGTGAGGATAGCTCAAATCCTCCAAGGCTTTCATCGCAACTCTCAATCCAGCAAGTAGGAGTCGATGGCAATTCCTCCTTGTCACTGGAATGGCTCGTTCATCAACAGCAAGCTTGTGTATGTAGTAACTTGTTGCGAGATATACAGCCGTGGACATGGGACAGAACTTGTGTATTCGCATCAAGTAATCTTCCAAAGAGATGGGAGGAGGGTGTTTCGAGTAGAATTTCCGAGTAATGACGCTGTGCTGGACATTCAGAGGTTCCGCATTATCCCCAATTATGATGTATGGTTCCGTGGGTGCGATTTCCGGACTGCTCAACGGTGTCTTGCGAAAGTTGACTCCATCAATGTCTTCTGATCCTCCACTGGAACTCGACGGCGTCCGCGGACGTTTGTGTAGTTCTGCGAAGTTCTTGTATGAATTGCTTCGTATTATGTTTTCCTTCTCTGCTTGCATGCCTCGCATATTCGGTGGGGTGGTGAAGGTTGGGGGTGGTGTTGGAGGAATATCTCCAGTGACTTTGACCAGAGCTTCGATTCCTGCACACAATAGCTTCAATGCTGTCACCGGCGAGATCTTGAACACGTCCATGCTACTGGGAGAGGGAGGGGTATTCGATCCATCACTATCGGCCTTGATCGAGAGGCCAGCATCTGCGGAGGGATTGGGACGAGGTGGGAGGATATAGAAGGAATCTGCAGAGTCGTGCACTTCTTGTTTGATCTCTGGTGGAAATGGTGAAGAAGCGGTGACACCTGAGCTATTGGCAGATCGAGTTGGAGACATGGTATCTTAAGAACTATGCCCAAAGAGCAGGGTGTGATACGTGAGGTATTAAAGCACTCTCATGTCTGGCCTGGGCCACGGCCGCTGTAGCTTGGTCGGGTGTCTCCAGAGGCGCATATTCTCGGTGGAGGTAGATGGAGTTTCGATCAGGTGTCAGACAAATTCCGTTGAAGGCAAAGGCAAATGTACGGGGAAATATCGATCTTTATGTGGAGTAGTTCAAACGTGTCGAGGCTGGGTAGGCCTTGTGATAGTATCCACTTGGAAGATAATGTAACTGCGCGGCAAGTACGGTACGGTATAGTCTGGTCTGGTACCTGGGTCCAAGCAATGCAGCAGTGCTTTTCAGGCTGGCGGCAGTATTGGGGTGGGAGCTGTCTAGAGACAATAATATCGGCGTCTGGAAAGAGGAGGCGAAGTGAAGCCGAGATTCAGCACGTGGAGCGCCAGGACTAGGCCATGGGTATCAGGGTATCAAATGCTGGCGGCGGAGAAAAGGGCACGCTGACTCGTGTTCTCGTTGTGAGGAGTGTCAAGCGTGTCATGAGGAAGGGGGAGGGGAAGAGAGACGACCAAGAGACGAGACGACGGACGTCGTGAGGAACCACGATCGAAGCGGAATCTAACATGGCGAGCAGCAGATCAGTACAGTATTGTATTCATGTGTTTCCCATATCTCTCGAGAGGAGAAGAGCGCCAATGCAGCGGCTCAGAATCCAACCTAATGCAGCTCAACGCACCTCTTGATTGCGTCCGTTCAATTTTCTGCCGAGGGTCGACGGCCGATGCTTGGTAGCGCCTCCCTTATTAAGCTTCTTCGGCTCATTCTCATTTCAGACGGACTCGAGACTGACTGCAGAGCTTACGATGCAAGTCGAGAATTCGACGAGGTGTCGTCGTCCTTCTTGTTGATGTACTTCGAAAGTGAATACGATTGTTGATCCCGTACTGTAGCAGTCCACGCCAGCAAAGATACTGACGGTACTCCCGGGTCTCCTCGCACCAGTTTCGACCTCCTTCCAGCCTCTCTTTATGCTGCTGCTACTGTACTACAGCTGCTGTCCAACGTTCCATCCGCTTCACAATTCGCGCTGCTGTGTCGTCGTCAACCCCACGCCCCGTCTGGTGTCTGTATCACTTCAGATCAGATAATTCCGATTCTATCAGAAATCTGCTCACTGCTGGTCCTTCTCTCGCGCCTCGTCCACTACGATCCTGGTCTCCAAGTAGCTAGGGATCGACTTCGCTGGCAGGGCTTCACTCCACAACCGATTTTTAGGGTCCTGGTGGTCCTATAAAGCCTGGACCTCCTGAACGCGACCGGGTGGATCTCTAAATCGCCTCTCTGTAGAGTATATTGCATTCGGAACCGCTTCTCCGAGCTGCGCGTGACCAGAGAATCCTTTCGAGAGAAGTCGAGATGCTGAATACGGTCGTACCGGATATGTCGAGTCAGCAAAGAGAGGCAAGCCGAGTACATCTACAGTATGTGATGCAGTGACAGATCTCACGACGTGGACCTTGTTACGGACTGCACGCCGACGCCGTTGCTGACTACGAATATTTACATATCAATACGACGAAAGAGGGTGTACGGTACGGCCTTTGGATTACCACACTTCTTTCCAGGAAGTACAATATCGAGGCAGCCTGGTCAGATATCCAGACATGTTTCTGGTGCGCTTAAACTCAAGCTGTTCAACTTCGCTGGAATTTGTGGAGGAAACGGTCATCTTGAGTTCAGCTAGTGTTTCTCTCACCCTTCATTGGTGGGCTTCTACACCCTCTTCTAGACTCTGTACATGGGATCAGCGCCCGGTCGCAGCTCCAGAAACATCACGTCGCTCATCTTTTGAGATTTCTTTTTCTTGTACTCCGCACTCAACGTCGTATTGTGTTCATTGATGGGGAACTTCCGATTGGAATGGTTGCTGTGTAACATCAGCTGTTGTCACTCACGAGATCTCTTGTTTGTTGATTTTATTCTTAGCCGTGTCTTATTTAATAGCATCCTTGCGAGCTACGCAAATAAGTTCTTCCGTCCAAGCTATCAGTGTAGCTGCATGGTAGTTTGGCACTTCAAAGTCAATTATTCCTTGCATAAAGTTTTCATTACCCGTCACAAGTTCCAAGCATGTGATGATTATCTACCGGTTGCCCGAATCATCCCTAGCCTCGTCAACGGCAAATTCCCAAGACTGAGATAGCTCAACGAATTCGTAAGATAGAGCTGCTCGAAAGGGCCGAGGTGTTTTTGCGGGGTTGTTTTTGGCATAAGCTTGGTCTTACAGATACTTGCGGCCTTATCATGATGACCTCAGATCTTTAAGTTGGAGCTGCGAACTACTGCATGCAAATGCATTGCCACGACTTCGATCGTCAGGGGCTTGATTATCGAACCATTTCTGCCTACATATCCATCCAATTGCTCAAATTAGTCTCCACAACCGATAATTTTCGGGTATATAATGCCAGATGAGTTGGGGATGCAGGAGTGAGACATCCTGCCTTGAATTCGGACGATGGCCAGATCCGAGTTCAAGATCTCGATACAGAAAACCAAGATTTCTGTCAAGACATGTGCCTTGAAACGACCATCTCTACATTAAATTCCGGACATCAACATCGACATTCAAATTTTCTCCAATACCATATTCTCACTGTCCATCCTGTTATCCTCTATTCTCCAACAGAATCACACAGTACAAATCACCACGCCTCTACTAATCGTTTCCATTTCTCATAAATTCAGAGCTAGACAACGAAAAAACAGAGTGCTTATCGGACAATCTGTTTACCTAGATGAATCATGTCCGCTCATTTGTCTCATTTGTACAGTAATCCAAATTCCAGCTGTGCGCGCAATGACTGGAAAATCTGCAATCCGATCTGCTTTCTTCTTTATCACATTCAAATTGCTGGTATATTGAACAAAATTCTAAATGTGAGATTCCTGGGTCGAGCATTTTACCTGCCACATGTGTTTTCCCAGAGCTATCTATGCTTACATATTCTTCAACACAAACAACCCCTATTCTCAAGGTCATCCCTTCTTTGTAACTTTGAATTTTAAACTCGATGTCTTGTCTCGTTCAAGAATCTCTTTCTAATGTCCGACATCCTAAACAACAAAGTCTTCGAAATTAGTATAAACATTTATCTATTCTCGATATCTTTCCTTCGGTCGGACAAGCGCGACTCTTTATGTACGATTCTCGAGTGAGTGATTAATTCCGAGGAGCAGAGATTTTTAATTTTCATTCTCTGCGTATTAGACAGCACATCTGACAGCTTCGAGCCAGGTTTTGGAGTAGGGTTTCAATGTGCTCTCCCTTGGGACAAACAATTCATGCAAGCAAGAATTTGGCATAAAACTGATAACTCTTCTTGTCGGGAGGTTTGCTTGGTGTTGTATGTGGAAGAGATGTAACAGAGCCTGATTCTTGTCGTTAATTCACCACAGAGCTCCTACTCGCGCTAATCAAATCTCTCATGCTCCCAGTGTAATACAAATGAGCCTCGAGCTTGAGAGTCCATTAGATTACTTTAGTCTTGCTTTTTGAACGGACAATGCCTCTGCAATGTGCAGTAGAATTGGAAATTTAGAGAGTCATAATATATGCAAATTAGCTCGGACATTTTCCATTTTACATTCTCTGTCCATGGGATAGAACTCTGAACGGCTCCAAACTCCGGCAAGGATATTTCACTCACTAGCGATGATAGTGTTAAAAGACTACTCGTCAACATGTAGAGAATTCGGAATCCAAGGACAACAAAGAGATCAGATCCGACTCACTGCGAGCTCTTAGCAGAGCTGAGGGAACTGCATGCAAGAAGACAACGCTGTTCTTGAGACTGCTAAGTGGCCTCTAATCTATGTTCCTTGATAATTGACATATCAGCCAGGAAAGTCTGGAACAATCTCAGTACAATTGAAAGCTCAATGTACGATATAGTTCAGTATTCCGATGAGAAATCATGTTGGGTAGGTAGCTTGGACTTTCAACGTGAATCACCAACAACGAAGAAGCATTTTCGGTAGATCACAGCACCAAATATCCGACAAAACCATCTAGTCTAATGAAATCCTCAATTTCAACAGTCTAATCTTTCAATCTATTCATTCCATCCATCATCTAATTAGCATCCGCTGACAACAACAGCATCAATAACCGCCGTCGTCCCACTCAACACACTCTCCACCGCCCTCTTCAAAACCCCCTCTAAATCCTCCGTCTTACTAACCTTCTCCGCAAACAGGTTCCCACCCGCTGCCGCCTTCGCAATCCCCGCGTAATCCGGCGACGGCGCGAAACTGATGTTCAGTTCCTCGTTTGTCGCTTTGGAGCCTAGTCCATCGGGATGTACCAATAGGAGAGATTTCCTCGGTGCGTTCCATCCTTTCCCTTCATTAGAAGGCAGTTGTAGAGGAAGAAGAGGGAGACGAACCTTTATTATTCAACACAATCGTCAGAACAGGAATCCCATACCGTTGACTAATCCAGTACACACTCCCGGGAACACTAAACAAAAACGTCCCATCTCCCACTATCTGCACCACGAACTTCCCCTTCCCGCCATTCTTCTTCGCTTCGTATTCGGTGGCTAGCTTGATACCGAGCGTTCCGCCGCCCGACCAGCCGAGTCCGCCGCCGCCGCAGTTGATCCACGAACCCGGGAGCGTGGCTTGGATGTTGTCGGCCACGAACGCGGTGTTGGTTACGGCTTCGATGGCGAAGATCGTGTCGCTGGGGACAATGCTGCGGAGCACGCGGCACAGGTGTCCCGTGCCGAATGTGCCGTCGGATTTGGGAGCTGCGGCCGCGGCAATGGTTTCTAGGCGTTTGGTGTGTGCTTCTGCGAGGGTAGACCACCGTTCGGTGTAAAGAGAAGAGGAGAGCGTTGAGGTGTGGGTTGTGCGGATGTGGGTGGTTAGTTGGGTGATTGCTGTGTAGCTGTCTGCTCGGTAGCGGGCTAAGGCGTTCAGGTAGAAGACTGGCATTTGGCTTGGAGATGTCAATGTTTTACTTGAAGTAAGTGAAGTAAGTCAGTGTACTTACTTTTTCAGAGGATCAACGTCAATGTGATATATTTTTGCACCCTTGGCTGGATGGCATTGTGTGTTGATCCATGGGACATCTATCGCGAGTGTCAGTCTTGTCTAATCCAAAAGGGAAAGCACTTACCGCAATCAATAACTACAATAACATCTGCAGTTTTAATCGCCTGATCAATACCATATCTCAATCCTAACCAAGCCCGATGATCTGCTGGGAAGCACATATCACTTCCACCTGTATCTAAGACTCTCAACCCCTTAACAGTATCCGCCAACTCCACCAACGCTCCAACAGAAGCATGGTTCCTTCCAGTATAACCAGCAAGAACCAAAGGTTCTTTCGCCTGCACCAACGCCTCCGAAATAACCTCCACCGCAGTCCCAGGCAATGCAGCCGGTTCAACCTTATTCCAAAACCCCTGATCAAGCTGATACGGCGTCAAATCCTCCTCCATCACCTCTCTCGCCCCGCAAAGATACACCGGCCCCGCCGGATCCGAGGTCGCAAACTGCAACGCGCGGTTCACTATCTGCTTCACGTTCCGTCCGGTCTTGATCTCGCCCGAGTACCGGCAGTACTGCGCTACGATCTGTTTCTGGTCCGGCACGTCTTGGATCCAGTGGATGTACTCGGTGCGTGAACCTCGCATCTCGCCTTCGAGGGTGTAAGGAGACAGGCCGGCGAAGATGAGGACTGGGGCTCGGCCGCAGGAGGCGTCTATAGACAAATCAGTATGTAATTTTGATAGAGATCCATGAGCCGAGAAGTATATCCGAGGAGCTGTGACGCATTTTCTTTGATGGACAGCTCTCGAGGATGATCCCGAAGATCTTGGCTCCCAGATTGAATACAAGACAAGGGCAAGATTTGACGTACTGTGGACTGCTGCTCCGAGGCCTTGGGTGCCGACGTCGACGTGGACGATTACGCATTGGGGTTTTCCAGTGAGGCGGGCGTAGCCGTCTGCCATTGAGAGGGCTACCATCTATTTTTTTTCATCATGAGAATTTGCTAGGAATGTAGAGAGGGAGAGAGGGAGGGAAGGGTAGGGGGAAAGACAGACTTCGTTGGGACATGTTATGATTTGGGGGAATTCGCCTTTCTTTTCGTTTTGGCCTTTGACGATGGCTTCGATGATGGAAGGGTGGTCTGAGCCTAGGTTTACGAAGCAATAGGTTACTCCGGCCTGGGGGATAGCTGTTAGAGAGGGAGCTCGGGAAGACAGGGAGGGAGGGAGGGGATACGGACTTCCCAGAGAGCTTCGAAGAATGCGAATGAAGCTGTATACATCTTGACTTTCTCAATTGTACAATTCGGCTAGGAGATTGTAGAGAGAGAAAAGTTGTAGAGTATGAAAGAAGTCAACAAGCTTCCACTCTCGTGAAGCGGGGGTTTCGCGGGGTCGTCTCTCGGGTTAATGTGGGGGCGCTTAAGCCGAAGGAAATGAAACGACAACTTCATTCCTCGAGGTCTTGTCACTCCACATCGTCACGTTCTTTCAATATGCAAATAACTACGTATTAATATGGGAACAGAATACCTCCAATTGGACTCTTCAATTCCCGTCTCAGGACCCGAATTCGCTTCTGACATATTGTTACTTACACAACATATCTTCAACAAAGGTATGGACCGGCAAACCTGCCATATTTAACGGCATGGAGATAATTCCGCACTGCTAGCGCTGGGGTAGTTCAAGCTTTGAGGGGGAAATGGAAGCGGAAGCTCGACCCCAGATCAACGTTCACCCGCTACGGTACGAATAAGATCTTTGTTGGCCCTGACTCCTGAAAAGGACGGAGAAAGGCTTCTTTCTAGCTTGTAACGTGATCTCAGATCAACAACATGCCACTTGACGGCCCCTTTGACCGAGATGGTCCATGGTGAGTGAGGGGTTCTGAGCTTGGCTGGTATGGTATGGTATGGTATAAAAACTGGCATACCTATTCAGAAAGAACTACTTGCTATCCATACCCAATTGTGAAATACTAATACATAGACAATGAGAGCAGCAAGATATTACGGCATCGAGGATATTCGAGTTGAGGAGATCCCAGAGCCAGTGTGTAAAGAGGGGCAATTGAAGATCAAACCTGCCTTTGTAGGAATTTGTGGAACAGGTACAGACATACCTACTCAATCCCCAAGATCTCCAATCGATTTCCGAGCATTGTACTGACACTCATCAGATCTCCACGAGTATCTCGGCGGACCGACATTCGCACCCGTCAAGCCTCATCCCGTCACCAAAGAGACTCTTCCCGTAACATTCGGACACGAGTTCTCCGGCACCGTCCTCGAAGTCGGGAAAGGTGTCTCTGGATTCAAGCCCGGACAGCACGTCTCGATACAACCTACCATCTACGACGGTACCTGCGGAGCCTGCAAGCACAACTTCGAGAACGTCTGCTACAACGGCGGCTTCGTCGGGCTCTCAGGCTGGGGCGGCGGCCTAAGTGACGCCGTAACAGTCCCATCCTCCTACTGCCTCCCCTTACCAGACAACATCCCCCTCGACGTCGCAGCCCTAGTTGAGCCTCTCGCCGTAGGCTGGCACGCCGTCTCGCAATCGCCCCTCAAGCCAAACGACAACATCCTCATCCTCGGCGGAGGCCCCATAGGAATAGCCGTCATCCAAGCCCTTTGCGCGCGGGGCTGCGGCCAGATCATCGTCAGCGAGCTGTCTGCCTCCCGACAGAAATTCGCCAAGCAGTTCGGCGCGGACACGATCCTCGACCCGCGGACCGTCGATGTCGTGAAGAGCGTGCAGGACCTCACCGGCGGCGAGGGCGTCGATATCGTGTTTGATTGCGCAGGTGTGGCGGTTGGGTTGGAGGCTGCCTGCAAGGCGATCAGGGTTAAGGGGACGGTGGTTAATGTTGCTATTGTGAGTCATGGTCATGCCCGTTGATTTTTTCGTGCGACATCGGGATCGTGGAAAGTCTGTCCTAGACGGAAAGACAGACATTCACTGAGGCAGAATGTCGCTGGTACATGCCAATTACTAACTTTGTGCTTTTCCCTTTCAAAGTGGGAAAAAGCCGTCCCATTCCAGCCCAACGACCTGGTGTTCCGGGAAGGGAAATACGTCGCATGTCTAGGCTACATCCAGCAGGACTTTAAAGATGTCATTCAAGCTATCTCTGCAGGTATGTTTCCTTTTCCCTTTCCGGGTTTTTTCTCTTTAGTTCAGGGGAAGCTAGCTACCCAATCGTCCCCACCGCCGGAGCCTGACAATCTCGCAGGAAAAATGACCCCGGGAGAAATGATCACGAGTAAAATTGCGCTGGAGAACGTGGTTGAGGATGGGATCAAGGAGTTGATTCGGAATAAGGAGAATCATGTTAAAGTGTTGGTGCAGATATGAAGAAAGAAATGAAGAAACGTGTTGCGTAGGTATGTAATGCAAGACATGCCATGCGTCGACTTGCATGCAGATCAGAACTCGGGGTTGGAACCACATCATCATCCTCAGCCACACCTTAACGAACATTAAATCGAATCGAATCAGGTCAAGAAGACCACTTCACTTTGCATCGTAACAAGTAATGATAATTGGAGGGTAAATGAACAAGTACAATTGCCATCTATATCTATCTATCTACTGCAGAAAGACGACAACCACCTCCCTCCTTCTCCATCAACTGCTCTCCTTCCTATACACACACTCATTCCCACCTATAAACCCCATCATCATAAAGCACCCGATGCCTCCGATTCCCCGGCCCAACACTAAACCGCCTCTTCGGCATCTGCCTCTCCTTCAACCGCTGCTTCATCGCCTCCTCCTCCTTCTCCAACATCCGCTCCCGGATCTCGCGATCCCTCTCTTCCAACCGCCGCCGAATCTCCTTCTCCTCGATAATCGCCCTCTCCCCCGCGCTCATGACCAGCGGCCTCTCCCGCTCCCCAATCGTCAGGCTGCCCACGCCTAGTAAGACCTCATTCGGGTCCGGGCGTCCGGGACTCGTAACAACGGGCTTCAAGATTCCCCTGCGAGGTGGGGATGGCGGCACAGGAACAGCTGGCCGGCGACGAATCTCCTCGTCTTGAGCTCGGATCCGTTCTTCCCGCCGACGCTCAGCTTCCAGCGCCGCGATCCTGTCTTCGCGCTCTCTGTCTCTCTCTTTCCGCTCTCGTTCAAACTCTTTCATTTCTCTATTGCGTTCAGCTTTCTCTCTTTCACGTTCTAATTCTTCGCGCTCGCGTTTGCGGCGCTCGATCTCTTCGACTTCTCGACGAGCGCGGGAGTCGAAGGAGGTGTGTGATGAGCTAGGTGAGTCCCAGCCAAAGCGCTCTCGAGAGGTAGAGAGTCGACGACGACCGCCGACTACGGCGCCGATGGAGGGGACGCGTTGGCGGCGCGCATTATCGCTTTCTCTTTCTCTGATAATTTCTCGTTCACGCTCTCGTTGCATGGGTCGTTCATCGACGATTATAGGACGGCCTCTCTCGCGCGGTAAACCATCGACGATGAATGGTGGGCTGGCGGGAGAGTTGGGGACGGAGAACGTCTGGCCGAATGTTTGAGGGGGTGTTCTGGGAGTGGGTGGTGAGTCGACGATGATGATGCGCTCTTTGCGGTGGGTTCTTGTTGGTCGGAGAGCGGGGACTTCTCTCTTTCTTTCGCTTGTTCGCCGTCTGATGCCTCCTTCTCTGCCATTCTTGTCGTCTGAACTAACGGATGAGGATTGGCGTCTGTGGTGTGAGCCACCAGATGAGCGAGGAGGTGTGTGAGGGAAGGATCGTCGATGAGCTGTCATCATGTATTCGGTGGTTGGTTCTCCGAATTGGATGTTGCGGACTGGATTCTCCAATGTAGAGAGCTTTGGGCATGGACGACCTGGAGCTCCATATTGACAGATCTCAGTATGGCGGAACTCGAGCTCCTTGCCATCCGGATACCGGTCGACGTAAACGTTGGTGACACACATTGTGAATGTGGTTGTGGGGACGTATGACTTTGTTGTTGTGTCGATATAATGACCTCGAGACCGATATTCAATCGGCCTTGGAGTTGAAGTGGGTATTGTTGTGTTTCGAGATGGATGTTATCGATAATGGTATGTGTTGCTTGGTTTGATTGAAACCTTATGCAAATGTTCCAGTTGTTGGAATGTGGTAGTCTGTTGGTGATGGACCTCTCTTATAAAGTCTGGTTGGTCCAAGGGATTTTTGTCAGTCGCCGAAATCAGGGACGTATAATAATCGCACTTCTGTATCGATCCGATGGACTAGAGACATGGAGTCGACATGTATGGAAGATGGGATGGGTATATATGGTGGAAAGGGGGTGGTACTGATCGCGAAATTTGTAGGAGGGGCAGGCGCAAAGTAAGGAAGGCTGATTTTTTCTTTGCGGTCCCTCGATTTAGGACTGAGTAATGCAATGCAAGGCTGTTGAGTAGGGTTTGCAAGACCCGAATGCGAATTTGCCTTCGAACTGCAATGCGACACGGAATTGATTTGATGGGTGATAGGGAGAAAGAGGAGAGAGGGATTGGCTCATGGGCACACCTCAGACTTTATGTCTTTTGCTGCTGCCGAATGACTGTTCCCAGCATTTAGGCAGACGGTGGAGATTTGGGGGCTCAAAGATGCGCGAACTACTCTTCCATACCCTCGTCACATCCCACTGGCTGATTTTGGAGGGATGGTGTGGGAGACTGACCACTGACACCCGCAGCAATGGCTGCGAGGCTGAGCATCAGCCACAGAAGTGACCCTGACTTCGAACCATTCCCGCTCCAGATGCCTGTCAGGAATCATGGGCGGCCAGTCTTGGCAAGGTGAACCCAAAAATGCGAGCACTGAAACATCTCGTTTCCTGATGTTTCTGGCCCGTTCGGGCCTGGCGTTGAGACATCCAAGACATCCAAGACTGTGGTGGTGGTGGTGGGCCGAGGGCACGAGGGAAGGAGAGCGAAGTGGGAAAAATTTGCCCTTTGCCCTCGAGGTAATTTCTTGGGTGGCACCAGAATAGAACGAAGGGTCCAGGGCCCTTGATCATACGGGTCGGCGCGAAAGGATGTGCACTTCGTTACGGTCGAGATACCCAATGCTAGTGGCTCGACATCGCCGTCGGGCATGATTTGTTCATGTTTCGCAAGGAGAAGGGTGCATAGGATATTTGGAAAAAGCCCAGACCTACCAACCAAACCTTTGGATGCACGAGAGTTTGCGACAGCCCATGGCCCATGGAAGAGGATCGAAGGTTTGCGACAGGCCGCTTTGGGAGGTCGGTCAGGTCTCTTGCATACCCTTCGACGTGCATCTGTTTCCCAAAGCGGCAATGCAGAGAAGAGTGCGGTTGTTTGCACAGTCTTCGGCGACTCCACTGGGAGACCACCACTTCTCAGCCCTGAGAGGCGTTTCTGCTGCAAGTGCCACAGCTAATTTCCCTACCTTCCTCCTTCTCTGCACGGTTCATCCGAATGACGATGCGTTGCAGCGGACACCCAGCGCCGCCAGCGGACTGCGGGTTGTTGTTCTGGCGGCAGAGTCCTAGAGTGGAGTGGTAGGTGTGCCGCCAAGATGGGTTGATGGGATGGATGGCTGTGCAAAAACCCTATGGAAATTTCCTTGTCGTAGATCAGGCTGTGTCGACGACGACCTTTTCATAACCCAGGTCTGGTCGTTCTTCACAGCCAACAATATAGCTTCAACCCCGCGCCACAGACGCTGGACCTGAGTATGTGCAGTAGTTCCCGTGGTCATCTCACGACCTCGACCGTGTATGGTGTACCATCTCATGGGAAACATCAGAACATAGCCATGAACCCGGTGACAGCTCCCGTCATTCGTCACGGACTCAGGACCAGCAATCCTCTCACGCAGGTACCCACCACTTGGACATTTGGATTATATCAGAAGGATTTTACGGAGATACAACGATCATCTAGCAGATCAGCATGCTCCGTAGAGCCATATTTCGATCGCGTGTCAATATTCCCAATGCTTGCGACGACTCTCTCACGTCGGTGTCCGAGCCCTGGTGATGTTAGGAATCAGGATGCGCCAGGAGATCGAGGATAGACGTCTAGGGTGTGCTTCAACTCGGTGACTCGATCGCGATCTCGTTTCATGCTGTCAGCAGATCCGCCGTCCCAGGACTTCGAGGGTTAACTATCAGGCAAGTGTCGACCGAGAGCGCGAAAGCGCGAGATCAGTGATGGTGGTGGGTGAGGGTGGTGAGTGTTGGTTACGAGTTACTGGAAACGGGAACGGAACGGATTCTGCACCCCAGCAGCGCTGAACCACCACCCAGGCAATCAAGTTTCGCACCTAAATCTCACCCACAGTCAGCCTCACGAGGCGGATTTGGGGAGTTGGGGAGAGTTTTGGGGAAGCTTGCCCTTTCATGCAGCCATAACCATACTGTATTTCTAAGCCATTTTATAGTTACCTAACGTTGCGTGATCAATCTTCACGTAAAACAGTTCAAGTTCTACCTGATAACGGCCGTCTGATCAAAGAATTGCCATCCGTTCTTCTGTTCGGTGAACGACGGAGTGGAAGATGACTGAGGAAATGTTGGATGAGGATGGGGAAGTGACAGATGCAAGTTAGAGATGGTCTAGAATGCCACACTTGCTGGGCTAACTTAGAGCAAGCTAAAGAATAGCAGCAGGCTAAGCCTCTTTCGGCCAACCCGACTTCGGCGATTTTTGTTTTGCGAGAACTTCCACGCGTACCATCAATTTTGACGATGCGACATCAATGTGTGCCGCATCATACAGAACAAAGAGCACATACCCTCTTTTCTTCTGTCTATGTGTCTTCATGCCAGAAGAACATTGACTGTTGCTAAGACATCGAATCCTTCGAGTTCTCTGACTCACACTCTGCATCATGCATGACCCAACATCGTGCATGCGGACTGCAGGAACTCCAACAATCACCCCACGATGCAGCAGGAGGCATCAAACAATGTGGGGAGGACGCTTTGAACCCCTCTATCACGTGTATCCGGATTCGCACAATCTTTTTCTGGACTTCCAGTCTGCTGCTGTGTTCTCCTATTCATAGACTTGAAAGCAAACAGATCGCGTGACATGACTAGGAATCTCAGTGGGTTCAAGTCGAGATCAAAGATGTGAGATGCAGGAGTCGTCAATTTTAAGTTCGTCGAGTACCTTTAAGGAGTTCTGTTCCGGGAAGAGGCCCGATCGAGCTTGCCAAACAAGCAAGACTGAGACATATTGTTTTTCCATATCCAAACCTCAGATCTTCATGATCTATCTACACTGGAGCAAAGGGTTTGTACTTATCACATTGATCTCTGTCCTCTTACTCCATCTTCACTGTTGGATCAGGTATATTATGTCTTATATCTTCTGCCTGCTGTCGGCACAGCGCAGCTTCTTGCAAAATGGGCAATGACATAGTTTGATCCGGATGAGAGCCCAGGGGTGTGCAATAGAGGCTTTTTTCCAACAAGTCACGGAAATTGAGATGTCTCTCGGTTTTCATCGCCAAAAAAGAAGCCATCGAGGCCAAGTGGTTTCTTTTGGGATCTTCTTTCCGCATTCCAACCCTTACAAAGCCGCATTCTTCACATTTTTAACCCTCCTTTCCTTGGCTGCGAATTCAATTAACGCTCGTTATTCTGCCAAGAGTGTATTCTTCCTTATCTCAACTTGGCAATGTCATGAAGGGGAAACCTTCTCTTTTCTGTTGTATCTGATTCTAATTTTCCACAATGACTTCCTTTCTCCGCCAAGCTCGCACAAGATACACGAACCTAAACCGGTCATCGCGCATCCTCCTCGCTTTCGTCAGTGCCGTATTCGTTCTTCTCTGTCTTTACAGCAGTCGCGAAATTCAATCATATCCCGAAGAAGTCATCGAACAACATGTCATCAAGCAATCAAATGGCGTATACCGCATCCCGAAAGGACAACTGCCAAGCGTGAATCTGGTTGTGGCAGCCACTTCGAAGGAGGATTACTCTTGGGTCAAAGACTTGAAAGTCCCTGGAATGACAGTTGTGCCATATATTGCAGATAATAACACTGCGCCACATCATGCTGTCAAAAATAAGGGCCATGAAGCGATGATGTATCATCAGTATTTCTACGATTTCTACGACAATCTGCCGGACATTTCTATTCTTATACATTCGCAGGCTCTCTCGTGGCATGTGGAGCAATTGCTTGATCAAAGGTATTTTACCCTATGTATTTCATATTTTAGACAGGGGCTAACAGAAATTGCAGCATGATCTTCTCAATCAACCACCTCGACCTCCGCGAAGTCCAACGCCGCCAATTCGTCAACCTACGAGTGACATGGGGTATCGGATGCAGCACGCTCTCCATAAACACCACAAAAGTAACCGAAGAATCCGGCAACCAGCCCGAGCAGAAAGAAATGCAAGAAGCCTTTCGCGCGAACTTTAACATCTACGATATCCCCGAGATCCTGGCGACCCCCTGCTGTTCCCAGATCGCCGTCACGAAAGAGAAAATCTTGTCTGTGCCCAGGGAGCAATTCCAGCATCATATCAATTGGTTGATCAATACGCGTTTACCGGATAGTATTAGTGGAAGAACGTGGGAGCATATGTGGCAGTATCTGTTCATGCAGAAAGCGATTGATTGTCCACTGGAGCATAAAGCGTATTGTCGGCTTTATCATATCTGTTTTGGGGGCAGGGAAGAGTATGATGAGTGGATTGAACTCATGCAAGGGCGCGAAAGACTCGAGAGAGAGTTAAGGAAGATCAAAGACGACGAAAAGGAAAAGTCGAAGGAGGAAGAGAAAGCAAAGAAAACTTTCGAGGACGAGCAAAAGAAGAAAGAAGAGCAGGCGAAGAAGGATAAGAAGGAATACAAGAAAGAGGAATGGAAGGCGAAAGAGAAGAACGAGGCGGCGGAGAAAGCGAAGTTGAAGATGCAAACGTGGTTGGAGGAGGAATTGGTGAGCGTCAAGGAAGCAATTAGAGTTAGGAAGGAGATTGCTATTGTCAGAGGCAGCGTGGAGAGTAATCGGATCGCGGAAGGTGAAAATCTTTACGGTGATGATGTGGAGCCGGGAGTCGAGCTTAAGATATTGCCTCCTACGTCGACAAGTGTTGCAACAGGGACTGGTGCGGCGCAATATGGGGGTGGAGGAGTGAAGATATAGATAATGTTAATCATCGTACATTCCTTGAACAAGCCATCGCTCGAGAGACGTTCTTACAATCTTTGTTCTTGTGATTTGGCTGTAGCATGTTATCATGACACTACATCACATGTCCAATGTTCATTCAATGGCACTCAAAGTCTCTATACACCAGTCCCTCTGTAAATGCCGCTGTACCTCACCTAGGTACCCACCACCCTAAATCTTACTCAACAAAGCCCCAAGAACCTCCTTCGTCCCCCCCGAACTCTCCTTCACCAACCCCGCCACCTGCCTAAACTCCTCAATCCCCGCATCCCCCATACACTCATAAACCCAACTCTCACTCGTCGTAACCGTGACCCCCTCCCCCCTCAACCTCTCCAACGCAACCGGCACCTCTTCCCGATTCACACTACTCACCCCATCCGCCAACACATACACCTTATGCCCCGCCCGCACGGCATCCAGCGCTGTTTGCGTGACGCAGATATGCGACTCGATGCCCACGATGACGATCTCGGCCGGGGTGAACGACGAGAAGTGAGTGGTGATGGAGGGGATCCACATGCTGAAGCGGGTCTTGTCGACGTGTGCGACGGCGCTGGAGAGGGGGAGCTCGGAGCAGGTTTCGCCGAGGCGGGCGCGGTTTTGCGTGGTGGCGTAGATGGGGATGTTAAGGATGGTGGCCGCTTTGATCATTTTTTGGGTCGTGAGGATTCTGGTGAGGATTAGAGGGTGAGGTGATGGATAGGGGAGGGGGAGGGGGAGGGGAGGGAGGGGAAGGTGGGAGAGGTACACTTTATCGTAGTTCCATATCGCGGGGCGGAATTTCTCTTGGATGTCGCAGATGCTGGGAAGTAGGTGTTAATTGAGGATTTAGAGGAGGACGGAGGGAAGGAGGACGAACAATAGAGCTGGCCTGGCTGGGTTGCTGTTAGTGGGTGTTTGGAGGTGAGATTTGGTGAAGATACTTACTCAGGCGTCTTGTTGGTTTGTCTGCCATGTTCACGGTTTGTTGGAGGTGAGGAGTGTACAATGTTCGTCGTCAATTGAGGGTTGAAGATATTCTAGAAATCTAGATCTGGGGTAAAGCAATGGTGGGACATTTGCCGAGGACTGCCCCTCTCGTCCGATAACTTATCGTTAGCCCGAGGAGACAGGGGCAAGGACGAATGGGTACACGAAGTAATGTTTATATAAAGCATGGTCTTGTCAGACCGACATCAATTATGTCATTTTTTACGCCAAAGATGAATACTCGAAATTTATTATTCTCTTGTGCAAGTCGTCGCTCATTCTCGGGTATGTATCTCTACTTGTGTGTATGTGCTACTTTCCCTTACTTTTTAATCTCGAGGATCGAAACTATTTCTGATTGAAACAAATGGAAAGCTTAGATTCAAGCTGGATATATTGCACCCCTTGCTTAACGGTCTCGATATACGTATTGCTTATTGCCTCTTTTCACAATCACTTTCCTAACACGGCTTATCCCTTTGCGGTAACACGATTAACCTTTTTGATCTCGTATACGTAGTGCGTTTTATTCTTTATTTCGCATAAAAAAAAACACTTTAAATGCAATTAATTATTCTATTACGGTCGTAGTTGAATTAGCACAAATTAAAGCTATAGTTTCCTTGTTGTAAGTGGTTTGCGAGATGGCTACTCCCACAAGCACACCGCACTCATGAAACAAGTTTTCCTGAACAAGGCATAATGCCATGATGTATCCAACCATTAAAGCAATTTTCAAAAAAGTCACACAAGCTACTTGTTTTGAACATCGTATAGAGCTTTCAAGCTAGCCAAAGGCCAGTTGAAGAAAAGTCAAGCAGTAAGAGTTGAGCTGCAAGTCAAACCACAGCAGAGATTCACAATCAAATGAAGATGAAGCCTATGCAGAGCCAATCACATTGCAGGATGAGAGTCTGTTGCATGTCGCAAGTACGCAAATCGTTCATATCAAAACTACAATAGAAAATGTCGGCTTCACTTTCACTTTCAAATCAAGGTTTTGTCGCAAGTATGCTAGTCGTCCATATCAAAAAGCAATTGAAAAGTTGAGCCTCAATCTCACTCATACAACCAAGCGAATGACCTCTGGATGAAGGTACAAAATCTAGGCGGTGTAAACCAGATTTATTATGAGGAGAGCTTGTATTGTCTGTCTCATGCAAAGTAAGTGTGTATCGGCCAAAAAGCAAATGAAGAAAAAATTGAAATTGAAAGTAAACAAAGCAAAAGCTGGCAAAACTCAGCCAGCACAGCGTAGCAGGCTTGGTTCCTCGAACCTAAGCTCATGAGCCTTCTCAGAGGGAAAGGGATGGGCTATTTGCTTTTGCCTTGCTCTGCAAAGAATGACTTGAATATCCTCGAAACGGAAGCAGGACTTGCGCAAAGAAAAGGCAACGACACAATTGAAAAAAAGAACAAAACTTATACTAGCACAGCACGCTGTCTTTCAAGCGTGGTGCACTGGTCGAAGAACCTAACTAAATAGGTTTTTGTTCTCGAGGGCGTAACGTGGTTTTTGTTATGGTGGGCCCCGCACCAGTTGTAACCCACTACTGGGGAGCTCGTGGCTCTCGCCAACCCGGACTAATGGATTTTTCACCATTAGACCGCGCTGACTTAAGGCTCTCGCAACCTGGAATAATGGTTCTCACCATTAGACCACATTGACTTTCCTGAGAGACTGTTTCGCTTATTTAACTCTATGTATGGAGTAAGGTAATTAGCGTCGTTACCGAGAAGGGCTTCATCAAGGAGCTTAGCTTCAAGAGGGGTTTTAGCATAAGGCTGAAGCCTTATATTAACTAATCCTTACCCAAGAAATCATTTGTTGCACACCGCAACCGGTTTAAGGATTGCCCGGAGGTAAGCCTTTGGCCAACCCCTCATCTTTCTTAGCTATTGGACGCAGCTTCACAGGGCAAAGATCACTTTCAGAAAACTACGAAGTTTTAGATGACTGCACATCACGAATACTTTCGTTTAATTATTCATACGTTGGTCCTCTTAAGTATACAGTAATGAATCACCTAGACCTTGCATGATCTTCAAATCCAAGCAAAAGGGGTTCTCGCTAAACTATACCACCACAAACCTCTATCCCATAGCAAGATTTCATTTTATATCCTGCCTGAACAGCGCCCATGGTGAATTTAGGGCTAAGTTGATCTGCAGTTGACCGCAAGAACACTGGGTGAATTTTAGAGGTCAAGCATGAGTGAATAAGGATCACGCAAAATCCATGGTCCTCAGCAGACTGCTCACCAGCTAAGAGAGGTGAATGTAAAAACCCTATCTAGCCTTCAAGTATATATAACCCCCTCCCCTCTTCTTACAAATTTCTGCAGCTTGAGGCTTTAATAAAATAAAAGAGCAAAGCTAGAGAATGCGCTGGACTTCAGTCCACAGGCTGTGGGCAGCGGGCGCTCCGTCTAGGTACCGGGGAGCTAAGTGGACCGGGTCTGCTTGAACAACCAAAGCTTTTTCAACATAACATGGTGGGTGACGACTGTTGTCAACTACTTAGGTACTTGAAGAGCCGGGCGGTTGTTAAAGAATCTTCTCATCTCTTGACAACAACCCCGCACCAAGTTGACGACAGCCTTCTACTTGATAACAATTCCAACTTTCGCAGCATATCGGCAGAGCGTGTGACGGACAAACAGACCCAACTTCTTTTGGGCTGAAAAGTTTCTCTCCGTGATGTACGGAGCAGGTTGAATGAATCTTGTATCTACACCAAACCCAAGCCCGTTTCCAGAACCACGATTTGGGTTGCGATTTGCCTTTGGTGGAGCAGCTAGAGTGTATTTTATACCCGTTTACTTCAAGCATACAGAGCGGGAACGCGTTTTTAGTGAATAATTCGAGGGTAGAAGGGAGGAAGTGAATGATTTCTTGGTGAATTGTTGAATGGATTCCAAGTCACATCAAGATTTAGATCAAGAAGGAACAGTCTTTGAGAAGGATCTTTTACAGAATTGTATTTCATTCGTGAGAGCCATAGCTCGTCTCTCTATCTCGCACACTTAACCTTCATGTGCGAAGGAAGCCAAACGTAGAATAGTACTTCCATATGATACGCAGCCTGCGCTGCTTGCTCAAATGTTAGCAATGTAGATCTGTCTCCGTCCCTCCTTTTCCCTGTGCCCTGTCTTACTATCATTCAGCAGTAGCAGAAGCCTTCGGCTTGTTCGAATTCATCCACGCAAAAGCCGACGCACCACCAACCGGATTGGAAGACCTTGGAATAGTAGCGATGGTCTTAGATACAAGAGAAGAACTTGAAGTTTTCTGTTCCTCCATACTTCCTCGCTTTGGCTCCCATCTAAGTGGGACATTTTCGACCTGGCTTTTCCGTCGTGTCTCGCCTGAAGCACGGGGTGGTGGTGGCGGTTCGTACGTAGATCCCGTGCGAGCAGCTGATGTCGACCGTGATGGTGCTGAAGGAGCTGAAGAAATGGGCTTGGATGGCTTGAGGACTTTCATGCTTCGTCCACCACGAGTTGCACGTTGATAGCCACTCGTTGACTCGGTTTCACTGCCGGTAATGGATGTGCTGGCTTGGCGCCACGAACCCCAGATACCAGCTGTTGATTCTCTTCGAGTCGAGTCCGAGTTCGTGGTGTCTGATGTTTCAGGTTCTCCGACAGAAGCATCTTGCTGCTTTTCTGAATCTGATACGCTGCCGTTCGGGCCAGCAACGGACTTCATGCTAGATGCTCGGTCTCTGGTTGCCGATTCCGAGACAAATGTCGAAGTATACGGAGACTGTGGTTCCGGTAATGGTTTCGCGTGCTCCGGCTCCTTGTGATTTCGCTCAACGCTGTTCGCGAGTGCGGTAGTGACTGCATCCGGAGTGGGTTCGACCTTTGGCTTGGACTCAGTAGGGGTGAATGGCGGTGCTGTGGCTTTCAATTCATTCTTTTCTGGTGCGACATTGGTCGTACGGAGATTTCTAAAGGCAGCCTCGTCTTCCGGTCTGACAAATGGAACAGAAAGCTTGTTTCTGTCATCGCTGTAGAGGGTCATGAGATTCTGTGAGAACAAGATATCCGCATTATGTGATCGAAGAGTGTCACTTCCTATGAAGACGCGAATGCCTTTCTTACGGTCAATACTCGTCCTTTGATTCAGACCCACGATCTCAAAATCGGCTGACAAAGTTGGCAAATGAGGAGCCGGGCTACTCGACCTCGAAGATGGTTGTGTAACGATCGCTTCTGGGAGATAGACCGGTAATCTGATGATCTGGCGACCTGTCGTGTCTTTGTGCATTTGATCTGCCAAACCTAGATCCTTCACAAGGCTGTAATCGAGGGTAGACCTCTGTGCACCAGTACATATTGCTGCGTAGAGGAGTGCAGGATGAGAGAAATTGGTAGTTAGCCAACATCGAATGATTGAAGGAACGGAACCCAGAATGAACAATCCTGGAGGAGGATCAGGGATGTCGAGAGGTGAATCATCACCATGACCCCCAATGATGAAATTAGTATCTAGTCCTAAGCTGCTTGTCCGTCCAGATGGGACAGAATGCATAGAATGAACCGAGTGACCAGCTGAACTATGCCTGCCATCGGACTTGTGAGAGAGTGATCTCTCGGTCATTGGATGACTTCCGAAGCCGCTGCTTGGACGGACCGGACCGAATTCTCCAGAATTTCGAGAGCCGGCAGCCCAATTTGAACCTTGCAAAGCACTGACATCAAACCGTACACTATTAGCACGTGAGGCACCACGTCTGACTGGCTCTTCATCAGCTTCTAGCTGTAGACTTCCCAACAGATTGTGTCCCTGCTCATCATCAAAGTCATCAAAAACATCTGTGGTGGGGTTGGGAACAGGCCCTGGCAATTTGAGTTAGAATGCTCTATAGAAAGAATGTATGTACTGACCTTGTTGAGGGGTACCACTTAGAACACTGGGGAATGGTGACCCGGTTCCCCATACGGATTTGAGAGCAGCATCATCTGCTTGTCTTTTCTCTAACCTAAGAAGCCGGTCTGCATGATTATTCTGTACAGCTTGGACATGCTTGACGTCCATCTGAACATGGTATAATTCTTCTCGAGTAGCGGTAAACTGCGGATCCATGCCCACAGTCCGTTTGTATGCCACTCAAGCGGGTAGACGGTGGCAACTCAGGCCGAGTGATGTGGTATCGGTAGGGGGAAGCTCGTGTTCTGCACAGACTGGCTTGTCTGGGCGTCTTGGATGTATGGTACAAGATCCTGATTATGAAATTCGTGGTGATGTACCGGAGAGAGGTAGGAACGTGGTTCTGTGATCCCTGGCTAAAGTAAGGTAGCCAATCTTCAATGCCGAGAAGATGAAATAATTAGGCTCCCCTACACCGATAATATCTCGCAAAGACTGTGTCAAGGTTTGTAAATGAAAAGGCTCCGACACAATCAATGACTGGACCCCGCTAGTGTGTATTGCTCCTGGAACACCGCCCTTTGTTCGCAAGCAAACGTCACGCTGGACACCGCCTCCACCGCATCGACCTGCGACCGTCGGTCACTGAACTCCAGCGATGCCTCCAAGTGCCGCCAATTTATAGATGTAGCCACTGGAATGGGTACCTGATACTCGAAGCTCGTTGTATCTTCACGGCTTGGTTTGAAGTCTAGAGGGGTTGTTTCGATCGTTGTTTTCGTGTCTCGTAGATGATGGCAGATGCTGGAAGCCTTTTGATAAAGTTTGGATGAGATCCAGACGACACCGACGTGGCAGAAGGAAGAGTGTAAAGAAGCAATCTGCAGGTTGATAGTCCTCAGTTAGGCAACCGGTACAAACGAAGGTGGATTGTGAACGTGTATCTGGTCGTTGGAATCGTTAGGTAGATGAGTCGTTTGACTTGTGGGAGTGATGTGTAGTTGCTGGATGAAAGACAATCGAATGCCTGCGAAGATTGAAGGATTTAGTTTGAAGAGTTTGTCGCCGCAACGAGCTGTATGGGACGAAATGATGTTCAAGCCAAAAACGGCTTTAGCCGATGCCCCGGACTATGCTACAGGGATCTCGCGGCAACGATGCGTCATGGAAAGCTCACGGTTCGCAATTTTACATACCGAGATAATAAAAAGTATTAGAATCAGAAGATGGTACGATCAAGAATGGTGTTTTGTTGTTTGTTGATGATTGTGGTCTATTCGAAAGTTCTACGATGTGTTCTAAGTCAGGCAAGCTCACATTACCATATCTGGAATGTAGTCTAAGGCCACGCCAAACCCAATCTATCCTCTATCATTTCTTGGAGCTTCGGCCCAGAGGCTATAGTTTATAAGTAGATATTCCAAGTTGATTTCTGAGTTGTGACCTACGGGAATATTCGAGGAGGAACTTCGACATGGGACAGGACTTCTTCAACAAAGATCTTGTAGCCAGCTCCAGTCAGGTGAAGCCCATCCACCCTGAGTAAGTCAGTATTCTGTGGACAATTTGTTGCTCTGGACATTCTGCAGCTGTACAGTTTTGCCCATTGATTCATCATGCAACTTTCACATGTCTGCCTACGGTGGAACGGACTCACAATAAAGTCTGCAAAGCCTTGTCTAAGGATCCACCATTTTGAGTTACCATGGCCGTGGCCTTTTTCATCATGACAGCATGAAGATCAATTAACACGACTTTCTCATTCTCTGACTCGGTAACAATCTCACGAATGGCATCTGCATACTTGGCCGTTACAGTTTGTTGCCGAGATGTCGTGCCATCTGCATTGACCTCGAGTTGACTTTCGTTGACAGGTGGTGGAGTGATGAGAAGAATGGTGGGATCTTGAGCTTTCACCACGGGATGCGTGAGGATGGTCTTGATGTTCCTCCGATAGTCTTCCAGTGGGACATGTTGACGGCTAGGACTGTTGGGGAGACATGCATCATTTGCGCCAAAGAGAATGGCCTATGAATATTAATATTGAACCAAGAGTGTAGAGGAGTAGAAAACTCGGTAGAACCAATGAAACGCATCCGCCAGGGATTGATAGATGTTTTGGGAGATGGTTGCAACAACTTGATATCTCATCACTCGATCTTCGATTTGATGTGCAGCAACCAAAGTCGCAAGACATGAACAAAGCAGAGACCAAACAGGACTGCATACCAAGTAAGCCACTTTGGCTGTATCTGGAGATGGAACGATGTCTTGCAGAATGAGCATGGCGTTTGCCGTATTGTATCCGCTCTATCAGACATCAATGTCTAGGATACGACAGTGGAATTCAAAACACTAACCAATCCTCTGTTGATAATGTCAAAGCTTCGAATGCAATCTCTAGAGCGATCAGCACACTTTCGCAGCTGGTGCACGAGCGCCAAAGCACATCGTGTAGGACGAGGAGGGGAAGATGGTGGGGGTAGATGGGCTTACGTTCGGAGAGGATTGCCGCGAAAGAATAGCCATCACGGAGATAGCTCGACATCTGGATGATAGAGTCTCCAAAGAGGAGAAACTGGGGATATGATTTGCTCATGATAACTTTATTGACTGCGACGTCGAGGGTCGATTGTGTGGAGTAGGCCGGGTGAAACTGAAGAGAGGCTATTTAAGGAAAGTAAAAGAGTTGCGAGCCGGTGATTCACAGGTTCATCCCATATTTCTATATATTCACACTTGTTTTGTAGGTAGGTACGATATCTTGCAACTAGGTGTGGTAGCACTAAGTAGGACGAGAGCCTCGATTACACATATTGCCTTATGTCCCCCACTCTCGATTATCTTTTGCATTGCATTTCCTGCTGTGATACCCTCCTCAATATCTGCATGCAAGAGCGTCCCAATGTTTTGGCATGGCTTCCCGCTTGCAAGTCCGGAGGTCTTCTCCGTCAAGGAGGGCTCCCGAAAATTGAATCGTGAAAGTCTCTGTTGTCAATCTTACAGTAAAGCTACCTACACACTCTCCAGCTTCAGCATTCATGTATTGCTGAATGAATCGCAGAATCGCAAGACGGAAGGTCGACATGCCCACGTGGTTCTCAAGGACCCTGATCGGCGCCAAAACGCCACCAAGGCTACGATGGTGCGGTAGGTTCCTTGAGGTCCCTGTGGCTCTCGTGGTAGCGCTCCCGGCTACAGCGTCTAGCAGTCCGGTTGGGGCATGTTCGAGCAATAATCAAACCCTGCGGATCCGAGGCCGAGGCTTAAAACTTGTCAAGCACAAGGCAACCTTATCGATCACGACAGCAGAAACCTGCTCTTGGAGGTGTCGAAAGAGCAAAGGAGAGAGAAAGATGAACCTCTTCAAGTTTAGCCTCGCCAGATGGCAGGTGCAGCTCGCAGGACGTGCATCATCGGCCGCCTTGGCCGAGATAGTGGGAGAGGAGAGTCAGTGTAGCGTGCGTCAACTCTAGGTACGATAAATTCCTCTCGTGACCATGTGCAACCCATTCACAGAAACGACTCTGCAGCCATGATCCGGTCATGTCCATGATCCTTTCTTCTATATCCGTGTGTGTACGCATCGATCCGAGACACCAAAGGGCTGTGTCCGTATCCATGTCCACGCCCGCCACAGCTTGCTCTTGCTCTCTTTCTCTTGGCAAATCTCAGTCATCTTGATACCCCGAGCTCCTCCTGCTCCACTCCTCTAGACCTTCTCCCACTTCTAGACGTTAGACTTTCTTTCTGTACTCCATAACAGCATGTAGAACTGGCTCAAGATGCCATCTCGCCAAAACCCGGGGTCAGTTCGTACTGGTCCTACCTTTGAGGATTTGTCTTCATCTGCACATTTTCTCGACTCCGCGAACTCGTCATCTCCACCCTCTCCCACCGCTCGAAGGGCAGACCTTTCACGCTCGCATAGCAACCTTTCTCACGACGAGAGAACTCCTCTTCTACCAAGTGCTGGACGCTCTCGAATACGGCTCCAATCTGCAGCAGAAGCAGTCAAACCTCCGATCTCGAGGCATCATAGTGTTGCTGGTAAACAATCCTCCAAAGCCCCATCTTGAACACTACTCTGACCACGCGCTTTTAGGAAGTCTACGCAGCCTTCGACATGCCACACGCGAGTCATCATGGAGTCAACGCCTTGCGAATGCCTTGAGCTTGGAGAGACCGCCGAAGGACTCGTTAAAGGAATCGAAAAGCTCACTTTATCCTGACGATCGAGTTTGGTACGATCAATTTACGTCTACGGACTGGGTCCATGATAGTATTGCAGATGCGTACAGAGTGAAGGCTCTCCGGAGTCGAACAGACATCCGTGGTCGCATAAAGGCCTTCTTCGATTCGGCACAAGGTTGGATACTCAGTGCTCTAGTGGGATTCCTCACGGCCAGTATTGCATACGCTGTGGATGTTTCAGAAGCCCCAGTCTTTGATTGGAAGGATGGATATTGCTCCACAGGCTTCTTCATCAGTGAGAAGGTAAGTGTGGTCGAGTTCTTGGCGTTCTCCTTCCTTGAAACTATTGTCCTTTGTTCAATATACATCTGTCCATTACTTGCCATTGCCGACCTTCGAAATCCCATGTTTCTTATACCATGGAAGTTATCAATATCATCATGGTATTGGCACGAAGCCAAACATTGTGGAGTCATCAATGTTGAAAATGAAATAACTAACAAGCGAATAGCATTGCTGCCCAGACGGAGATCGCTGCTCGGATTGGGAGCCGTGGTCGAACTTTTTCCGAATACCAGGTTTCAGCGAGGACTTTGTTGAATTTGCTGTCTTTGTCGTCTTGGTTGTAACATTCTCGACTTTGGCTTGCCTTTTGACTCTAACTACTAAGACCGTGGTACCATCGAGCTATCAGATGTCCACGCTGGACGAGAACCTGGGAGCACCGTCTAGCCGTCAAAAGCCTAGCGATGATGACGACGAATCCAATCCGACGCAAGCTTCAGAACAAGAAGTACAGATTGCGCCGCCCATGGTGTATTACTCTGCTGCAGGAAGTGGTGTCGCAGAGGTCAGAGTCATCCTGAGTGGCTTCGTCCTTCACGGCTTTCTTGGTGTCAAGACTCTTATCATCAAAACTCTTGCTCTTATCTTGAGCGTTGCTTCTGGCCTCAGCTTGGGTAAGGAAGGTCCGTTTGTCCATATTGCAACCTGTGTGGGTAACATTGCTTGTCGTTTGTTCTACAAATATGATAGCAATGACGCCAAACGCCGAGAAGTGCTGTCAGCAGCTGCAGCTGCCGGTGTCGCAGTTGCTTTTGGGGCTCCAATTGGTGGCGTCCTGTTCTGTCTCGAAGAAGTTGCATACTTCTTCCCCGCCAAGACTCTTTTCCGGACTTTCTTCTGTTGTATCACAGCTGCGCTCACGTTGAAATTTCTCAATCCATACGGAACGAATAAGATAGTCATGTTCGAAGTTCGGTACTTGACGGATTGGGAATTCTTTGAACTGGCCGCTTTCGTTCTGGTTGGTTGCCTTGGAGGTGCCGCTGGAGCCCTCTTTATCAAAGCATCCAGGGCTTGGGCAACGTCTTTCCGCAAGATTCCTATTGTGAAGAGATGGCCACTCGCTGAGGTGATATTCGTTGCGTTGCTCACGGGCTTGGTCAGCTATTGGAATCCCTTCACCAAGCTTCCTGTCGCCAAGCTATTGTTCAATCTAGCTAGACCATGTGATCCCAACAAGGCCGATGAGATGGGACTCTGCCCAAGAGATATGGATGAAATATTCCCTGTCGTTCGTAGTCTTGGTGTTGCTTTTGTTGTGAAAGGGCTACTGACGATCATTACTTTTGGTATTGTAAGTCTCCCCATTCCTCTACCTCTTCTTAGAGTGACTGCTAAGAAATCTTCAGAAAGTCCCAGCTGGCATCTATGTTCCGTCCATGGTTGTAGGTGGTTTGGGAGGGCGTCTAATCGGCCATTTGGTTCAATGGATAGTCCTTCGATTTCCAACGTCTCCAATTTTTGGCAATTGTGCAGCACATGTCACTGGACAATCCTGTATCACCCCGGGCGTTTATGCTCTGATTGCAGCTGGCTCGACGATGTGTGGAGTTACACGACTGTCTGTTACTTTAGCGGTCATTCTGTTTGAGTTGACAGGGAGCTTGAATTATGTCCTGCCGTTCTCCATGGCGATCATGGTTGCGAAATGGACTGCTGACCTGATCGAGCCTCTAAGCATTTATGTAAGTTTCTCTTTGCATCATATGGCACCGAAACTGACGATGGACAGGACTTGTTGACTAATTTAAATTCGTACCCGTTCCTGAACAACAAGCACAAACCAATCTTCACTTCAGATCTAGCCGATATCACTCCGCGAGTTAGGCGTGAGAGGGTCATTGACATCACGCACTCTCCTCTGATTTCAGCAAGCACTCTCCGTCATAAGCTTGAGCTTCTGCATAAAGCTGGCGAAATCGATGGCGGTCTCCCAATCATCAGTAATGAGATCCTCGTGGGTCTCATTCCTGCGCCTGACCTAGAATATGCTTTAGACCATCTGGAAGACGAGCCATCAAGTATGTGCCTGATGGCGAAAGTCCCTACTTTCGACGATTCAGACGATGAGACTCATGTTGACCCGACGAACTTCTCGCCATACATTGATCCGGTGCGTCTCATTGTCTCATCCTCCCCAACAATTACTAACGAATAGGGTAGGCACCAATAGCTCTCGACATTCATTCCCCAATGGATCTTGTGTATGAGTGTTTCGTCAAATTGGGGTTGAGATATGTATGCGTGACGAAAGAAGGCAAATATGCTGGAATGGTAAGATCCCATCCTTCTTAGGACAATTTACCTGAAACTGATAGTTTCGCAACAGACGCACAAAAAGACATTTGTAAAGTACGTACGGGAACTAGAAGAGAGGGAGGGGCACACATGATTGATTTTGCGAACACGACATTGACATTTGCATCTGCATCAGGGTCAGCATGAACATGGTCATTTGCATGAAGCATTAGTTGGGAAAGACCCAGTAATCGCTTTTGCACAGGAGTTGGCATTCTCATACCCATTTCTTTTTGTAGCATAGTTTTGGTGGTTGGCTTGATGCATTAGCTTGGAGTTTCGGTTAACAGCATCGAACACATGTCGGTCGACTGTCTTGTTGGGTTTCAAGGTTGTTCAAATTGCATGATGGATGGTGAGGATGTAGATTTGATGGGTGGATTGGAATATTATCATTACTCTATCACCAAAGTTATCATTGTGAGAATAACAGGTGTGAAATCTGACATGCAAGCAAGTGCTATGGCTATTAAATGCTCGCTCATTATCCAGCCTAGAATGCTTCGTGCCCTTATCCTTCGCTATGCCATCCGAAATCCTCATACCTACGCCAGTCCCCAGATCAAAACAGACTCCCATACCCAACGCCGTGAACCCATCCCAAAACCCACACTTCACCTAATAAACGGAATCCCAACCCAAGTCTTCTTCCTATACGCCAAATACTCACCCCCAAAGAACTTAACCAACAACTTCTCCTCCCCCTCAATCCTCTTACTAAAGAACTTCCACAACACAACCCCAAACGCCAACAAGCAAACCGCATTCCCGTACACAAGCTGCGTCCCAATACCCCACCAGAAATACCCAAAATAGCTCGGATGCCGAAACCAGGCGTAGATACCAGACGTCACTAGTTCGTGGCTCTGCGCCTTGTGTCGCCGCACGAAATGCGAGAAATTGGTCCCAGCTTTCAGCATAGCGAGGGCGCGGATCGTTTGTCCGAGAATTATGAGGGAGAGGCCGAGAGAGAGGATGATGTAGTGGGTCGTGGGCGAGAGGACGGAGGTGGGGAGGAGGAAGTGCGAGAGTAGACACTCGGTCATGGAGGCGAGGTGGGCGATCATGTAAGCGGAGCCGTTGCTGGAGAGGAGGAAGGAGGAGACGGAGGCGGCGGGGACGTTGGTCAGGGCCGTGGTGTAGAATTCGAGGAAGTGGAAGAGGGAGAGCGAGGCGAGGGAGAAGGGGAAGCGCCAGATGGGGTGGGAGGTCGAGAGCAGGTAGATGGTGAGGATGGAGGAGAGGGCGAGGGTTAGGCCGAGGAGAAAGGCTCGCAGAGCGATTCCTGAAAGGGACTTGGGTTCGAGGGGGTAGAATTGTTTTTCGAACATGTCGAGGGCGAGAGCTATGTCGGAGGGTTTGGAGGGAGGTGGCATGGCTCCGCGAGAGGAGGAGGGGTCTCCGAGTCCACCGCCGTTGATGAGAGAGGAGGCATCGTTGAGAACGTTTCTGCGGCGGGGTGGTTCCCATGAGGTTGAGGTAGAGGAGGTCGTTGGATCGTGAGCGGAGGGGGTTTCTGAAGCCATGTTTGAAAGTAGAGAATGTGCTTTTTTGATAGTGAGAGACTTTACTATAATTTCATGTTGTGAGAATGAGAGAAACGATTCGCCGAGAATGGAATGCGATGATGTGCGGGCAAGACAATGAGATGTTTCAAGGGCACGAGAACAATACGAAGAAAGTTCACATGCCTCCCTTCTCGTGACGGTAGCGTAAGGCAGAATAAACCTTGTGGTTCACCGCCTGAAGCTAGGGTAGCCCCCACTTCTTCAGCCTCCCATCAGACAGAGCACGTTCTTCCTCTCTTCGTGTACTTGTTTATGAATGTAGTGAAGCTTCAATTTGACAAGAGCTTATAAGTGTACGTTATTTACTGATCGCGATCGAGTGACCGGTCTTGCCTTGATATTTTTTTGGTTTTCGTTTCTTTGTTAAAATTATCAAGACTGTGTACGATTCATATCGATAGAGCGAACTACAATTTCTTTGTTTTGTATCCGTGTTTTTGGAAAATGACGCGAGCCTCAGAGTTTGCGAGAGATTTCCTGTTATGAAATTGGTGTGACAGCATCGTGATTTGAGATAAAGGATGTTGAGGTTTCCAGACCTTACAAGGAACCTGCTCTCGTACGAACCACTTCATATTCCAATAGATGTGTAATAAAGATATGCATATTCATAGATCGAATACTGGCGTTATTATGCTGGAAAACGTTGCTAGCCATGGTCTCCAGCATACAAGTTTTCATGGGAGCCCCTCCCAATTTAGGAAAAGAATAATTATCTCAAGCCTACCGAATCAAAAACAGTCACGGTTTCTTAGCGGTGAGCATTTCCTTCAATAGGCAATCGATGTGGCTGTTGTATTACCTGCAAAGTGTCGGTGGAACCCACGTCACGAGCTGTCTTACAACTCTGCATATTTGGCTTGGGCTTCCCAAGACCCTCATTGCAGACTCAAATTAAGAGCTTGCTGTCAATCCGACGTAATATTTTGGACCTGAACTCGCTACAACATCGTACCTGTGACATTGGGTTGAGGATCATTTGCATCTTAAAACACAGCAAAGTATTCCAGACGGCCATCTCTTTCTTTTCCCAGTGAAGTTAATTCTTACGCAGCACCGCTTTCATCCCCAGTCAATCAATTCGTCATAAACATCGTATTTGCAATAAAAACGAAAGAACGAGCAACATGTCATCAATACTAAGTTTCGGAAGTGGTACTTGGGATTGTTGTAACTGCTCCTGTTCCTGTTGCGATGGCGACAACGGAAGCATTGCAACCGGTGGAGGAGGAAATAGTGGAGCAGACGTAGGTTGGATAGATTTGGGGGGAGACTCAGGTGATGGTTCGAGAAATGAGGAACGGGAGAGAAGAAGACGGGAAGAGCAGCAACGGAAGCAAAATCAACAGCAACCACAGCAGGAGCAGATGAGTTATGTGGCATCGAATGATCATCGAGATGATCTCAAGAGAGAAATCTGATGTGTAAGCGCATTTCGTTAGAAAGGGCAAAATGGCAGAGCATGCAAGCTGTGGATAGAAATAGACGGAGAATAAGCAGATACACTTCAGAAACAATTTATGCTGCGAACAAGAGAGTCACGAGTTCACCATCTCTTCCCGTGTTAACATTCAGACTGCTGAGGCTGACTTGCTAGCAGTGATAGATAGAGCTCCAGAGCACCCACTAAGAGATTCTAGCACCAAAAGTCAACAATCTTACTTAGTTTGACCTCTAGATAATTATTGGCCCACAGTTGTTGAAGAGAAATGAAGATTTGAATGCTTTTGGTGTATGACATCATACGCAAATTGAACCAATTGCATTGTGGCCCTCGGATGAAGCATTATAATTATACATAAGTGCAGGGAACTAGTCCAAATAGGTCACCGCCAACAATTCGATGGTACTTGTCCATAATTTGTCTACTTCTTCAAATTCTAATCATCATCTAAAATATGGCCAACATTGACGAGGCAGAGAATGAAGAGCGTATGCTCCGAGGAGAATTATATCATGCTTTCCTACCTCGTTTGACAGCCAAGCGAAACAGGTGTCATCATGCTTGCTATAGATTCAACCAAGCAGGAGAAGGGTCACGGAGGGAGCTGGTAAAGTTATGGCAAGAGTAAGTTCTAATTTCCCCCTTTCGACAGATATTCCGTTTTTGGAAGATTCTAGCACGACTTGGGTATATCAATCTAGGCTACTCTGACTTGGGACAGCATCGTCGATGATAAAACCCCTCTGCCAGCTCCAGGAAAGTCGGACGAAGAAGAGGCTGTACTCCTTCAAGATTTCCCCTACGTTGACGGTCCGGTCAAAGTTGATTACGGGACCAACTTGAGGTTTTTGTCCAGAATGACAATGCCATCCCACTTTTGCTCATGGTTTCTAGACTTGGCAAAGGAGTTTATATCAACTTCAATTGCACTTTCCTGGACACTTGTTTGATAACGATAGGAGCACGGACTCTCCTTGGTCCCAATTGCTCTTTCTTCTCCGCCACTCATCCTTTGGATCCTTTCCTCCGGAATGGTATTCAGGGTCCTGAGTTGGGGAAACCTATCACTATTGGGGAGGATTGCTGGCTCGGTGGTAATGTGACCATTTGCCCTGGCGTTACGATAGGTAGAGGTTGTACTGTGGGTGCCGGAAGTGTGGTCACGAAGGATGTTCCAGAATTCCATGTCGTAGCGGGGAATCCTGCTAGGATCATCAGGAAAGTCGAGTGCAAGGCCCCAGATCCAAAATTGGCAGAGGAAGGTGGTGAACAAGTAATTGTAGCGGCGGCAGACAGGAAATAACATGTCTGACTGTCGAATGGAAACATAGCTAAGGTAGCGTTTCCTCAAAGGCCACCTTCAATAGAGAACGATGACAAGATCAATATCAAGCCGCTGATCAATGACCATATGAATGGTATCCAGGTCGACATCTTAAAGTAGCCAGCATTGTAGACTGCACCAAGGCTATGTTGCATTAGTATATTCTTGTCTAGGGGTTTATAGACTTGGTAGCCAAATTGACTGTTCCAGAGACACTCACATCAGACCCACAATACTTCCTGCTAATATAGCTTCCACTCCCGCTACGAATATATACACCAGAGGAATGATCCAAACATACTGCCAAGCTTTCTTGCCTTTCCCAAGCTGTCTCAACACCGCGAATCCTGCCACAAGGAGATGGAGAAGAGCGAAAACGATAAGGGTCCATATAAGAGTGTATCGCCAGATATCATGCGAATAGTAGAGGTAGTTCGCGACTCCAGGCTTCGGTCGATAAGGCCAGTATAGGGATGGGAATGGAGGTGTCGCATAGTCTAATGGCGCGGTGGTCTGAAGACGGGCACTGCATAACAATTAGTCTCGAGAAGCATTGAGATATTGAAAAGACCTACTTCACTGCCATGATTGCCCGTCCAAAGCCCTCGTAGGGTTTGTTTGCACTCAGCCTCACACGACGCAGGATGAAGCTTGTTCGGATGACTTGACGTTGGCGACAGGGAAAGGCTGAGCCTCGGCAACGCAGCAGCTTTCGAACATTCAAATCGCGACCTCATCAACAATTTCCCAAACCACGGCACCAACATCGATGGCAAAGCGATAGTCATGCCTGCGGATCGTCTCCTCACGACGGTACTCCGAGCATTCCAAAGTACTCCAAATCCAGAGCAAACTGATCGAATTCTGGGCAGCACAACATCCCTTCTCACCTCTCTTTCGAATCCGCTGAACATCACTCTTCTTACCTCACACCTTTTAACAGCGCCAGCAATCTGGACTCGAGTCGATGGATTGCAGACATGCTTTCGCATAATCAGCCTCTATAATACTGCGGCTATCCACGTACGAAGGAACGAGCTCGAAGGTCCACCCAAACCCCACGATGCATACCAACCGAGACGAGGCGGTGGTATAGCTGCTGATGATTGGACGACAGCTGTTCTGAAGGGTCTGGATGATCGATCACCAAGATGGCAGCATGTTTTGGTCATTTCTGGGCTTCTTCTTGGCATGGAAGGACAAGATAGACAGAGTCTTTCGAGGAATCTGAAGTCAACAGTCGAAAATGCCATGGTCTCTGCTACAAATCTAGCTCTAGAGAGCCCAGCAAGTGGTGGAATACTTGGCTCGACCTCTGTTGTCTTAGCTCTCAATCATGCATTCCCACTATTGTCGGATTATTGCAGACGAGATTTGAATTACGACAGCTTGCTCATGATAATGGTCAAGGCAATGACGGCCACAGAAGGGTACCAAGAGGGATACTTTCTCCAGGCTATAGACTATGATGTGAAGGAGGTTATGGGAAGGAAATTCGACTGGTCACCAAGATCGGCTTCATTCCGCCAAATCCAGAAACTTGCATCAAAGCCACTCATCACTTCAATGGGTCCATTGTCGAGACTTGTTGCTCATGCAATTGAGAATACCACTCAGCCTTTGAGAATCATAGAAGCACGCGAACATATACTGGCATTTACTGGAAATCTTCTCCGAAAATGGAGTAAGAACAAGCTGTCTGAAATCGATCAGTCAGAAGAAATAGATTTCTTGACTCCGGAGACGTTGAAAGTTACCTTTCCGATGCTATGGCAGGTTTTGAAGACTGCTATGCTTGCAACATTAGCCATCCTTCGGGCAATGATTGGAAGGGCATTGATCGATCCTTTCTTGGCCTCTCCGCAGAACGCACCCATGATGACCACTCAAGCACTTCTGATCCTCAAGAACATACACTTCATTTCGTCTCGTTTTGGACCCAATTCCCTTTCAGCTTATGTATTTGTCAACATGACTTCTATCGACATTCTCACAAGATACCCTTCTGCTTCTGCTACCTTTCTTCGGACCATATATCCTAGCCAGGCAGGACGAATTCCGTCTCATCCTCTTCAACGAAATCATGATCTTTTTTACCTCAACACAGCGGAACACTTTACGTTGGCCCTGTCTCCTGCAGATTCTGAACAACTTACAGTCACTCCAAGTCAGCCGTATTTGTCGCCAACTGCGAATTCAAATTTACTCGAAATCTTTGAAGCTGCGCATAGTGCAATGTTGGCAGTTCTTGCCTCTCCACGAAATGCTGAACTCACAGCAAGAGTCCTCCCATTCTACGTGGAAAGTCTATTCGCTTCTTTTCCAAAGAATCTATCACCAAGACAATTCAGATTTGCTTTCAAAGCTCTAATACAGATCTGTACGCCGCCAAATCCGCTGGCAAGTTCTCAACCGATGATGGCGGAGACATTATTGGAGTGGCTGCACCATCGTGCTCTGAATGCACCAAATGTTCCTCTTCCACCTTCGATAGCCATCAAATCCGAAGTCGATGCCTTGAGTCAGGAGGTGCCGCTGTCAGAACAAGCTGTGCTCCTTTTGACACTTCTTGATGCACTTCCATATGTCACATTGCCAGTTTTGGAAGATTGGTTGCCATTGTCTGCAGATCTTTTGAATGTTGTTTTAGACAAGACGATGAAGGAGCAATGCAAGAAGCGGTTCTGGGAGGTGCTTGAGAGTGGAGAGATGGACGTGGAGAGGAGTGCTGTGTGTGTTGCTTGGTGGAATACAAGAGGAGGGAGGGAAAGAGTCTTGTTTGGAGATCAAGAGAAGGGGCCATTCATGAGTGGTGGACTGGCTGTCAAGGAAAGTCGGTTATAAGGAGAAGCAGTGGAATTGTACAACAGGTATGACTAATGACCATGGCGTTTTCGGACCTTGGAGTCTTGGATGACCAGACGAGAATGTCTGAGCAGCATATTGTGACATATTCTAGAATGGAAACTCATTTCAGGCACGAATATTCCTATGTTGCTCAAATTCTGTCTCTTTTCGTTTCTTCGGTGACGAGATGGCTACACAAACGAAGAGTATTCCATTATAATTCTGGGAAACGACTACTTCAAGCCTCCATTAATCTCGACTACACTTCCATTCATATACCTCGCCTCGTCACTAAACAAGAAAATCACTACATCAGCCACTTCCTCAGCGGTCCCCATCCTCCCAATAGCCACCGCTTTCGCCATACTCTCAGCGGCCTCTTTCCCCGCCACAACTCCCGCATTCTACCACACATCAGCATCAGCATCCCAAGCCCTCCACTCAAAACACCATGTTCGAAACTCACCGTAGGCGTATCAATATACCCCGGCGCAACAACATTCGTCCTAATCCCCTTCACTCCCAACTCCAGCGCAACACACTTACTAAACCCCACCACGGCATACTTACTCGCACAATAACTCGCAAACCCATTTGTAGGTTGTAATCCCGCGATACTACTCACGTTCACGAAACTCGCTCCGGGCTGCAAATGCGGGATGCACGCGCGCGTAATGTTAAACATGCCTTTGAGGTTCGTGTTGATGATCGAGTCCCAGTATTCGTCCGTGATGTCGGCTGTGGCTATGTTGACCGGGTTGCGGCCCGCGCAATTGAAGACGTGGTCCAGTTTCGAGTGCGTGTTGATGGTTGAGGCGATGAAGTCGTTGCAGGCGGAGGGGGAGGCGATGTCGAATGCGGAGGTCGTGTGCGTGCTTGGGGTGCAGAGGGATAGGGTCTCTTGGAGGGAGGAGGGGTTGATGTCTGTCAGGGCGAGGGTGGCGCCTTGGTGGGAGAGCTTGATGCTGGTTGCTCGACCGATGCCTGAGCCGGCGCCGGTTATGAGGACAACTTTGCCTTCGAAGGGTTTGGACATTTTGGAGATGTGTATTTTTGTATAATAAATAAAGCAGTACAGAGAGGAGAGTATAATTCAACGAGAGGGGAACTTGTGAAAGGTGGGGAGAAAATAGATAACGTTGAGCCGCAACTTATCGGTAGGATCTCCGAAAGCTTGAGGAAGACTCAAGCACCTGAACTCTCATTTTGGAATTGCAAGTATCTCTACTTAGAGATCCGTCAAAAGGAGAGCCGTAGAGGGCTTCGCCAATCTAATTTATTGATGAATGACTGGTAATTCATGAAGGTTGAAGAGAGGAAGAAGGAAGTTAGAGGTCTGTTGGCCTAAACCGCTAGCGGCCGCATCATCCTTTTCTTCTTGGGACTTCGAAAGCTCAGCACTTCAAGGTTGTTTTCCTTTCCCTGGTCAAATAATTTCACATCCTTATCCTTAATTCTTCACAAAATATGAAGAAGAACTCACTTCCACTCTTTCCTCGGGGCTTGAGCGAGGTCCAGCTGAGAGGGTCACGTGTGTTGTGTGTTGTGTGTCATTGAACACCAGCGTCATGGCTCTCCTTGGACTTTGAACACAACTCTATGTTCAATAATCTCTACTGCACATAAACGCGTTCAAGATCGGCACAGAACAACGACGGGAGTTCTGAGGTTGCAGATGAGTCATGTGATCTACGCAGCCTACCTACCTATGGTGTGGCGACTTTTACCTACCCAGGGACATACTGCACTCTCCACATTTAAAAGAGTCTCGTTGTAATGATTTCAATTTGTTTCCTTTTCTTCCTTGTTTGCTGCCGTTTGATCTTACTAGCTTTTAAGATGCATGTACTCTTTCTTCCAGTATGACCATGACGTTTGCATTCTTCAAATTGGTGGCGAAAGCCTTCTGCACATTGCACATCAAAGAATGGATAGTTCGAAGACTTCACCTCGAGTGAAAGCACTCGAGGTATTGCCATGTGAAATCTATGGTTCCACAAAAACGTTCCCAAGCATTCTCCAGCTATTTCGACTCCAGCGTCTTGGCAATCTGGAATATCTCCGCCAATTTATTGTGGAGGGGCCAAGTCCGGGGGATCATGGGATATCTCCAGGTGGGGGTGGATTGCTATCTGCCGCTCGATACTGAAATCCAAATGAACAACCATGTCATTTGGATCAACAGTCGATTCTCCACAATGCTCCTCTTCGTTCCAGGTAAAGTATTTGAATATTAATTCCCTTCTGAGATGGTGGGGTCATTGAATTTTCTTGAGGGCTAGTCCGGAAACGAGAGACGTACTCAGAAGGTCTCGTAACCCAATGCAAGATATTCTTTAGCATGTCTCATCTTTTGTTAGACCGGGAAAAATCTATCGAGTGTGGAGGAGAGCAGACATAAATCCAATCCATCGGACACCCATCACCAGAAATACGTGAAGTCTGCGTTGGTGGCCGCGTAATACCCATGGCTCAGTCAGTCCGCGACACAACGCTGAGATCACAATTTTGACCACCAGCCAATTCAAACAATCATAAGCAGATCATCTGCTGCGCACAATATACAGTATCTCTGTGGCACGAGATAATACAGTACTCATCAAAGACCGCTGTCCTCCGTTACCGCACACCGGTCCACATTCGGGATTCTCTCGGTCTGTACGTTACTGTACCGCGGAACTGATTATCTACAAGCATCTTAATGCAATGCAGCTGCAAAGTCATCAAACCTCTACGTATCAGACCCCACCATTTGGTACAATCATCAATGACGCTGCATGCCAACCGTTATCGCACCCAAGGGTCTTCTCTTCAGCCTCCGCCCATCCCGAAACCTCCGCGCTACTGTACTGCGCAAGCAACCATGACCAAGTCCCCAATTCGCCAATCACAACCCCAAGGAATGATCTCCGCGAACGATCCGCAGAACCCTGAACCACAAATGCCGCACGACCCCTAAACCCACAGGGGCATAGCCATCCGACCACTCCGCCATAGCCGACTTTAGGGCGAGCCGAGAAGGGTCTCTGTGATCTCATGCCATGGAACCACAGGAGGAAGACGCCGTAAACGCTCCGTGCAGCTATGATGGGTGACGCGGATACCGGAGAGGTGCTCGATACAATGCTGTACATATCTCACCACTGCCTCTCTCAAAATGGGTTGAACATTCCACTTTCCCACATTCTGACCAAAGTGCAAGATTGCAATTGAATGCATCGCCACTCCAGATCTCCTGCTGCAACTATGAGCTACCTCGTCATCGACACCTCATCCAAGACAATGTCTCCTTTCGAGCTAGACACATGGTCTATCGCTAAAGTAGCACACGACAAACTGGTCATGGAAGCCGGGTTCCTAGACCACGATTTAAGAAAGATAGTTGCGCACGCAACGCTCTACGATCGCTTACTCGACGAATATTACTCCACCAGTCCGCCATCCAGTCCTCCCAGTCCTCCCAGTCCTACGAAGCTTGCTTTCGAGGCCCTTCCTGAAGAAGAGAAGACGGTTACGGTGGAGACGAAGGAGGATATCGTCCATCATGGCATTGTGGTCGTCGAGCACGCGGAGTTGAGTCTCGTGAAGGTGGCGTCTCATTCGGATAATATGCATATGAATGCGGCGTACGCGAAGGTGGCTGTGGAGGAGGTGGAGATCTTTGATGATGATTGAAGGGAGAAGGGGAGCTGGGAAGCAATTTCTATGATACCCGTTTGAACGAGGAGGACGTGAATGTCATCCACGACGACGGACTCATGCCATGGTGTAGATTGGATCAATGTGGAGATATGATGTTCTGGCATCGATGCAGCACTGTCCTTCAGAGATGGTGGACAGCACGACACTACCATTTCTGCCTGATCAACGTGGTCACGATATTCTAGCATCGATGCAGGTCTATCCTTAAAGGAGGTAAATAGCACAGCACAGCACAGCACAGCACTGCTGGGCGGAAAGGACTACGAGCTCTAGGGAAGCTCGGACCGAAGCAATTAAGGCATCAATTTGTGAAGTGGTGATGATAGAAGAGGGGACACCGGTAGCTACTGTCGAACGTACCTACATAGCATTGAACATCTAAAGTCAAAGTTGGAGGGAAGTCGATCACTTCAAGAGAGGTTTTGCTCAACTACCAGCATACCAAAATAAGAATCGTTCATAAACTTGCCAATCTTACCCTTCGTACGTGCTCATTCGACGTGAAGCAGAGGCTAATCAGTCTTCTTGAGCTCCGATATCTTAACGCACGACAGTTTTTTTTTTTAGTTTTTTTTTTTTTTTGGGATTTTTGAGACTATCTTTAGACTTTTGAAAAGGAACTAGAAGGGAATTCCATACGAAAAGCCCATGAGCAGGAGATGATGGTATTGGTCACGTAAATACAACCAAATGATGAAAGCGGTTTGGCTCGGAGCACTTCCATCTTCCTAGAAACCATGACTTTAATCCCTGCTGGGGAATTGATCTGGTCGTCCAATTTGTTCTGTTCTTTAGGCGATAATTGAGAATGTTGAAAAAAAGTCAACTGCTTAGGCGAAAAACACAACAACATTGAATTCCAGGTTGATCTGGATGGTCAGCTGAACCTCTTCTCCATCTATTGATACAGTTGCTCTCAGTGGACTCGGCTCCCGTACATTACAAGGTGAAAGAACGTCACCAGAAGACTACAGGAATTCTTTCTCCCTCAAGATAAACCTATTCCTTTACCTACTCGCGACCCCTCCCTTCCTCAGTCTGTACCGAAGCATCCACATACAGAGGCTCAAAAGCAACAGGAAGCAGAGTTCTGAGCTGCTCTTCGATAAGCGCCATTTCCTTGCCCCTTTCCTTCCAAGCTTTCTTCAATCCCGTGATTGAGAAAATATCCCATTCCCACGTAATTATGCGATCTAGACAGGAGGCTAATACATAGAACAGCATTCCAAATATCGACATCGGTATGCTCATAGCAACCTAGTACATTGCGAGCATAAAGTTGTTGCGATTGACTGCAAATGGGTGGTCAGGGTCGATCACGGAAGGTTCGGTGGTGGGTCGGAAAGGCATCGATGCCATGTATATCCCAATCCGAACGAATGGAAGGATAGTAAATATCATGCCGACAATCAGAAATACGGATGAGCAGACTATACGCTTGGCGTTGTTGAGAATCTCAAAAGCGAAGCTTCGTAAAGTGATATCCTCAAAACCCGTCGAGAAATCCGAGTGGAAGAAACCCCTCCACAGGAGCACAGCAAGCATGGTAACTGCAATAAGAACAGCAAGAACAGCTGAGAGTATGGCGGCTATGTAGTATGGTATCAACCGGTGTGGAAATTGCTGAAGCATACACTGCCAGAAATTGGCGGTGATGATTATTGTAATCACTTGCCGGAACATCAGTAGCATGGAGTTGTTGAATAGAGCAGGCGATGGTAGAGTCTTGACAAATGTTCGTTCTATTGGGTTCATGATGAAGGTGGTGATGTTGATGGTAGAGTTGTCAATGGTGAAAATTCTTGTTGCCGTCAAGACTCGGAAGTGGCCGTAAAGAAGTAAGGGTTGGAATCCGACAGGTCATTGTGATGTCTCACAACTCAGACATCTCCCAGGGTGTGAATGAGACAGCCAAAAACCCCGTGAATATCATGGTCGCGATCGTGTGTCTAGGCTCTGCAGTGGTAGACTTCCACATCGCCCAGAACTTGATTCCCCATACTCTGGCCTCCCAAAAGACGATCAGGGCTATGAGTTGGAAAAGCATGAAGCTCATGAACTTTCCACCAACAGGACGTTCGCATTGATAGAATATGCCAGTAATTTGACTGATCAATAGAAGGCCACAGAAAGTTGCGTTGCAGAACCACACAGCAACACGCTCGATGCTCGTGCATGGGTGCCCTCGAATGAGTGTCCAAGTGTAGAGCGGGACATGGTTGAAGATTTTGATGAGGAGAAGGCTGATGATGCAATTCGTTATGATGGCAGTGTCCATGAATAATTGAAAGCGAGTCTTTCTGGGAAGGGAGAAGTGCAGTTCCACGGCTGTTGCAAGCAGGCTCATTACCCATGGCAATGCTTCAAACGCGAGATACAGATATCGTGATTTAGATAGCTGGGCTGGAGATGGAGGACTGTATCCCCCTGCGTCATGTTTGTCCTTCAATGACTTGAAAGGACGTTCTCCACTGTGGTGTTCCATGCTGATTTTCGTGTCGAGTGGCTATGACTGTTGCAGGATTTGTTTCGTAGAATAAAAGGAGACGAGGGGAATTCGTGAACGATGAGCTTGAAAAGATGTCTTGATGTTGAGGGAGGGTTTTCAAAACAGAAACTACAAGTGGAAGGCGCGGGTGGCGGACGCGTTGTACTGGCTTCCCGAACAGGAAATTACGATTTGTGTCAAACAATTTTGAAGAACTTCCAAGATCTTTATTCTTCAAGCAGTGTCGTAATTTTCTGTTCTTTGCCGTACACATTCTCTCACTGGATACCAGATAGTCTCTCTCTTCAACAACCATTTTGATCATGGATAGTCTCCTCATATTCGTCGGCCTCCTCCCAGTCACTCACTTTGCCGTTCTGGTCTTCCAAATCAAATGAACCCTCTTCAAGTAACCTTTCCCGCTTCTCTGACCTCGCTTTCCGAACTCGCTTGGCATCTTGAAACGGAACAATCTGTATAACTGCCAGCAGGGGACCAACAAGGATCAGTAGACAGAAGGATACGAGGACTAATTCAGCCCATGCATGACCAGCGTCGTCATCAAGATTTCCATTCTCATCTCTGAGCGGGTTGATTTTCGAGATCATTTGTGTTTCAATGAAGACAATGATCCACATGCAGAGGGAACTTAGCGTCAAGCTGCACAAAGAAGATCGTACGCAGTCCAGGATTGCTCGTTCATATTCGGTGAGGTGATAATGTGAACTCCTTTGCCCGTAGCCGTGGTAAATGAGGAAAGAAATGCTCGCGACTTGTGAAATCGCCATAGGCGCCAGCCAGAGGAAGGTTGCCAGTACTGACGAAGACGGCGCTTTTGTGAGGAATATCCAGGCGAGACTCGTAAGCAGGCAGAGAGCCCATGGCAGAGTCTCGAGAAACATGAAGACATATTTGGTATTAGATAGTTTCGTTGGCTGTCTGCTAGAACGTTGTACTTCTGCCATTGTAAGAGGATCGAGTTGTATCTTCTGTTGGACTTGAATAATGGAACAAAGAGATGCTGAACTTCTGAACACCGGGGGTGATGCCATACTTGTACTTATAGTGCGTAGTTTGTCTTATGAAGTCACACAGACTTCTGGGTGGGTCTCAATTTGTTGTGGACGTCATGGGTAGGGCTGAAAAGTCTATGGTACTGCTAGGGAAGCCGTTTATGGCTCGGCCCGCTGAGCCCCACAGAACTCCAGAAAAATACAACATTGGACCTATGACTATGTCTAATGATATATAAGAGCAATGTATTCAGGCAAAGGACGAGGCTCGGAAAGCATACTTTGCTGCCAGAGTGACTGGGTGATAGCTCGCTTGGGTCAGGGGCCGCTAGTATCAGTAATGACCCAAAAATCAATAAATTCAAAACAGATTCCAACAGAGTCTACCTCTATCCAAGTGTACGTCTAAATTCCTACCTCAACCCAAAACTCCAAATTCACATTCTAAATGATATATATGTCGCAAGACTCAAACATTCTCTCTCCATAACCACTTTGCGAACTCACTGGCCTTCAATCCTTTCGGTACATCGGTAGTACCTGTCCTCCACATGTCCGTTGATCCAAAACTGTCGTGTTTCTGTGGGCTCTTGACATACGAGAACATCTCCAGCACATTGATACTGTCCTTGCCTTCAGCCATCTTCTTCGAGTCGACATAGTACTTAGCAAAGCACCTGGCTCTAGCAAGATCGCTATGCATATTGCACAGTTGGAAGAGATCGTAGTACAATCTGCCCAGTCTTCCATCCTTGATGCCTTCTTCTTCGTAGATCTTGAACATAGAACGAGCGCTCTTCATCACCTCGTCTGGTGAAAAGCGTACCTTCTTCGAGTCACCGAGTGTCTCGTCCAATTTCTCAGCCCGAGCCAGTCGCTCGTCACTTTCTCGCAACTTGTCCTCGAGCATAGAGCAGACTTCACAGGCGCAGTCGAACCCGAAGTTCTCTTTCAGGAATTGCTTTCTTTCCTGGGATGTTCCACCAGCAAGGTATGAAGTAGTGACCTCGCCACCATTTGGAATTGGTCGAACAGCGTGGATAGTCTGCTTTTCATGCAATGGATTCCAGTATTGCACTGTGTTTGGTAGACAGCTGTGGTTGATCCTCGAGATATCAGCGAAGACGCCACCAACTTCAGTGTTAGTGCCAAGCGGATATCCATTCGACTTGCAAATTCCACTGAGGGGATGTGTGGGATCCGAGGCAGTGTAGTAGTTGTGAAGAGAGCGAAATCGTTCTTGATCTGCTTTTGACAATTTTTTGAGAGCATTGAGAAGCTGTTGCTCTGCAATGTCGGTGTTGGCCATGGAAATGCCCTCCGTTGTGATTAAAGGGGCTTCGCTTATGATACAGGTTCCAGCGGCGATATCCTGGTTGGCAACTACGCCCAATCCTTTTCCGGGGACTTCTTGAATCTTCCAGACGGAGTTCTCGGAATTTTCTCCACTCTCGCCATTTTGAGGGTTGTGGGGTGGTGAAGTGCTGCTTGGAGCCATTTTGAACGATGTGAGTGAATATATGAATAAGTTGTCTAAAAATGCGAGTTTAAATTGCAGAGAAGCACAATTTCATGTCGGATAAGCCAGTCTGAATTCGAATAAGAGGTTACCATGGTTATTTTTCGGCTTTGCTAAAATTTTGAAGTCTAATACATTTTCGGTAAAATAGTCGAGGGGGTGATATCATGTCACATGATATCGTGCGCCGCGCTGTGGGCTTTATCTTTGCGAGATGTATTAATGTGCGTGATGAAAATGATTCTTATCAAACACAACTGCAAGTGCAAGGACATAATTGCCGTGGCGCTGTCGCTCATGGTTCTTTGATCAAGCGTTCTCGGTTCCTCGTCTAGGGAATGAGTTGCTGTCAAGGTACTGCACCTCTACCTACGCATGCCATTCTCAAAGTTACAATTGTTGTGATCTTTCAGCCGAGGAAAATAATCAAGTGATCTGGACGATAAACTGAAAATTAGCTGGTCTCTTATAACAATCAGATGCTTTGGCCTTTTCTAGGTGATATATTGGTACAGGGTTTGACTAGACACCGAGATCAAGGCCTGTCTACCCTCTCATTCAAGATTCTATCAATAGCGAGAACTACTTGATACTACACAAAAGACGAGCCTGAACAACGCATTATTACACAATAATAATCCGGGATTGATTGGAGCCATTCCACTACATCGGCGCGAGTGCGCTTCGGACATAGCTGGTAGCTCCGTCTGAGCTTCTTTTTTCAACAACTTCTTATTTTCAGAGAGAGTAATAGTTCTCATTACTTGAACAAGAATTGAAGATACTTTGATGCTTCAGCTTGACATGAGTGTACCGCAAATCAATAGTAAATCGCCTTCCGGCAGCGATGTTGAAAAGCAGCAAAGCAAAAGCGAAGCAGAAATGCAAAGCGACACTATGGAAGTTGCCTCTATTTTGGAAATAAACAATGAGAACACACCAATGGAACAAAAGAAGCTCGAAGAAGCAGCCCAGGAACTACAAGAGCCGCCATATACCATTTTCTCCGAGCGGTACAAAGTTTTCACGGTGATCATAGCATCGTTCGCAGCCTTGATCTCCCCAATCTCAGCAAGTATATACTACCCAGCTCTGGATCCACTCGCTGCAGATCTTCATGTGAAAGTCAGTACCATCAATTTGACGATCACAGTGTACATGGTAAGCAGCTCTGAACCATAACCATATAAGGAAAAAAGGAGTATCTCTGACCAAAGGAACAGATCTTCCAAGGATTGGCGCCGACATTCATTGGCAGCATATCGGACAAGAATGGTAGACGACCAGCATACCTGATCTGCTTCTTCCTCTATCTCTGTGCCAATATCGGCCTCGCCTTACAAACCAGCTATCCAGCTCTTGTTTGCCTTCGCTGCTTGCAAAGCGCGGGAAGCAGTGGTACCGTCGCTCTTGCCAGTGGAACAGCAGCAGATTTGGTGACTCGAGCGGAGCGAGGAAAATATATCGGTTATGCCTCCATGGGCGTAGCTCTAGGGCCGGCACTTGGACCCGTCATTGGAGGTCTGTTGACACACTTTTTGGGCTGGAGATCCATCTTCTGGTTCCTCACTATCCTCTGTGGTATCATGCTGCTGATCATGGTCATCGCATTCCCAGAAACGAGTCGAAGCGTCGTAGGGAATGGTTCGATACCCCCACAGAAATGGAACGTTCCTCTCATTCGCCTAATTCAACAACGTCTAGAACGGTCTTCACATCAAGAAATCGACACTCAAACAATAACACATCGATACCGTCGCCCGAACCCACTTGAAGCTCTGTCACTCGCCTTGCAAAAAGAGACTGGCATGCTACTCACATTCAGTGCTCTCATGTACGCCGGTTATTTTGGCGTGCTCTCCAGTCTACCATCCCAGCTTGCCAGAAAATACGATTTCAACTCTCTCCAAATCGGCCTCTGCTTCATCCCTTATGGGTTTGGATCTGTTACGTCTCGCTGGACGGTCGGCACGCTCACAGATCGAAACTTCCGCCGACACGCCAAAAAGCTTGGGATTGCGATAGTGAAAAATCGCCAGCAACGGCTCCAAGACTTCCCCATCGAGACTGCAAGATTAGAGATCGCCCTACCGATGGTCTATCTAAGCTGTATATGTGTGATGACTTTTGGATGGGTGATGGAACATCAGACCAACCTTGCAGGGCCACTTATCACGCTGTTCTTTACTGGAAATATGGTAACGGGGTCGTTCAGTGCAATAAATACTTTGGTGGTTGATATTAACGTGAAGACACCTGCGACTGCGACGGCGGCGAGTAATTTGTTTCGATGTCTCTTTGGAGCGGGAGCTGTGGCTGCCGCTGTGCCTTTGATCGAAAGAATTGGAATGGGTTGGATGGGGACATTCATTGCTGCGCTCTGGTTAGTGTTGAGTCCCATGCTGTGGTGCGTGTGGTTCTATGGGAGAGGGTGGAGGGATGAGAAAGCAGCGAAAGATGACCAGAGGGAGAAGGAAAGAATGGAGAGGGAAAAAGGCAACGACGTTGAGAAAGTCGTAAATGTCGCTCAACCCATGAATGCGAAGGGCGAATGGTCTAGTACGGTCCAACTATCAGGTTCTGCTCAATCAAGTGCCTCGAAAGAAGGAAAATAACCATTTATATAATCTTGCGAAGGACTACTTCGAATGAGATAATCACGGCGACCTTTGTAAATAACCTCGAGGTCATCATCATGCAAATCATATTATTTAGGCTGGGCTTCTCCATACTCTCACAATCCAACTAAATGACATGCCAGCCAAATTGAGCGATGCCGACCATCGATATCAAGTCCCACCGAGGGCCGAAGCGAATACCAACCAATATACACGAGTTTCATCAACGCATAAGCAACTACAAATATTGCCCTAGCAATCACTATCTTGGCGCCTCACCATCAACGAACCTTAGAGCCTCTTCTCTACTAACAGCATCGATGCCACTAGTCTTGTTGTGGAAGGTAACTCCGTAACATTTGTCCGCGACCAACAACATTTCGGGCCTGAAGGTAGTACAAATAAATTGGCCACTCATACCACCGGAGCTACTGTCTGTGTTCTGACTGCTCTGCTGAGTAGATATTTCTTCTAGCATCTGAGCAACAGCTGTACGGTACTGAGCGTCGAGATTAGCATCGATCTCATCGAAGAGATAGAACGGAGCAGGATCGCACTGCTGGATGGCGAAGACTAGAGCGAGTGCACACAAACCTAACCATGTTAGCAGAGAATTGAACTAGAAGATTGGGCTACGCACTCTTCTGGCCACCACTCAATTGTTGAATTCGCTGTTGATCATCGTGTTTACTGTTGAATGATACGCTAATACCAACACCAGTATAATTCTCAACACTTTGATGTTGCTCGTCTTCAGACTCGTCATCCTCGCGAACACGCTGGTCTGTCTTTTTCTGGATGATCAAACGACCACGTCCTGCTGGGACAAGGCGCTCGAAAATGGATGCAAACTCTTTGGAGACTTGCTTGAAGGTTCGCTCAATAGCTTCATCTTTGCGTTGATCTAGAACATCCACAAGATCCTGAATTGAAGCCTGTCCGTCGTCGAGTTCCTTTCTTCGCTTCGTAAGACTGTCTCGTTGAGAGGTGAAGTTGTTGTATTGTTCAAAGGCCTTTTTGTTGACGTGTTTATACTTCTTTAGAGCATCATTCACCTTCTTGAGCTTGTTGGAAATCTTTTGCAACGTCAGTCAATGTCTGAAGGATATTGTGGATGCACTTACGGTCTTCGAGTCGATGTTCGCATATTTCTCGAATGCCTCGTCTGGAAGTACTCCCAGGTCGCGGATATTCTTGGCGCATTCAGCAGCAGCAGTAGTCAATAGGGCTTTCTTTGCCACGCTCTTTTCCATTCTCTTCTGGTTCTTCTCGATGATCTTGGCAATCTCTTGCTGTTGGTCAACCCTGGCAGCCTTGTTCTTGCCAAGACTAGAAATCTGCGTTTCAGCCTGCTCAATCTGAGTCTCGTTCTCCTCCAGCTTGCTCTCTACAGCTACTGCAGCCTTTTGGACACGCTTGAGCTCTCGCTGAGCCTCCTTTAGACCACCAGAGCTGCTACCCAGACTGGCATCAATCTCCTGGCCGTTTAGCTGGTCCAGCTTCATTTGTAGATTGTCGCGAAGATCGACTTCCAGAAGCTGCTTCTGGCCTTCGAGTTCACGTCGAATCTTGCTGAGATCATTCCACTGCTGCTGCAACTCTTGGACGCTAGTATTGAGCTGATCAAGCTGGCGCTCTTCATTTGCACTAAGAGCCTTTTTGAAGTCTGAACTCAATTCTGCTTCGAATGCACTGATACTATCGCCGAGATCTCTCATCAACTTTTCTACCGTCTCTCGCCGACGAATGTTCGAGTCGAGTTGATCTCTTTGCTTCTCGAGATGCGTGCTCTTGTTTCTCAATTCATTCTTCAACGGGTCAAAACTGCTATCGAGACGATTGAGATTCTGCTGCAGCTTGTGGAGTTCTCCATGAGCGTCTAGGATCTCGCGTTCTTTCTGCTCTGCCTCATGTTTGATCTCATCAGCACGACCTCTCAATGTCTCGTACTCGTCCCGCCACTTGTTCACGGCTCGAACAGCTTCTAATCGAGACTTTCGAGGATCAATGTAACCACCGGTCATTGCGCCCTTCTTGTTCGCAGTGTCTCCGTCTGGGGTGATGGCAGTACAGCCATGACTGCGAGCATATTGAGCTGCGATGGCGAGAGAAGGACAGACTACAGTCTTGCCGAAAACCTGGCTCATAGCTTTCTCGAATTTTTTGTCGAATTTGATCTTGCTCATCATGGGGACAGCATCAGACGCATTTGGTAACTTCGCAGGCCTTGGCTTCAGTTGAGCAAGAGGCATGAAAGTAACACGGCCTCCTTTCTGTTTGTACAACGCATCGGCAAGGAAGGTAGCAGTCTCCGCATTGTCTACAACGTAGTGAAAGAGACTGTTGCCAGCGGTTTGCTCGGCAGCCATTCGGTAATTTTCGGGAACTTCGAAGATTTCTGCAAGGGTTCCAAATGCACCAGCAAGATTGTGTTCCCGTTTGAGACGTCTCACAGATGCAAGACCACGAGAGGTCGCGCCATCCATGGTGTGGGACAGTTCTCGTTCAGCACGGTCTCTTTCTTGTCGAGCGTCCTCAATCATAGACTCGAGTTTGTCATCTTCGCGTCGAAGGACTTTTTGCTCATCCTGTAGCTTTTCAAGACCATCCTTAGCAGTCGTGACTTGCTCGTAGAGAGCTTGTCTACTCCCTCCCCAGCCTTCAAAGCGCTCCCGGAGTTTTGCGATCTCGCTCTCCAGGTTTTGGATCTCTGTCTGCACAGTTTTCACTTCTTCATCAGCGTTGATCCGGTTGGCCTTCTGTTCGCCAAGTGCCGTATTGTTTTCTTGGATCTGCTCTTTCAAGAACGAATCACGCTCAGCCTTGGACTTGAATTGCGCGCTTCGACCTTGTTTATTGTAAAGACGTGTTCTGGTGGCTTCAGCAACGTCAAGATTCTGCTTCACTTCCGCCTCCTTCTCTTTCCGCTTCATGTATTCGGGCAATATTTTGGAGAGTTTCGCCTCTTTCGTTGCGATCTCTTGCTTCACGGACTTCAACTCTTGCTGGTGCTTAGTCCGGGCTTGTTCCGTTGCAGACAGACCATCGTTCAGGTTCTTGACGTTCAATTCAGCCTTGGCCTGTGACTTGGAGGTCTCACGCCTGTCCTCCTCCAATTGACGTCGCTCGAGCTTGAGAAGCTCCATCTGCCGATTGAGCTGTTTGATCTCAAGATCCATGGCTGCAATAGCCTTTTCGCCTTCTAGAAAAGCATCACGATTCTCGTCCGTGCCTTCGATGCCATTCACGCGCATATCTTCGATTTCGTCCAGGGCTTCCGAGAGCGCGGTTTGTTCGCGATGGTAGAAAGCATATTCTAGACAGCGTCGATCTCTGTCCTTCTCCTGGTAACCACGTAACTCCTCCTTCTCCTCTTCGAGCTCGGCAAGTCGTTCCTTGATATAATCAAGTGTTTCATCAATCTTCGATCGTTTATTATTGGTATCCTGCATAATCTTCAATGATTCTGTTCGTCGTGCTTCGTAGACTTGTGTTCCGGCTACTTCCTTCAAGAGATTCAGTCGCTCGGTGTCCTTCATGTTTGTGAGAGCCGTGACACGTCCTTGAGGTACAATATAGTATGGATTTGATCGCGAGAACCCGGCTGATTCCAGAAGGTTCATAACATCGTTTTTCGTGGCATTCTTACGATCAAGGGAGTATTCGTCTTTCTTCAGACCAATCGTACGACGTAGAATAAGTTCGTCCTTGCCTGTCGGGAAGCGGTCATCGCTGTTGTCGAAGATAATCTCAACATAGGCAGACATCACAGCAGCACCCGATCCTTCGTGTAGTAGAGCCTGCCGCTCTTCGCGACCCATCTGCGAGTATGCATCACTGAGGACGAATCGAATTGCGGCGAAGAAGTTACTCTTCCCTGAACCATTGCGACCAACGATTACGTTTGTCTTTGGAGAGAATGGCTCGATGACGGTTTGCTCTTTGTAACTGTTCCGAAATTAAAGAAGTACTATTATGCTGAGCTCCCTGACATACCTCTTGAAGCCCTGTATAATGATCTGCTTGATGTACATCTTTGCGATCCGTTTGTCGCGAGCGGGGTGTTGAAGGAATTGGATTTCGTCGCGTCAGAAGGATATCAAGAAATCAATATGATGATTCCAGTGGAAACAAGTACGTTTTAAGTACTATGTCACCGTGATACATCAGCACCAAAGTTTGATAACTTCCAAGTTGTCAACGCGTAGCTTTTTGCGTTCGACGCGATGTGAAAGTCGCGAAGCCTGGGAGGTTTAGTGTGTAGCCCAATTGGGAAGGCGGTCAATCTTTCTGCCGTAGTGGGTTGAGCCGTTTAATAATTAAATTCTTTGGTGACTTTGTATTTTGAAACTGGCAGCAAATCTCGGAGACAGCCATCAGAAATTATGTCGGAACAAGAGCCTTCGTTGCAGATGCCTGCTCCTGCAGCGGGCCAAGCTCCCACACATACATATGTCCCAGATAGAGGTTATGCGACTTCCACGACATCTCAAGACGCCCCACCACAAACGCCTACGGGCTACGCTGCCGACAACGAAGACGAAACGTACGATGATCTTTTCGAAGATGAAGACGAAGAGTTCCTTGATGATGTAGATCCTACATCGGGCGACCTTACCAAATCTTACAACCGTCAAAGAAAGCTCAACGACCCAAACGCCACTGCCCCTCGAATCAACTCGCAAAAACCAGCTGCAAACACACAAGCGAGTGTCGATGACCAAATCTCGAGTCTTTCCAAACATGCTGCTAAGATTCGTTTGGATGTTGGAGGGGAGAGAAACAAAACACATGGCAAGGACAAATCAGACCGTGCCACAAGTGAGCAGGTCTTGGATCCTCGGACACGGATGATCTTACTGCAAATGATTAATAGAGGGATCGTCTCGGAAGTCAACGGCTGCCTTAGTACTGGAAAAGAGGCAAACGTCTACGGAGCACTCTCAATACCTGTATCAGAAAATGGCGAGGAAGTCGCAGCTATTCATCGAGCCATCAAAGTTTACAAGACCAGTATTCTTGTCTTCAAGGACCGCGATCGATATGTGACAGGCGAACATCGCTTCAGGTCTGGCTACAACAAGGGAAATAACAGGGCTATGGTGAAAGTATGGGCAGAGAAAGAATTTCGCAACCTCAAACGATTATACCTTGCCGGCATCCCATGTCCCGAACCTGTCTATCTACGGTTACATGTTTTGGTCATGGGCTTTCTCGGCGACAAGAAAGGCTGGGCGGCTCCTCGTTTGCGTGATGTGGAACTACAAGGCGAGGATATTGATGAGCAATGGCGTTTGCTATACATTGAAATGCTTGGACTCATGAGGCGAATGTATCAAACATGCAAACTTGTACACGCAGATTTGAGCGAGTACAATGTCCTATACCACCAAAAGAGGCTCTTTATCATCGATGTTTCTCAGAGCGTTGAGCACGACCATCCACGGTCATTGGAATTCTTAAGAATGGATGTCAAGAACGTTTCGGATTTCTTTAGAAGAAAGAATGTAGATGTGCTTTCTGAACAAGCAGTCTTTGGCTTCGTCACTTCTCACGATCAACCAATCCATGAGCCGGCGCTTACAGAAGCTTTAGAGAGACTTTTCGTCGACCGACCTGCTGTTCAGGAAGATGAAAAGGCTGCTGCAGAACAAGAAATCCAGACCGAGGTATTCCGACAACAATATATTCCTCAAAATCTAGACCAAGTCTATGATATCGAGCGTGACGCAGAGAAGGTTGGCAAAGGACAGAAGGAGGACCTTGTTTACCGAAATCTGCTCGCCGACAAAGTTGTTCAATCGGGCAACGAAGCTGATGCCGAAGATACCATGGGTGGTAGTTCGCCACCAAGTGACGGTGAAAGTGATGCCGAGGATAGCGACGATGAAAGCAAATTTGAAAAAGGTACTCCGAGAGGAAAGAGATTCGAGGACAAAGATGCCAAGAAGGTAGGTCGGTCCAACTCACAGGCAGAATTGTATCTGACACATGTCCAGGAGCACAAGAAGGCCGTCAAGGAAGAGAAGCGTGAGAAAAGAAAGGAGAAAATGCCCAAGCATCTGAAGAAGAAGCTCGTGAGCGCTTCAGCGAAGCACAAGCATTGACCTAAACAAATCAAATCAAGATCAGATCAAGCCCATGATCTTCTTAGGCAGCGACCCATACCGCTCTTACCGCTGATGTCGCTCGGATCCCAGACAATTGAGATCACCCGAATGATGAAGAAACAAACTTCTCCGGTTATCAGTTTCCGAAGTAGCGTCTTGCATGCATGCAAAACCACTTCCGGTCTGATCACTGTGAGAGAAGCTGTAAGCTCAATCTTTCGATTTTCGTCGCAAAGTTGAGCTGATGCTGATCAAAGAGAGCACTGACGGGGTTTTGAGTTTCCTTTTGTTTTCGTCACTTCCAATCATTCCACATGTTTCCGTCGTGATTGCGGCATTATCCCGCTGTGGAAAACTCTCAAGGTTGATGCCTGATGCTTTAGTCGACTGAATTCAGCGAGAAAGGCTGTGTCCCACGAAAGCAAAGTCAAATTTCAGATGGCAGGACCACCAGTAAAATGGCAGAGAGCACTGATTTTGTCTTTCATATGTCGCATATGCCGCATTGCCTGAGCAAGTGCCATGCCATTCATGGATGGACTCGGGACGGACGATTCCTACATCCCTGCGACGATCCCTTAGCTTTACTGCACGGGTCACAAATGAGACCCAGCACCAAAAACTCCGTGATGGGGGAGCTCTGCACAGACATTCCGGCAACCACATGTGCCCGAGCACATTCGGGTTACCTGACCAGTAGAATTCGGGTATGGTTTGTTATCAGTTCATTTGACTTCATTATTGCCGTGCGCCTGGATATCGAAATGTCTATCATGCACCTGAAAGGGATATGCGACTAGGAATATCATCAATAGTGTCGCCCTAAGCACAGGTACAATCCGCGAGGGCTTGCCGTTGACGCTATGAGCAGTAGGTACCCAGAGCTAAATTAGTAGCGGTCTGGATGTGCTGGGGTAATTTGAGTTATTAAAGTCTCATCCGCACTTTGGAGAATTTGGGCTCTGAATTCAGGGATGCGGACGCGTCTTTTTCCGTGGACAGTATGCAGATGCCATCGTTGTCTGTGATAGAGTCATTCCCTACTCCAAACTACGTTGACCCCGCGGTCAGAGGTCCTGCCAACATAATTACTGTTTCAATCTTCTTTCCCCTAGCCCTCCTGATTGTGGGAATCCGAACGTATACCCGAACATGTCTCTCCAAGAGCTTTGGTGCGGATGACTGGTTTATTCTCGCAGCTTTGGTTCGTGGATCAAGCGTCTTCAATTCTGAAACTAACATTGAAAAGCTTCCTACGACAGCATTCGCAATAATGACTCTCCTGGCGGAGCTCCACTTCGGCTGGAACAGACACATCTGGGACGTTCAACTTTCAACTATATCAACGGGCCTCAAAATCATTCTCTGCACCGAGGTTCTCTTTTGTCTTGCTACCTCACTCACCAAACTTTCCATGCTCACTTTGATATACCGACTCGTATCCCACAGTTCCAGTATTATATCCAGGGTCATCCTGGGTGCAATTGTTCTTGTGTCTGCACAAGGAACGGCATTTGTCTTCGCTGCAATCTTTCAGTGTAGGACTCCGTCCCTGTATTGGACTTTATCTTTCAAGCCGCAGCCGGAATGCATATCCGAAACGAAACTGCTGCTTGGTGCTGGTATTGTTAATACGATTACTGACCTAGTCGTGGTTGTACTACCTGTGCCTATAGTCTGGCACTTAAAGATACCATTCAAACAACAAGCGATTCTCATCACGCTTTTTGCAGTCGGTTTCTGCATCACCTTGATCGGCGCTGTGAGGACATATTACCTGTATAAGGTGACTTCGCAGTGGGATAAGACGTGGGAGGCGTATCCTGTTTGGCTTACTAGTTCTTTGGAGCTCTATGTTGGTATTGTAAGTTTGCCTTCCTCCCGTTGCTAATCAGACGAGACACTCCCTTATTGACATGCATTGCAGATTTGTGCCTCTATTCCAGCAACCAAGAGATTCTTCACCCGACTTGGTCTCAGCTGGCTACGTTCTTCCACGGCCTCTCGTCCTCCCACTACAACTGTGCCATCACATCATACCCAAGAAGAGCATGAAATCGGGGTTTTTCCACTGCATGAATACAGCGATGACAAGAAGGATGTCGAGACTCGCTCGGTGTCTGGCGCGGAGAGTGGATCTAAGTATAAGGTTCCCCACTTGGAGAGACCGCAGACGAGTTATTCAAAGGAAACTGCGGTGGGTGGAATATCCGAAGTCAGAGATTCAGACAGCCAGCATTGTTTGGTAGAGAGGTGAGCTTATTGGTTCGTGAAGAGGCGTGAGCCTTGCTGATGAGAGCATTAGGGATTATGAGGAAAGAGTCGACACGCCGAGCAGATTTACTTGATTGTTGAAATGGATGGCAAGAGTATGCTATTCATGGACAACTATGCCTGCCAAAGCACGAACTCAGAGTTGCGAAACGATACCCCTTTTTCGTCGTTTTAGGAAGCGCAACCATCAATCTCCTTGAGCTGCCTGTTCACCTAGGATGCTCTATAGCCTACCGTTGTCGCAGTACTTCACAGCCATGTTGGCCAACGAACACGCTGCCATTGGCCAGAAGTTTTACACTGCCTCCGCACTGTTTATTTCAGTGTCATAGTAGGAACAAGCTGGTCCATATAGGAGCCGCACAGAGGGGATCAGATAAACACATCCTGGATGGGCGATCTTTGACAGACGAATGTCCAAATAGGGCTGAGATAAGAAGAAACGAGTGTGACCACAGGGAAATGACAGAGACTTAAGCGGCTCTGCCGCTCTGGATAAGACTCCCGCACACGCCGAATAATTGGGGGTTATCTTTCTCGACCCCACATCCAACCCGCCTTATTCGTAAACCACCCACGAATCACAACCCCAATCAACATCTAGAGGCTGAGTCTGGCCTTGCCCATGTTTCCGAAGGAAGGATAGTGGTTGGCCCAAAACTCCACCTTTCTCCGCTGTCAAGCTTTTAGATCACCGCAGCCACAGTTGGATGCACACTTTGGACTCCTCCACACATCTGGACTCGATGTGCTCTTTATGTTCCCGATGAAGTGCGACTTCCGGACTCCGTAGCAAATCAATGAGAGCAAGTAATCAGACCCTAAGCGTTATCTGGCCCGGGCGAGTGCAACAAATGGATTAGAGTCCGAGATATTTTATTGATTCGCGGCTCTTAATGAGGCTGCTAGAGACAACCGCAAAAAGCAAATCTTCAATTCCAACACACAATTTCCCCACTTCAATTCAATCTTCAGTATCCTTGCAATTAGCACTTCTCGTAAAGAATGTTGTTCCAACACTCCCATTCATGAAAAGTGCAGGCACAACCAAAACATTTCTGACTGTCAGCGTCGCATTCGAAGGGTTGCATACATCGTAGTCTTGGGAGGGTGCCGCATATCTAGTGGCATTGCCGTGCAGTAAGAAGCCCAAGAAGCAAGGTTCTCGAATCCAGCCCCTCATCTGGTTGGTTTGGCGTCGATGCTCCAGTGGCTGGCGCAACGCCTCCAACCTTCACTGGTCCCCGGTGTGGTGTTCACCAACAGAAGCATGCATCAATGTTCCAGAATGGGTGTTGAAGGATGGGAGAATCCGCCTCAAAATGTGCGCCAGGCTTTAAAGACAGGCGGTCTGTCTGCTGCGACCTGGGTTTTGCTTTCCTCTTGTTCTGGCATTTGCTCAACGTCGACAGAGTACCTGGCAAGCATGAAGTTCATGCTAGGAGCCGCACAACTGCTGTGGGTGCCTTATCTGACCACGGCCAGTTTGCTCGAGAGACAAGTTTCGTCGTCAGTCAGCAGCTCTGTTTCTAATAGTGGGGTGTCGAGTTCGACGTCTTCAGTTTTTACTGTAGCCACGCCTGGGTCAAACCCAACTGTGAATAGCAGTAACCATGATCTGTCGCAACACTTTTGTCGATTATGGAGGCATCAGAGTGATTAAAGTCTGCTCTTAATCTGTTGCATATGCTAAAATTTGTCTCTAGGTGTGTACGTCGAGGGAAAGATATACATCGATGGAGGAAATACAGTATGCGGTTTCGATATACTCATATAGCTGTACTAATGCACAGTAGTATATTCCTACTGGCGATACTACTTTTTCCAACACTAGTTCGACAGAATATGTCCAAGGAATGAGTAAGTCTGCGAGAATTGATTCTTAGCCTCGGTTCGATGCTGAAAATTACGTGTAGATGACATCCTCCTTGTCCTCGATCTCTCCAATAACTTCACGAACCAAGATACTGCACCATATAGCGCAATCGATAAAGGCCCGCAAGTTCCTAACGCAATTATCGAAGGTGCCCTGTGGTGGTCTGCTGTAACAAGAAAAATATATCAGCTCGGTGGTTGGTTCTCGACCAACTCAAATCAGGATCCGGGCTATATCACAAGTTCAGAACTCCCTCCATCATCAATCTGGGAGTTCGACGTCGACTTGAAGACATGGGTACAATCCGCTTTCAATTATGTGAATACTGGAACCAAAGTCGATCGTCCAGGAGCAGCTGCGAACTGCGACGCTCCGGCCCTGAACAAGAGTTTCATCTTTGAAGGATATGTCGAGTACAGATCTGATATTGCATACAACAACTGGTCCAGTGGAGCTTCCACCACATTCAAATGTAAGTCAGATGGCTGGGAGAGGTGGCGCTGACGACTGACGTCCTTTTAGTTCTCGAGGGAATGCTGCAGCTCGATTCGAATACATCACCGCCTACCCTTTCCAATATTTCTGTTCCTACCTACGTTGGACCTCGAATGAACGGTGCCATGATCCACGTACCAGTCGGCCCCAAAGGTGTTATCGTGCAGATCGCAGGCCAGACGACAGTTGATCCCACCCCGTTTGGCATACCTATCCTTAGCGCCAATCAAAAGAATACTGAAATCAACAATACTTATGTGGATATCTATGACATCGAAAGTGGTTATTGGTTCCGCCAGCAAACCTTTGGTACGACTTCGAAGGAACTTCATTTGGGCGGTACTGACAATGAGAAGGTGTACCTGACGTTCCTACTTCCAGGGCTGATATTTGTGTTATTCTTGTTACTGCACCTGATCAAAGCTCATACAACATATTCATGGTTGCTGGAGTTTGTGAGTCTGAGTATCATGGATTGGTCAATTGCCTGCTAACAATTGTCAGTGACGTACAACGTTCCCATCACTAGTGAAGAGATGTAAGTACTGGATAGCTCCAAGCTCAGCATTATCTAACTTGATAGGTGGGTTCTTACAATTCCCACATTCCAGTGGGTCAAGGTTCATACTCGTCCTGGTGGATACTACGGTTCGTCTTCCCCTTCCTTGTTGTTCCATGACTGATCGATTTAGGACACACCTGTCATCAAGTTGGAGAGAATTTGGTCATTGTTGGAGGAATGGAGACTAACGCACAAGGTGGCAATGCGAACAACTGCTCTGTTAGTATTTCTGTCCCGGATGGAACTTGAATCCTAACCTAGGTAGTCTCATATGCCTGCAGAGATTTTCAGTCTTGCATCGATGAACTACACAGGAGTGTTTGATGCAGCTGGTGCACAAAGGGCACCTCCAGTCCCAGCTGACGTTGTTACCTTGATTGGCGGTACTTCAACTGGTGGAGCTGTTGTCACAAAGCCCTATCTCTGGTCTGACCTTTACCTCCAGTAAGTATCATTTCAAGCTGTCAAGACTCACATCTAATGTCAGCAGATATGTCTTCAACCCAAGTCTCCAACGGCCAGCGTATACACCAACCTATACTCTAGCAAATGCCACCGGCACTACGACCAATACCACAACCCCGACACCTACACCGTCTTCGTCGCCGTCCCATGTCCCCGCTGGTGCCATAGCCGGAGGAGTCGTCGGTGGAATCGCGGTGATCGCCTTGGCCATCTTCCTCATCATCTTCTTCGCCCGCAAGAAGAAAGCCAGAAAAGAGGCCGAGATCCTCGCGGCAGCAGATCCCAACGTGCACCCTCACCCAACCAATGAGCTTCCCACGTACCAAGACGCCAAAGACCAGAATGCCGTCGAGGTCTCGGCTTACCAACAGCCACTTGTCTTTTCCCACTACCAACCTTCTGTTCCAGCGAACCTGCATCCGGCGGAAATGTATGCTGGCGAGGAAAATGACAGGTTTGTTACGATGCCGGATGCTGTTCCTGAACGCAGCCCGCGGGTTGGGAGCCCGGGTCGATTTTCGGAGATGAGCTATAATACAGGTGGAAGTCCAAGCCTGGAGCCGATGACTCCTTTGACACCTGGTGGGAGACACAGTAGGCAAAGCGAGGTCAGCAGAACTAGTGTTGGAGGGCAACCGAGTCCGAGGATGGACAGCGGGAGGTTAAGTAGACAGAGCGAGGTTAGTGGTCCTTCGGAACCCTAAAATTGTACATGAAGTGAAACTCGATGACAAGAGAAAGTATTTTATTTCTGCATTTTAGCGTTTATTTTATAAAGGGATTTGGCATATATGGGAGAAATATATGTGGTGATCTGAGGGAGCCCTAACTTTTCAGTCACTCACTCAAAAATGTTTATTGGTAATTATAGCACAGCAGCTGAAAATATGACGATCTTGATGCTCTATGGCATTATGTATTGCTGAAACAAAAGAATGCAGAAAGAGGGTGCTGGGAAGAAGGAACCTGAAGCCTTCAGATCTCTAGCACACAAAAGACATCACGTGATGGCTGTCGATGTTCCAGAACCAAACAAGTCCCTAATAGGTTCTCTGTCCCTGAACTTCGTCGGGTATGTTCTCCCTTGAGTTTGGAGTTCGCGTTCTACCTCAGCCGCGAATAACGAGTTCCTTGGCGCATGTTGAAATCAGCTCCTTCTTCAAGACAACGGTTGGCAAGAAACTCAAATTATCACAGCTCCAGAAAAAGTGTTGCGACATGGCCTACTTATAGCTTCCCAATCAACACTTTTGTTTTCAATTTCGCGAACGTGAAATCACTTCTACGAGCTTTGTCCCTCCAAGCAGACCATTGTCCTACCTAGGCAATTCGATGAGAAAGGGGTCTCGCTTACTCCCGTTGGTCTCCGCTAAGTTTCTCTAGGGCAATCTTCTTGAATCCTGGTGCTGACATGCTCTGTGCTGTGTCACGAAGTCGAGGAGTGATTGGCCTGCCTTATATAACAGTGATGCTGTCGGCCGACAGTAAACAGTGCATCAGTATACCCATTTCTGAAACTGTGAACTCGCTGCTTGATTTGTGAGAGCAGGTTCAAAGAGGGAAAATGCAAGGAGGAAAATACGGTTGGCTTTCTGCGAGTCAGCTTGGTCGGTAGCACAAACATGAGTATACGAGCACCCAGCATAACCAATGTATCACTTAGTCCTTTCTCGTGGAATCATATCTAATCTCTTCCTCAGTTCCTCTCGTTTCAGGTCTGTGTAGCCCCCAAGATGTGATCTCTCATCCACAATCTCGGAAGTGGACATCCATGTTCTGTCCTCACGTCTCGCTCTTCCATTTTTTTCACATCCAGCATCTCTATTTTCCCTTCTTCCACGATTTCGAGCATGTCCGCATCATCAGCAAGCTCCCTAAGCTCTGCGTTCCAATCTGCAAACCGTGGTCCTCTAACGACAATTTTCACACCTCCGGTGTCATGTCTTACAGAAACAACCCTTGTTTCTTTTCCAACCACAGCGCTTGCAAATACTACCAGTACATTCACAACAACGAAGATCTTTATCAATCACTTTAGTTGGGGAGATGGGGCGTGCTATCCCAGCACGATTGCAACGATTGATGGATCGACGCGATGGGGGAATGGATATTATTATTGTAGGTTCTGGGCTTTGCATAAACGAAAGGACACGTTCTGATGAGGAAACGCAGCACCAGGAATATGTCCAACAGGATGGACCTCAGCATGTCAGATCTCGACGAATGCACTGGGCTTCTCAACTTCGATATCCAGCCAGACGAGCGCGGTGATGTGTTGTCCTTCGTAAGCTCAACACCCGAGAAAAGAGAATAGACCCTTATGATAAACAGGAATTGGGAATGTGTAGGAGGAACAACAACGCTTACAGCACATGGTTGCAGTACAGCATTGACAGCCGGCGAAATATTATCAAGTGTTTGGCTCGCGCCTCAACCAACTCCAAGCATAACGATGGATCTCCCTGCAGAACGAAACCTCACAACCTGGTTCGTGCCGAAAGACACTTCTGCAGTATGTGATGGAATACCGGTATTGTGGCAGAATACAGACGTGCAAATCTTGGCTCTCCTTGGTGTGACACCTACCTCCTCTTCGCCGACCACGGGAAGTCAATCTTCGGGTACAATCCCAGCAAATACAAATTCTTCATCGAGTTCGGTGCATTCTGGGTCGTCTCTATCATCTGGAGCAAAAGCTGCTATTGGAATCACAATACCATTAGCATTTCTAGCTTTATTAGCTGGAGTATTTATTTTCTTTCGCCGACGAAATATGAAGACCCCACAACATCAGCACCATGAACTTCCTACTTCGGCAGAGAGCGATTCGGGGAACTGGACACATTTGAGCTTTCTGAAGCACGGATTCAAGCATAAAGCCAGTGAGCTGGATTCATCTAGAGTTTTTGAAGCAGATGAGGCACATCAAATTGTTGAGATCGGAGATGGAAGAGATGTGGTGTTTGAGATGGCTGATACCTCGAGCGTTGGTGGTGGAAAAGATGTAAAGATAAGAGGCGACGCAGAAGGGGTTGAAATGGGGGAAACGAAAGAAGTCAAGAAAGGAGATGTTGGCCAAGACCGTCTACTGTCTAACCGGAGGCCTGAAAGAGGAAGCAATGAGATTGAGATTGATTCTGCAAGGGAAAGTGCGCCTCCATCGTATACGATATAATAAACTTAATCTTGCAATCCTCGCCTGTCGTTTCAGAGATATTGGAACTCTTGAACCTTGAATTTCGAGCTACAAAGGATTCAGAAACAGAAGGGCATTGTAAGTAGGTATAGTCAGGTGATATAGTATCACGTGTAATAATTTATTCTTTCTCTACCTAGGTAGAACAAGGCTTCGGACTAGGGCTAGATGATCAAAGCAATGTACGGATATGAAGAACGAATATCAGAAGAGAGATAGAGAGAAATAAAATGCCGGCCACAAAAGAAATTATTGTTTTCCGCTTTTCTGCCCCACTCACGCCCTCTGCTTGTCACTTAGGGGCTCGCGTCGAAATATTTTCGCTTCGTGACAAGAAAAAGTACTTAGTGACTCACTTGAACAATTCCCTATCCACATCAGCCTCTTCGAACTCTCCTCTTCTTACGTCTATGAGTTGATCAAATTTACATCCCATTCTTGATCATGGAACTCGAGCTCAGCAAAAGATCTTCGGCGTACACCCCCGAACAAATCGCTCAATGGGAGGAATATATCAATCTTCCTTCTCAGTACCGCTTGAGCTCCAAGCCTACGTTGAACCTCAATTATCTTACGGCTCTGCATACTTATCAGATTGCCCACGTCCCTTACGAGAATCTCGTTCTTCATTATTCTAGCAAGCATGAGGTGGACTTAGATCCGCAAGTGCTTTTCCAAAAGATTGTGGGAAACAAGAGGGGAAGAGGAGGGTATTGTATGGAGAACAGCATTTTCTTTAACCATATTCTTAGAGCATTGGGTTGGACTGTTTATACAGCGGGCGTAAAGATTAGACCTAGAGTTGGAGGGGTTCCTGGTGGTAATTTTACGGGGTGGTAAGCCTTCCTTTCGCCCATGTGGCCTCTAGAAGCTCTTCTCGTCCAACATTGAGGACAGCAAAAATATGTAGCTAATGGTACTCAGGGTTCACATCGTCAATATCGTCACTCTTCCCACGGGCGAGAAATACCAGCTCGATGTCGGCTTCGGAGGGGATGGTCCGACACATCCTCTGCCCCTCATCCACGGTCACGAATCGCTGAACCTGGGAACCCAGACCGTGCGTTTACTCCACCGTCCAATTCCTTGCAACGTCGATCAGACTCAGAAATGGTGGGTATATCAATACCGTAACTCTTCTACCCAGGAATGGAACACCTTCTATGCCTTTCCCGAGCTGGAATTCAGCGAGGCGGATTTTGGTGTTATGAATTGGTGGACGAGTCAAAGCATGTACGAGTCAAATTTTCAGACGAGAAGAGTATTGATTGTGAGGTTCTTTCTTGGAAAGGTTGATGAGGATCTAGAGAGGGGAAGTGAGGATGAGGAGGGTAAAGGAGGAAAGGAAGGCATTGTGGGGAAGGCTATGCTGGTTGACGGGGAGGTGAAGAGGAATGATGGAGGCAAGACGAGAGTTTTGATGGTCTGTAAGAGTGAGGAGGAGAGGGTCAAGGTCATTAGAGAGCACTTTGGAATTGAGTTGACACAGGAAGAAATTCGGGCTGTGAGAGGAAGGATTGTAGAGCTAAAACACGACTAAGAGACTACATGGTTGGCTGTGAAATTCCCAAATCTCACTCCTACCAAGTGTCCCTTTCTGCCATATCTTTCAATGCTCCCTTCCCTTTACCATTTCCTTCAATGCTCTATCCAGGGTGTCCCTTTCTACTATACACAACTTAATGTTCCTTTAATTTTTCCATTAGTATTCTTTCCTTTGTTTTGAGTATACTTGACGGAATTGAAGAATGTTTTATGCGCCAGTTACGTCCTTGTTGAGTTGAAGCTTAGAGGCGGAAGTGGCATTAGTCTTGGCCAACATTCTTCTTTGCTTTGCTTGCTCTCGCTGACGTTGGAGCTCCTCCCTAGCAGGTTGCGATTCCATGTTAAAAAACTCCTTGATGTACGAGACGGTCCTCTTGTCGGATGGGAGATCTAGGTGAAGGTCTACGTATTCGACTGTAGGAGGAGTTGCACCTGGAAGTTGCCAAGCAGGGAAGTCTCTAATCTCAGACATAGCCTTGTCGAATCGGCCATGGCCAGGTGCGCCTGGAGGCCAACGAGTGAGCGACTTGGATCCGAAGCTAGCCTTGGCTGGCAAACAGAAGCTGCTTCCTGCTTTCTTGACGCATGGGCCAATATCTACCAACAAAATTAGCATGGTTAAACATCGAAAAGCAAGTGAGAGGCTCTGGAAGCCGAGAGCTGTCTAAAGAACTTTTGTTTGCAAGACGTCTCGGCTCTTCTTGGCTCCCAGGGCCCTCGTATAGGAGAATAGTAATTTGGCAAAGGGACTTGGACATACGATAATCTTTTGGTGATCTAACAGTCTTCGGAATGGTAGCGTGTACGTTGTAACAGACCCGAAGACTCTTCAAATTGGGAAGACGTAGAATATGAGGACGAGGATCTTGGATTCGAAACCAGTGGTTCACTTGATCAACATTGATCGAAAGCTTTTGGATAGAATGAAAATCCTCAACTTTAATCCAGAACATAAGATAGGTGAGTTGTACACCTCTAGCTTCGCCAATATGAACCCAATCAAGCTCCTTGTTGAAGTGGACCACGCTTCTGCAGTTAGTGGTCCGCTCATTGCCGAGTGTGTCTTTATTGCGCTTCATGGCGACATCTTTAGTCTTGTGGTCGAGCCAAAGGGTGGTGGGGAGAATGTCGTAATGGAAGTCGTACTGTTGGGAAAGCTTCGCGGCACAGGTTCGGACCAAGATTGTACGCTCGCCGAACATGAAGACTTCCTTCCAAATCATGTCCTTCAACTCTTGCGGGAGCTTTTCGAAGAAGTAGTGGAAATCATCGCCCTACCTAGTAACTTAGAAATGTGTGACCAGACAAGGAAGGTTAAGATTCATGTATGTGAAAGGGTACCAACTCACTTTGTTCTCAACACTCAACTTGTCTCCAGCTTCACCAGCAGAGTTCTGTATTATTAAGTCAGTAATGTGTGACCGAGCAGGGAGGACTAGGGTAGATATAAAGAACAAGTAGCCAACTGACTCTGATCGGAAGCTGAAGCTCCTGACTTGCACCGTCTTCCTCATCGTCGATCAAGTACGGAGACTCTCTGTTGCCTAGGCCGGTAGGGAATCTGTAGGCCATGTCGTAGAATGAAGAAGGAAGCTTCAACGATCTTCGTCGCGAGGAGCAAGATCGAGCGTAGGTAAGGTGGGTAGAGAAGATGGAGAACTTTGGAGGCGGTAGATCGGATCGAAGTGGGAAATTTATGTAGAGAAGATGAGGGAAGAAGGTGCTTGACTAGCGAGAGGTGAAGCTTATATACCTCCGTACTGCGATCTTTGGGACGCTAGTGTTGTTGAGAATAAGCGGGGTCTCAACCATTGACGCACCTCCTACTGTGACTATCTATCTTATCTAGTAAATGGTTACTTAATTGTTTAAACACGGGAGACATGGTTCAGATATGGATCTTCCTTCGCAGACACACACACAGATCAAGGAGGTGCAAGGTGTTACCCAAATTCTCGATCAGGAGGAGGAGGTTGCCATATTGAGGAGTAGCGACTTGCTTATCAAATCCTAGATTCTCCAATACCAGAGGCACATAGCCACACTCAAGCTCAAGGATCATAAGGGCAGATTGGGAGCAGGCATGGAAAGGTCCACAGATGTCTATTAACCCGAATACAAGAGGAAGGGTCTAAGAGTTACTCTTAAATATCGGGCGAAGATTAGAAGTTCACATTGTCTGACGATGAGAGTATCTTTGCGGAGCTCGAGCGAACCGTATTAATAGTTTTCCAAGGTGATATTCCTGAGCAAGGCACTAAGCACTATAAGAGAAAGTCCTCCTAAGCCTCTTCTAAATGAAGGCCCTGGATAACATATGCAGAATAAAGTGCCCTATCCCAGCTCATCACTGTTACAAGAGTAGGGGCCTCTTCCTGTCCCCGTTGCCTTGATTTCTGCTCTTGTATCTCTACCTTGCTCTGGTGCGGCTGTTAGCCCATCGCAGGAGTCACACAAAGTACTTGGATTTCGGGAATTAACTTTGGAATTGAATATAGGGTAAAAGGTTTCAATACTACGAATTTTGGCAGAAAAGATTAAAGTAGTACAGCTTTTGAAAATAAAACTCTAATACCGTGAAAAGATTAAGGCTCGATACTTTGAGTCTTATGCTTTACTTTACCGTCGCCGAACTTCACTTTATATTCTTTCTCTGGTGGAAATCTCTGTATTTTATCAATTGTCTTTGTTTGAGTGCCACATTTACTCATGGAGGAGGTCGAAACAGGAGAGGTTCAGGAAGGAGGATACACGGGTCCGAGAGGGGCAGCGGCCGGGAGGACAGCTTGCAGAGCTTGCAAGAGAGGGGGGCAGGATGAGGCGTGGGTGCCGTACTATTGCTTTACTTGTGGAGGAAGGAGGCACTACTCTAGCACTTGTAGACGGCCTTATGTTTAGACTTGCAATTGAAAACATTGTAAATATATCATATGGTAGACTAATCTTTAGTGTTGTATCGAAAACTATGTGCCAATTCGTGGTATTCTTATTTTTGCCCCTTTGAATCAATCCTCCAACGAATTTCCTACCTCTATCTGCCTAGAATAATATGTCTTGGAGAACAATCAGTACGGTAAGCCAACCCAATCAGACAGCTCACAATCTCTATACCTATAAGAATGAGGGATTCTCTAGCCTCCGTTGTTGTAGGATTGTCATTGAGAGTGGTTGGATAACGCCAGCTCACTTCAATTATTGTATACATCGAGCGCTTTCAGTGACTGACTTGCATGTTGGTCGAAGATGCACAATGGCGGGAGCACGGACGCCTTGAGGAAGAAAATTAGATCCATTCCACCATGTAACCAATAATCCCGCTTACCAGACCCATTAGATCCTCTGGAGTCCGTTCTCCTTCTGTCCTCTCAATATCCTGACCTCGATCAAGCCCCTGAAGCGTTGTACCCTTCCTCTTGCTCTATAGCAGGCCTCATGTATGACCTTTCGTAGACCCCACTTATAGTCCTCCACTCCTGCAGTGTCTGCGTCACTCCAGGTGTCCTCGCGAGAGCGGACAGCGAAATAAGAGCTGGATGGTGGGCAGAGTTGGTGTCTGCTGGAAATGGCTCGTTTACACAGTGTAAACAGAAGTGTGCACCGCATTTTACCCTTCTTTGTCGAGAAAACCGATCCGTGGTGCGGAATAGGGGTATCAGATTAGTAGGACTTGGCGGTATCGAATGGGCATAGTCCATCGTGCCATCGTGATCCCATCTCGGCTTCGTAAATTCTCTTGAAAGAGGTGCAGGTTAGTAGAAAACACCCTGTATTTTCATAAGTGCAGCTTACAGACAGGCGGTGAGTCGTTGCTCTCCGATTGTGCATACTATCTGAATACATTTCACTCATTATGAGCTCTGCAACTGGGCTAATCTACTCCCTGCGCCCCCGATCCATCAATAAACAACAACCCCAAGCTGTAACAGCGGTGTGGCACATGGTGCTCAAAACATTCAAGATTCAATGTAAGATCCTACTCTCTCTGTGGGCTAATGATCATATAAGGAGATTGTTAGGGTTGAAAACTTCAAAAAGGTCAAATTATCCAGCAGACTTTCTACAATATCGCATCTTCTATTCCTTCTGATACATTGCATATACGGCGCGGGGCAGCTTTATATCTGACGAAGTAGCAGGGAAGACGCGAGATAGAAAGCTAGAGCGGCAGTACCATCGGACGAAAGATAGGAGGCTACAAGGGACAGTGGAAGACAGGCTCGTCTGGCGAGGAGCTTCTTGAGCAGCGATACTATTCAAGAGATGGGAGGCTACAAGGAGCGGTCGAGGACATCATCGTGTGGATGGGAGGAGATCTTTGAGAAGCAGTACTGGGTGAGAGATAGGTGGCTACAAGGCTGAAGCAGCGAGGACATCGTCGTCTGGAGAAGAGATTATTTGGGCAGCACTGGACAAGAGATGCGACTATCAAGAGGCTGCAAAGATGGGCGGAGGCTAGCATCTTCAAGAGAGAAGCTTCTTGAGCAACAGTATCAGCGGGAAGATGAAGGATTACAAGGCACAGTCGAGGATAGCGTTATATTGAGAGGAACTCCTTCAGAAACAATACAGGATGGGTATCAGGACGCTACAAGAGACGGTCGAGATTAGCGTCGCATGGGAAGGAGTCTAGCGTAGCTACATTGAAGGGCAGGGATGGCGGAAGGTAGCCAAAGGAGGGCGTCGAAGCTCTTGTGTGTTGCAGCTGTATTACTGTAATGCTGGCATTGGGAAACTTGTAATAGCACAGGTCAGTGGCCCCGGCTTCGAGATCTGGGAGTATTTTCTCACTGTTTTATAAGCTCTGGAGCTCCACTGTACAGGTCTCTGCTGGTAACTAGGAGGCTTTCTGAGGCAAGAAGACGGTCTCCTTCCATAGGAATCTCGACGTTATGGCTGGATATTGGCAAGGTCCATGAACTGCGACAGTGAGGACTCCAGTAGCATCAAATACGTAGCTATCTATGTCGCCAAGTGTAGCTCCACAATTATCACCAGAAGACATTTGCAGAGTTTTCATGCATTCAGAATGTTGAACGATTGGAATCATTCAGCGAGAAATAATATTCTAGTTGAAGACATCGACAGAAATTGCTTCAGGAATTGCTACAGACATTGAAATTAGGCTGTTAATGTACCTCAAAAGTCTACAACGCAGCGGCAAATAATATGGTCAAGCCCGGAAGCTGTCTTTATCACCTGGGAGTATTGGCTGCCACGACTACACAGGTCTCCTTGGCCGAGTAAACTTTCCGGGATCCTATGCAGAGCGAGGCTCAAGCCTCTTTCATCACAGATTTTACTTTAAGCCTCGGGCAGCAGCAGAACACACAACCAACCTCGAAAACTCACCTCCAAAGCAATCCCCTACGAGATACAACAACCGGAACAACAATCGGAAATAGTACATGGTTAGGAAGGCTGCCAAAGGGTTTGTTGTGGTTGGTGCGAGAATAGGACGCACGAAATTAGGGCGCGACCCAAAGCAACACTTCAAAACCCCTATCGATACAACCGCTCAAAAGCAACGGCACGAAATTACGAATCTATCATCATAAAAACCCTCCATTCATCCAACCAGATGATGGATCACACGTCAGAACGTTTTTCCAACATACCAAACCTTCGTTACTCTCTTTATCTCCGAGCGAAAGCAGCGCACGAAGGAAAACAACACTTCAAAAGATCTGCCGGCACAACAGCTCCACGGTGGCCACACGAAGACTACTGATCTAAGACCAAACAAACCCTCAATCTCTACAACAAGATGCGCTACCATCGATTCCGCGGTCCTTCAAAATACTAAACCTCCCTCTACCTCAAAGCCATATGGAGCGTGACGTAAAGCAACACTTCGATAGATCTGCTGATACAACGACTCAGCAACGACACGAAGACTATTAGTCTGTTATCAAACAGACCTTCGATTTATACAACAAGATTATTTGTTCAGCGTCCAGCGTCTTTCTGAGATACAAAACTCTCATTGCTCCCTTCATCTCGAAGCGAAAATAAGCGGGCCCCTGAAGCATACGCGTGACCAAGAATAGATCCTGCAAGCACCCTCGGAGACATTCCGGGCGAGGACATACTCGAGATATATCACAATCGAGCACAAATATATTGGGAATTGCTCTCATATACCATCATTGATACCTACAGTGGGTGGGTTGGTAGCATCACGTGGTCGCTTATTTCAGCTCAGGGGCGGGCTTTGAAGCTGAAATTACGGCTTGGGGGTTATGGACGATTTCCACCTTGAAGTGAACGGAAAGGAGTTGAGATGTCGCGAAGGTCACATGGTCGCGTAGGTCAGACTCACTGTCGATTAAGGGCCGGCGGACTTCGAAGTTGAGACTATGCAGATCTCAGGCATATCCTCTGGCCTCTGTAAGAACGCATTTACATAAACAAGAGGGCTGGAGGCACAGTGCCATCGGAGCCAGAAGCCTTTTTGGGAAGTCAGAAACAAGATACAAAGGGGTGCTTTGGGATGAATAGCTGCAGGCAAGCAAGTCAGGACTCCTTGTAGCAGTCTGCATTGAGTAGCGCTGTTAACGACGGATATTTTTCCA